AATTTCAGATGGTTCTTTATTACATAATTCTTCAAGACGCTTAAATCCAAAAACAAACTGTTTTATTTCTTTACCTGAACCATATTTATTATTGCAAGTACTATAATTGGAATTTTTTTTCAATGAATCATGTTTATCATTCCATTGCTCTTGTTTATTAATTGATTTTGTTCTCCATTGTTCTCGCGGATTATGATTACTTGAATTTGCATTATTATTATTGCTATAATAGGAGTTTTTATTTGGAATTTGTCTCTGCTGATCTTGTGGATTAGAATTACTTAGATTCAACTGTTTTGTATGTCGTTTCAATGATATAAATGCATTGTTTTCTAAACATTCTGATTGATTTGTTCGCAATATTCTAGACTTGCTACGATGTCTTTGGTCATAATGGCTTTTATGTTTATTATTTGAATTTTTATTTTCTCTGTCCATGATTAGCCACTTTACATTTGTATTCTGTTAAAAAAGAAAATGTACATAAAAACATATTATTTACAATGTATAAATAACAATCACAGAAAGTAAACATATTTGTGTATGTTAAAAATGTTTACAAGAATCCTTAAAGGCCCTATATTCCTCAGTCGCGCAACGGATATGAAAATATCAACCGACCATTATAACCTGAATGACAAAATAGTTAAAATCATCCAAACTCTGAAAATTCCCTAGTAAGTCTTACTTATTGAATGTTACCAAGATATAGCTAATCAGAATACTAATAACGACATAAAATATTACTGGAATACTGCCTTAATTATGGCCAAAAATAATAAGAAAAAAATGTTGTCCTCAGACGAGTCCCGAGAGTCCTAAAGCCGCGAGCCTCCAAGCCACTCTGGCTTACATTTAAAAGGACTTGTAACTCATTCAACCGTATTTAAATATTTGTGTTATTTATGGTTGCTATACATCCCGGAAAACCGGGGCCGTAGATAAAATAAGAACGGATAAGCCATTCTTATGTTAATATAATAAGGGGCCGCGATCCGGAATGTGAACTGAAAGACAGACTGCTTACTAACTCACGAGCAGCGAGGAGTTCTATCGTTAATTATATTTCACAATGATCAACGTATTTGTATTTGAATATTGTTCGTCAAATCAAATTCAATTATTTCAATACAATGTTGATTTTTATTTGAATTTTGTATAACAAAACAATTTCAAGTAGGTACTACGAAATACAATTTGATATTATTATTAACGTATTTTTCACAAAACTAGAAAGATTAAAGGTAAAAAAAAACGTTTACCTGGGCTAAATTAACGGAACACTCTTTTCACACACGAATAAAGTCAATTGAGTAATGTAATGCAATTTAATAATGTATTAATGTAATTTGAATATACTTGAATGAAGATATAGCTAATCAGAATACTAATAACGACATAAAATATTACTGGAATACTGCCTTAATTATGGCCAAAAAAAATATTAAAAAAATGTTGTTTTGAATGTTATCATCAGTTTGTGTTGCTCAATACATCAAAAAAATATTAGTGCGATAGACCATTAAGAAAAAAATCACAAGACATGACACACGACAATAACAAATAATATTTAACACAATCAAGCAAAGAAACACAACTGTACGATTGGTACTAGGGCTTTATATCATTAAAGTTACCATCATTGTCGATAGTTATTAATACTCTAATGACTCCAATGTGAGATACAGTTTATCTGATACATTTTCCCAATTTTATTATTATCAAATAACAGTTATCTAACATTAGACTTTATCGACAATGATAAATCATATGGTCGGTTATTTAATAACTAAATCAAGTGATTGACAGAGTACCCAAAGTCAAATTTGTATTCATACATGAAGCTATAGCAAACTTATACAATTTTAATGGTCAGAATTTTGTTAAATAATAGGAATGTCTATCCGGTTGATGTTTGTTTTAAAAAAAATTTTAAATGTTCCAACAAATGCCACTAAACAATATAACATGTATTAACAACTATTGACCAAAAACTTAGATAAATTTGTAATTATAATATAAATTTTAATAATTTTTTTATACTTGTACCATACCTAATTAGTAGGGCCCGGATTTATATGCAAAAATATGCAGTTACCTTTTAATTCTTTTTTATTTTTAATCTTCCTTGATTTTTTCAAATGTAAGTGCAATAATTTACTCTTTTATGCAAAATTCCAAATAATTTTAAACATCAACCTGTAATTTGTTGTACACAAAACTTTAATAATTACAACATAATCATATGAAAGTGAAAATATACACTAAAACTTACATTTTATAGTAGTATAAATTAGTACAATTTTTTTAAATTTAATATATAAATATTGCGTAACAGTCAAAGATCAATGATCAATAATATTGAAAAATGTAGATTAGTACACAGAACATAAATGTTAGAAATAGCAAATGATATACGTTCAACAGACATTATGTCCTGGCATCAAATTCAATAACAAATTAATTGATATTAGACACCAATTATTTGTTATCTTTAAATTTCGATTGGTCAAAACTACTGATGAGATAAATTTGTTATATTTGTATTATGATAATAATATAATTTATGAACATGTAGACCTTCATACGTTAGCTACAAAATGTATGTTCATGAATTATTAAGAAATTTATATTACTATTTAGTATTAAGGTACTACAAAGACAAGATAAATTTTATTAATCAGACATATTAGGCATACAGAGATTGTTTTTCCGGGATTCATATTTTTATATTCTATAATATTAAAATTATTGCGGAAATCTATTTGAATACAATAAATTGCTACATACATATTTATTAAATCAATACAACTGTGTTGGCAACGGTCTGTTTCTACTCCGTCATCAATACGAGCACAAAGCACACGATCATTACACTCGTTTACAATGGACATAATTATTGAAATATCGGTTGTGACGAGATCATTATAGAATTATATCGCGCAGCGAGACCATTTACGATGGTGTCGTTATAATAATGTTCGTAAACACCCCGTTTGCGGTCGGTACCGGGCGGACACATAAGGGGATTGCCGCGCCGCCTAATCAGACGAGTCCCGAGAGTGGATTTACTCTCCGACAGTCATGCCGCCCCGTACCGTCGCAAACGCGTATTGCCCTATCGGCTTTTTTTTTTTCTTTCTCATACCGTACCGTTCATATTCTCGATACGGCACGGACAATATTTAAAATTATTATAGCGATTTATACGCCCGTCGTGTTTTTCGTTTTAACAACCGTCGCGCCTTTATTATGCACGAAAATCGCGAAAATATCTTTCGATAATCTATAAAACGCGCGCGAATACTTTACATTCAACATTTTCACCGCATTTTGTATATAATATATATATATATAGGTATTGTATTATTAAAAAAAAAAACATATAAACACAAAAGACGAAAAAAAAAAAAAAAACAACAAAAAATTAGACTTATAACATAATTATTATAATTACGTAGCTTAAGCTAAGTACAGGCAAGTAGGTATATACAGTATGATGCTTTCGTGCCCGTCGTTTTTCGCACGTTGTATAACATCATCACAACATCACGTTGTATTTTCTTTTAGGAATGTGAATAATTATTGTCCACCAATTGATCAAATAAACCATTTTTTCTCATTACCTTGAATTTTAGTGAGAATTTCGAAAAATTAAGGCCAAAATACAACAAAAGTCTCTTGTCATATTTTGTTTGGACCAAGATTTCTAGGAGAAAGTTGTTTACAGACAAAAGAAATTGCACACAGTAAAACCAATAGATCACGAGGAATCTATAATAATATATATTTTCAAAAAAATAAGTAACATTATCATTATTGATTAAATTGTAATATACAGATTTATCAATATAATATAGATATATACTAATTAATCATTAATAACTGGTAATATTTAACTATTGAATAATAAACACCTATTATAATAACTAAAGGGGTTATTTAAGTTACTAAATTAGTTACTAATAACCCCTCTATAATAAGTGTAAGATGTAAACAATTTCTTATTAATCGTATTTATACTAATGATTATATTTTTTAAGTTGTGACAACTTTATCAATGATTGATCTCTCCATAATCTACGATTCGGAATCTCTTCTAATGAAGTGATTGAGTTTAATTGATCTGCAATAACAGTTACTAACGGACCTTCAAACTTTGGTGCTGGCTTGAATTGTTTACATACACCAAACATAGAATTTGAATAACGCTCTGTATAATTCATAAACCCTAAAATCATACATAAAGTTTAATTGGTTAATTAATATTACGGCGGCAAATTTTTGTTTTCTTTATTTTAACACTATTGCAGCATTATACAACAATGACCTATTCAACAGTAATGTGTGGGATAGGCCACTTTTGTAATTATATTATATTAAAATAATAATATCTTTTAATTTTAATAAATGTTTAAATTTTATTATATTGTCATAAATTATAATTATTTTCATTTCAATATCTGATCTAAGAAACATATTTTTTAATAAACAACAATTTGTGAGGGCAAAAGTAACTTATCCAATTAAAAATTTGGATAAATTTGTATTTGTTCTAAAATAACTCTTAAAATTAAGTCTTAAATGTATTCAATATTTAATAATAAACAATAGTTAAATTTATTTTGTTTTTTTATATTTATTTTTTTGATCAAATTTTCAAAGGAATTAAAAAGCTATAACTACTCCCATTAACCATTTAATGGAATAAGCCACTGTATCGCTCAACCCCTCATTTTAGGTCAAGTTAAAGTAGGTATGATTAAAAATTAATGAAATGGTATACATACCTTCAGCATTTAAATGTGCAGTTTCAAATGGTCCAAGGAATGCATAGCGCATACCTAAACCTTCAGACATAACTGTATCAATATCTTTCACATTAAGTACACCATCATTAACAAGATGCCAACATTCATTTAAAATAGCATACCTATTTAATTATTAATATATTAATACTACTCAACTATAATTTTGAAAAATATTGCACATTACTGAATACGGTTCAAAGCAAATCCGGGTATCTCTTTAGCAAGAGTAACTGGTGATTGTTTGATATCTTCCATAATTGTTCTAGTTTTTTTTATTACCCAATCTTCAGTCCATTCAGAAGGTACAATTTCCACCAATGGCACAAAATATGGAGGGTTGACCTACATCAATGTTTAAACAAACAATATAATAAAATAATATGTATTATATCACTCAATACTCATACAGGATGTGAAACTATCAATTGATTGCGATGTTCCATTTTTTCAGAAAGCACAGATGGCAAAAATGTAGAAGTAGAACTGGAAATTATAGTTAGAGAGCCAATTATTTTATCAATTTGATCATACAATTGTTGCTTCATAGCTAATACTTCCGGTATACATTCTTGAATCAAAATTGCATTTTCTATGACTTCTTCCAATTTAATTACACCTGTTTAATAAATGTTATCGGTATTCTAATAATATATTAAATTTCCAATAATAAATGAATTCATCTCCATAGCTAGAGAAACAAAATTTAAATGTTTATTGTGTAAATTCTCCCATTCTCCAGACTATAATTATTATTAACATATTTATCTTAGATGTATTTTTTAAGTTCTATATCACTGGATGGCTTTCCTTCTTGTGTTCCTATTTTTTATTCAGTTATTTTACCAAATTTGGTTATTGTGTAACAAATGGACAAATTGTAAATGTTTATTTTATTTTAAATAAAAAAGATTTATTTACTTTTAGAAAAAACTTTATTTAAAGAACTTATTTAGGTAATTATTTAATATATAATTAAATAATTGACTAATAATTATTGTGACAATTATTATTAGTCACATATAATCTTGTGAATTGTAACAACTAAATAATTTAACTCAACTAAAACTCATTTGTTACCTAATAATATTTATAAATTGAATGTCATGTTTATAATTAATTTATCTAGGGCAAATTTTTAAGGATGTGAAAAATAGAAGTTGTAAGGAAATTAAAAAATCATTGAATTCAATTGTTACAGACTTTAAAGAAGAAAACCGGTCATTTGAACATTTTTTAAATTCAATTTCATAAATTACCTATACAATTTTGATTTAAATCAATTAAATTCATTTTTTTTTTTTTTTATAAATTTTTCATTTTGTCAATTTTTTTTGAAAAATTAATATCATCATTGTCTTTTTTACCTGTTACCCTAAGCCACCCAGTGGTAAACGTCTCATTTTCAGTACATTATAAAAATGAATAAAATCATTAACAAAATTACCATAGATACCAATTAAACTAATAATCTACATTAATTTCTGGAAACTAGTTCAAGATTCCAGGAAATAATAAAATACAATATGGGGAGGCTGAGAAGGTAGCTGATCACCCTACCTTCTCTGTAGACAAATCGATCAAGCAATGTCAACTACCTAGCTATTATATATTAAACTAAAATAAATATATCTACCTGTTATACGTTCTATTTGTTGTTCAGCACTAAGACTACCTCTTATAATATTATTTTTCTCCATTGTAATTAGTTCAGATTTTATTTTTTCAAGGGCAGTATTCACTTGCTCTAAGTTAACATCATAAATGACAACATTGTAATGAGCGCTTGCAAATAACATAGCCCAACTTTGGCCAATTAGGCCACTAAAAAATAATAATTTATTATTGAAAGTGTATGCTTAATTTGATTTATTTAAGAGCAAAACTAATGATCATCATTATATAAAATATTAAAAAATAATAATATAATAAGTATTAAATATTATTTCACAGTTTTACCTTCCAATGATTCCTATTTTTCCTTTTTCACTCATCTTAATATGTATATAGTAAGAAGTTTAAAGATTTATTTAGTCAAAAATAATAAAGCAAAGCAAAATTATTAAAATTATTAACACTCGTAATTAAATATATAAATAAAAATAAAATAAATAAATGAATGCGTCGCCTGGAGTATTATGATAAGTATATTTAAAGACTGGTTTCAGATATAACAGTTAAAATGTAAAACGCGACTCTATTTATATATTAACTTTATTTATTAAGTATCTGAAAAAACTAATAACTGAAATTTAAACACTAAGTACAAATGTATTTTACTTTATGAAAATCAGATGAACTTAATATTAGTAATCACGGTTATCCAAATACATATTATGATGGTTCATAGAAACAAATGGCAAATGTATTATCTGAGCTTCGTGCAATAACTGTTTTTACAACAGATTATTATATAGAACAATAATTATTATTGAAAAACAAGTTTTAAATATTGGAGGTCAATCGTTTGAAACTAAAATGATTAGATAAAACAACTACAAACAAGTCAATATTAAATAAACATAAATAAGAGAAGGAGTATTTACAAAGTAGGTACTGTATGACACACTTTTATTTTATATAATTTGAATAATAGGTCTTATGTTGTTTATAATGTATTAAGTACCTATCAATAGTTGGATATAATCACATAACACTACAAAACAATAAAACATACAAATTACATAGTAAATTACAAGTATTAGACGTTACTAGAGTGTAACAAGGTCGAAAAAGTAATTACTACTAATTAATTTTTCTTTACTACTGTTTCAAAAGAGAACATAACGCTTCTCGAACAGTTTTCGTTCGGCGGCGCGCATCCCCACTAGGTAGCTCCGGTAATGATATTTCTTAACATTTCTATGGTTGTAACCGGTACTATAATACCTGGTAAGGATGCGCGCTGCCGAACGAAAATTGGTCGCGAAAACGGTATCTACTGTGTGTCTGTGTTAGTATTTTCTCTTTTGAAACAGCCATTCGAGGTTTATGCTATAGTGTATTACACATTTTTAACTTACAAGGTCGATAAACTAGTTTGTAAGTAATTAGTAAAAACGACCAATGAACAAAATTGTTTTGGGCAATTCGCCTTATAAAATGTCCCGTACATAAAACTATATAAGTTGCTTAAGAATATGTTATCTACTACTTATAAATCAACAGCATCATTAAACCATCACGTTTTTCCAATAATCAATGTCCAATGCATCAGTCAATGACTTTTTACAGAATTTACTAAAAGTTTCATTATTCCTATATAAATTTCTACACCAAACTTTCGAATTTCTCGATGAAAGTATATAGGTACAATGAACTGAGTTGGTTAATAATAAATTAAATTACTTTTTAAAAAATCCTACCATGTTAAAAAATATCAACTGAAAAGTTAAAAACAAATACCATGCATTGTTTGTTTGTTCACTATCTTTTAAACAAATAATAAAATATATGATATATTTGATGAATTTGTATTATTATTTTTTTTATTTCAAAATATATATTATTATATAAATAGAACTTAAATGTTAGGAAACTGGAAAGACATACAGGCAGATACAAGGAATTAAATATATTAGTTGCAAAAATTGTAATACCAATGTTTAATTAAAAACCAACTATTTTCTTGTCCCTGCATTCAATACCTACTTTTTCCAAAATGTAAGCATTAAATTAAGTTATATTTATTATATAATATCATAATATACTCAAGACAGTAGTGGGGTCATAAATATATTTAAAATCCACAAGGATTTTAAAATTTTAATTTTGCATTCGTAGACATTTTGTATTCAATTCAAAAACTAATCGTAATTACTTATATATATTTATTTAATATATATATACATATAATATAAATAATATAATATAATTCAAACTAGATGCTGAGCATAGCATAGGTATAATTATTAAATAATTAAAACTGCATACTTTATAATTTAAAAATTAATGCACATTTCCTATACTTAACGTAACTCACCCACAATATAATCGACACATATTTCTGGTTCGTGAGTTTGAGAGCCTGTCTTAAACCATATCGTGCAGCTTGTGTTTATTGTGTGACCATAGTATCTAAAATAGTGATAATGATGTCATAGAGTAATAATAATATTCTTATTTAATTCCTCTATTTATTTCACAATTAAATTTCACGAATCACAGTATCTTTAATAGTTTAATCCACAAACATAAAACACCTTATTTCATTATGTATATTTTATTATTATTTGTATTTTATATTTATAGTTTAATCTTAGATATATATATATCTCTCTATGGTACTATTACAAACTAAGATATTGATAAGATATTAGTCCGTAGGTACTATTAATTTCGTATTTATTATATATTATTTAATTCATAAATGATTCTTAATAATATACTTTAAGGTAGTTTCTATTTCATATTATTTATTATTGACTTGAATAGAAATTTATTGAAAATTATATGACTAAAACGTATTATCTATTGATACTTGGAGATATATATCTATTAAATTAAGTTAATTTAATTTAGTAACAAAAATGTCAAGCTTCAATAACCCAGAAGACATTATTCATCATTACAAGTTCATACTGAATAAAACAAAAAAGTAAAATATTAATAATTTTTAGTTATAAATTTAATAAGTGTTAAAGTAAATTTTTACTTTGTTGTATTTTAGAAAATTATTTAGAAAGTTAAATACATTGGAACCTAGTGACCAATTTGGTAAGATTATTTTAATATTAGCCCATAATGTTTTAATTTTTGCTATAACCATTCTTATTTTAGCCAAACTAGCAAATTCTTGTCAAAAAAATGACAAACATGCTTATGCAGCAATGTGTTGGCAAGCTGTGGCAAAATGTGAAGAATCAATGGGTCATAACTGTGAAGAGGCTATTGCTCACCAAAAAGCAGCACGTCTGTTTTTTTCTGAATTTAAAAAGGCTGAATTATCTGGTTTTATATCACCTTACAATGAAAATTTACAAGTTAGTTATATTTTCATATCAAAGTTCACCACCTATGGCTCTCCTAATTGAGATGTCTGTTAATTAATAATGAGTTACTACTGTTATAAACTTAATAAACAAAATATTGGCGCTTCTTCATGGTAATCAGTAAAAAAAAAAACAATACTGAAAAAACTACTTAAAAAAAATGATAAAGTAAAAACATCAAATGTATTTTACCTAAAAGCACCAATATTAGTGGCTAATTACAGGCTGTTGATCCCCAATCTAATAACTTCCACTATCAATAACCTAAGGGCTTTCTCGGAAATTTTTTTTGGAAGGGGCTAGATATATTATTTTTAAATAGTTATAGTATTTATTTTTAGAATAAATACAGAAATCTGAACATACTTTTGAAGAATTGCAGAATAAATTCAAAATATTATATGAAGAATATTTAAAGTGTGGAAAATAATGTGTCACATTTTTTATTAGTTATAGCATATACTATATGACATTTATAATTTATTATTATTATTATTATTTACTTATTTATATTTTTGTTAGTTTAAATTTGATAACTCGATAATTGACTTCAAACTAATGTTTGATTTTTAAGCAAAATGCATTTGACGTTTTTTTACCTTTTAGTATTTTACCCTTGTCATTTTTTTCTTAGATTTCCCCTTCATATTTATCAACCAGTTTTCAATTAAAACTTACAATTTTTATTTTAGATTCTCAAAAAGACTTTTATTTAAAATATTTTTAAATACTCCATATAATACCTATTGAATAAACTTTTGTTATATTTTAATATTAAGGCTTGAGGAATAGGAAGGGGTATCCTTTAAATAAATGCATTTCTGGGTTATTTTTTTCTATTCTATACAGCTTATTTATTTATTTATAAATTATAAACTGATGAAAAACCCTTTAACAAAAGAAAAGTGATATAATTTGTACAAGTAATGTTTAAAATACAATTAAAGAAATAATAGTAGAATAATATAAGTAATAGAACAAAAATTAAAATTATAGAATACAGTTAGTTAACGCGTTATATAAATTACACTTAAAAACTATACGAGGCTTAAAAAAAAAAATTGACACAAGAAGCTAATTTGTTTACTAATATTAGAACTCTAGGAAAATATGATGTTGAGCTATAATTGTTGGAAAAAAACGGAATATAAAACAATTTATTAACACGGAAGCAGATATAACCAGTGTAAAAGCCAACCATTGAAAGTAACTGGGAAATCTATATTTCCATTTAGCAAGTCAAGTAAAAACATTTAATCAGAAAATTTTCTTCTGAGATCACCAAATGTTGTACATAACTGAGAAGAGTGTAAATGACAAGAATCCCTGGATAAGAATATACTAATATTTATTTTATAATTTTGATTTAGTATATTTGTATTGAATATTTTCTATAAGATTAATGAAAGTCACGTAATTAGAGAACTAAATCAAAAAACCAAACTCGAGCTTGGACCTAACAAGAGAAAAATATATATATTCTTAAAATCCTTAGTATTTCTATTAACAAAACCCAGAATCCTGAAAGCTTATGACTAGTAGTTTTGCATATTTTTGCAGATTGGTCATCAGCTACTTTATACCGAAATATATTTTATGACCTATTAATTCTATATAGAGTGTGTCCCAAATATGGTGGTGTTGATGAATAGTTTCTTAGTTATAGTTGGGTTAACTTTAATTAAATGTAAATAAATTATTTTTATTCACGGCCGAGTTGTTTATTCTGGTTTTATTATAGTGCTGCGATTATGATTACTTATCAATGTAAATATTGAATACAATTTTTTTTATATTCTAAATATTAAAACGGATATTTCTAAGAAAACATTTTTCAAATATGTATTTATATTAACACTTTCAGAATAATATTTTTTATAGTGTCTGTTTTAAATGTTTATAAATGAACAAATAAATTATTTTTTTCTAGTGATTACAGAATAAAAACAATCATTTCATTTTTCTCTTTATATGTGTTCCCCTGACACAAAACCTAATTTAAAAAAAATAAAATAGAACAATTAAATATTGACAAAATTCAGAAAAACACGAGGGGGGGCACTGTGTTTTGAATCACAGGTATATTATAAGGATTTTGTACATATTCAAGATATTTTAAACACAATCAATCAAAAATTACTAACTAATTGTTTAACAGTTTGATAGTAGGCTAATACTGCTATAACAGCAATGTTTATATTTGACTTTCATTTGTAAGTATTACTAAAGTAGTAATATAAAAACCATCTAAAAATTGTTATTATTCCTGTAGCAACGATTTTAAATGGATAATATTAATAGGTACCTGTCTTTTAGATAATTATTATGAATTTGTTTCAATCAAATGGATTGTTATGAGTTTTATAATTGATTAACAATATGGCATCTTGTGCATTTACATTATTTTACAGTATACATATTTTACTGACTGCACCAATAATTTTATTTTATTTTAGTCGAGAGTTGTTTATACTAGGGCACATTAAATGAATTATGGTATAAAAATAGAAAATAACTGAGAAGCCAAATGCTCATTAAAATAAATATTGATAATAAATAATAAATATAATTTCATTGTATTTTATTATTATTTTTTAACAAAATAAGCTAAATTTTAGGATATAACTGCAAACATATTTAATTGGTTTTTAGGACTATTTTCTTTGAGAATCTCAAATTAAAATCATTAAGTTAACATTTAAAAATTAAAGTATAAAAAAAAACTATAAAATAAGTATGGAATATGATAAAGGTACAGTAAAACCTCCATATAACGGTCACCGAAGGGATAGAAATACTGACCGTCCTTCAGAGGTGATCTATAGTCATAACACCTGACAGGACCAAAAAAAAAAGACTAATACATAAAGGTGATCACTAACAGAAGTTTTACTGTAATTATACATTTAATCAGATGCCTAACTTAAAAGTTAAATAACAAAACTATTGAAATGAAAAAATATGGATTGGCATTGTATAATATGGTGATATTTAATTTATTGTATTATTTATGATTTACCATAGGCGGGATTAAGTGAAATGTGTCATGCTGAAGATAGTTGGCAAGGAAGCACATTTGAAAATATTTTGAAAACTTCCATTCGTCTGGAAACAGCTGAAACTCTTGTGTGCTTGGGTAATTTGGATGATGCAGCTTTCATTGGAAGTAGTCTGATTGATGTTCCACATGAAAGTCATACTCTTAAATTGACTATTCTTGAACAAATAACTTCCATTCAAATTATTTCTGGTATTTTGATTTATTTATAGTTAAGAATATTGCATATTTGTTTACCTTAATCATGTTAAAATTAAATGACTTAACATTCGATGTACAGAACTAATTAGGTATTTTAAATTTACAAACTTATTTTGCATATAACCTCAGGGGGGCATGTGGTGCTTTGAGTTTGGTGAGGTCCTGCTGGTAAAAATCCCAGATGGGTGATTCCAGAAGGCATATGATATTTTTTCTGTTTTCTATAAAGTGGAGGAATTCACCTTGTACCATTTTTACTGGGGCAGCAGAATACTATTATACTAGTGTCAGAATACTACCGTGGCACCTATTTTCATATTTTGTAAGAAATATCAGAATGACAACTGGTGTAAAATTTAATCAAACAGTATGAGAAGTTCTAAACAAAAATATAGCAAATTTTCCTATTAAGGATGTTTTGGCGGGGACAGTGTGAAAGGATTAAAGGAGGTACCATGGTTTGCAGATGATTAGTTATGTGATAAGTTAATAATAGACTTAAGGAATGGAGAATAGTACTTGAAGAAAAAGAAACTAAGGTTAAGTAGAAGTAAAAAGAGTATAAGTTTGGAGGAACAGAACAAGATGGCTAAAGGCAATAAAAGGTAATAGGCATGGTTGAGAGTTTTAAGTATCATAGTACCCTAATATATTTTGTACAAAAGAACAGTGACTTTCATGAGAATTTGAAACAGGATTAAGTGTAGTTGGATAATGGATACTGTTTATTTCTAGTAAAGAGCTGATTTTAAGGAATATGGGCAAGTTCAAAATATAATTTTAACATGCATTCATAAAAGCTTAAAATATCCATTATAATATCAAAACATTTATATAAACTTATAATATTTCATTAAAAATTAGTAAAAGATGCTTTTAATATTATATAATTTTTAAAATATGTTCATTATAAAGCGATATAAAAACAATATAAATTATTCAAATTTTTTACGCCCTCTAGAGCTACAAATAATAATTAAAAAAACTGAGCTATATTTATAATATTTTATATTAATTTAATACTTTTGATTTATTAAAAATATTTTTATATTTTTTAGAAGATTATGAAGGTGCTTTGTTAACATTTACTGAAATTTCAAATATTATTTCAAGTATAGATAATGAAACTATTGGTATTTATAATGATATTTTATTTAGGTAAATTAAATATGTTTTTTAATTTATGCTCAAGTTTTGTATTAAACTTATACAAATTATAGATGTGAAATATCAAGGGTGTTTTTGTTGCTTATATTGAAACCTACACGTCAAAAAATGCCCAATGATCTAGCTTCTGTATTGGAAAAATACATGTGGATTAATGGCAATTTCGATTCTCCCGGTAAGTATTATTATTATTTACATTGATTTTTATATATTATTATTAATTTAAAACTATGATTCATATAATTGTAGTACCTTATATATCAGATATAATGTTCCGTCTCCTTCGTTCTTTGGTGAAAGCATACCAACTTGGTGAAACCACCTGTTTAGATACAATTGAGTCTGATTTTACGCCACATTTAACATCAGAACAAAGGCATTTGTTAGCTGTATTAATAAATACACTGATATAGTTTAACTTTGATTGTATTTATGTACCTATATAATTTAGATTTTATTGTTTTTTAAAAACTTTTTTTGATGCATATTATAAGGACCTAAGAATTAAAGCATTTACAAAACTAATGTTTAATTATTATTTGATATATTATATAAATATATATACCTATTTATATTTTAGTATAAGTGTTTACTAATTTTGTTATATTATTCAATGTCATTGTGTTATGAAAGTGAAATTAATAAAATGTTAAAAGTTAGCCATTAAAATTAATACAACCTAATTTACTATTACATTTTATTCTATGTAGAAGAACTATCTATTAGTTTTACAAATATTATGATATTTAACTAGTCTTTAAAAGAATGTATATTTATGTATATATATGCTATACATATTACATATACCTACCTATTAATTTATTAGTTAACAATAGTATTATACATTTTATTATTATACACATTTTACAATAATTGCAAACTATATTATTTATTATTATTTAATATCAATTATTTATGTATGTTATTATATTAGCTATGACTTTTTCAGAAAGATACTAACAATAGTTGAGTATAAAAGGACACATGTTGAGTTTATTTTTTAAATTTCATTCAGTAATTATGAGAACATAATATAAATAAGTTTTTAGTTGGTTTTATTTATCTTGATCAATAATTTTAGTGTTTGAAGTAATTTTTCAGGATAGGTAATAAAGATAATATATTCAATTAATTGTATACCTGATGATTATTTTTTCTATGTAGAACTCATTCATTTAAATTCAAAATTGATGCAGGAAATCTGGCAAGTTTTTGCCCTAGTCCTTTTTGATTTAATCTTTTGACATAATTATCTTCAAACCATTCAAGCAATGGTTTAAGGAATACATTTAATTTAATAATTTAAAAAAAAATAAGTGTTTATGGCAAAATGATGTACCTTCCGTTTTGTACTTCTAATGGTATATTAAGTTACCTACCCATCACCTAAATATTGATTTTTTTTAATCAAATCTATTACCAACGTCTAATTTTGTACAAATATTGCTTACCCAGATCTTGAAATTGTTCAAGGTGTCTGTTAATTGCCTATCTTACTTTTGAAATTTTCTATTGCTATTTGAAAAAAAATATTTCTATACTAAACAATAAATGTTCACAAAAATATTGCCAATGTTCAATTTTAAGATTTCATATATGTTTACACAATTAACTATAAAGTAGTACTTTTATTTATTTTATTCATTCAAGGACCTAGTACTTACCTATAATAAATTAATGTTATTATTAATGACAATTATAGGTAGTTTATATCCATTAAACAATTAAACCATTTTGAAAGTACCTAAATATTTTATATTAATTATTAGATAATAATACATAGGAATTGTAATTTTTATGAAGATGTGAAGGAATTATTTTTAAAGGTATTTTTATAAACAAGTCTTACTAAAAAAATCAATTAACTTCTTTCTTTTTACTATCTATATTGTATCCAAGGCTTTCAGTATTTATTTAAGGTAACTGTTACTTAGAAATTGAATAATATTAATATTATTTTTAGACTAATAGGTAACTATTTGTATAGTTGTATTGGCCAAATAGACATCATGATTATTTCATATAATCAACCTATTATAAATCTATAAATATTTTATATACCTTCACATATTATTTTATTATTATAATTGTTTAATTAAATTTTTCAAAACTAACTTGTACATCATGAAACAATAACTGTTATGGAATTGTTTGATGATTACCTATTCATTAAATATTAACCTGTAATTTTTAAGATGTAAAAAAAGATAGCCTTCTACTATATCAGTTGTAGTAGTATTTTAAATTTCTTGTTAAAATGTATTATTAGAAGCAATTCTAATTGTAAACAATTATATTGTACATATTATAAGGTTGTCGCAATATGGAATCATTGAAATTCCCTAATTTTCATACTCAGCATTTCAGCCATGATAAAGCAAAATGGTACCTATAGTAATCAGAAATGTCTAGCAAATGAGAGTTTAAAAATAATAAATATAAACATCTCAAAAAAAATATGTCCAAAATTTGCATTAATAAATATAGGTACTCATTCCAGGGATTATATGAATTGCACAAGAATATGTAATGAAAAATATGTTTTAATGTATATAATAATTTTAATCAATATCCATCGATTTATTCAGTCTTGGAATTAGAAATAGATACTTTTCATTCACTGTTCATACCAAACAACTGACATTTTGGAATTTAAATAATAATTTATAATGTAGTGCGCTTCAAATTGTAATTTTTAGCTCAATACAATTTCTAACAAATAAATTGTTATCGCTGATAATAGTCTTTTTTTTTATCACACAAAAACAAGTTCTTTTTTTCAGTTTCCAATAAAAATCTAATAATTAGAATTTGTTTTGTAGATGAATCACAAAGGTGGATACTCATTAAAACATTAATAAGTATTACACAAAAACATCAATACAAAAATATGTAATTTTTTTTTCTAAACACTTGTCTTTTTATTCAAATGAAACCTTGGTAGTTTGAAATTATAGAAGTATTGCCTTAAAGGTTATAAGATCATAAATAGGCAATTATCAGTATAAGTCTTATATTTGAATACAGATATGTACGATATGGCATGTAATGTAAGATATATTAAATTTATTATCAATATAATATTATTCATTGCAATGTGCAATAAGTAATTGATATTACGATAATCAATGGATAGATAGTTAAATAATAATACAAATATTATGGAAGAATTGCTGATTTGAAATTGCTCTACATTATGATAGTAATAACAAAATATTATGTGTATTAAATTTGGTATCTATACTACAAAACCTTCTAAATATATTGTGGATCGCAGGTGATGTAAAAAGAAATATTATTCTTACCCATTGATAGGTATGTATAAAATGTAATGAACGTAAATACCTACATCAGGTATCTTAATATGTAATTCTGTACTTAACTGCTATTTGCCAATAGTATTAAATAATATATGATTGGTTTCTATTTTAATTTGTCAAGTTCATTGAAAAAAATGATAAAAGTAAAATACAGTAGTTAAGTATGCTTTTGTAAGATATTATGATGAAAAAAATTTATAAAATTAAAAATACTTTTTTTTTATGCGTTGAACAAAGCCATAGATAACATCAACAACTAAGTAGCAAACACGAATCTCTAATTCGATATCCACAGATACTTTTCCAAGCTGGTTAAGTTAGATTAGATAAAATAGTATAATATTTAAGGATTTAAGGATATTCTAATTTTAGGAAAATATATAATGTAACTCATGTAATTATTTTACCATAATATGAAATATGTATATATTGTTAATGAAGCAACATTATCAACTGAACTTCTCTCAGAATCGTTTTTTCATTAGCAATGATTAATCATTGGATACAGATATACATTAAATTTCCCCTCTTTTACTTTCCTAACTTCTAACCTACAACAGTGACTGCATCCATTGCACGTGCGAAGTATGTCCGTTTTTTTAAGCTTGCTTCTTCCCTTAAAAGTTATTATGAACTACTGAGTTTAAATGAATATTATTACATTTAAATCTTTAATCATACTCTAAAGTTCCTAACTAGCAAGTTATAAAGCTCTAGTTATTAACAGCTGTAAGATTAATTGCAAATGGCTCTAACCAACAGAATAATGGGGAAAATCGGGCTTCAACTTAAGGTCAACCATCAGTGAATAAACGCATTATAGACGTTTATAATATATTAAATATGTGAATATTTTTAATATATATATAATTTATATGACATTAGATAATTAAAATCATTGGGCAGGTTTGCAGGAGACAGTATTATAACAATTTAATAAATATCACGTTTTACATCCGAATACCTATCGCTTCTTTACATCTACCCTAGCCCCTGCCGTTTTTGTGAGCTAACTAACCAAAGTTTGATTCCAAATTCTGAATTTTTTGTTCTTCACCGACATTTTCTTCCGTGTTAGAATTCAACAAAATAAACCTAAGTATTTTTAAAATAACTTCCAAAGTAGGACACTTTTACCTATCCTAAGTTCTTGTCATCTTTTATTTGGCTTCTTATCGTACACTTGTGCTTATTTAATGCCTATCTAATGCCTTTATTGCAATTTTTCATTTTTTGGAACCACTGGGCTCTGTTATCATTTATTGCTAGTGGAATACATGTAATTTGTCACGTTTCATTTGTTGTAAGTCATTTTATTATATTCTGTATTTTAATTAAATTCTATAATTTATGATATTATATTGAAATGCCAAAAAAGAAAATGTAAAACACAATTTTTTTCCAAGAATTTATAGATTCAACAAGTAATAATTTGGATTTTTTGTTTTAACATTTTTTATTTAAAAAGTAACTATATAAGAATGGTACGAATTAAAGAAATAAAAAGGATAACATTGAGTAAGAATATATAGGTGGTTTTGTATGATGATTCACATGACTTCACAGAGCTTTTGTACGAATATCCACTATTATAATATTAGAAATTACACAATTTGATATAATTTGATTTTAATTTTAAAGTTAAAACTCAAAATAAAATGTTAAACAACTCAATATTCATGACACGAAAAATCAGTATTTTAACTGATAATAGAAACTGATAAATACAAATTACAAATGATAAAATGGCCGCTACCTTTTTGTTTACATTGAGTGTCCTTTATGCTTAATCTATTCTGTGGTTAAACTACAGATAAATAAAATAATGTTTTATAAATCCGTGGGTTAAACAGCAGCTGTCCTGAGAGCAATTTCAATTGCCATATTTTAACGTTTATAACATAGTACACTAATCTGTGTAGAGCCCGATTCAAGATTTAAGATAAGATGAAGACCGACGAGCAATGATTAATATTTAATGACGAAACAGCTGTTATTACAAAAATTGATACTTCTATGACATTTTTAGAAAGTTGCAACTTGTAAGACTGTAATTTTTACGATTGACAACGGCAACAGTGATAACACGGTATTTTTAACTGATGTGGAGAGTGGAACTGTGGAAATATAATGTTGATGTAGTGAATAGCGATGACCAATCCTTAAAAAACCTTTGGCTTGCGCTCCACCATTAATTTAAATACTAATTGATACTATAGTCGTGACTCATAAACGGTCACAGTTGTTACTTGGTTCTATTAACCTTTTCATTATAATTTTCATTTCGTCCATTTATATATTAAAATTTAATATATTTTGTATTATATAGGTATTAAATTTTTATTTGAATTAGCTATGGGCGTACAAAATTTACAGATCATTTTTGACAATCCGACATCAGTATTCATGCCTGGTCAGTCAGTTACTGGGCGAGTTTTAATTGCAGTTGGTGGTTCTGTCAAAATACGAAGTAGGTGGAATATACCATTTATTATGAATTTAGGACAACATTTTCAACTGCTATTTTTGGTGTAGTTGAACATTTTCCCCCTAATAATAAAAAAAAAATGTATTTTAATTTTTTTTGTATAATTTTGTCTTGATGTGTAATAAAATAAAATAGAATAACAATCTAAGTATTTCCATACATATAGTTAAAGTTGTGTAATAAATTATGATAGATGTATATAATAATAAATGTAATATTTTAATAAGAACTTGGCATAGTGACAAATATCTGGATGTTTATTGAAAAACCCTAGAGAATAAATTCACCAACAATTATTAAATTCTTAAGAAAAAAAACTAATGAATAAAGTTTAAAAATATATTGTGTTTATAGGTGAAAAAAAAAAGAAAAAGAAATTGAAGTATTTTAGAAAAATTAACTTTCTTTGTAGGAATGACTAGTTTTTTTTTTTATTAATTATTAATTATATTCTATTTAGAAAATTGTTTATCGTTATTATGTTACAGTTATATTTTTACATAATTTGCTTTGAACATAACTTTTTATTGTATTAAATGGCAATTATTAATCAATATTAAAAAATATATTTATAGTTATAGATATTTAAAAAAAATTGGGTGGAAAATTGTCAAATTACCACAGATTATATACTTACAAAATAGATTTATATTTATTATATTTAGCAATTCTAAACTATTTTTTTTAGATGTAAAATTAAAATGTAAGGGAGAAGCTGAAGTTTCTTGGACTGAACAAGAATCTCGGAGTAATGATAATGGTCAAACTGAAAATTACTCTGTTAAATATGATGCAACAGAAGAATATTTTGAAAACAAAATTACTCTTGTTGGTGGTGGAGGTAAGTGGAAAAATGTTCACTTTGAATAATTTATTTATTATTTTTGTATTTGTTTTTGGGATAATATTGTGTAATAGTATAAATTAATTTAAATAAAGAACAAGTCCAGTTTACCGGACACCTTTTGTTTTCCAACTTTTTTTTAATACATGTTTGGATGCTGATTTTGGAATTATTTAAAAATTTTTGCAGAAATCATTAAAGAAGTTATGGAAATTTTAAGTTTCTTATATTAGCACTATAGGTGCACCTAGAGACTTACCAGTCATTGGCTCACTCAAATTGTTTTAAACGAAAATAACCCTCGATTTATTGTGCAAAATCACATTGGGTAGGTAATAAGGATAAACAAATCAATTGAGGGAGCTTGGTGGCATAATCAAAATATTTAAATCACATTTGGAGATTAGATGTGTGTTTTTTAACAAAAAAGTACTACACCGGTCAAATGTAAATAAATTAATGTAAAACAACTAGGTATTTAAGCAAAAAGAAGAACATCAACCTTCAATAATTTCTTTAATAATGATTTACACAAAAAATTCAAACAGTTCTGAAATTAGCGTTGACAAAAACACATATTTAAAAAAAAAAAATATGGAAAACAAAGGGTGTCTAGTAAACTAGACTTATAAATTAAATTATTGCAGGCGGTTTGAATCATATTTTCTTTAAAATGAGTATGATTATTTTTTTTTTTAGGTGAATCAAAATTAGAAGAAGGTGAACATGTGTACCCATTTAATATTTCTTTACCTCATCAGTTGCCATCAACATTTAATGGTGAACATGGTCATGTTCGTTATTCAGTGAAAGTTGTAATTGATATACCTTGGGGTAAAGACAAAGAAAAAGAAACAATATTTGAAGTTATTTCTCCTTTAAATTTGAATGATGAACCATCATTAGCCGTATGTATATAAAATCACTTATCACAATAATATTCTAATTTTGAGTTTGATAATTATTGATTTAAACAAATATTTGTATAGTTTTATTTTTATCAATAAAAATAATACTAACAAGTTACCCAATATTCACTAATTTTTACAATTTATTTTAATGTTCGACATGTTCATATTATATACCTATATATGTTAGCTATTATTTTAATGTGTCCATGAAAAAGTTATCTGTTTATTTACTCATAATATATTTTATACTCAATTTTATTGTGCTATTAACCATAGCCCATATTTATTAGTAGGTTTTATTGTTAAATTGTTTGCATGATTTCAGAATGTATATTAGTATATTACTAACATTATCAATCATGATAACATAATTATATATATATATATTCATTTTAATTTGTTTATTCAATAATTTAATTATTTTAAACACAAGTTTAGAATCAAATAGCCTGACAAATGCTGGTATTTAATTAATTCTATTAGAATACATTCAAAATACAAGGACAAGGAAACTATTATGTGTTGTACACTATTTTTTTCTGTGAAGTTTTGAAAGTCCAAAGTCTAGAATTTAAATATATATATATATGATATTTAAATTCTCAATGAACATTTGACAGATGATTTTTAAAATTACTTGATTCAAGGTTATTGAAAAATAAAAATCTAAATAATTTTGAGATTTCTAAAACCCGATTCACACAGTCACCATTTTTTTTTTTAACTTTACAAATTTGTTTGAAAACTGTTTAAACAGCACAAGTACTACATACACCTACCATGAAAAATTTAGTTGTAGTTCATGCTTTAATATATGATGTAGTCTTTTAAAGTATTTAAATAGTATTTTAATTTAAAATTCTTCCATGTCAATACTTTTCTTAATTCAAGAATTGAAAATCCCATTTTGTTATTTAATATTTAAAGTAATAAAATAACAAATTATTATTATTGTTGATCTTGTGATGTCGTCCTTGGTATAAACCGAGAAGAACAATGTCAGATAAATGCAAATTGAAAGTGTAGTGACAAATTAGACAGAAATTAAACTACTATGGTAGGCTTACTATAAGGATTTTTATGTTAACACTGAGAAAACCATCCTGCTTAAGTGTTATACATCATTTTGGGAATGATCTAATAATAATTTATTATTTAAAAAATTAATATTTTCATTTTCAGTTAAAATGAAGTTGAAGGTACAAATTTCTAATTATGTGTTTAAATAGTTGAATATTGAATTTTATATTATAAATTTCAAAATTAATTTTTCAAAACTATTTGAATTAACTGTTAAATAAATCAAAAAAGTAGTTCTATTGGTTTTGAATAATAGATTTATCTATATTTGTATACCTTAGATAATATCTTCTTTATTATTACCTATAATTGTAATAATAAACTTTTATTATATTATATGTATATTTTATGATTTTGATGGTTATTCAAATATCAAAACTGTATATTTTCACAGTCCTAAATTGAATAATAATGATCAAGCTTCTTTTTAAAATTAAAATATTAATGATTGGTTTCTATGAACTATAATTAAGCTATATTTTTTTAGGAACCCATAAAAGAAGAAAAAGAAAAATATTATTGTTGTTGTTGCTGTGAATCTGGGCCAATGACTTTAGTTGCCTGTATTCCATATACTGGTTTTGTACCTGGACAGATTATACCTCTTACGATTGAATTAGATAACAACAGTAATGTGACAATTGATGCAGTTAAAATCATTTTAGAAAGAGTAATATTTTTATATGTCATATTTTTACAATTTAGTTAATGCGTTTTGTCTTTTTAGGAAATAACATTTAAAGCAAGCCATCCTAGTGAACGGAGAAAAAATAGTTCATCTGAACTTGCATTATTACGATTACAAGGAATTGAAGCACATGCATCAAAAACATGGTCGGAACAAATGACAGTTCCTAATAGTTTAATGTTCGCTAATTTAAAATATTGTGGAATTATAACAGACAAATATGTATTAAAAGTAATTTGAATCTATGATTAATCAATTTTAAATAAGAATTATTTAATTATTTACTTATTCCTACATAGGTAGAAGCTATTTCTGGAAGCTTGTATGAAAACACTGTAGTTAATGTGAAAATTACAATGGGAAATATTCCATTAACTATAGCTCAAGATGCTCCTCAATATTGTTATCCTGCTAAATCAACAGACCCAAATAATCCGCTGAATGGACAGTTACAAACAAATTCTACAGTACCTATAGGTTTTATTGAACCTATATCTACCCCAGGCTTTCCACAACAATCAATGGTTCCTGCACAAAGCAATATACCTTATACCCAACCTGCATTATATCCTCAAACTCAACAATACATTCAATCCCAATTACCTTATCCAGATTTGAATACACAACAACCGGCTTTTAATCCATCTTATCCTAATTTGAATCCAGAAGTAACTAGTGCTCCTTTATAATGCTGTAAGCTATGAATTAAGGCATAATCAAAATATTTTTAAAACAAGGTTACAACTGGATTTTCTACTTACCTATTAGATTTCTATTTAACTTGTATACACAGAATATCCAAAAATAATCCAAACATCATTTTTTCTAAATCTATTTACTTAGGTTTTATTTGCATTAGTAATAATGGTATTCATGTTTTTATCCATTATAACTTTATCATTTATATTTTAAATTTCAATAGTATTATAGTTCCACACAGGAATGTAGGTAAGAGGGCTCCTACTCCTTTTACTCCCCACTTTGAAATTACTTGGTGAGTTCAATTATATTTTCTTAACTTCAAATCCAAAACTATTACAAAAAAATTGATAGTTATGATCCCCTCTCCCACCAAATTATCCATATTTAAACATCTAGTTCATGAATTGGGATATAATGTGTATAATAATTAATATTATAAATTATTTTTTACAAAATTTCAGCATAATCAATTATTTATGAAGTTTCGCTAAATTACTAACCAATATATAAAATTATTTTTAATAGTTATAATTTAATTAACATTAACTAATGTACCATTAATTTTTTAAAAAATAAGCAAAACTAAGAATTCAAATTGCAGCATGTTTGTATTTCTATATTTTACTATATCTTACTCTTTTTCAGTTATTTATATTTTGATGTATTTAACTGGGAAAAAAAAAATTGCTTCTCTATCTAAAACTTGCATACATATTTATGAAGTTGATGGATAACATATTTGATAATTTTAAATGTACTTATAAAGACAAAAATATTATTATAAAATTGATAATTATCCTTTCACATTGTGCTCAGCAGAATTCAGTAACTAAATCTTAAACATATTTTATACTTAAAGTTAAACATATTGAAGTAATCAAATTTTACTTTATTGTTATTAAGATATATCCAAATATATAAATTTAATATAATATGAAAATAGAATTATTAAATATTATCTAATATATTAAACAAAGTGTAAGAAGAGATTAATTACAACAAACACTAAGGTGCTATTTTATGTGATCTATTTTTGTGTTTCATTTTTACATAATTAACAAATTTTATTTTAGATACTTAACAACCTAATGCTTATAATAATACATAAATATATATATATTTTTAATTCAAGTGTTGAAGTATATTTGTATTTAAGTTAAAATCTTTAAAATATATTTATATAATATTTTAATAATTGTTAGTATTTTATGGTTAGTGTGATCAAGCTGTATTATCTATAACAGATAACATACTAATGTTGGGTTAGTTACTTACATAATCATTAGTATTTTATATTTAGAATAAAAATCTTTTGATCCCCAGATAAAAAAACCTCAACCCTATTTAGTTTTTGGTCAATCAAATATTGATATTTAGCATGTTGGCTAAACTTTTGTACTAAAAATATTCAATTTATTTAAACTCTAGTAAGTTTTAGGGGAATAGTTGCTGTCTGTTAAATAATATATACTTTAATTATTAATAACATTAAAACTGTTTTAAATATATCATATAAAATGAAATCAGTTAGCATGTTAATATGTTAGCCACAACAAAAGTATGTTGAAATAGTATTTCCTAATATTATTAGGTATTATTGACAAAATTGTTCAATAAATCGCAACAAATTTATTAATTGAATAAATATTTACAACTATACATTGTTATAACTATATATACCTACTGTTAACTATTACGCTTGGTAATATTTTTAGGGATTTGTTTCCATTTTTGGTGATTTTTATTATTTTGGAGGAATTTTGATTCTCTGTATTATATAAAAACTTAATTTACAGTAAGCAAATTTTAATAAAATGTATGGGAAGAAAGATATCAATGAAGCAGCTGCCCATTATTAGTGGCACCCCGAAAAGCATATTTTTAAAAAGAAAGCAGGTAGAGGCCTACTTTTTATAGACATCGGTTCATTTTCATGCTTCTGGATGAGTGGAGAATTTTTTTGTAGGAGAGAGACAAGTTTTCTAACACCAGGTAATCACAAAGATTGTGATGCAAAAGACTCTTTTGTTAACATATTAAGGGGTTGTTGTAATTTTCATAGGCATATTGATTACAATGCTTACGATTTTAGTGTTTGATGGCTTAACCGAGTCCCACAGTAGAATTCTATAATGCTACAACTGAATTAAATACAGTATTTAGTTCAGTAAATACCACACGGGTTTCAGCATTGCGATATAGATTGTACATTTTATTTTTCATTGTGAATTTCGAGCGAAGTATAGGAGGTTTGAGTAAATGAAGTAACTAGTCAAGAGAATTATGCCTGGTGTACAAACTAATTAATTTAAAAATATTTTTGAATAATATATAACTTTTATTCAAACAACAGAGAAAAATACATATAAAATATGCTTATTATTGTATAATTATAATGTATACATTTAAGTAATAATTATTTTTATAAATTTCTATTACCAAAATCTCTATCTAATTTACAATTTTTAATTATTTTATCAAACATAGATAGATAATAAACACTTACTAATCTTAATATGCCAGTACAAAAAACCTGAAATTAATATAAAAGAATGTATAAGTAAATTAATAACCTGATAATATTTTAAATTAATAATTTCCTAGTATTTTTATTACCTGGCATATTAATTCCAAATAAGTAGTGTATGGAGCCATCCCAGCACAAGATACAGTCATCAAATAACCCTCTAAACCAACAGTGCTAAAGAAATGCCCATCCTAAAAATTGTAAAATATAATTTTAAAATATGGAAATTTTAAGAAAATTATTAAGATTTTCAATTACTAATGCATCTTGAAGAATTTTACTTCCTACTTCTTCTGGTGTAAACAATTTGGCTGTCTCCGAAATCAAAAATGTTTCTAAGGGTTTACCTTTATTTTCATTAGCATATCCTGGAGTGTCTGTATCTGGAGGTAAAGCTAATGTTATTTTCACTCCATAGTTCTTTGTCTACATGTATACAAATATTAAAATCCAGAAATTATTATTATTAAGTAGTGTTTCTTAGACACATATTATTTACTTCCATGCTTAATGCTTCAGCAAAACCTCTTAATCCAAATTTTGTTGCACTGTATACACTTAAACCAAAAATACCACAGAAAGATGCTAGTGATGAAGTAATTACAATGCTTCCATAACCATTATGTTTCATATCATTAATTACTGCTTTAGTTGCTTGGATCGTAGATATTAAATTTGTATTGATCATTTGCTATAAAGTATAATATAATCATACATTATTTATTTACTATTACTCAACTACTCAAGTTTTCTATACCTATTACCATTATATCAGAAGAAGAGTTGCATTCTAGTGTTCCACAAATTGCCATACCAGCACAATTAACAAACATATATAATGGACCCATTTCTCGGATTGCATTGTCAAATGATTTTTTCACAATGTCATAATCACCAGCTAAGTCCACTAAAAATACAATAATTTAGAAACTAGTATTATTATATAAATTATCTAATAATGCTTAGTAATATAATATACCTAGGTAATAAGCAAGAATCTTTTTTTATTACACTTAAAAATATCAAAAAGGTACTAAAAATATATTTAAAAATGAAAAATGGTAAGAGTTTAAATGTCCTCCCTCTAGACATTAACTTATTAAATACAATTTTCAAACACTATAAAAATAATTAGTAATTTTTTTTTTATAACATGTACAATTTTAATGTTAAAAAACTGTATTTAACAAAAGTGGGACTTTAAATCCTATCATTCTTGTTATTTTTTTAATTTATTTTAAGTGTTTATTTTAATTAAATCAATTTTAATTACTTTTTACTGGATTTTAAATATGGACAATATATAAGTTCTGATTCCTAGTTATAAATTATTATTAAAAGCATTTAACATCCATAATACCAGATAAATAGTTGAATTTTTGATTGTGATTTAAACATTGTGCTTTAATATTTTCTAATGCTGACTGAAGTTTGTTTTTATTTCTTGCAACAATTGTTACATTTGCTCCTATTTTGGCTGCTTCTATAGCAATACATTTACCAATACCACTTGAACCACCTGTGACCTAGACAAATTAATCTAAATAAATATGTAATTTATCGTAGGAAATTGATATGACTTACCATAACATGACAACCCAGTAAATTAAATTGTTTAGCTTTAAATTTTTGTTTAAATAATATAATTAAAATAAATAATAAAATTATGATAGAAGTTATTGTTGCAAACATTATATGCTTTGGAAGTGTCTTCGATTTTATAGAAGGTTGTAATTAATAATGAAATAGAAATATAAAAAGATAAAATACTATTTTAGACATAAGTAGGTTAGTAAATTAGCAAGCATAATTAAGATTAACCAAAATAAAAATTATAAAATATGTCAAAACGTTTTAGAAAATATACTTAACATTCGCCTAATCGTGTTCAAGTATTAGTTATTTCATACTTCTCATAGTTTTAATTTGAATAATTAGATATTTAAATTTCAAAAATCAAAATTAATTTATAATTTTTTTTTTTTAAATTTCCGTCCAAATATTATCAGTATCAGTATGGCCAATGTAATCAGTACAAGCAATAACTCCAAAAAAAAAATAAATATATCAAACAAATAAAAGGGGAAAAAAAACTAAAAAAATCCCAAAAACAACCACACTGTTTGCAATAATAATATTTAAAATAGTTTATTGACATACTTCAATTTTATTTATATGTATAAATTATCGTCTAATCATTGTTATCCGTTAGGTTTTTTAGTCTATAAATTAAAAACGAAACAACAAACATTCCACAAAAATAATTTGTTGAATATAACTATGTTATCTACTCACAAGAGAAAACCGCATAACTATAATGTATAGTTGTCATTATCCTTATGCTATAATCTATCTATTTACTTATTCTAAAATCGATTTTTTTGAGCAATAAATTGTGGAATTGGATTTTTTTTTTGGCAACAGTATCCAATACACGCAATCAAATTACTGACTAATATGATGAATATTTATTTTTTAAATAATTTATTATTATTTTTGATAGCTGTATAGTCGTATTGCTGCTATCATTAAAAGAAGTGAAAATAGATCATAGAATTCGTGAGACACTACCATGAATTAAGATTACATAATATTATAATGTAAAGCTGAGCAATTTAATTGTTGAAGCTAATTGCACCACAAAGTTTCTATTGAAGAAAAAAAGGTAATATAGAATACGGAACAGTCTTATCAATATTTTTCTGAGTCCGCCCGCTTCTCGCTGTTTGGAATGACAACTAGCGCTTTAAGACAAAATTGGTAAAAAAATCAACTAAAACCAGTTTAAAGTTTAGACTGGTGGAGTAGGTATGTAATAAATTGACATAGCTTATAAAGAGTACGCTAGATGGTGTTAGTGCCCGTGCCAATGGCGGCGCTAGGTTTTGTGGGGCCCTGGGCAATGCTTTATTACAGTGGTGACTGTAGTATAACCATTGATTATTTATATAATATTTATAATCAATGGTATAACTAATTATTGTATACCTATTTAATAATAATCTGCGGGGCCCATGAAAACCAAAATGAGCGCCGGACCCAGGACATATATTTCATTTGTCATCCCCTAATGCCGGCACCGGGTGTCTGGACCTTGCTAAAAGTGTGAAGGTTCGAACTTCACTTATTGCACGTTAGATATTATGTACATTATCTTAATTCGTGGACGCTATTTACCGCGGCAGGTGTAAACCATAATCCAACAAAATGTCATTCGACAAAAAACCATCATACAGGACTACCAACAGAATATTTTGCTACACATTTGATAAATATCATCAAAAACTCATGCTACATAAAACCTCGTGAATACGTGACAAAAGATCAATCAAAAATTAATATATATTATATTCGGGTTATAATACTTTACTTAAATTTTTTCGATAGTCACCGAAATTAATTCACAATTATCAAGGTGAATTATGTTTATATTGTTAGAATTGAAATATAATATTTTTTATTATAAAATGTAAAATTTTTGAATGGGATAAACTCAAAAATATGAGTTTACTGTGTAATTTGTTGTATTCAATTTGTATTTATTTTACTATAATATGACATATGTATACCAAATGTATAAAATGTAATGTTGAAAAATCAATCCTATTAACGAGCTCCACTCAGAATCCCTTTTATATCTTAGACTCACCTATGATCAATAGGGTATGGAGGAGGGACTGGTACAGTGCACCCTCTGATAACTTTGAACCCGATAAGAAACTGGTAGAGTGTACGTATGTGAAACATAAAAACCTGCACTAAATGTGCCCCAATATTCCATATGGAACATAAAAATGTACACTAGTGCAGTCAGGTGGAAAACGCTATAAATCATCATAAAGCCACGGTGACACCCATAGACTTGATAATATAGATTTATAGGTTTATGGTGACACCAAATATAGTATACTGCTTAAGTATAGCCACCCGATTTAAACCATCCGATATAATACAATAATTTTTAAAACACGTACAACTTGGAATTCTACTGCGCATGTGCGTAGTGCAACGAATCCAGTCGAACAGCGCAGTCGTGGAAGACCACGCAAGTTACATTTTTGCTCCGTCTATTAGTATAATGTCTATGGATGAATCGATTTCATAACAACGCGAACTGCAAGAGCTTAAAAAGTATTATTTTCTTATCAATACAATATTAGTAACTATTTCAGTGTAATTATTTGATTTGTAGATGACAAAATATAAAAGTATTTTAAAATTAGTTTGTTTTAAATACATTTAAGTTGTAACGCGGATGATAAATAGTTTTGTGACAATACATACTGGTCAGTCGTTGTAGTTATTCGGGCACGAAAGTATATTGTGTAAGTTAGTTTGTCAAGCAACAAATAATTTTTGACTATATTTATTATCTACCTATATACCTAACAATGGAAAGTGCATCGAGACCTAATGAAAGTCTTGCCGATAGCCGTTATTTTTGCCACCATTGTGATGCCGAAATTGGAACCGTAACTGATGTAAGCTTTTGTACTACTTGTGTTTTCAAATTAAGTGATTAATTTATAACTATTAATACTTAATAATTTTATTCTAGGATTTTACGTGCCCAACTTGCAACATGGGATTTATTGAAAAAGTTGAACAGACTACTGATGAACCAGATGATGATGATATGGAATTTGGAAACCCACACTTTACGGTATGACAAATTACACTATTCTGTTTTAATAATTTGTTGATAGCACTTGTTATAAATTTTTGATTTGATTTTAGTCGGTTTTAAAATAATGACTACAGACTAAACTATGTTAATTATTAACATTATTAGACATTTTCGCCAAAATATAATTTATATTTCAATAATTTTAATTTGTATAGCACATCACACCAACTTCAGTTAATTATTCAAATTAATAATATTTATTTATTTATTTTTAGTAATTTATTTTAAATTAATTTTAAAGTAGGTTCTGAACTAATTTTGTATCATATAATATTATACAATACATAATAAATATGTAATCAAACCATTTAAAAATGTATTTAAATGTTAACTTGACTAAACATTTTTGATAAGTATCTATAGAAGAACTTGAAATATTAATAATAAGATTTATGTTATTAAGTACCTATGAATACTAATAAATGTAGTTATGTAATCGTGTTAAAATTATTAAATATGTCATTTAGAGGTTGTCACAGTAGAATTTGATATCTATATCTTTCTGACAGTCAATAGAGCATAAATGTGTTCACATAAAACTTAAAGGGTCTTAAAATAAGTTTTAGAAATAAGCTAATAAGCTATAAAATGTATAACTTAATATTTCAAAGATAAATTCACCTTGATTATTGAAATATTAATTATTTAAACAATTTGAACTACAACTTTTTGTAGCATTGATAATCTTTTAAATATTTAGATAATTGTGAAATGCTAACAAGAATATATTCAAAATGTCATCTATACATTTTATAATAGGTCTTTTTATCCTAAACGGCAAATTATAAAGACCATTTTGTTTGTTTTATGTAAACACATTTTTACTTTATTGCCTGTTAAAAAAAGAAGACATGGCATATGCCACTGTGATGAACTTTTATAGTTATAGTTTTAATATATTATGTATGTAATTGTATAATTTTTTTATTGATAAATCTCCCAAAAATTTGCAACAATTAATCATTATCAGGTACTTTAACAAAATTATTTTTTTTTAAATCCTCTATCCAATATCTTATAAATTGTATACAATTGCAAGTATAGCAATTTCTATTTTTATTCCAAACTGTATTCATGATTAAATTATAAAAGGTATTTTTTATTATTTCTACTGTTTACAAAGTTATCATCCTTATTTCCTTTATTTGGTAGTCATAATAAGAGTTTTTTCATTAATATACTTTTTATGTTCATATTATGAAATTGTATTATTTTGAATCAAATGTTTAGGTGAATGATTTATTAGGAGAGATTGACGGTGGAAGACGAAGGTCTAATATTCGTCGTCGAAGATTTACAACAAGAGCTCCACATGTAATGACACTTCAACCTGGAAGGTAAACTAAAAAACTGTATTAGGTACATTTATAAGAAAATAAAACTGAATTTTATTACATAGCCAATGATAATAATTATTAAAATGTTTACTATATATTTTTTAGATAATATTCAACACAGATTTCTCTTAGTATTTATATACAATGGGTGTGCTTTTACAACTCACTTTGGGGGCCCAAAGTGAGTCTTACAACCAAGTGAACCTTATATGGATAAGGTTACTCTTAGATAAGTAACCTTTAAGCAAAGTGGAGAAAGGATAGAATGTATTTGAATATGTTTGGGCCGTTAGTCCAAGTGATTTTGAGTCTAATAAGCGACTGAATCTTATAAGCGGCATTTACTATATATAATAGTGAATAGTATCTGTATAGTGGATACTCTTCATCATTGAAATTTTGTATGCTATTCAGAAGGGATAAATGTTATACACCTACATATAAGACTATAAAAAATTAGCTATAATTGCAGTTTAGCTATCAAGCATTTTTTTCAAATATTTTTGAAATCTAGGTAAAAAAAAGACATTCTAGGATAATGGAGACGGGTGTAGCCACTGTTATAGGTAATTTAACATATGTCTGTAAGCAACGATAAACCATTGCTAACGAAAAACAATTCTGTAGTTCAATTGATAGTGATGCTTTGTCAATAATATATATTTCATATTATGGTAAAATAATTAAATAGGCATTATGTATTTTTTTTAATACTATTTGTTTAATAGTGTATCGTATTTCTTTTCAAACCCTGAGTTTTAACCTGTGACTTCTAGTATGACAAAACATATCTTCATGACCATTCGACTACAACAAACATATAATCAAGTAGACAATATAGAGTTATTTAACATTAACATGAAATATCAGCATAATATCTGAACTTTAAAAAGCTATAATTTTGAAACTTAGTTAGTCAATTCTAACTTTACCATCCTTCTTAATCAACAATACACATATGTTCAAAAAAAAAAAAAATTGAAAAATTTGATTTGTTCCACATAATTTTTTACTCAAACTATTTTTGTTAAAATTTAGTATTAAAATTCCTTTATAAAAACAAATACTACATTAAACTCAATCTTTCTTTTCTTTTTTTTACCACAAAATAAGATTTAATGAACCTAAATGACCACAAATTAAGACTCTTAATAAACCTCCTGTTAAATTTTCAAGCATTCTTAAAAACTTAACCACAATACCTACCAAATAAAAATTACGTACAAAATTCCCAAAATTTAAATGTCTATGATTAACTTAAAAATGTCTTAAATTTTTTTGAAAATTTTACCACATCTAGAAAAGGCAAATATAAGTTCTCTGTCCTAATTTCAAGTTTCTACAAATATTTTAAACTGAATTACAACAAATAACAAAATTTATAAAATAATAAAAGTATTAATTTTGTACATTTTCCATTTTTCTTAAGTTTTATCCTGGTTTTTCCCAGATATTATGAAAACTGCTTGGAAAATCAAAAAATGAGCTCCCAAAAGTATCATCTGGACAAAATTCCCTTTCATAAATGGTGCCGCGCGTATATTTCTGAGCAAGAATTATGGTCAAATTTGTTTACACAGGAAAAAAAAATAAACATCTTAGTAAATCCAAAATGTTTCAAAAATGATGGCTTAAATGCAAATTAGAGTTGATCATTAGTTCTGACGTTTATTATTTTTATGGATATTATGTGTATTATATTAAATTTTTAGTATTACAATTTTCTGGTGTTATTTATATGACATGGTTTTGCACAACAAATCTCATGTTATTTTTTTTAATAAAACAGTCGAGTGAGTGCTGAGAGTAAGTTACCATGCCACCACTCTAGGTGCATCTAAAATTCTTTTGATTTTTCCCTGTTACTTACTCGATGTCGTTTTGAACAAAAAATTGAGGGTCTTTGTTTTTATTAAAACAGTAATAAACTTGTTAAACAATTTCAAATTGTTATTATTATTTGGGGTACTAATTAAAACATAGTGGCAAAAGAATGCAAAAAAAAGGAATAGAGATTCGGGTTTGAATTCTAGAGTTCTAAAATGGTAATAGGTACACATCATCACTAGGTTGCGACAACCAACCTCAAAAAATTGACAATTTTCATATGAATAATTATCAGCCTCAATCTTTGTTTGCACCATCATTTTTAAAATGTTAATTTACCCAGGTTTAGAAAAAAAAAAACATAAAATATTGCTTGGTAGTTGAACTGCAATTGTTCCAGAAATTGATCAGGTACATCAGTAAATATTTAATTTGATAAAAATTAAGTAGTTTTGTAAATTTCATTTTTATTTCACATGATATCTGCAATAAGAGATTTTCCAACTATGTTTCCATTATTTTGACAGAATCCAATAGTTAACATTTTTTTTTTTTTGCGAAGCGATAATCTCTTGCATTCACATTTATTTAATATAAAACTAGTTACTAACTTACAAAACAGATGAAACATGGGTAATCAAGACATTGATATTTTCGTCATAATCGTCGCAATTTTATCTTATTGTTCAATAACGAGTTCATTATCATTATTTATTTTATTTATATCTAGGATGAGCATGTTTTGCTGTCGTTCTTTTGTCAATATTTTTAAATTAAGATTACTTTAGGTGTATGCTTTTAGGAAGTTTCCTTAGGGAAGGTTTTACTGTTTATATATGAATGCATGAGAATTAATGTTCATTGTTTCAGAGGTCCAAGGCGTAGTTCAGGCGGGACAATTGAAAATTTAGTTGAAGATGTCATAGTAAATTTTGCTGATTATGCACGATCGGGTGGAAGCCCAGTGTAAGATATGTGTTATCAATTTTGTAGTAAATTATACTTTCATGTTAATTATTTATTTCAGCAGTAGATTTTTACTCGGTAACCCTGGTGACTATGTTTGGGGAAGAGATGGATTGGATTCTATTGTGTCACAGTTATTAAATCAGATAGATGGAGCTGGACCTCCTCCGTTAACTAAAGAAAAAATAGAAGAAATTCCTACAACACTTATTTCACAGGAGCAATTAGGTAAAAAAAATACATTTTATACATATAATTGTTATTAATCTATTAAAATAATTACATACTTAAGTAGTAGGATTAAAAAGTTCCTAGAATTCTTATTTAATTTTGTGTATACCTATAAAATTTGAAAATAAATAAAATTACTAGAGGTATCATTATTCAGTACTTACTCCAATGAATTTGTAACTGTTGGCAACATCTTTGATAATGCTCTTTTGTGTGAAAAGAAAATATAACTTGTTCAATAAAAGGACATAGAGAGCTAGAAAAATTAATCTAAGGGTTATTGATGATAATAAGAACATTCTTTTGAAATGGTCCGGAGAGTATATTATTGGTTAGAATGTCTTCAATCAATAAAAAAAACATTCACCTTTGAGTCCAAATTTCAGATTCTTAAATAACTAGAAGCAGTTGCGTGGCGCACACTTATTTTAAGGGAAATTGCTTCTGAGATTTTTTAAATATATAGGGATTTATATTTGACTTAATAATCAAATGATGATAAAAATGGCTATAAAATGTGCTAATAAAATTTGTTTTTTATGATTATTATTTTCTTTATGACCAAATGGCCCTTACTTTTTGAATATACCTCCTAATAAATAATATTATGTATTCACTATCACTATTCAGTTTTTATTGATTAAACTACACCCATATGGTTTGAGGGCTAAAGTCACAACAATTCATGCAGAATCCATTATTTTTGGTTTGGACAGTTTGATGTAAACATTTTACAATTTTTCGGTTAAATATATATTATATGAATGGATTTGGAAAATATATAAGCCTCAATTTCCAACTTATTTGTGTCTATGGTCTTTAAAAAAAATTCAAGCAGTGGGATTTATTTTAAGTTTTGAATATGATTGGTATCTCACTAAAATATTTGTGCTTCTAAAATGCTTAGTTTGCCACGCCATTGATCAGAAATCATATGTGGGAAAAGATCCAGGGAATTTCCTTGCCCCCTCACCCTCAATTTAGTTTTTTTTGAAAAAAAAAATTCATCGTTAAATTACCTATCAACTAGATGAAATTTTATTTTTAGAAAAAGTGCTACACTTGAAAATGAGAATAAGATTTCTGGTAGAAATTTTGTTCACAGTATAAAAACAAAATATTAATAAACATCATTCTAAAACCAAAATATTCCAAGCAAACTTAGGTTTCTAAAGGTTTCTTAGGTAATCTAAAGTATTACAGCGATAAAGTTAGTAAGTTATATAACTTGGTTTCTGTATTTTTATTAAATATTTATTTTGCCCCACCTGAAATCTATTAGCATCCATGGATCTATTTATCTACCACAGTATGGTACCTATCCAGCGTTCCAACTAGAGTTGAATATTAATTATTATAATGAACTCAAATGTTCTCTACCTTACTTCAATTTTAGGTGTAGACCATGATGTCTTCAATAAATATTTAAATATAATTGATCATTCCATTATGTATAACCTAAATGATGTTAATATTGCCATTAATGATTTTTATAATGTAATTAGTGAAGCGGTAAGTTTATTCATTTTAAAAAAAAAAGAAAAACCTCTAAACCTTTTTATTTACCTTTTGAATTTTATAAAAGTTATATAATTTAATTTTAAAGAAAAATAAGTTTCATGCGCTACAAAAATTGTTAATATTATGAAATATTTTCTAAATTAAAATCTACTTGTAAATTACTATCGCAACATTGTTATGCTTTTTATGTAAATAAAAAAACAATCTGACTTTACTAACAATCCTAAAGAATTTTGAAAATTTGTTAAAGATAAAAAACATTATAATTCTTTGCCTAGTAACCTGCATTTAAATGGACAATACTTAGATGATTTAGAAATTATTACTAACAATTGTAAATCATTGTTTGCTTTATTTCAACCTACTCATTATCTACTCCGAAAAATTCATTAACTTCCGTTATACCCGCAAAGTTAAGTTAGTAAACTTTCATTGACGTTACTGGTGATATAGTCAATCTGTTTTCCTGCTCTCTATCGATTTCTGAAATATTTGAAGGACTTACCTCAATAAAACCTGATATAAAGATTTATATATAGACGTTAGATGTATAAGCACTGAGGTATAATTTATAATATTTATATTTTGTATTAGTTTTTAACCCTTACACATACATTATTTCATTGTTTTAATCTGTCATACATTTTCACATTTATAATTTAGTTATTACTGTTATTTTATTAATTATCTGTAATATTATTGTACTTATGCCCAAAAAGCTTTATCCTTTTTTGTAATTTCTTTACAATAAGATGATTATTGTTATTATTATTATAACTATTTTAATTCCTCTAATTATTTTATTTTATTTAGATAGTTAAGTCCAAAACAAGTAAATAGATGAATATAATTGTATAAGAAATATAATTAGTAAATTTACTTGAAAGAAGGGTCCGCATTGATGGCACACATAAGACAAGAAATTGAAGAGTTAGAAGAATAATTAGTAGATGGCAGAAAGATAAGGAAAGGTGGGGAAGAGTAGATATGACAGAGGAATCTTAAAAGAAAGTTGTTATAATTAAGAAAGTGAATCAATTTTACCCAAAATGAGATTAGAGAGGAAAAAGAGGTTAAAAAAAATTATATAGTTCATAAATGATATGGTTAGTTATTTAAAAATAAATTCCAGAAACTTTTCTCTATGAAATAGATTTTATTTATCCTGTAGTGTATTACTCAGAATTTTAAACATATTTTTTTAAATTTATTATTTAGATTTAAAACTGCAATGTTCTGTTTGTTGGGAAGATTTTAAAATTGATGAAAAAGTTATGAAGTTAGTCTGTGATCATATGTTTCATAAAGAATGCATTGTACCTTGGCTAGAATTGGTAAGTATTTTATTAAATTTAGTTAGCTATTATATGGTTAGTTTACTTATATTTATTTTATAATTATAATTTGTGTCTAAATGTAATTTTTTTTAGCATGGTACATGCCCAATTTGCCGTAAATATTTAGCTGATGAGGGACTAAATTCAATGAATACGGATCCACTAGGTATCAGCTTGGGCGTTGGACCAAATTTAGCGGCATTAATAAGGTTTGTTTAATATTTTATATTAAAAAAAAATAATATTAATTATTAATTTAATTAATTTAACTCTAATCTATTAAAATTTGTATTATTTTGTTTTGATTGCTTAATATCAACTTGTTAAAAAATAATATTTATTTTCGCATATTATTACAGGGCACGTGGGCAGCGTAATAATGATTCGATATGGGGAATAAATGAGTATGATTTAGCTTCTACTTCATCTGACTGGCCTGCACAAATTGGTATTAGTTTACCTCATCCAATTACATCTTCATCATCATCTACTCAGACTTCAACAGGACCGGGTATGTCCACTTATTCATCTGTAGCAGCTAGAAACTTACGTGACCAACGATTGTCATCATCATCTGCTAATGTCGAACCTATGGAAACAGATCACGATCAAAATCTTCCTGCCGTGAACAATACAAATAATTCCTAGTCTTTTGTAGTATACGCTACATGATATGAACGCTGTATTTAATGCGAGTGTACTGTTTAGTATATAAACATAAAATACATATATTAAAACACATAACCATCAATTTTTTGTTTAACTATTATTGAATGTTAAATAATTACAATAATCAATAATTATTATTATTTAATTTACTTAATTTACTGATAGTTAGTTTATTAAAGGTTTTTCCCTATATATATATATATATATATATATATGAATTCCTTAAATTTATATTTATAATTTGAATGTCTTTTCGATTGCACTGTTTTAAATCATCAGTCTCAATTGTAGTTTGTGTTCCGTCAAATGCTTTTAATGTGAATAAATGTTATTCTAAACATTATAATGCTTGTTTACTATCTAAATGATAATTTCAATTTTATCTATTAATTATCAAAATGGATATGACATTTATTTTCCATTTTATAAAACATTTTTTTAGATCATATTTATTTATATTATACTCATAGATGCAAAACTTGTTTTTGATAAATTAGTTATTTATATTTACGCTTTTAATATATAATAAGATAAAATTTAGTTAAAGTATGTGTGAACTTTTAAAATTGATATAGTTTTAGACTGTTTTTTTACAGTGAAATGAATCATAATTTTTGTGTTTTATAAATATTTAATAGATACATAAAAAAAATATAGAACTTCAAATTTGCTGTAGTTGGTTTATATTTTAATTAATAATAACTTAAAAATAATTCAAATTATACTATGGTTTTTAAATCTACACTGTATTGTGTACATATTTTATTGGTGAGAACTTTGTATCTAATGTCATTAGATGCAATTTTTTTTTTAAATTTAATACGTAATTATTATACTAAAGTGTATTTTACTAAAAATAAATTCACCTGATTTCTATTAAGAAATAGAATTTTTAATCCTACATTGTTTGAATTTAAACACTCGCTTATATAGATTGAATTGTTTCAGAATTTAATAAACTATACTTGATTATTTTACTATAACATTTAATTTTTTAAACTTCTTAAATCACAAGTTTCAAATAAAATAATTATTAACGAAAAATTTATGGAGAAGTAAATTCTAAAAATATAATAATAAATAGTTATTTAAATATTTATATTTATTACTTTTGTACAATGCATAATATTTATTTTATAGTTTTATTTAATCATTAGAATCATTCTTCTTGAGTTAAAACAAACTGAAATTATAATAAAATATTATTTCCGATTAAAAATAAAGCAAAGAAGTATTATTTTTTACATTCAATATTACAATGACATACATGACTTAGTGTTATTACAATAAAGTAAAACTTTAAATGTATAATAATAAAAATGAATACATTTTAATACCTATATTTCTTTCCTAATCAACCTCTCTAAAAATAGACTTACTATGTGATATTCTCAGATAATCTCATAAATTAACTTGTCACACGCCTTTGGATCATCGCGTATGTGTACCAAAATTTGTACACTTGTAATGTTGCACTAATGCACTAACATAGTCGTGTAGTAAATTGTTTGATCGTGTATTATAGATTAAAAATAAAATAGGTAGAATATTAACATTTTTAATAGAAAAAACAATATGTTTTGTTTTATTCAAATTTAATTCAAGTAAGTTATTATCAAATCATGATTAAGTTGAGCTAATAACATTCGCTTTAGTATACAGTATGTTCATGCTAAATATTTCAATTGGATGACCTAGTATTGAAATAAAATTTTCGCAGAATGATAAGGAGTACCCAAATACATATTTTTAGACAAATTTCAAATTTTTAACCATTTTAGTACACTTATGCACAATACAACTTACTTTTATTTAAATGAAAACATCGTTTTTTTTTTATTACAGATTTGGATAGAGGATTTATTTTTTTTTAAAATTGGCAAAGTTACACTATGCTAAAATTTAGTATTTACGAATAATCTGTCAATAATTCGTCAATTACAATTGACGAAATTTTAACTATGTTCAACTTTTACACTAGAATATCGAAATGATGATATCTTCGATATTATAAAATACCTGTTAATAAGCAGATAAGACACAAATAAATACTTCAATTTTTTTATGGGAACATATAAAAAATATTATATATGTAGATCCCTCTAATAAATGTCCAAGATTTAAAAAACAAATTACGAGTAGCATGTAATAATTTGAAAGGAAACCAAATAAACACTGCAATTTCAAGAGAATTTTTAAAGCATTAGTAATCATGTTTGGAACACCAAGACGGAAACTTTTGAACAATTTATTTGATAAAACTATAGTTGCAAATATATAAATCTTAATTTCAAATTCATAGTGTATACATTTTTATAATTTTTATTACCTTCAATTTATTTCGCAAGAATAAATCATAAAAATAAGATTAAATTACGAAAACAAAAAAGTATTTATGTTGTGTCTTATATATACAAACAGGTATTTCAAAATATTAGAAATATCATTTCGATTTTCAAGTTTAAGTTGAATATAGTTAAAAATTTGTCAATAATAGATTATTCGTAAATATTAAATTTTAAAATACTATAAATTTGCCAATTTTGTAATTAGAAAGAACTTTTTATAGAAAAATTGTTTTTAAAAATAACACTCCAAATCTGTAAAAAAAATGATGTTTCTATTCAAAAAAAGCAAATTGTATTGCGCATGCGCGTACCAAAACGAGTTAAACATTTTAAATTTGCCTTAAAATGTGTAATTGGGTACTCCCTATCATTCCATTTTAATACTAGGCCATCCAACTGAAATATTTAGTGGTACCTCTTAACGTAAACGTACTGTGTTCTAGATTATTATCATGAAAAAGAATTACTGTGGTGCTATCCATAAACAAGTTAATATGCCTATGGTGTCAACACCAAAATAAATTATTTCTGCAAATTATTGAGCAAACCGTTTAAATACAGGATAAAGAAAACCAAGCGCTGTTTAATGAATAACTGATAAGGGTTGACAGCTCATCAATCATTTTGACTATTTGGTATCTATCACTAAGATATGACCTTATCACAATACCTCGAATCTCAGCATAATTCAATTTTTTAAAAGTAATAGCTTATGATTAACACAGTCAAACACCTTCTTAATATCACAGAAAATCGCCATTACTTTATCATTTTGATCTAATTTTCCATGTATGCATTTATTAATAATAAAATAAGCATCATTCATACATTTTCCCTTTAAGAACCCAAAGTGATTTTTCGAGAAAAACGAGTTTTTATCTAGAAAATCCAAAATTCATTTTTAATTCATTTTTGATAAGCTTAGGATAGTGTAATTGGCCTATAGTTACTACAATCTAATTGAGTATCTCCTTGTTTATGAATAGTACTCCAGGCTTTGTTTTGTTCTTTTTCTTATAATTAATTTCAGATTCTGAGTGGAACGAGGAATATATATTGGTTTTATAATGATTTTTTTTTTTTATGTGAACACTTTTTCTACCAGAAAGTATACTCCGATTAACAAGTATAGCACTTTTCTGAAAGGAAATGTTCTTTGATTGGTACTTTAGAGAGGTTATTTCAATTGAACTGTGCTCAGAATCATTTTTTTGTAAGCAGTGGTTTATCGTTGCTTATAAGTTTAAATTGGAGTGAAATTGCTGGTATAAGTTGTGCACAGGAAAGAAAATCGTAATATTTTAGTAATATATTTTGTACATTTTAACTATTTTTTCTTTCGGTTTTTTAAGTTTGAAGAGAAAATGGAAAAGAGACCTCCCTAATGTACCTCTCCAAGCCGATTTTCTTTCAGAAAATTCCACTCAGAATCTAAAAAAGGTTTAATTAAAATAAAAGTATTGATAAAACACATTGACCTATAGGCTATAGTTTAAAGGTTCATGGTATAACAGGGAGTAGTAATACGACCAACGACGAGGTTCTAGATTTTGATATCTAAGTGATACCCAACGCCTGGATAACAGATCAAAGTGGACGTATGGCGTACAACTTTATGGTGGAATATATTTGAAATCTCTATCATATAGAAATATGGAAAAAATTTTTCTATGTAACACGAGTATATTTAAGTGACAGTTAGTTAAATAGAAAGAATAGTTTTTATCAAATGTTGAAGAGCGCCGGCCGAAAATGTGTTCCAATGTATCTATAAATAGTGTCTGTAAAGTTTGAGGTCGATTGAACTTAATTAATACGTGGCGACTTAAGCTTATAGTTTTATTAAAGAAAATATATAATGCAGCTCATGCGTTCACATCCAGCTGATGACACGAATATTGCTATAGCAACGAAGCATAATTTATATGTTTCCGAAAATGCTATTTCATATTCCTTAAGAAAGTTATGAAATTGGAAAACGTCTTTAATTTTTAAATTATTTTTTGTTTCATAACGCTTCGTGGACTTTTTTAATATTTTTAATTTTGATTTTAGGCATTCTTTGTCACCTAAATAAACTTGTGCAAAAAGAAGTATGGTGTCCCATGTTAAAAATGTTAAAAATTCTGGATTAAGAGCACTTATTCTGCTAATTATATCAGAATTATCACCAAATCTCTTATCTAGCTCATTTGTTATTTTGTCAAAATACAATAGAATATTCCAGATATAAATTAATTTTCTTCTATCAGTACTTATATTTCCATAATTCTATTTTCATACACACATTTTTCTAAACCTTTTGGTATTTTTTATTCTTTGTAGTTTAATTTTAGCAAACGGATGTCTAATATTACAATTTTTTTAAATATTTGTTGCTTCATTAAAAATAATTTGCGTTTTTCAGGATTTTTCAATTCCAAAAAGTATTTTTTGTGGATTCCATTAATATAATACTATTAGCCATGTCAGCTTTAAAATCTTGTAAGTAGTTATTCAATATTTGTATTTGAGATAGAATATATCAAATACCAATAATAAAGAAACAAATTTGAAATCATTTTTTCTTAATAGTCCTTCAGCTTCAAGAGAACGATCTTTATTTCTTGAAAATGATAATTTATTTAATAGCAACAAAATAATTTCAAAAGTGCTTCTTGTAGCTTTACAACAATAAACTTGCCTAAGACTATATTGTTAGGCATAGACGTTTTAATTTTACTGATTTTTTGGTATTATATACCTCTTTTTGTAATATAATACATTTTAAATGAACGACAGAACTATAAAAAAAAACATATAATTCTTGTAACAAAATAAAGAATAAATCAGCTTCAACTATATTTTTTTCAATATCAATTATATAAAATATATTATATAAAAAACAAGGCTCTTACTAATCTAGGATTTATTAAACGCAGTTGTAAAGATTTTAATGATAAAACAGCATTATGTAGTCTTTATTTTTCTTTAGTTCGCTCTAATCTGGAATATGTGACCATCATATGGGAAACCAATAAAACAGATTTATTTAATAGTTTAGAGGGAATACAAAATAATTTCCTGAGATTTACTTCTTATAGCTGCCAAATAAACAAATTAAGACACTCAGGGTATGATGAAATTCTAAATTTCCTAAATATGATCACTTTAAAAAAAAGAAGAAAACAGAGTATCTTGATATTTTTATTTAAATTACTCAATAATATAGTCACATGCCCAGAGTTGTTGGGTGATATGAATTTTAGGCATACAAGAAATAAAAATCTATTCTACATACACCAAACTTCTAATAATTANACAGCATCCAATCTTTTAAAAAATTAATACGTTTAATAATTTAATTATATGTCATTGTTTTATATTTTTCTTTATATATTCTTTTAATGTGAGTATTTTTACCTTCTTTTTACTTTCCAATAGGCTAATTTATGTAATATTTGTTATATTGATCAACAATTTTTGTTATATTAATTAATTATTTCTTTTTAAATTCGTATCTTATATTGATTACGTATTTACCACTTCTACTTATTTTTAGCTGTAATTAATCTTAATGTTGTATTGTACATTTGTAACTCTTTCAATCTACGTATTATTATTGTAATTGGAATATTATTCCGTATATATATAAATAAATAAATAAATAAATAAATTATTACTAGATTTAGTCTATGGTTTGCACAATGAGTATATATTGCTTGAGGGACTTCATTTTTCAAAATAGCTTGTAAACATTAATGCGGCCCCGCATAATGCTTACTCCATTGTATGTTTGTATCATATAATTGTTGATATTGATTTGGCATTTACTTAAAACTTGTTTTATATGCAAAAATAAAGAATGAGCATTTAAATTTTTAAGAGGCGTAAAACCTAAAAATCACTTCTTTATTTCACTTTGAAAAAAATATCTCACTACAGTCGAAAGTTGCTGTCTTAGATACGTCTTTCGTTTCATCAGCCATGACTGATAAATAAACCAATTATTTTATTTCTTTGAAAATATTAGATAAAATCATGGTGGACATAATTTAAACAATTTAATTTTGTATTGTATGATGTAAATATCTAGCATTTTTGAGTCCACTCATTTTAATTTTAACTATATCATCAAAATTACTAATAGCACTCATTCAATAACTCGAACTAACTCAAACTACTTAATATTAAATAATAAATAAAAAACTACAATAAAAAAGAAATCGAACCAGAGTTCCGAAACACCACTGTAGTATCTACACAAAACAGTTCTGGGTAAAACGTGAGTGTTAGTATTATATATTACCGAATTACAACAAAAAACCTAAAATTATAAAAACCATAACTGAACACATTAAATTGCTTTTTCTAATTCTTTAAAAATTGGCAAGGAAAATTAAATTATGACATCATAATTATTTTAATTCTTATACTGTTAAACATTGACTTAAAACCGGTTTCGAAATTGATTTTAAATACAGTAGAATCCGCTTAATTGGGACACATTGGGCGGTGACCTATTTGTCCCCAATATCCGACTGTTCCGATTAACTGAATAAGCACTTGATATTTCTCCGTGAAATCGTTTGAACTTAATATAATTCCGATCCTTCCAACGACTTATCCAACCTTCTGTGGCCTTAAAATTACCATGTCGAATTTAATTAGTAAAAAATTCAGCTTTCTGCTCTAACATGAGGCCCGAAATACGAACACCGCGTTCTGTAACAGCAGAAAACCATTCGTTCATAGCTTTGTCTACTTCGGGATCTTTACCTTCTCGCTTTCTTTTTCTGTTTACAGGTGTACTTTTGTTGTCGTTTAATTTTTCCCACTGTTCACGAATAGCTTTTTCATTATTTTTCAATCGGCTTAGTACCGATTTAGAGGTGTCTATTATTTTCTCTAACTCACGAAGACTGGAAGAATGACATTGAGCTCTAATTTTATCCAGATTAGAAATGTTTTCAATCAACGTTAAATCTTTACGAGACATAATTGTTACGTATTAACACAAACTGAGATCAATAAAAACACACATACATTAACACGCAGAGACGAAAGAACGCGAACTAAAGTTTTTCAATTTTGTAGACGCTTTTATTTTTGTCCCTGATAACCGATGGTTTGTCCCAGATAAACGAAGTTAAATTGCCTTCAACGAATTACATTCGTCCGGGACTATGCCAATTTGTACCCATTTAGCGGTTGTCCCCTTTATGCGGTGTCCCAATTAAGCGGATTCTACTGTACCAGTTAAATCGTTAAAAAATTGATTCCATTATCAAAATCAAAATTGATCCATCAAAACTCATAGTCGATTGCCAATAATGTTATCAAAACATCAAAATTGATAAAAAACAAAATCCATTTTTAAAATTGAAATCGAAATTAGATAAATTAAAATATTTTTTCCAAAATAGAAAACAAAAACTGGTTAGGTACTTTAAAAATTCACAGTCAAATGAAAAAAAAAATAAAATCAAGTAATTTAATTTTCGTTGTCAACTTAAGAGCTTATAATACATCGTATGGAATTAAAATATGTTTAAGTCTAGTATTTACCATCGATGACCTATTCTATGGTCGTTGACAATAAGCCAATTTTGGGAAAGAACATGATAATTTCGATAAAAATAGTTGAAAATACGAACTTCATAAACCATAGTCATATTATGAATAAAATACAAATACAAGTGTTTCTTTAAATACGGGTTAAAATTTTTAAAAATTCTATTAGTTATTCTCTTAAGAATATTACAATTTTTTGAAAAAAGTTGTACACATATAAAAAAAAAAAAAGAATACAAAATAAAAATCTTTGTAAAACCATAAGCTTCTTTGCTCCACTTAGAATCTAAAATGATATATTTATTAAGATTTTAAGCCTATTTTTGCAAAATCAGTGACCTTTACGGTAAATCTCAGGAAGTAGGTACATTTTAAACATTATTCCTATTGTATATTATATAATATTATGTAAGTACAAGTTTGTATTTAATTTAAGCTTTTTTATTATCTATTTAACTAGTAATATAATATTATATAATTATATTATGGTCATCCATAATATCAACAAATAAAGCTATATTTATGATTATTACAACGAAACGAGATTATTACAAAGAAATTCAGAAGTTAGTACTCAGAACTCAATGTGTCAATATAATATTATAAATTATAATGTAATCAATCAAACGTACATCTTCCCCGTTAGAGTAGTTCTAATAAATTCCACCAGGTAGCGACTCTAATAGATTCCTTAATGCCGAATTTTGTAGACTGTATACAGTCGTAGTGGAATCTAGCGGTGTGTCATTATACTCATATATGCGGTTATCGGGCCGCATAGGTTATTTGATAAGGAATTGATGGAATGGTATCTTCATGCACATATTTTTTTTATCAAAATAGGTATTAATGTTTTATGGTATACAATAAAATTATATATTTATATATATATTTTTCAATACTTGTAGTTTGTACACTAATTCTTTTATTGTTATTTATAAGTATTTTATTAAACATTAGTTTTATATACTTAGTGAAGTTGTGCAATTGTAAATGTTCTAAATCAATAAGATTAAAATTAACGTTTTTTGTAAAATTCAAAAATATCAGGTTATAAAATTTAATCATATTTTGTTTATTTAAAATATGTTTAAGTCTTAAGTTGTAAACATTGTTATAGTTATATATTTGCCAAAAAGTAAGTACTTATGATTTATACAATAATTATTTTCTATAAGGTAGATATTATATTAAACTAATGATACGAATTACAATGATAAAGGACCTATTGTTGTTTTTGTATTGTTTAACACATTTATATAATTTATTTAAGCAAGTATTTAATTCAAGTTAAATATTAATTTGTTAAATTTATTTATGTTAATAATAATTTGCATTAAATTATTATATTATTTCAACAATATTTTTTAATTATTATATTATTTCAACAATATTTTTTAATTATTATACTTTATAATTTCGTAGCTGATATTAAGGTAAAATAAAATAAATTTGAAGGTTTAAAAATGTTGATAGTTAAAGCTTATTATTTTAAGATTGATAGGGTGCCTAAATAGTCGAATGTTTCAATAGAAATAAAAAAAACAATTATTATATTTATAAAAATTTAAACTTAACAAAATGGAAAATATATTTTGATTATTTAATAAAATTATAGTATTAGAAGTATTTAATAATATTAAAAAATGAGGAAATCCTAATATGTGAACAAAAGTAAGTATAGACAACCAATTTAAACAAAAAATAAACAAGTATAAAACTATAATTTCATACACAATTTTGAAAGAATTTAGTAATCTAGTATATTATGCTTGTATGTAGAAACTTAAATAAATTGTTTTAATTTTTAAACAGTTGGTAAGCTATTTTTAAATTTTTTTGTTTTGGCATCTAATTTTTAATTTTAACATACTTAAATTAATAATAATAATGTTGGGAATTATATAGATCTCCATGGAAACCAAATCAACAACTCTAACAATATAGATGGGATAGACACAATGGGAATATGAGCTAAACTTGTATTTAGGAACCTAAAACCTAATAAAATATAACTATATTGTATTGTTTTAAATTATATCTAAACTTAACTGATTTTTTATAAAAATAAAATACTTATAAATTATAGTATAATAGGTATGAAATTTTAATTTATTAATGGATTTAAGATTGTTAACTCAAATTAGAATTGCAATTCTTATTAAATAAACAAATTAAAATCTCATTATTATTTTTATTTGTATTTGTCTTTATTATTTTTATTTTTGATAATATAGGATGATAATATACGATGTATCAAGTCCACTCTGAATAATTTGAAATTTGATAACATTAATTATCTTTATGAATTCAAACATTATTTTAATATTGTTTGAGCATCACGCTTAATATGTCCAATGGTGGAAGTAGTGGACAAGAAACTGATAAAAATGGTTTGCTTTTATTATATACCCATAATTCAGGGTGATTTTTTAATATAGTTTTTTGATTATTAATGGAGTTAAATCAAATGTACTTAAAATCTTTGTAGATAGTGTTTGTTCTTGAAAAAAAAATCACCTTGTATACCTATACTTTTGTGATGTCTATTTAATTAATTATATAATCATTTCTGTAGGGTTTTCATATATGGATGAGATTCCAGTAAAAATTATAGAAAAATACAAGCCTCCAAAAAAGATTGCTTTACCTGGTGTATTACAGCATAAACCTACATCTAATGCTTTAAAACAAAAGGTTATAGAATTAATTATGTTTTAAATATTTGTTTAATCCAATGCTTAATTTAAATTTTGTTGTAGTATGATTTTAATTTGGAAAAAAATGTGCTTGAGAAAATGGCAATATGGAGCAAAATGCGAGAAGAAACTCAAAATAAACGTCATTTTCAGGCTACACAGTTTAAATCTCAAAATTATTTAGACTTAGATAAGTTGACATTATTGGATCCAACTCAATCACAAAATACTCAAGTTTTACAACCAATACCTGCTCAACAAACTAATTACAAAATGTCTTCATATGATAGCATGCTCACTAAGAATATTAATATATCAGATTTTGAATCTGATACATCAAGTCCATTTGACAATATGGAATTAAAAACTATTAATGATTTAGAAGAATTAGCTTCAGTTTTAAAACCTACACCAGTCTTGAGTTATACAAATAGTAAAAATGACCAATTATCTGATCTTAGTGTTTCTCAATATTATCCAACTCCTATTTATAATAATTATTCAGAAAATTATAGAAATAATAAATTCATGCACAGTGTTAACACACAAATAAATCAGCCTATTAGTTCTATTCCTTTAAAGCTTAATATTTTTGAAGATAATAGTAAAGCTATTTTGCCGCCTGTTATTATGCCAAATGTTTTATTGGAACTAAAGGCTGATTTAAATACATTAAAGTATAATGATGAATCACCAGTAAGTATTATAAATTGATCTAATTATTATTGTAAAAAAATAAATAATAATTATATATTTCTGTCTTAGGATGATTCCCAAAAGTCAATTCCATTCAATATCACTACTAATGGATCAAAATCACCTACATGTTTATTTCCTAATCCGTATAGATCACTTTCACCAACTAGCCAATGTCTTGCAGATCAGATGCATCAAATGGGCTTTCCTTTATCGCGTGCTGCTCGGGCGTGTAAATTATTTGGTAAAGATGAATCTAAAGTATGTAACAATGGTTTATCATTAAACATCTGATTAAAAATTTTATAATAATTGTCCAATATAATTTGAAGGTCATAGAATTTTTAATTCAAATACATTCTATCGAGGAAACCAGTGGCTATTCAGCTGATCGTGTAGAACAAGCATTAGTGGTTAATAATTTCAATGCAGATCACGCTATTACATTTCTTAAAAATGTTGACAGGCTTATTGATTTTGGATTTCGGGAAGAAAATATATGCACTGCACTTGTCAAATGCAATAATGATCCCGACAAAGCACTTGATAGCCTTGTTTCTTATTAATTTTATATTCATAAAAACACATTGTCAAACTGTACAATAATCGTGTAATATTATGTATTTAAAATATTTATCATAAAAAAGTGAAAAGTTGTGGTAGATTTATTGTAATATTAACATGTTACAAAAATTGAAACATAATTATATTTTAAAATGTTAAACATTTTTAATTATCATAATCATTTTTAATTTCAGTTAAAATTTACCACTTTTCACTGCTTTGTGTTGTACTACCTACTTATAATATGTAATATATTTTTTAATATAATAAATTATTTTGTGTATACATATTTTTACCGTATTTATATTATTATTATAATTAAATCATGGATGATATGTAATCATTGATTTTAAATTTATAGCTAATGATATGTATTGAAACAAATATTTTAAAATTCTACGATCACTTTAAAAAAGTTGTTGACTTACCTACCTGTACAGGGTATCCTACAGTGTTATCCTTATGTTCATAATTCTGTCATTATTTATTTTTATTTTTTTTCAATCTGATTTTATATGAAGGGGACACATATGTAGAGAAAAATTAAATTTTCATCCTTTAATTATTGAAAACAAAGATATATTTTATTATTTTTAATAATTTTCAAAATAGGCATTTTGTAAAAGATGTTTGTATAAAAAAAATTATTCACATAAATTTATATCTGATCAATTGTTTCTTAGTAATACTCATTTTAATTTAATTATTAATTTTCAATAGAATAAAATGTAACACGGTAAAGAATCACAATCAGCACGGTAATCACTATCTTCTATTGAATATTAATTGTTTTTATGCCTATTATCTATGCATTAAATTCATTATAACTAAGAAACCATTAGATAGTTACATACACTCCCATAGGTTCCTCAAATGAAGCAGAGGATGCAATTTTCTGTATACATAAGTATATAGTACATAGTAATAAGTATAAAACAAAGGAAATAATATTGTAACGGTAGCAAGTTTACTGGGGAAAAAATTGACTTTAGTAATGGACCTTACAGGCTACTTACAGGTGTTTATTTTTATAATAATAAATAGAAATGATAAATGATTCTAAAATATCTATAATAGAATAAGTTCTGTTTTTCTTGATGTTAGGGTTGTATGTTTAAAAATAATAATGCCTAATATACTTGCTAAAATATATATAAAATAAAAATACTTAGGTACAAAATATTGTAGAGGCTTACTCACACAATTTATTATTTGAGTTACAATATATTGGTCTATTAGCATAAATTAAACATATACTTAACTGTACAAGGATATTTAGAACTAGATTAAGTATGTTTAATCTTAATGTAATTTTAGTAACAGCTGTAAGTAATAAATTTTAATTTAAAATTATAAATTAATTAAATTAAACAATTATTTCTTTTAACAAATACTATTAAGTAATTTGTTTATTTTTTTTGTTGGGAGGAATGTCCATTGCTCTGGAACTGTAAAATCATAGCCATAATCAAGTTCAAAACTGTATTTTAATCAAACTTAACTATTAATATATGTTATGCTAAAAAATGTAGATGTACATTGAACAGTAAAATATTAAACAATTTTTGGCATGCATTCAATTAAATTTGTATTATAAATGAGTCCATGAATTATATTAAATACATATTGGAATTTTCAATTATTATAATAGCTGTTAAAATAAAACCATTGCTTATGAAAAAACGTTTCTGAGCGGAGTTCAGTTGATATTAATGCTTTGTCAACAATATAAATGTCATTATATAGTAAAATAATTAAATAGGCTTTATATATTTTCTTTAATAATATTTATTTAATTTTGTACCAATTTTTCTAAGTTTTTCCCTGTTTTCCAGTGTTTTATCCCGGATTTTCACATTTGCTGGGAAAACTCCTGAGAAAATTGAAAAATGACTTTATTAAGTGACCTCTCCACAACGACTTTCTTTCAGAAAAACGGCCACACTTAGAAATCCGAGTAAGTCTTCTGGTAAAAAATTTGATAACGGATAAAAAAAATAAAAAATAAACATATTTGTAAAATCATAAGCTTTTTTGCTCTACATGGAATATAAAATACAACATACTTCATGGTCATAGGTGGACCACTGTTGTGGGCGGAAAATCAGAAGGGTAAGATATATAGGTAATCTAATTTGTGTCTGTACACATTGTTAAATCATTGGAAATGAAAAACAGTTCTGACCGGCATTTAGTTAACTCTGTTCTAAAAAAAATTTAAATTGTAAATTGCATTGACTTATAAAATTAGTTGTTTTTAACAAATTTTATCAAAACTTAATGTTTTAGGTCTCATTAATAATTATTTTAACTGAATTATACATAAAATTTAAAAATAATAAATAACAGGAACAGTCATTATGTAAGTTCCTATATCCTATTCTTAAAAATGTTTTTTCTCCCATTATGAAAAAAACTACCAGGAAAATCTAAACATTAACTCCCAATGCAACAGTTACACACAATTTTCTACCAGAAAGTTTCTATACATATTTGAAGCAAGTCTACAATCTTAAGTTTAGTCCACAATTTGTTGACAGGCATAAAAAAAACTCAATCATAATATAACCAACACATTTAACACTATGTTCAGAATCTAAAAATAATAGAACAGAATATTGGATTTTGGAACCTAACTTGCTTTGCCACTGTAATTAATAATTTCTGGAAGAGGAGTAAGTTTACATTTATACCAAATAACATGTAAACATCTATTATTTTTGTTGAAATATTATACATGTTTGCATTTTGTATTAAAATCCGTTGTCACAAGTTTACAAGATATTGAAATGCAAATCTACTATAATAATTATATATTAACATTTCAAAAAAAAACTTTGCAAATAGACCCTAGTACCAGGTTTTTATCATTTGGCGTTTCTGATTTTTATGTCATCTTATTTTGAAACATAGTAGGTAGTGTAATAATAAAAAAATCCAAATACATATATATTTTTTTAAATTAGTATATTTTGTTTTGTTTGTTATTGCTATATGTTCCCTATTAAAAAAATAATAATAATCACGTTATAACATCTATATAATAATGATATTAAGTATTAACTTCTTATTCAAATAATTATTAAACCAAACATAAATTGTATACATTAAATCATTGAATAAAATAACAAAAATTAAAATCGAAGAAAGAAAAAAACTTACAATTACACAATTGTATACCATAAATAATATTATTATAATATAACACTTATAACTATCTACATACATGTATGGAAAATCGTACAAAATTGTGATTGTCCTTATTCAAATATTATTTTCAATAAAAAATGCGAGTTCTAGTTATACGCAATAAAAAACCAAATATGTTTAAGATATTACTTTTGATATGTTAAGGCAGTTGGGTTGGGCTAAGATGGAATTGCACTATTAAATAGTCTGACCCTAAAGTATGAAATTGTTCATCACATTAATGATATGCAAGGTGATTCTTTTATCATTGAACATTCATAATTTGCAAAATATTGAATATTTTTAAAAAATGTTTTTTGAAAATTTAAATAAGCAGATCCAAATTTTTTTTTTATCCTTATTTTAGGGGGTGAAACTACTACCTAACTATATGGTAACTTATATTAAAAGTACCTTAAATAGATATTTAAATAAATTTAGATGTTGAAATAATACTATTTATGGAACTTTTAGTGTAGGTTATCATTTGAAAATCAATAGTGAGTAGTCATTTCACCTCCAACAATTGGATGACAATAAATAATGAAAACGTAACATTTTAGAGCTGCTTACTTCTTAAATTGTCAAAACAATTATTTTTTTTTTTTAAAGTTAATACTTTGCTAAATAATGAGTGTTTAATGATAAAATAATTACCCTGCATAGATAATTTCTTATTTTATAATTTTATAACTAAAAATATACTTAAATTATGTTTATCAATAATAAAACTAAAATTAAATGTAAGGTTAGAATAGGAAAATAAAATGCATTAATTAAAAGGATAAATATGATCAAATTTTTGCAAAAAGAATTAGCAATGGCACAGTAAAAATTAATGCATGTGAATATTAAGTTCAGTATAATCAAATCAACTTTGAACAATTTAATTTAAATAATAAAATTAATCTTTTGAATTTCAAGTTATTTGTATTTTTTGTTGGTATAAAACTAGATTGAAATTTCTTTGGTATTCTTATCATATGTGATCTACCTTATACTTGTCATCCACCACACGTCTATAGAGAGCCATTCTCATTGAGTTGACAAATAAACATTATCATAATCAAATCCGTGATTACTTTTTAATAATGTTAATAACACAAAAAAAAAAAAAAATTGTATTTAGAATTTTTAGATAATTAGATAATGGCATGTGATTTATGCATGTATATATTATTGAACAATTGTTTTCATTTTTTCTACATATTTTAAATAAATATAAAAACATGTGGTAAACTGCAGAGGAGGACAAGAATACCATGATTTTTAAATATTTATTTTGTACTGTGGAATGGCTAAAAACTTTTTATTAAGGTACAAAAAATAACTAAAGTATAGAATATAAATAATAATTTTGATGAAAAATAATTTTATCTATCAAATTTAATTGTCTGCATAAAAACAAGTATTGTTAATATGTTATTTCAAATTGCATTACAAATTATTTATGTTTTATTTTAAAGTAATTTCAACAAACAATAAAATAATAATTAATTAGTAATTTAAATTATGTACTAATTTTTTTTTTTTCTAAATGCTTAAAATACTTAAGTTTTGGTATGTAAATAAGTACATATTATTAATATAAATTTTTAAACAATAATAATACTAAAATAAATGTACTATTGTTACATTGTCCTACAGGGTTATTTACTTTTTATGTTCATCAGTAGTCATAGCTGTTACAAGTTCAGTAACAACTTTACCTAGATCACCTATAAAATAATAAATAAATAGTGTTATTTTAAAAATATAATTATGTGTTTTAAATTTTCTAAATGTTCTAAATTTACAGAAGATTATAATACTAGTTGAAGATATACAAACCTAAATTTTACTGTTTCCGTGAACAGCTAATAGAATAATAATACAAAATTATAAATAATAAACAATAAACACAAAGCATAAAGTAAAATATAAGAACAATGAATAAATGTTTAGACAGTAGAATCATATTACTTTGATTGCATTTTACCTGCCATATGATGCAGATTACCAACAGCATGATGAGATACTGATATTGGTGGAGGAGGTGGTCGTTCCAAAGTATTGCGACTGTTATTTTCTGACCAATTTCCTAAGAAAAACAACAACACTTTTATTAGAAAAACATAGAACATAGCTATATTTCCAGCTATCAATTTATATTCACCTGATTTATCAGAATTATTTTGCAAAGGGGAATCACAAGCTAACTGAGATGCTGTTACTGATCTCGTTTGGAATGTTGCTGGCTAAAATTTATAAGAAAAACATCAATTTTAGATTCTGCAAGGAATCTAGTTGGTGCATATGGGGAGATCACTTTTTGATGTTCTGTGTAGTTTTATTAATAAATGGAAAAAAACAGGAAAATATATGTTTTTGAGCTACTTGTGGATATTTGAAATTTATTTCAATTTTAATTTGGTGTTATGTGGATAAAATTGTGTTATTCCCTAAAAAATACTCAACAAATTTAACATTACAACTATCATAAATTGAACAAAGTGTAAAAAAAAATCAATGATTACACTGATTTTAATCATATTTTAAAATTGTTGATTTTTATCATTATATGAATTAAAAATAATTATAAAAAAACCATAATTAATATACTTATGAACTCTGAATTTTGTTCAAAATCATTTTTCATTAGTAATAATATATTTTTTGCATACAGATATAAATAGAAAATACTTTAAAACATATAAATCCTACTGCCTTAACTTCCTCCATAACGGTGATCTACCATGAACAGTATTTTGTAAGATACAATGACAATGTAAAAAACATTGGTAATGTACTCGCATTTTTTAATTAGGTTTAATAACAGGTGGTAATGAGGACATACAATATTTGAAAGGACTTACTTCTTCTAATAATTGTCTAAGTCTTTGTAATTGAGCTTCTAACTGTCTGTTATGATCTTCCAATATTTGCATTCGTGCTTCTAAGCGACCTTTATGCTGACGTAGCATTCTAGCTTCAGAAACCATATCAACCTCACCATTAGTATTAGGTACAATATTATGCGACCCTTTTGTACCAGAACCCGTTTTTAATTTTTCATATTCTTCTTGTAAGTGTGTATTTTCGTCTTCTAATTCTCTAAAAATTTACATTAACAAATATAGTAATATGAATAATAAATATATATATTTTTCATTTTAAAACTTACTTAATCATTGCTTCTAGTTCAAGTCGTTGATCTGCATCAATTGCAACCATTATTTGAACTGGACTCCGAGGTACAGATGGTAATGTTTCAGATCCACCATTCAATGACTGGCAATACTGGGCAATTAATTGATGCTCATCTTCACTAAACAAAAAAAAAGAAATTATTAAATATAACGATAGTGTAAAATATTATACTTATAACTTACGAATCTGGTGTAGAATTACTACGTGCCCTATACTCAACTTCAGCTAAACGTGAAGCATACATTTCTAAACGATTGTGAACATCAGGTATAGTAGAAGCAGTATTGGAATGTTGTGGTGATGGAGATGGACTTTCTAGAGCATCGCCTTCTAATACTGACTGAACAGGTAAATATCCAACACGTGGGTGCTTTTTAAAATAACGCTTAGATTTAAATTTGTTCCGTAGAGCACGAGTGAAATCACGAACATCTTCGCCTGATGTAGTTGTTGTACAATATTCTTGCATTGGGTGAGTGAGTTTATGATGTTTTGCTTTACGGCCAGAAAAGAAACACGATTGGCACATATCAAAATTGAAACATTTTAAGCACCGATACCTGAAACCGATTATAGGATAGGCTTTGCATATATTGCACTTAGCTTGATGTTTTGCAGATTCAGCTTCAGATAGCCTATGTAGTACAGCTAACCATACCATACTCTGTGGTTCTTGCTGTAGCCATACTAAGAAATGCATAGCCTTAAAAAAAATGTATTATAAACATTCAATTAATATTATTGTTGAATTGCAAATGAATATTCAATTTACTCACTTCAATAACAGATTTATCTTTACCAGCCTTTTGAAAACAACTCCGTACAGATGGTTCAATATTAGAACCACCAAAAGATGCTACTTCACCTAACTGGCGTGGTAATTGAATACAATCATGTAGTAAAAGTCCTAATTTGCGTTGATCTACCTGTCTGTTAGGATCAGCAATCAGTCTGAACAAGTAACGGTACTTTTCTTCTAAATGTCCTTTACATAACAATACCAGACCAACTTTAAATGACAAAACACGAATTTGACCTGTTCGTTGGCTAAAAATTGAATAATTATATAGAATTGTTTAGATCGATATTTAAAATTCATAAGAATATCTTATACCTGTCATAAACATTTAATAACCAGTTAAGAGATAAATCAAGACAAAGTGGAACATGTACTAAAGATGGATGCTGTGATGCTAGTGTATCAAAAATAGATCCTAGAATAGTTAACATTTCGGATACAGTAATTAATTTGTCATTTTGAGCACGTAGACCATGGTTATCAAAAGATTCTAATGCAGCTTCCAGAGTTAACAAATCAACTATAATGGAAATTATATAAAATATTTTATTTTTGTACTCTTGTATAAGCAAATAACACTCACGAGACATGCGTTTTTGAACTGTTCTTAATTTCATTGCAGTTCTATAAGCAGAGAATCTTACTTCATTAAATTCTGATAGTGAAGACATTAGTTCGATCATTTTTGGATGATCCCAATTTGTTGATTCACACTGATGACTACATTGTATAAAAATTAATACATAATTGAAATCAATTTTGATAAAAAAACTCACTTAACATAATATGGCACCTTGTTTGGTGTAATTTCACGTTTCCATGGAGCTTCTACTGAACCACTTAACATTAAAGACGTAGATGCCTCACTATGACTAGCAGGAGAAGTTCCATTACTGTTGTTGATCATATTTTTACCAGTATCACGAATTTGTTTATACCGATCATCCATAGCTAACTGTAACATTTTCCACCTATAAAAACAATAAAAAAATGAATTAGTTTACAATACTATAGTCAACATATATTACTAAAATTAAATTAAATCACCTGTTATTTATATCTTGTAGTATATTTTTATTAGATACAGATATTGCAATGTTGTTTGATGCAAGTATGCTAGCTTGATCATTTACTTCTTCTAATAATCGTTGTACAGGATTCAATCGGTCTCCAAATTGCTATTTTAATAAATAAAGTAATTAATTAATTTATAAATAATATATTTTAAAGGTATTTTGAACATACCCTTAGCTCTTGAAGGCCCATTGTGGTGTCACCAACATTTGAAACCGGCCATGATTTATACATGGCCTCAACACCAGCTAATTTTGAAACACAATCCTCTAAACCTTTCTGGAACATCTGCATTTTCTAAAAGTTATAAGAATAAAATTATTAGAATAAATCTTATACTACTTTTTGGCTCATTTTATAAAAAGAACAAAATAAAACGATTGACTATTGGATTTGGCTGTTACACTATTTTTCTGCAACACATGGCTATTGTATAAAAATAGTTTATTACCGAGTTCTGAGGATTGTGTACTTTAATATATAAGTGCATAGGTATTTAATCTATTTTTATTGTTTTTAAACATTTCAATTGATTATTTTTTAATTTGAATTAATAGCGACATAAAAATATAGTTAACAGATATAATATAAAATTAAATAGCATATACATATCATATATATATAATTTAATAAAATTATGATAATATGTAAACTAGGTATGTAAAAAAAACAAATTATATATAAAATGTCAATACTTTAATAGAGTCATCCAAGTTCTTTTGCCACTGATCAGAACGCTGGAGTAAAGAATTCCACTGTTCAGATACACGGGTAACTTCACGTTTTAAACTTATTGTTAAATCACGAGCTTGTTCTTCAGCACTACGATATCCTCTAGAATCTCCAGTATTGTTAATTTCTAAAAACACATAAACTATTATTTATTATTTATAATTTAAAAATAGTATTATTTGTTCAAATAAAAAAAAAGAGCATATACTTCCAATCAAACTAAATTTTAATATATTTTATGCTGAACAATATATATACATGTACAATACACACTAAATTACCCTTTAAATCCTACCTTCCCAACTTCCCACTTACAACAGTAGCCCATCCATCTTGCAAAGTATGTCAATATTTTAATTTTATTAAAAATGCTATAAAACAGTTATTGTTAAAATAACTGTAAATGATTATTATAATGCATCTTATAGTGTTCTCAGGATATGGATAAACTTTGGACGATAGGTGGGCCATTGTTGTGGATGAGAAATTGGGAAAGTAGGATATAGAGGGGAATTTAATGTATAAATGTATTTAATGTATGCAGCTATTAATCTTTGCTAACGAAAAAAACAAATCTGAATGGAGTTAGGTAGTACATGTTTTGAAAGACTGTAATATTTAAGATTTGAAAATGATACATTTCGTAAATTTTCTTATTAATCATGAAAACTCCTAGTAAAATCAAAAAATGACCTCCTAAGTACCACCCCAGTAAAATTTTTTTTTAGAAAAAGTGCTTCACTTGAAAATTTAAACAAAATTTCTGGTAGTAGGCAAGTTGTTCACAAAAAAAAATAAATATCATTATAAAACATACAATAGATTCCTTGCTCAGAATGTGAAAGAAAATTAATTCAAATTTTTGTAAAATTAATCCTTTTTCACAAAATTAGAAACAATCATGCAAATATTAAAATCCATTAAAACTATAATATTTAATTGTAATTAAAAATTATACATTTCAATAAAAATCTTCTTTAACAGAGCTGTTCTTTTTTTTAAATGTGTAAAACATTTTTTTTTAGCCATTTTTGTATTAGTTTTATAATATTAACTATCATCAAAATTCAAAATAACATGTTTAGAATTTTTAAAAGTTACAATACTACAATTTTTTGTAATAGTGAATTTGGCAAACGAAATTCCCATTATACCGGTTAATATGACTGTAATTATTTTTGTATTAATATTAATAGTTTTGATGATTTCAGCTTATAAAAAAAATATGTTTTTATTATTTTAATCTTTTTTAAACAATAATTGTTTTCATGGAAACACACATTGTTGTAATCATTTCATCATAATTTGACATATATATTGTTGACAAAGCAACATTATCAATTGAACTCCGCACAGAATAGTTTTTTCATTAGCAATAGTTTATCGTTGCTTACAGATATACAGGTTGTCTCACGAAGACATACCCCTTAAATAAATCCGTTGATAATAAAGATAATAAAGTTCTGTTTTTTTTTTTTAACTTACTCATTTATCCCATTTATATCTAATGAATATTTTCACAGCCAGTTTAAATTCTACTAATCCATATGAAAACAAATGTTATCGCCTAACTCGTTTAGGTCATTCCCAAGATAACATAATTAAATGGCTGTTAGAAACTATTCCCCGGATATAAATGTGTCATGCATTAAAACTTTCCGAAAATAATTAAAGTTATTTTTTTAATAAAAAAAAAAGTTAATTCAAATATAAATATTTATAGTCCTCTTTCCTGTGAGTAATTTAAAAAAAAATAGCCGATACTGGGGATGGGAGCGGCCACTGTTGTAGGTGAGAATTTGAGAAGGTAGGATACATAATGTTATTTTATTTATATCTGTAAGCAATGATAAACCATTGCTTGATGAAAGACGATTCCGAGCGCAGTTTGGTAATACATAATTTTGGAAATTTTATTACGTTTAGTTAAGTCCAATATAATAATAATTACTAATCTAGACAACTTGAGCTTTCAGAAAAGGTGCTACACTTATACATCAGAGCAAGTTTACTAGGAAAAAACGTGTCTGCAGACTAAAAAAAAAAAAAAATAAACAATATTATAAAATCAATAATTCCCTCGCTTTGCTCGGAATCTAAAATAGAATTTGGTTATCTTTATTATCTCCGGAGATATTCAAAGGGATATCTTCGTGGGGACAGCCTGTACATTAAATTCCCGTCTGTATCCTAACTTCCCAACTGCCCACCTACAACAGTGGCTGCCCCCACGTGCGAAATATGTCCATCCTTTTTTAGATTCCAAGAATAGCGAGGGAGCTATTGGTTTTACAATGCTCTTTATTTCTTTTTTTCTTTCTTTGTTCTGAGTTCTAATCTGTGGACACGTTTTTTCCTAGTAAACTAGCTCAGTTTTTTCATGTAGCAACTTTTCTGAAAGCTCAAGTTGTCTAGATAGTATTTTAAATAAGTAATTTTTTTGATTTTGGACGCTATTTTTTAAATAAAAGCACTTAAGTGGTAAAGAACTTAGGAAAACGTATAATTTCACGATTTCATTATTTTATAAAAACACGAACGACGTTTTCTACCAGAAAAAAATGATTAAATCGAAAAACCAAAGACACTTTTTTATTGCCTTTTTGAGTTACTTTCTGACTGTATATTCGCCAAAACTTTTGAGCTTTTAAGGAATTTTAATTTTTGGTTGTTGTTTTGCTGTAATTTGGTTATAAATACACGTAAACACTTGAAACTAGGTAATAATATGTATATTGGACTAAGTTGGACGTGGTAAAATGTCCAAAATCATCGGACTCTTTTTCTTTTTTAATAAGCGTTTTTAAAATCAGATTTAAATAAAAATCGAAAACAAAATTACGGCATTTTAAATTATATATTACCAAACTGCGCTCGGAATTGTCTTTTGTCAAGCAATGGTTTATCGTTGTTTACTGATATAAATGGAATAACCTTGTGTATTCAACCTACCCAACTTTTCACATATAACAGTGGCCGGTCCCATCCTCAGTATCAGCTCTTTTTTTTAAAAAAGTTTTAATAATACTCAATATCTCGAATTGTTTTGATAAGTTAAACTATTTTCTGTTCTCTTTTAAATTCGATATCTGTTTTTAACAGTTTTACTGTATATACATATATTAATATGTATACATTTGAATTTGGGTACTTAAATATGATATGTTGACAATGCAGTAAATTGTATAAGTATTTAATAATTATCATGTGTTTTTTATATTCAACAAAAATAGTAGATACTTGAGAAATTTTAAATGATTTTAAATGAATTGTAGGTAAATAGGGAACTATTTCATATTATTCTGTGATTAATTATTTCATATACATAGGCAAAAATAGATTATGAATTATTTTTAATTTTAAGTGGCCTGCGCCCCTAAAAATTACCCTGTACGTAGCTATTAATTAAGGAGTAAAATTTATATAATTTCCATTCATGTCGACGGTGGCCGAGATCTTAGTGTTAGTAAACGAGCGATTATTATATAGTATGGGTATGCTTCTATGGGTGTACAGCCAAAGCGATTCCACCACCTGCCTCGTCAATGTAAAACAGGTTTACTGTTTATTTCTGCAGAAAATTGATTAAAATTCACTGCTGCCTTTCCCGCCGTAGACCTATCGCCGCGTGCCTCATTGTTATTGCAAATTTATTTATAGTGAGATTATAATATAATATTATTAAAGTTATCCGTTCATCCCTTGAACGAGATGACGACTTTTGGATTGCTAAAATGAAAAATCAGTTGATACATTTTTACAACAATGATTCACTAACTGAAATAGTGCAATCCAAAATAATAACATAAAATGCACCAATTAATTTTAAAATAAATTATTTTACCTGTTTTCACTCATTATTTATTTATATTTTTGGTAGGTAAGATTATTTAATTTTTTTTAGATTCGGATTTATGATGTGTGTATATATTTTTTGTGTGTCAAAAACTTTTCTACCAAAAAAACTTGCTCCGATGTATAATCTATAGCACCTTTACTGAAAGGTAATTTTCTTTCATTGGTACATTAGAGAGGTCATTATTAGATTTTTTAAGGGTTTTTTTGAAATAATTGTGAAAAATCCGAAGACCGAAAGAAAACTATAGGTAAAACGGCAAATGTTTAAGACGCGCCGTTACCGTTCATTGTTTCTATTATGTTAACACGATGTTTTCTATCAGAAAAATTGCTCTAATGCAAAAATAACCAGAGATCAATTTTTTTTCTTTTGATATTTCGCTACTGACAGAGTAAGTCGTTTTTTGATATCTAAAGTATTTTTAATAATTATTCGAAAAATCCAAAAAGACGAAATATACGATTTTTTTCAACTTGCGGCATGATTTTGTTATATAAAATTTGTAAGGCTTATGTTTTCTACCATAAATATTGCTCTAATATACGAAAAGAAACCTTTTCTATTGCATTTTTAATCTTATTTATGAGTAAGTTATTCGTTTTTTTCATTTTTCTCTATAGTTTTAAAAATAATTAAGCATAATCAAAAAAAAAAAAAAAAACCGTAGATAAAACGGAAAAATTTACGAAAATTCAGTGTTTTTAATGTTATTCAATTTAAAATATTCGTAGACTTGAAATGTTAACAGAAAATTTATATTTATATTTCTAGATGTGTTGTAATTTTCAGAAAATTTGAGCAATTGTAGAGCTATTTATAGATATTTTAATTTAGCTAAATTTTAAGGTAAAGTTTATTAGGTAGGTACTCTGAGATAAATTGTTGGACAATAGAAATGCTTGAGAATTTGATAGGAGATTCTATTTTTTTTGAATATGTGAATTTTAAAATCAAATTTTGACCTTTATATAAATATTTCGGGCTATCAAAACATGCATAATCGAATTTCGTTCTACTTTTAATAAGAAATAAAAACAAAAATCGATCACATGTTATTTTTCGATTGAAGTAATATTTCTGGTAGAAAACTTTAGTGTAACACAATGAAACCAGTAACGTCACGTTGCTCCGAAATGTTTGCCGTTTTTATCTATAATTTTCTAAATGACCTCTCCAATGCACTAATTAGAGCAAATTACTTTTCAGAAAAGGTGCTATAATCTATATTTCAGAGTGTGTTTGCTGGTAAAAAAGTATTTCACAGACAGAAAAAAAAATTAGATCCCTCGCTACGCTCCTAATCTAAAAACAGTACGTGTAATCATAATATAGAAAAATGGAAATCTGGAAATGAATGTTGCATTCTATTTATTTTATTACTTTATTAGTATTATAACACGTAGATTATTATTAATAATTAATAATAATAATAATAATAAATAATTAATCATTATAGATCGCTAGAACGGCGCGGTGTGCGATAACAGTAACGCGGCGCTGGTTGAGGGACTATTTACGCACGCGCACGAACAAGTGAAAGGTACAGTCAGGTGGAAAAATTACAAGCCTGATTTTTTGCTCAAAATACGGTTTATAGGAAAAACTCTCAGAGATTTATTCGATTATTAATTCGATCATATAAAATATAAAATCGATCAATAATTTTGTTAGAAAGTGTACAATTTTTCACGGGACGCATTGGACTTCGTTTTTTTATTACATTGCTATAAACAAAAATATTACACAATTTATAACCTTGTAAAAATTTGTAAAATTTAAACTCTTATTGTAGCATTTATAAATATAATTATTGAAATTGAAGTCAAATGCTTCCTGTAAGAAGTCTTTTTTTCTAAGAAAAAAAAGTTATTGATCGAAATCTGATCATTCTACGAGACATAAGAGTTTTTCCTGTAAGGCATGTTTTTGATCAAAACACAAGTTTCGCACAGGCCCCTAAATTTTAGAAATTTAAACAAATTTAAGTAAATTTGTTTACCCTAAATAACTTATAAACGATTGATATTTTCTTTGGTTTATTATAAATTTCTCAGGGTAATTTAAATTGATAATTAAGTTATTTATGACTACAAATTAGGATTATCTCAAATCATGTTTATAACCAATTAATATTAATTTTATTGATACATTTTGATTAAATAATTAATATAAGTAATATTTTTGTTTATGAACAAACTAATTATACCAACTTATTTTATGAAATCTATATTAAAATTATTAATTTTTTCTTTTGGCAATAACATATTAATTCTTTAGCAAAATCCATAAATATAAAAGTATTTCGATATTGTCTGTTATCCAGAAAAACTTGATGAGTTAATTTTAATAAATTTTAAAGGAGGGGTGAATAACTGAGGTGGACATAAGAATTTACCAAAAAATGTCAGCATTTCGACTTAGTAGATCACCCATCAAAATGAGTATTCAAGGACATGCATTATAATATAGAGAATAATTTATAATAGATACATAATACAAAAAAAAATTAATAATTTTAAAAAAATATTAGAAAATAATTATTAAGTAATATTGTTGTTACCTAAATAATAAAATACAATAATACATATAAAAGCTTAACCATAAAGGAGATAGACCTAAGTTTTGTATATTAACTCCTTGAAATAAATGATAAATTGTAAATCTTTATAATTCTCAAAAGCAAGTAAACCCTCAATGATTTTATTTATTTTTATTAAACATTACACGCTACATAATTATTAACTATAAATATATTTAAAACAAATATGTTAATTTAACTATGTTTACATTTTTTAGGTAATCATTTTTGTAATTTTATTTTTACCTTCATTTTTTACAGATGATGCAATTTGGGATTCATTGTTTATGTATTGGCGACCACTGCGCAGATTAGAATCAATGACTGGTCTTTTTTCTTCCAATTGCCTACGAAATCCTCTATGATCATCCTAAAACATATTTCATATTTAGTTATATTGTACTTTATTCTGAAACAAAATGTTAATTAAAGTTATACTTGTTGCTTTTGTAATGTTGTCAAATCGTTGCCTAAAGGACCAAAACTTGAAATTTCTGTATCCTTTTTAATTACCCATTCGACTAGTTCTCTCAAGGATAATAAAAGAGTATTCCAATGTTCTGTATTATTTTCTAATCGATTTCTAAATAATAAATCCATAGTATAACAAATTACGTATGATTACATTTCATAAAAAATATTAATTATATATTTGCGTACATACAAATTATATTTTAACACATCGGTTATGAATATAAGATGAATTTAAAAAAAAAAAGTAATATAAACATTATTTTTTTTTTAAAATTAGGATCAGTTTTATTAATAACTGAAAATCCCTAACAAAAACCAATTGCAAATGTTGATCATTTTATGAGCTTAACTTTGTACCCATAACGCAAATAAATCATTCAAAAGGTCACACTATTCCTGACGTGCCATGTATTAAAAGGGGGAACTAAATATGATCCTAGTCCGACGGGATTGCTTCAATATCACAGGTTCGGTGCTATATGAGCTTCTTGGGAATTATAAATTACAATCATATAATATAAATGAAAGTTAACAGGGTATACATATCCCATGGGACACAAGTAAAATGATAGGTTCCAATTACCCCTTCCTAAAAAGACATACATGCAGTTCTAAATTTAAAGGTTGAATATTATATTATTAGGTACATTTTACTACTACAAAATATTATAATATTATAAAATGTATCCTAGTTATTTATAGTTGTTAAATTGAACATATTGCATGGGGTGTTATGGTTGGTGATTAAAAAATATTAGTACTGATGTCGATTTGTATTTTTTATAAATACCTTATAGTAACAGAACGATTTTTTAATTGGTTCCAACGCTGATTCATTTCTTCTAGTCGTCTTTGAAGCATTACCGCGTCTTCTTGAGATGACAAACTTCCGAGAAGTTTTCTTCCACTAGTATCAAGAGAATTTAAAGATTGACTTTTTGTTTCCATTTCTTGCTGAAGTTCCTGCAAAAATAATAAGTACATTACATACATTTTAAGATTCCATTATCTATTTAAAAATTGTACGGCATAGGTCTTGTATCATATTGTCTTCTATCATAAATATTGCTCCAATAAAAAAAACATTAAGAGATCTTTTTTGTTAAATTTTTAATCTAGTTGGTGACCAGTTGCTTTTTGATTTTCTTTGTAGTTTTTTTAATAATTGAGCAAAATCGAAAAATGCGTAGAAAGTACGGAAAAATGTGCGAAAATAATTCTTTTATTATTTTAAATTTTGTTTTTTAATATAATTTAGTTTAAAATATTCATAGAATTGAAATTTTAATAGAAAACTTATATTTGTTTTTCTAGACATCGTAAAATTTTTAAAACATTTAAGTCATTTTTGAGCTATTTATAGACATTTTATTTTTTCTTATTTTTATTTGGTAAGTGCGGATAAAATTGTTAGACTAAACAAAAATGCTTGAAAATTTAACAGGAGGCTCCTTTTTTATAAGTTTTAAAATAAAATTTTGACGAAAATCGTATGTATTACGGTCTTTCAAAACAAGTACTTATATAACCGAATAGTTTTTCGCTATAAATGGTTTATAATTGGTTACAGGTATAAATTAAATAATTTCATGTATCTCACCTTCCCCAGTACCTACCTCCAACAGTGGCCGCACCTGTCCCCAGTAACAGATCTTTTTTTATATTACATTTAATTATTAGGAATATTTTCCTAATAGATTTTAACAAGTTTAATTTGAGAACGGATTTATATTTGAAAATCTGTATTGTTGTCCAACTCGGACTTTTATGGGTAAGTACTAAGAACTTAAGGTATCTGCCTACATATGCATTATTTGCACTGAAATACAAATTTTATTTATTATGGGCTAGTATTTAAAAAAACTGAAGATTTTTATGAAAAAAAAAAAAAAAACAGTTGTGAAATCATCCTTTTAAAAAATTGAAAATTGAGCAACATCAGTACCTACTCTTAAAAGGTTAAGTTAGAACACGAAATTTGTTTTAATTCCACTTAACAGCACAAGTTTGTTTTTTTAGCCCTAATTTTGATCCTAGGTACATATTTTGTTATACAGATAACTTGATATTTACAGTATATATATTTAATGTATATTATCATTCACTATTTTTTTAATCTATTTAAAATACAGAATAGATAAGTGGTTGTTAAATATGAAAATTTAAATTTTTTCCACGGCTCGCGAAGTCAATTGAATCTGCAATTAAAGATTAATTTATTATGTCGATCACGCAGCAAATATAAACCTGGAAATACGCCGCAAAATAGGCTTAATTAAATTTTAACGCGTCGTTGCTGCTGTGGCAGCCGCATATATCCTCATGAGAGCCATAACAAATACACGACCACAAGATTACTCACGAATAGGTTCTATGCAAACCTTTTCTCTTACTTTGTAATTTAACACATGCCACGATAAATAATCAAATTTTTGTAGGTAGCATAAAATATGCGCATACAACTTTTTTGTATCAATACTAATGTATATTACCTATTTATAATATGTATATTATATATTATGCACGTTTATTAAAAATACACAAACAAATATTTGCGAATAATTTTGTTTTACTTTTTATTAAGTAGGTAGGTATAGAAAAGTTTGTGTTATTAATTTTCCAACGATGTCGCATATACGCAAGACCTGGTTGGAATTGAGTTAGATACGCGTAATTAAATCATGTAAACCAGTTACATTTTAATTAAAATTAAAATTGTTTACATGCTTAATTAATTCAGAGATAAATATGTTTAAATAACAGAATTTCTTCTCAGATTAAACCAAAAATGTTTAAACTGTTCTTACATTTTATTATTGACAATTTTTAAAACTATACATTTAATATTATTTTTGACAGTAAGTAGTGTGTAATATATTGTTTTTACAATTCTGTGCGTCATTTTTTTTTTTTTGTATTTTGCTCTGATTTTTAAGTATATCTCTTTTGAAAGCAAATACCATCTACTTGGTGCATACGAGTTTGATTTTCTTTGTAGTTATTTTAATAATTTGAGAAAACTGTAGGAAATATTGGAAATTGGAATATTTACAACAAGATTTTATTTGGTTTATAGTTTTAAAATTGAAGTTCATTATAAATTGCATTTAATGTAAATAAAAAAAAAAGTAAAGCGTAATGTAGTTTTTTTTATAAGCATTTGCAGTTCAAATTTTATCGAAAACTGTAAAATTAACGGGATTTCAATACATGTTTAACCGAACTTCCGAACTTCGCTCAGAATCATATCTCCTGAGCAATTATTTAACGTTACGTACAGGAAAACGAAATAACTTAATATATCTTATATCTTCCAACTTCCTACCTACAACAATGACTCATCAGGAGTATTATATTTGTATTTTTTTTAAGTCCTAGCAATGATGTATATCTAATATAAATTATAACTAAACAAATTGGATTTATATGTCTAATTTATTCAAAATGATGATTAGAAAAAGTTTAAGGTTGAATTAAATTAAAATAACTAGCAAAATATACAGTGTATACTATAAATAATGTAAATATTAATATTTACGATTTACCATGACCGTAAGTCCCAGAGGTTTTACTATTCTATAGTGGTGTGATGAGGCATTCCACTATAAAATAATAAATATTCACTGAAAAAATCAATATATTATAAATTATAATCTAATTTTACAAAAACGTTTGAACGTACTATAAAATTGATTAAAATAATACATTTATCAAAGGAAAAATTAAATATATGATGACGGACCATCAAATAGAAATATAATAATATCAACTAACGGCAAAAAAATAAAAGGTGAAAATACTTTTTTTTTTTTTAATTATCCCTACCTCAATAATAAGGCTGTAGATAAATATGTAAAATATGAATAAAATTAAAGAGTAACGTCTATTCATAGATGTGCTAAACATCTGATTTATAATAAAGCTTATCTAGCAAAGATAACTTTTTTTATAAAAGCCCGTTCAATTTATACATATATATATATATAGAACATAACGTTTAATATGGGAGTTTATAACAATGAGGTCAGATGCTCTTGTTGAGAGACCTCTTGTTCGCTACGGGCATTGATTAAAAAAAATTCAGTGTACAATTATAGAGAAACGCAGAGACAAGCAAACACAAGCTCAAAGTGCATTGTTTATAGAATTGGGCTCGTATATTTTCCACATAATATTTTCTTCTGTAGTATGTATGTGGATTACATTACCGAAGCACTTCAAGCGATATTAAGTCAATGTTAAAATGTTTTACTCTCAGTCAGTATTTTTATTGACGTACGAATAATTTTTAATTTACGCGCATATATAATAGAGAACCGTTTAATAATAATGATAGAATATATTATACTGAAAATTTAACAAAAAATAATAAATGTACAGCCCTTATATAAACAAAAAAAAAAAAAAAATCGGGTCAAGTATCTTAAAATAACCCAATGAATATACGGAAAATCGGGTAATTTAATGAGTTAGTTAGATACATACCTATATTGTATGCAATTCAATACATTTTTTTTTTAATTTCCTAATTAAAATGTATTCATACAAATATTGTCAATATGAAAACAAAACAAACCTATAGATAGTTTTGGTTGACGCAGCAATAACAGTATAAACAAAATAATGTATCAATCAATCACGATCATCTAATACATCAATCATTTGGACTTCTTAAATTGAATATGACTTGAGGATTTCAATCAAATTCGTTAACATATTAAGTTATATACGTTCTAAAATGGTAATGTTTTAAGACGGAGGAAAAAAATGTAATAACTAAACAAACATCTTATAACAATAATGCCGGGTTGCATAAAAATCATTCCATATATATTTAATAGTTAGGTATAGTTAGGTAACTGATTAGTTGCATACAAATTTTACGAATTGTTCAAGGTGTAAAACATATATAAATAATATATTTTTTATGTATATATATCATTGTATATAGGTAAATTAATCATAAGTGATAACAGATTAATGATAATATAATTTAACGAGTCGTTAACATGTACAGTACCGATATTGAATAACTAACTAATGAACCATTAAGACTAAAATTTAATGGTCCGTTAAAATTTATAAAACGTTTATGAAATTTAATTTTTTGAACGAATTGTTAAAACTTCTAATTGTCCGTTAAATTTTTAACGAGCATTTATGTAATCCAGCAGAAGTTTACTGAAGTTGGAAAAATAAATAGATAAAAGTTAAAAGAAATAAAAAAACACGCACGAAAATTGGGCGTTCACTGTATAGAAGATACGGAATTTATAACTTATAATAATTTAAAACCTCTATATTTAATGAGATACCTTTTGGTAATAAAAAAGTTACGCTTATTGATTATTTATGATTTAATACGGCAGATTTCTGTGAATAAATTAAGGGACGTATCATATCACAGTAATAAACTACAAATAAGTGATAATGTAAATTTAGTATACAGAATGTACCTATGTGCACGTCATATTTAATTCTCCATCCAAAATTCTAAACATCATACAATTATAAATAGGGTGGAAGAAATATTATATGAATAGTTCACTTCATCAATAACAATAATTTCTAAAAAAAAAATTCAGTTTTTATTTTGGGGTTGCAATTAATCAAACAGGGATTTAAAGATTACTTATTTGAATTTTTTCGCACGAGGATTACAAGTATCTGGATTGATAAAAAGCCATAATGAATAATGAATGCTACAGCGACAAAGTTTTCTGACCTATAATAAATATAATAATAATTACCAAACTCCAGAAAGTGCTAAAAGTTTATAGAAAAACGCCTAGATAAAGTTAATATTTCATCGAACAGATACTGAAAAGGAAAATAGTTTTTTTTTTACAACATAATATAATATGTTTCCCTGACATGATTTCCCGACGAAACGTGAAAATGCTTTCAGCCGAGGCGGCCAAACGATATGTATTATGCAAATTTAACCCAGAAGGGCGAATGATTTGGAACTAGAGCACAAGTCGAATGTGTACTATACTTATATATGTATACACTACTTTCGGAGAGTAAACGTTTTATTGGGTTTGAAATTTAATATTTTTATTGGTTTTTTTTTCAATTTGAGATAAAATCGAGCAGAAAAAAAACATTGCAGATATATATTATAAAGTAGCTACCTATACCCATTAATGTGAAACGCGTGTTGTAATATGTTTTAAACAGTATACCAAGAACCGCAATTACGGGACGACACAAAAATATAAATCTTCGTGGAAAACTAAAATGACGTTACGCACGAATGATTTATACGACAATAATTGTTCCCTATTCCCTAACATACTGACGTGCGGGTATATAAACATAGTAGTTCCGTTTTTTTCGCAGAGAAAAAATTCATCCGAATTTTACCTTGGCCAATCTCTGTTGAGTGTCTAGTATGTCCAACATTAAAGCGATCTTGTGATCGGTCACCCGATAACCGTTCCGGTAACACTCGATCAATTGATGCAACGCAATAGCCGCAGCTTTAGTAGGCACCGTGGCTGATGGGGATTCGATGTCGATAGAATTTTGAGACGAGTAGTTACTGCTAGCACCGGCAACCGACGACACGGGCAACGAAAGCCGGCGGTGTCTTTGAAAACGAGACGCATTAGTAGGCAACGATCTGTGTACCACTACTGTGGTTGCCGACGAGGTTGGTGTTGTAGCGACACGTGATTTAGACGAGACGCGGTCATTGGCGCCACTACAGCCCAAACCAGCTGGAACGGTTGAAGACGAGCTTAGTCTAGTCCACGAAGAACCATCGACGAAATCCATTGAACTGGGACGCCGTCGTCGTCCGACGATTGGCGGTTGCTGCTTTTGATGCTGCTGCTGTGTGGCAACAGTCTGTCGCATAAGAAACACGTCGGCCACTGATCCGTCGCAAAAACCGCGCCTGTACGCTTCTTCTACGCGTCGAGTGTCGTTAGAATGTTGTTTTCGAGCCGAAGACCGCGGCACCACACCGTAATCGGACACGGATCTTGATACGGCACACGGAGGCGACGGTTTGTGGTGCGAGTGCTCGGGTAACCCTTCGGTACGCCAGTCACCGAAACCGCCATCGTCCGCGGACGACAAAACCGCCTGCGAATGATGTGCTCCTGCCGGTGGGGTCTTTTTGCATTTTTTCGGAGTGTCGCCTGCGTGGCCCAACCGCATAACGATCGAACGGTACACTGCGTTCTTCCGGATCACTTGCAGAGCCGAAGTGATCTTGTGTCTGGACGAAGAACCGAGACCGCGGGGCTGTTGTTCGTCAGACATGGCGGTAAGTGACCACCACCTTCGCGATAGACCGACGGCCGCGTGTCGGGAACTCGGAGACCGATTGCGACGCGGATTGAGAGACGACAACGACGCTGACGCCACCGCGGACCGGCGTGAAGAGGTATATATAATAACACGGAGGGCGCGCATGTACGGCGGCGCTCGTTCTGCGTACACGCATGCAATTTACTCGAGAGGTTGTTGCGGTGCCGGGTCACGTGCGCGTTTATACGAGTTTGTGCGTGTTATTATACCCACTGTCGTTCATAACGCTTGCCCGCCACGATACCGTCCAACAATCGGTCATAGGTGACCAATAGCCGTCGTCGGGCGCCGGTCCGGAGATTCGGGTTCGATTTCTTGTATTTATAGCACCTCCGAGACGCAATCTTTTCGTGTCTTTCCGGGCCACGATCATAATAATATGTCCGCGACGCGAGACATTTCTACGAGTATATATTACTACATAATATTTTTATAATGATGTTTGTTTAACATTTTATCCGTTAACTCTTATACATACACCGATTTTCTCAATATATGGTTTTATCCAGGGCCATATTACTGTTTAGACTACACTTACGGAGGCAAATTTTAAAAGTGGCAACTATATATAGCATATGTTTTTTATGGTGTAGTACAAAAAATATTTGTGACAAATTTACTATAGCTTATGGGCAGCAAAAACCATAATCCAGGTCTAGTTTTATAGTTAATTGTTTTCTTTTAGAATATTAAAAACGAGAATAGTTTTAATAACTATTATACTCGTGAGTTCCATGCATTTTAGTTTCTTTTTTTTTTTTTTTTTTTTTTTTGTAAATAGAGAAACATATTATACTAATTGGAGTACAACGTACAAATCCGTTTCATAACAATAGTAATACAAATATAAAGTTTAATAGTGTAGATTTTAATATTTTTTATAATATACAGAGTGATCAATTTAGCGTAAAACACTCATTATCTCGGAAGAACTCGGAAAGTATTAACTTTTTGGAATTTGTTTGTACAAATATGTTTGCTTATGAAATAAGCAGCTCTACAATTTTAAATTTATGTTATTTATGGGGGTAAAACCACTACTTACTTTTGATTTCCAAATGACAACCTATATTATAAATTCCATAAATAAGATGAAGATTGGTTATAATAAATTTTGGTGTTAAAATGTTTGATTTCCGTCAATCCATTGACGAAATATTCCACTTTTAAGTTTGGGTCGGGGGAAAGTAGTATACGGTGCGTTATTAAACTCCGCGTGCCGTGCCATGATACAAATGATGCTCCACTACTCTCCCTCATACAAACTTGAAAGTGGAATGTTTCGTCAATGGATTGATAAAAATCAAACATTTCAACACCAACATTTGTTTTAACTAATATTCCATCTATTCATGGAATTTTTAATATAGATTGCCATTTGAAAATCAAAAGTAGGTAGTGGTTTTACCACCAAAAATAAGAGTGAGAAAAAATAACACGAATGTAAAAAAGTAAAGCTGCTTATTTCATAAATGTTCTACAAAACAAATTCTGAAAAAAATGTAATACTTCCCGAAATAATGAGTCTCTTTTGCTAGATAGAACAGATTGATAGGAGCATTTATCTACAGATTTTTTTTTTTTTTTTGGCTCAGGAAAAGAATCGAATATACTTTGATTCATTGTTAGTGGAACTAAAAAAACTAGTAAGGTAATTACTAAAAATACTAACAACTACTAATGTAGTTTTTTCAGATATATCCATGGTAACCTTGAAATCAACCCTAGAAAAACGATAGTCATTTGCTGGGAGTGGTCAATGGTTTGAAAATAAGTGAGAAAAAAGGTTAAAATGTACAATTAAGTGGCTAAAAAGACGTCCTAGGATAATGGGGACGGGTACAGCCACTATTATAGATAATTTAATGTATACCTGTAAGCAACGATAAACCATTCCTTAGGAAAAAACGATTCTGAACGGAGTTCAGTTGATAGTGATGCATTGTCAAAAATATATATGCCATTTTACAGTAAAATAAATAAATAAGCTTTATATATTTTCTTTAATAATATTTGTTAAATGTTGTACCGATTTTCCGAGTTTTCCTACGTTTTTCCTGGTTTTTCACATTTGATGGATAATTTTTTGGGAAAATTGAAAAATTACCTCTCTAAAGTACCTCCCTAGTGAAATTTCCTTTTAAAAAACTTTACTATCATTATAAGTTGGAGCAAAATTTCTGGTGGAAAAGTTAAGTACAGAAAAAAAGATAGCCGTAATATATTATAAATAATATTTATATTTCTTATATTTTCCTATTTTTTTCTGTTTTCAAAATTTGATGAGAAAACTCCTGAAAAAATCGAAAAATGACCTCCTTAAAGTACCTCGCTAGTGCACATTTATATCATAGATATGTTATATTTTAAGTGCAGTGTAATTGTTATTATTGGCGATCAAAATTCAAATGCTATAATGGGGGCCTGATGAGTCAAATGAAGTGATATTGATGTCTGGTAAAATATTATAAAAAAATATAGTCTATAGAGCCCATTTTAGGTGGCAACTAATTGGTTTGATCGCTAACTATGAATATTATAATCTTTCTTAATCGTGATAATCATAAACTACAAGTATTAATGATACTGGTAACCAGAAATACTCCAGCTTGAATAATATTAAAGACTTAGTTACTTAGATTAGGTACGATTATAGTTGGCTTTTATTAGTTTATTATAATTTTTTTACTTTAAGCTTTAATATTTTTAGATAGAAAACTTGGTTACGGGCAAAAATGGGCAAAGAAAGGTTGACTGGTTTGGCGTTTCTACATATGCATAGAGTTATAGAATTTAATGTGGGTGATATTATTGACAGATTTGCTAAAGAAAAAAAATATCTATAGATTTAATTTTATAAATGTATAAGTTTTTCATTTTAATTCAACTAACTATAATTTTGAATACAAATAGATATATTAATATTAATATTATCTAAGTTGTTTTGTCAAAATTAAATTAAATTAAATCCGAATAGGTAAGATTTAATTTGTGAAAAAAAGACCACTTACGTGAGGTAAGTTTATTTATTTAAACAAATTGAAACTCATTTTAATACCAAAAAAAACAAAAAATTGGATAACCCATTGGAACCGATACTGTACCAAGATCTCGTAATAAATATCAATATAATAATTATTTTTATAAAATTGTAAAAGAATACTTAAAAAGAGTGACTTTAAGTAATTAAAATAAAACAGATGACTTTAAATATAACTCTGTATAATCTTCTTGTTGAACATGGTTCGGCGCCACTGAGAACATTTATATATTTATAATATCTAATTTATTTTACCATAATTAATGTAAGGCGGCTTGAACTTCTATAGGATACACACTAGACAGTATAATACATGCACTACATGTAACTAAACTCATAAAATATCATTAAAGTATATAATCAAATAAATATATAACGTGAGTATAAAAAAAATATATAACTCAAAACTAATAATGTCATTCGAGATAGAAACGTCAACTACAATGAAAATATTACAAAGCATACATTTGTTCAGACATTGGTCAGGATAAGAGTGTAGGATTAACAACTGTCATAAACACACTTATATCTATTTTCGATCTTATATAAAGTCCAGATGGCCAAATACACCAGTTTTTTTTAAAAACAAATTATGATTCTAACAATATAAATAAATATATTCAATATTGTATACTAAAACTTTGGTGTTTAGGATTTTAGATTCAGACCACAGCGTATTGGTTTAACCATTGATTTTATAATATATATATTTTATATTATAAAATCAATGGTTTAACTATTACGTTTTAGATTCTGAGTGAAGCAATGAAGCTTATGGTTTTACAAAAATGTTATTTTAATATGGACAACTTTTCTACCAGAGAATTTGATCTAATTTTTAGGTGAAGCGATTTTTCTGAAAGGAAATCGGTGTGGGGAAATACTTTAGAGAGGTCGTTTATCGGTGTTCTCCAGATTTTTTTCAGCAAATGAGAAAAACTGAGAAAAAACATAGGAAAACCAAGAAAAACGTAGAAAACCGGGGAAATCGGTACAATTTTAACCAAATATTTTTAAAGAAAATATAAAGAGTCTACTTAATTATTTTACTATAATATGGCATATATATGTTGACAAAGCATCACTATCAAATGAACTTCGTTCAAAATCGTTTTTTATAACAATGCTTTATCGTTGCTTATAGGTATAGGTATTCACTAAATTACCTATAACAGTGGCTGCATCCGTCCCCATAATCCTATGACTTCTTTTTATTTTTTTATACTGTGTATAGAAATTCTACAGGAAATCATGTTTCGATATACGTGCATTACAATTTATGATAGGAAATATTGTCTACTTGGTAGATATTGGTATTTTAAGGAATTCATTTTTTGATTTTCCAAGTGGTTTTCATAATATCGGGGAAAACCCAGAATAAAATGTAAAAAAAACGGGAAATTTACGAAAATAATTGTTTTATTATTTTTAATTTTTTTTTGTGATTCAGTTAAAAAGATTCATAGACTAGAAATTCGAACGCAAAACTAATAATTGCTTTTTGAAGACGTGGTAAAATTTTCAAATTTTTTTTTGCCACTTTTGAGCTATTTATAGACATTTTAATTATCCGATTTTAATACGTATTTTTATTCGGTAAGTATTCTGTGGTGAAATCGTTAGAATTAACAGAAATCCTTAAAAGTTTAACAGAAGGGACTCCCTAGGGAGTTTTCTCAATAAATGGGAAAAACATGGGAAAACCGAAAAAAAATGACAAAATAAATATTATTAAAGAAAATTTATAATGCATATGTAATTTTTTTACCATAATGTGACATATATATATATATTGTTAACAAAGTAATACTATTAACCGAACTCCGCTAAGGATCGTTTGTCGTTAGCAATTGTTAATCGTTGCGTACAGATATACATTAAATTTCCCTTCTACCTTCCCAACTTATCACCTACAACAGTGGCCCACCCACATGTGAAGTATGTCAGTTTTTATATAAGTCTATTTGTCAACATGATTTTCACAAGAAGACTAGCTCTAAACTTCATAATTAATAGAGGATTTTTGGTAGAATTTTGGATGGAATGGAATAGATTTTTTATGAGTTTTCTTATTCTTTTTATAATGAAAACAAAAAAAAAAAACTAAAAATGGGAAAATTCTCTCAGCAATTGCGAAATCTGTTTTTTAAAAAATATATATGATTCAGTATGAAATTATAGTGTGACCTAAATAATATATTAGCATAGTGTTGACGCTATTGAAATGGAATACTAGTATTGCAATATACGAGTAAGTACTGGTATGGAACGGTATACTATAATACCGGTGTAGCAGACGAATCTGAATCCAGGCGAATGTGACTGCAGTGACTTAGATTAGTCCAACGTCACCTTCGCCTGTTGATCCAAAAAAAATGTGATGGGCAATCAAATCCGACTTCTTGGCAACTGAATTAAATTTTATTTATATATATATGTTTTAAATTATTAATCTCAAATTTATTTTATATTTCCTTACAATACCATTTTTATTATTTATTATAAATATTTATTCATAATACAGGTATTATATTAAATAAATTTATAAGCGCTTTAAATTTCTATTGTTGACAATAATAATGTAAACTAGATTAATTTTATTTATTGTATTTAAAAACAATAAATCGTATTAATTACTTAATTAGCCCCTTATAGGTATTTATTGTAATTTCTCCGTTAGCCTGTATTTTTGTTCGCTAGCATTTAAATGATAATAAGGTACTTGCCGATGAAATTGTGAACTTAACCACGCAGAGCAAGTTAAAGTCTTATGGTAATTCATGTTTGGTACAGTTCATACCATAGATAGACCACTGTTATGTATGATCATTTTTGAAAGTTATACATGAGATAATGTCCGAGGAGATAGAGTTCAAACTCGCAGGATAGGTTTAAAACACATAAAATATTTTGTTTCCATAATTCGCACTATGAGCAGTTTTTGGTTTTACAAGTATTTTTCATAATAATTGGAAAAAACCCAAAAAAGACTCAAAATTGAAAACTCATTAATTTACGATGTCATGATTTTCTTTATTTTCAATTTGTTCGGCTTATGTTTTCTACCAGAAATATCACTTTAATAGAAAAATGATAAAATATCATTGTTGTAGCATTTTTAAATTAGATTATATGTAAGAAAATTTACGAAAATAAATGTTTTATTATTTTAAATTGTATTTTTTTTTTTTTTTTTTTTTTTGTTGCTGTAATTCAGTTAAGTATTAATAGAAAATTATTTTTCAAGATTTGTACATTCCAGACTTTTATATTCTAGGATTGTACGGTACAAATTTCGATAACCGTAATACTTTGGATTTAAGGTTTGTACATTCCAGATTTTCACTCGTTCCCAGAACGTATAGGACCTCAGTCTTACCAATGAAATAATAGAGTATATTCTGTGTCTTATTCACAGATATTTTACAACACATTGAGTAATGAAAAAAAAAGTAAAAACATATTTTTAGAGAAAGTTAGCAAACTGAGGAATTAAATAATACAGGTACAGCACATGCCGTATAGGCCGTACCCGTACGCACGCCTGGCCTTTTTTCGCCAAAAAACCGGTTCCCTACTTTACGCATAGCCTTTTTCCGCCCGAAACGAAAAAGGTACGATTACCGTTTCCAGCAAAATGTATTTTAGTAAAAAGAAGGTTTGGGAACCATATACCTAATTAATCAATTAAGTGATAATAATAAGTCAAATAATAAAATAAAATTAAAGGAATTTTTTTTTTTTTTAAAATCATAGCTTTAAATTACAGCTAAAAATGAAAAGAAATAATTTTGACAAAAGTGTACCTACTAATTTACCTAGTGTACCTTCATTGGACTTTTTTTTAATAATTGCAGTCCGATATTTCGAAAAGGTCTAAAAATGTTAACCCAAAAATGTGTTTTAACCAGTAATTATCTTTATACTCAGATGTTAAACTATCGCTATATTTATGGTTTATCGATTATTTGATGTTGTTTATATTTTTGTTATCGACGATTATCTATCGTTGTATATATTAAAACCATCAGTTTCCAAATTATATTTGACCGGAAACAGGAGTCGTACCTTTTTTGTTTTTAGCGGAAAGTTTTTCGCTGTGGCGAAAACGGCCAATATTATTTTGGCGGAAACGATTATCACCCGCACGACTAGTAGTCAGAGACGTTGTTAAGAAGGTCGTATCCCGTTTCGCCGCCGTTTCATTTCGCTGCCAAATTAATCCCATTTTTATAGTTATCAAATTATTTTTGTTTCACAACATAGTTAATAGGAATTTGTGATTATTAAAACAATAGATAGACACCTTGAATAATTATTTATTTACCTACTGGATTTGTTGTGCATAACAATGGTAGGTAACAATAGAAAAAACAAAGGTTTTAATAGATTTTTAAAAACTTGTTTAACTGCATTCATTAGTGTCATATTTCCAAAATTAATAGTGTGAAAAATCGAAAACAAAGTCGGTGTGTCAGATGGAATTCACCACGAAACTCTTTTATGACTAACCCGCGTCACAACCACTGTAGCACACATTCACCAACGTAAAAAAAGACGGTTATCTGATTCTTAAACTGAGTTTATTGCTGATAACGAACGACGATTGGTCTATTATCTTATAAACTCCGTTTAAAAATCGAGGTTTACATTGGTAAGAACGGACCTAAGATGGAATCAAATTACTTATTTAACTAAACTGTCGAAAAATTCAAATTTAAAATCGCTATAACTCAAAAACTAATGATCTGCGGAAATTTTTTTTGACACCATTATTTTTAAAACGTTAATTTAAATAGAGTTCTAGTTCTATTTATATTAAATTCGCATACGCCAATGACTTCGCCATTACTACCTAACATAAAGATCAAGCTGAAACAGAAATAGTATTTATAGAGGATCTCATCACTTTAGAGTTTAGATAATTAGGTACTTCCGAGACTGGAGATTAAAAATCAACACTAGTAAAACTGTAGCGACCTGTTTCCATCTCAATAATAAACTTGCTAATGTCCAACTCAAGATAACTTTCAATGGAGCCATCCTAAATCATAATCATCTTCCCAAATACCTTGGCGTAACATTAGATCGTACACTCTATTTCGAAATACATCTCGAAAACATTGCCGCCAAGCTCAGCTCCAGAACAATATGACACAACAATTTTGTGGCACATGATGGGATGCTTCTGCTCATACTTTACATCGCTCAACCCTAGGCTTGATCTACTCGCTAGCTAAATATTGCGCACCCGTTCGGCTAAACAGTGTTCACGAATCAAAACTTGATACCCAAGACCCAACTTAATATCATCATGAGAATAATATTTGGTACAATAAAATCTCCAATTCACTGACTTCCAACATCAACAGCAATCGTCCCAACACCATTGATTTTTGAATTACGGCGAAAATTATTATGGTTCAATAAGTAAATTATAAATGTATAGTTGACCGTTTAAATCTGTACAATAATTTAGTGCCTATGAAATGGTAATACTGTAAAATTTGTCTTCGTTTTTCGCCTCAATTTGTCGTCAAAATGGCACCTCTATATTGCTCTATGGATAGTAAACGGTGTGTGATAACGCACAGGATAAAATTTTAAATTATAGTACAATAATTCTGTAGTTACTGTGCTTATTGCTCATGTAGTCATGTGTGGTTGACGGCCGTAGTGTACTATGTACTACCTTGATCAGTATTCAGTGCATTCATGCATGGTTTTTAGAAATACTACCATATTCTGCCTATTAATTATTAGTTTAAGATCTATGGTAAGAACAAACTTATAAAATTGTTAACTTTTCAAATTTACCACAATAGCCTAACCATAATTATGCATATTATACATTTAAAAACTCATAATAACAATATACCAACTGATTGTTTAGGCAAAACACTCATTATATTGGAAAGTATCAATATATGGACTATAATTAAAGTTTTTTTTTTTTTGTTAATGTAAGATGCATAAGCCATTGCTATTTACAAATTATATATTATTTTTTTTCACTTATATTTTTCATAAAATCACTACCAACAAGGGTTACAAAAGAAACCGTTTTTTTTTTTGCAAATATATTAAAACTATAGTTAATTATAAATATAATGTTATAATAACTATTTAAAAACAGGACTACAATTAAAAAAAATGTTACTTCTTTATCAAAAAGTAAAAGAAATAATTTATTTTCATTAATATTTTATGAATATGAACTATATATTGTAATATATAGTAAAGATATGTATATCTTTACTCCTCAGAACATATTAGTTATTTAAATTGAATTTTTAAAACGTTTTAAATATTAATTATATTTAACATATTTCAAACATAAGGACTTTGTTTAAAACACTTCCCAATCCTGTTACCAATGATTAATTTTCAAATTACAACATTACTACATTATGAATTTCATAAATTTATGAAAATTTAGATGCAATTAGTTTGATATTGAAATTTGTAATTTTCATTAACTTATTGGCAAAATATACAACTATTAAAGTTAGTCTTTTTGCAATGTGATACAGGTAGGTAGGGCAGTGGAGAACTATCCAGTCACACAAATGATAGCACATTAATCAGATTTATAAGCAGTAAAACTATCTATTCATTCAAATTCTTGTAATTTTATATAGGTAGATAATAGTTGATAATCCATCAATCATGAACTCTAACAATTATTGAATCTGCATATTTTATTAATATTGTGTAAATAATGTTAAACAAATTTTGGGATCAAATATAAATATTTTTTGTTGAAGATGATTTAAATTAAATACTTGGAAGTAAGTTACTTTACAAAATAAGTAAAATTAATAATTGTTAAAAATTATTTATTATACTTTATTTTATTTTGTACACTCTCACATCTAGTAGTACAAACACTTAAAAATTGTGTATACATGCTTATTTGGGTTTTATCCCTACCAAAAAATTAAGCTTACAGATGTTTCATACACAGCAATTATTAAAGACAATTAGTCCCTGGGAATTATTAGCCATAGAATGTTTGGTCCCCAATGTTAGATACAGTATGTTTGGTTCTCTAATTTAGTTACAATAACAATAATACACTACAACAGAGGTTCTCAAACTTTTAATTTCGCATACTACTTATATGTATTATGGATCTGTCATGTACCACGTAAAACTAAAAATTGAACAATTCATAATGTTTTTAATTTTATTTAAAAATTAACGAGTATAAGACAGTAAAATATTATAATTTATTATCAATATAAAATAAAGTATTAGATCAATTAAAAAACATTTGTACGAATATGGATTAATTTATTTTCTGTACAGTTACCATGTGGCCTTCTGCGTACCACTATGTTGCCTACCGCAGGTGGTACCACAGTTTGAGAACCGCTGCATTACAATGTAATTACAAATAATTATTTAAAATAGTGTTAAAATACCTACATAATTAAAAAAAAAAGTAAGCTGATGCTGGGAATGAGTGTGGCCACTGTTGTAGTTGTAGGTGAGTAATTGGAAAGGTGGGATACACAAAGTTATTCAAGTTATACCTGTTACCAACGAAATACCATTGATAACGAAAAATAATTCAGAGAAATGGTTGGTTATACATGTTTTAAAAGGTCAAAATATTTATGATTTTCATCATACTTTAATTATAACTGAGGCTGTGAATTTTTTAGAAAGTGCATTTCTGCTAAGTCTTAACAATTTAACAACAGAGTACCTACCGAATAAAAATTACGTACAAAATTTGAAAAATTAAAATGTCTATAAACAGCTTAAAAATAGTTTGAATTTTTTAAAAATTTGACCACGTCTAGAAAAGGCAATTATAAGTTTTCTGTCCAAATTTTAAGTTTTTATGAATATTTTTAACTGAATTTCAACAAATAATAAAAGTGTTTATTTTATACATTTCCTGTTTCTCTTAAGTTTTATCCTGGTTTTTTACAGATATTATGAAAACCGCATGGAAAATCAAAAAATGACCTAAAAGTACCATCTGGACAAAATTCCATTTTAGAAATGATACCGCGCGTAAAAATCTGAGCAAGATTTCTGGTCGAATTTTTGTACAAAAAAAAACCATCTAAAAACCAATACATTTTTCACTACACTCAGAATTTAAAATTAAATTGAAAACCATTTTAAGTGCATTTTTAAGGTTTTATACCGTATTAATTTCACAGCCCTAATTACTATTAAAAAAAAATATTACAATTTGAGTTACTGCCTTCTTCATTGGAGGAGTCTATGTATATTATAAATTCAATGTTAATCTAATCTAATCTATTTTTTATGTTGGATAGAAAAATGACAAGATTCGAAAATTTAACAGGTGTGGCATAATAGAAATTAATATAATACCTAGTTAAATTATACATTTTATACATACCTAACTTAACCTATGCTTTTTTAGTTAATTCATAAACTACTTAATCACTTTAACTGTAAGATACATACATATATATATATATATATATATATATATATTGTTCTGTATTACAATGGAACTTAAAAAATGAGGAGATAGTAGGAAGTTTAGAAATTGAAATCCCCAACTGTATAAAAAAAAAAAAAATATATATAATAAATATATACTTTTATAGAGTAACTAGTCCAATGATATATAAATATAAATTATAAATTATTAGTTATTTAATTTAGAGTTTGTTCTAAAGCATGTTTTTATTTTGTCAAGTTGATCTATTAATTAAATAAATATAGGCTTTTTCTCAAAATACTATTGTTCCTTTTATTACCAATGACATATTTTGCCTTATATTAAGTTGTACTTCTCTAAGATTAACTACAGAGCAAAACTTTTAATACATTTACTTATAAAACTTAATTTAAATCATCTTCAATTAAAAATATGTTTATTTAATCCTGAAATTTGTAAGACACCATTAAGTTGTCACTAATAAGTAATATTACAATTTATAAATATATAGTACATAATCAATTACATACCTTTAGTAGATTCATGGCAGTAATGTTATCTCGCTTGAGTGTATTACATCTATCGAATTCAGCTTCAATTGTTTCCATAGATGATTCTGCTTCAGACAACCATCCTAAAAAGTTGTCAAATGATTTGTCTAAATTTTGTAAAGAATTCATTGCTGAATGTAATACTTTTCCTCGGCTTATAATGCTAAAAAGAAAACTTAATTTCAATAATTTGCACGATAGATGGGTTAATGTTGTAAATGAAAAGTTGGGAGGGTTAAGAAAAAATTATATGTATATCTGTACGCAATAATATATATACCATTACTAATGAAAAAAGATTCTGAGCGGAGTTTGGTTACACATGTTTTGAAAGCCCGCATTAGTTACAATTTGAAAATAATACATTTCGTAAATTTTCTAGTTTTTCTTTTTTTTTCACCCATTTATTATGAATACCAATAGGAAAATTAAAAAAAGACCTTAATAAAATACCATTCTAGTCAAATATCCTTTCAAAAAAAAATTTTACACTTAAAAATCGGAGAGAAATTTCTTGTATAAGTTGTTCACAGAAAAAAAAATAAACATCATTCTTAAACCAAAACATTCTCTTCTTTCCGCTCAAAATCTAAAATAATGTCAAATATTTAAAATAAAAAAAGAATTACTTAGTATTTAAGTTTTGGAATCTCTGATGTACTTGTTCTGTTAATTTTTTGATTTTGGAAGTATCATCATTTTGATAAACAGCGATTAATTTTTGTGTAAGTTGATTAAATAAATCAATCTGATGTTTATACTGATGTAACTCAACATGAAATGACTAAAAACACATGATTATTTTGTAAATTTACAATTGTTAAAAAATGTTTTATTACCTTTTGTTCTCTCTGTTGTGCATCAAGTACATCAGCAGTGTTTCCAATTGAACTCATTCGTTGTAATCTCGTCTCCATTCTAGTCAACCAAGTATCTATTTCCATTTTTTTTCCATCATAACGTTGGCTGTCACTTAACATTGCATTTAATTCAGTTTTACGTTGCATTACTTTATTATTTGTTTCATCCCAATGTTCTCTTAATTTAGTCACTATGTAATAATAATATATTTTTATTAATATAACTAAATTAATTATTATGAATTACCTTTGCCATGCAATTGTTGTCGATTTGAATCAGCTTTAAGATTTTCAGCTGTATGGACAAGTTCATCTAATTGAGGCTTTTTCTGTTCTAATTCCCGTAATACATTCTATTAAACAACATTTTTACTTTTAATAAAATTAATAAATTATTATTTTTTTTTATTAAATATTTAATATAACTATAATTTAATTTGTCTAAATAGTTATTGACATTATATAAGAAATTAAAATGTTTATACAACAAATTCCAATATTTAGTGTATTAAAACAAAATAATTAATAATTGTTAATTAAAGTTCATGACTTATGTGTATTATAATTATTACAATAGACAGTAGTTACTATTATATTTTTTTCCAAATTACTTGTCTACTGAAAAACAGATAACATAAAAAAAACTATTAAGACACTTTATTGCCATGGTGACCTGTGTTAATGCATACATACAAAGAATACAACTTATATAAATTATAATACTATAACTAACATCTTTAAAATGTATTATATTTAACTAAAATTATGTGCTAAATAAAATAAATAATAAAGTAATACATTGAGTTTTTATTAATTGAGACTTGTGCATTCATAGTTTAGAATTATTTCAAAATTATCAATTATAGATAATAGTTATTCATTAATAAATAAAGGATTTAAATTAATAATGAAAGTTTAACAAAATACTTCAATTTTAATATTATAAAATTATTATAAAATAATATGAATCAATGACTTTTTCTGATACCCAATATTTTGGTATTTGCTACTGACATAAAACTGATAACTGATTTTTCTTTGTTAAAAGAAAGTTATGTATAATTTATCTTTATGTCCATGTCCTTTAAATCAATCAAATGTGTAATTTGGCAACATTATGCCACACAGAAAATAAATTGAAATATTTAGATAATTTTAAGTTGAAACACCTATGATCAAAGAAAATATGAGAAAGCAATTTTTAAAAATATATATTGAAACAATAATTTGCTTATTTGAATTAGACAAAATAATAATTTTAAAATAGGATATGCAAATTTAGTTATAGATGTTGAAACTTTAAATTTAACACTATAATTTAAGTTCTGCATAACATAATTTTGATGTATTTCACGATTGAGATTGACAGACAGTACACGCAAGTATAATACTAATTTAAAAAGGGTTACTCTTAAAGATGCCATATCTCATAGGATTTTTTAATTTAATAATAAGAAAAAGAATTAACCATTAAAAATGTATAAGAAAACCATGAATCAGTATTTAAATCTGAGTTCTGAGCTACTCTTTTTAGGTAAAACTTATAATAAATAATAAATAATTTTCAAGTGTTAAAATGAGTTATATAATACATAGATTCTTTATTTTAAAATTACCTTACTTTTTTACTGTAATATTACAATTTTAGATTGTGTATATTTTAAATTACATATTATATGCATAATAAATAACATTTTAAATATGTTATTAATATTTTATTTTATTTAAAATTATTAAATAACACATGATAAGTCATCTTATAGTTTATATACTTGCCTTCTGTTTATCAATTAGCTGGAGTATGTCGTCCACATCACCTACTGTAACTGATTGTTGACGTAACATACTTTCTTCTAAAGCTAACCAATCACAGATCTATTAACCAATAATTATTTTAATAACTCAAATGAGCATTATACATAAAATATATATATTATAGACAATTTAATACAAAAAGTTATTACCTGAAGAATAGATTTATCAAAACTTGCTAACACAGTGAGAATTGCATCTGAAGAATTGACAGAAGATAGGGACTGTAAACTTGAATGAGAGTGAGTGACTGAAGCATTTTTTGTTAGACTTCTTAAATTTTCTTCTGCTATAAAATTGTGTAAAAAGTATTAAATAAATATTAAAATAAATTATTAAAAATTATAATTTAATAATCTGCCAAACCAATTTATTGACATATTTACTTGTTAAAGAAATTTAAAGAAAAATGTTTTTTTTCTTGTTAATTCTACTAAATTTTTAATAAGAAAACTGAATATATATACTATAGGTATTGTATAAGTATACATTTTTTTTTTTTAAATTTAAATAGTTTTTAATAGACATATCATTAAACTGTTCAATTAAAAAATAATTATAATTGATTATAACAGCAAATTATAATAAACTTAAATATTTTAGTTACCAAAACAGGAAAGTACTTATTAAAATTCAAATTGAAATATAGGTACATCAAATATATTTATGTAGGTAAGTACAAACATTGTATGCAGGATATGCCTTAGCATAGTTTGCAGCTTTATTAGGGGCTCAAAATTATTCAATATACATACTTAAACTTAGGTCGTTTTTATATTTGCTATTAATTTAATTCAAACTCATAAATTATATAATCTACCGTTACTAAATTAGGTGTTTTTTTTAAAATTATATTTGAGGTTCTAATTTTCTAATTGTATAACCTGTGGATGAAGTCTGCACACGTCTATGAGTACCTACTTAATTTGTCTATTTAATAATTCATATGTAATAATAAAATTATTGAGTTATTAAATAAACTTATTTTCTGATAGTAGATAGTAAGTTGATACCTATAATTTCAACTAAACCCATAGAATTTTACACAAAGTAAATGAAAATTTAAAAAAATGTTTTTCAACACAAAAATCAAGGTACATAATTACATAAATAGGTATAAAATATGTAATACAAATGTGCAAGGATAAAATAAATAAAAGAATATAGGTACCTATTCTTATAAAAAAAAATTGAATTGGATTAGCAAAATATTTGCATAAAATATAAACACATTATTTACATGAAAAAAGGTGAAGGATTGTAAACAGAAGAAATAATGCCGTCCAAACCTACTTCAATACATCAAATACTAAAACTACAATAATAATAATAATATAAGTATATATAAATATATTATTATGTTGCATTATGAATGAGGCCACTAGTCACTACTACTACTTACAATAGAAACATAGTCCATGAATTATTATCCTTTAAGTGTTTGATAACTAGAAGTAAATGGCAAAAAAAAAAAATAAAAAAAAAAAATGTTAAAAATAAAATGTGTGAAAAACAAAACCCCCGGAACCGCGTATAGTAGTGATCGGCAACGGCCGCATGGCTGAATGCCACCCGGGCGCTCGGGAAGGGTGAAGGGATGGTCCGCCGATATCGCCGCCGTGCGGATGGACCGGAACAAGTAACGCGCGCGAGATGTACCCAGTGTGCTCGAGCGCGGCGGCAGTAACCCTCATCGATTGATACACAAGTGGGTGGAGTCATACCATACGACCGGCCGGCACTTTCCTCGCCACCCATTAGACCGCGACGCGCGACTTTCTGAAAGCCGCGCACAACCAGTGACGAACGGGTAAAGCACACTAACACACACTAGCACAAAAATGCCAACATATACATAATGCACATAGTTACTCAACACGGTATATATCGTGTGCGTTGGTACAAGCAGTACTCCCACTCTCATACTGTGCGGCTATAGCGTTAGGGCGAAACCCCCAGGCGCACGCGATGTTGTATATTATTGCGTTATTATTCCAAAGTTTTCTTCCACTCTTTCTATTGATCTCTGTGAACGTCGCCGAACTACGCAACTAGGTATTCTTCGATGGCTCAGTTCGGAGCGGTGGAGAGAAAAGTTCGGGCCCGGGGGAAGGGGGCCCAACAATTCTGTCTGCGGAACCGACTGGATTACTTATCTAGTTTTTTTAGCAGTCGTAATAATTTTACGAGTGAGGATAATTTTGAATGCAAAATTTGATAATTTGTTTGAATTTAACAACCATAGGAAAATTAACAAATAAATCTTAGTTTGTATAGTTTTTATTTGTGTATTTTTTTTTTTATAAAATGTATATCTTTTTTTGGTAGGATAATATAGAATAATCAAATCAAAAAACTTAACCTTTATAATAACTCTTGTTTATATACAATATGATCGAGACTGCAGTGTTTCAAACTTGTGACGAGAAAAGAAGAGCTGTTAGAGTAGTCTTACAAATTAATTTAAACGAATGAAGGAAAAAATAACGAAATGGAAATTATTGGATACGACTGAGGGTGATATGAGGACTATATTATAGGGAAATGTAAATAGGATGTGAAAGACCGGATCAATCAAGTGGAGATTTAGGGCCACGGTGACCGATTCCTAATATATAGGATGAGAAAAACAGTAAGGAAAAATTTTCAAAAATGCAATTGGGCAAGCCGGAATTTGCTTTTTCTGCTGTCGTTAAGTCTGGCCCAGGTCCCCATTTTCATAATTTTCACATCGATAAAATAACGCAAAATACCAATCACGTTGTACGTGAATAAGTGAATAATTTATTACGAATATATCCGTTGCATGCGCCTCTCAAACTACTACTTAACTTGCAAATACATATAGTATATAAATATTAGGTAGGTAACTATTAGAGGCTTGCATGGGCCGACAATTCCTGGCTAGGATTTTATTAGCGTCGAAAAGTTCGGCCGGGTTTAAAAATTATTGTCAAAGCCCAACTAGACCAAGATTTTTTATAAGCCCGGTCTGACACGGATTTTTTGATGACATATGAAAACACTCTTGGAATCAAGATATTTATCATAATTTGATCATATCCAGATTTTTGATGAAGCACGAACTGAGGGTCTACTGATTTATATCAAAACTAAAACGTGTGTATTTATAACAAAACTAGTGGTTTTTAAAACTTAGGATCAATTATTTATTTAAACCGGGAAGATGGGGAGTGTTTTATCCTTGTAGGTTTGGTGATATCAGAGTAAAAACAAAAATGCAAGAAATGATTAGCACATTTTTGTTAAAAAAAATTTGAGCCCGGCCACATGTATTTGTAAAAAAAAGGAATGCCATGCCCTTGCAGGTTTTAAGTAACTATGTCCGTTAGGTTTTAAACAGAATGCGTTTTCATAACAAACTTCGAGTATTGATAGATAATTATGTTTAAAAAACCTGAATCCAATTTTTATAAATCTAAGCACAACTCATGCGCTCTTGATAAATTCATTTTTTAAATTTTAATTCCTACGTAAATATAAATAACAATTATGATTGTAAATTGTGTACGGGATACTGTCGACACAATTTAAATGTAAAAACTTTTATTGGCTTTTAACATTCGGTTTTACAATAATTTTAGTAGGTATATTAAAAATAGTTTTATTCAAAATAAATTTCATAATTCTCAGGTATTTTATTGTGTTTATTTCCAAAACCTAATGGATATATTTGTTTTTGTATAGGTTAAAAAATATTCTTATTCTCCTTGCGTTCATCTCAACTATTTGGGGTCGGGCATTCTCATTCTAAACTTCTATTTCACCCAATCTCTCACCTTACGTATATCAGCTGTCCCCTATAATTCTCAATTGCATTCAACCATCTCTTTTTCGGTTTTGTTTGTATCTCTTTTTTCCTAAATTTATATTCATAAAATGATTACCAGCTTTAGATTCCTCTCTTCTTGTGACATGCCCAAACTATTCCAATCTATTTTTTCTATTATCCAAGCTACTTCTTATCTCTTAACTCTAAAGTCTAAACTAAATTCTTCCTGTGGGAGGGGGATAAGAAAATTCTCATGGAATCTCTACATAAGAAGCGACAAATGGAGTTGTGTCAGGTTGACAAGTGGAATAAAATTCTGTCAATGATATGAGAAATTCCTTGGGTGGATTGTCCCATCTCAGATGTGCACAGGAACAACAAGTGAGAGAAGGTACCATAATGCATTATGATTGCAGATGATATAGCTTTAATTAGAGAAACTCTGAAATAAATTAAAAATTTCATTTCCAAATGCAACATCTCCCACCTGGATAAAATTGTAAATACTCCACTGATATCAAGATAATAACCATTTTTGCATGTAGGTTATTATTAAATTTGAATAAAATATCTTGTTTAGATATAATAGTATACCTAATCTAGTTTATACTGGCTCTTGATAATTAAGTTTCTAGTTTTAATAGGCTAAATTCTAGTTTTAAAAGTAATAAATACCACTTCAGTTAATGTAATTTCTTTTTTGATCTAAATATAATTTTAATAAAAATCTTACCTTTTTTTATTTCCATAGATTTTACTGATGGTTTTTTCAGAAAATCTCCATTTGCATTCTTTAGATAATTCCAATTATCTCTTAAATTTTTAACAATATCCTATAAACAAATTAATTTAATAGTTTTAAAATTGACCATAAAACTAATATATACAAAAAAAAAAAAAAAATGTGTAACACAAAATAGGAATTGCTACTTATTAGTAATTAAAGTAAAACATGAATCTCTTAAGCATATAATTTAAAATCTTACTTGTAAATCTACAGACACTGATTGACCAATTCCTTCACAATGTTTTTCCATATTTGTGAAATTTTCTAATATGTCTTTTATTTCAGCATTGCGCTCTAATAAGTTTAACTAAAATATGGATAATATATATTTTTATATAATATTTAAAAACATTACATTTTATAATCAGAAATAAAAATATTACATGTAACTTCTCAGTGGCTAATTTTTTCTCTGAAAACTGTTTCCGATTAATGTCTTCTGCTTCCAATTTTTTTTGCATTACCCAATTATTTAATTCATTTAATTTATTTATAAATTTGTTTAAAGCTGATAATTTTCCATTCAAACATATCAAACTATCAGATAAATCAGATTTAACCTAAAAATAATAAATAAACATATCATTTTTATAGTTCTTTATTAAAGTAAATAGAATTTCTTCTCCCTTTCTATGCCTTTACATTAAGCCTCTTCACCTATATAATATTTACAATGATACTTCTTGCATCATTCTCAACTACATCCATCAACTTTTACCTAGATATCCTTTACTTTCATTCTTTATAAATGCATGTCCCTTTCCACTTTACTGCTTCTTTTTCCATATTAAAATTAAAAATACATAAATCAATATTTAAATTTAAAAAACCAGTTATATAAATAAAATTGAATAGATATTCTTAGACATAAATATTCAAATTGAATGTATTACCTGATCAAGAAGAGTCTTAATTGATTCAAGATCATTTGGTTGCTTAAATTTTTTAGTATTGATAGCATCCAATTCCTGCTTTCTTGTTAACAGTTCTATTTCATTCGACTGAAAAGAACAATATACTTATATAATTTACATGATTGCAATTATTAACATACCAAAGATAAAACACACCTTGAGTAAAGAAATTTGTTTGTTTAATGAATCAATTTTTGAAGGATTGGCTTGTGTAGATTGAAGCAAATTAAGTGTCTGATCAATTGTAATTTTTGTAGCAGATATTACACTTGAAAAATCAGATTTAGATTTTTCCATTTCATTTAACCTATAAACATAAAATCTAAATTTAAAAAGAAAATAACTAAAACTGATAATATTTCTGTTATATTATGTACCTGCATGAGTTCAGATAGAATAACAAAAATAAAATACATACAATATGTCCCTAGACAAAATAATTATAAAAATTTGGGAATTTGCCAAAACGAGTAAAAATAACACCTTCTTTCCAGCATTTAGCCATTTGGAAAAAATTATAGGACAGATTTAGAACATAATATACACATACCTTTCTCGCTGTATTGTCAACTTATTTAAAACTGCTTGCCATCTTAATCTAAGACTTTCAACTTCTGATTGGAAACTATCTGAATGAGACCATAATGTACGCGAACAGTTTAAAAAACTTATGACTGTTCTGTAATTCCGAATACAAAAATTAAAACACTAATTAAGTAGTTTATACAATAGTTCTTTTAACAATTATATAATAGTAAAAAATGAGGTTGATTTTCTAAATGTGCTTTTTACTATACCTTAATACACTCTTTTAGTTAAAAATAATAATTCAAATGCTTTAAAATTATTTAGTTATTTTTCCACATTTGCAATTTAAAAAAGAAAATGATTTACAGCACAATTGTATCTTAATCAAATTGATCTTAGTTCTTTTAGTATAATTTAAAAAGTATTCATACTTCAGTCTTAAAATCATGAATTAGTTCAATAATTTTTTTTTATAAATGTATAGATGAACTATAATTGAAAAAATTAAAGAGCATTACTGCTTAACATTTTAATGATTTGTTATATTTTCAAATTCTATTATAATGTCATGAAAATCAAATTTTAATTAATTTTTATTACAATAAATTAAAATCTAAATTGGAAATTTGGTTTTATTATTCTTTAAAGTTTAAATTATGGTTAATTATGTAAATTAATATTTTTTTAATATTTACAGAGCATTTTAGCCATAATTAAACTAAATCAATAATATTCTATAACAATTTGTATTTTATTTTATTATTGTGTTCGAATCCCATAAAACTATGAAACTAATCTTCTTTTTATTCTCCTTAGCTTTCACCCAATAATCTGAGGTTTACTACCTTCATTCTAAACTTCCACTTAACCCGATCTCCCACCTCATAAATACCAGCAGTTCTCATATTCTTAATTGTAATTAATCATCTCATTTTCAATTTTTTCTTTTACATTTATTTTTATTACAATTTTTACTAATTTAAATTTCTCTTTCAAATTTTTTCTTCTACATTTATTTTTATTACAATTTTTACTAATTTAAATTTCTCTTTCCCCGGGACTTTCCCAAAATATCTCACTTTTCTCATTTTGTCTATTATTGAAGCCACGCTTAAGCTACCTCTGATTTACTCATTCCCTATTCTGTCTTTTCTAATCACTTTACTGATTCATCTAAGTATTCTCATCTCTGCTATACTCATTCTCTGTTCTATTTTTCTATTTACCACCCAACACTGAACCATACACTATAATCAGTCTTACCACATTTTTGTAGAACTTCACTTTAAAACTATGAAACTAATAAAATTTATAATTTAGGAGATTAATATTTTAGATTAAACATGAGAAAATTCAATCATTTTTTATTGTTATTCTTTCCTGAATTAAAAATTATTTTATTAAATTTTAAAATAATAATATGTCCCTTCGTGACTTACTAAAAACCTAGTCTACCTAATAGGTACATAATTTGTACTTCAATTTTAATTAATAACAACCAAAAATTAATTTTTTTTTTCCAATTAAACTATAAAAATGTAATTATAATTCAATTTTTAATTACCTGTGTCTAGATGACACCCGTTTTTCTAAATCGTGCTGCTTATTCTTTTTTTCTTGTAATGAAAATGTTAAATTGTCTTCTTCCATATCACATTCAATTTCTGCTAACCATTCAGAAAGTTCTTTACCACTTTGTTGTAAATTACTTACTTCTGTTTTTATGTTAGATAATTGTCTAAAATACAAATGTATTACATATATTCAAATATTTAGCATAAAATATTTAATAACCATTAACCACATAAATAAAATAATCCAATATCTAACCCAGTTCGTTCAATAACACACTTATTAAGCATTTCCCAAGTATCCTGCATTTTTTCAATATTTCGTTGCACAAATATTTCATTAGTAGAATTTTTTGAACTCAGACTTTCAATAGATGTTTTTAAAGTTTTAGTTTTATTTTGAATATCCTAAAATTAAATTTTTATTATAAAGTAATTTTTTTTATTTTCATATAAATTTAACCAATTATACTTCAATTTTAGAATTTTGAAGAGAAACAGAATTATTTGATAAAGGTATTAAATTTAACTGCTTCAACAAGACACCCAAATTTGTTCTTGTCTTATTTATTTGAGATACAACTTCTTCAGAAACATTGATATTTTGCTATAAAATAATCATATAATATAAAAATATGCATACATACATTTATAAACGTTTGATAACATTATTTAAGTATGTTTACTTGTTGAGATAAAGGACTTAATTTATTTAATTTATTCTTAAGTTCGACACTTTTCAATTGCATTTTATCTACAGCATCTTTATCATAACACAATGCTTCAATATCAGATATTATTTCATCCATTTCTAATATATTAGCATATTTGCTATTAATTTCACGTTCAAATACCTTAAAATATTTAATTAAATGATTATTTTAAATTTCAATATCAGAATTCAACCTAGGTTTAACATACAAAATCATAAATTATTTTATATATTTGTACCTCTGAAATTGTGTGCTTATTATTGATCCAATTTTCAATATCTTCATTAATTTTATTGAAAGACTGCACATGTTTTTCTAACATTTGTGTCTGAATTTTAACAATCTGAAAAAAAAAATTATATTGTAAAACTACTATTACTATTTGCACATCTTTTTACCTCTATTTCTGACATAATATGAGTCCACATAACTCTAAGCCTGTCTTGAATTAAAGTACACAAGGTGCTTGCTCTAGAAGAATCTCCCATATAGCTCGCAAGTATAAGGCTATCACCTTTGCTAATTAATGTGGCTGCGTCAGGTGCTATATCACTAACTTCTTGTTCAACAGACTGAATAACATATATAACATATATATTTAAAATGCAAAAAAATTAATAAATAATGTGTATAAAAATACTTCAAAGCGCTTATTAGGATCAGATTCTGTATTTAATTTACGCAGATCTTTTAATGTAAGTTCCATCCTTGATAGCATTTGTTTTGCTTCATTTTCATACTTTTCTATATCTACTTCTATGTTTTTTGACATATTTAAAGATTTTGAAAGAGTTGAATTCTCTTTTTTCTGACTCATAAATGAAATACCCTATAATGTGTAATTAATATATAAAGTAATAAATACAGTTCAAGTTACTATATAAAAATAATATAATAAATTAAATTAAATCTCACCATTTTAAATATATTTTTATTTTTTTAAATTTAATTTATTTTTGTAACCACTTAAAATATTCTTTGTTGAACTGCTTGATTGGCCGTAAGTTATTAAATAAACTTAAGAATACATTACATTCATCGAGTATTATATAATATTTAAAAATTATTCGCAAAACAAATTTTATAATAGCCTAGATTAATCATTATATGTAAATATAACTAAAGAATATATTTTGAACACATTTACTTTTATTTTCTCTTAATTAATCAAATATATTAATTTGATTAATATTGTCATTTTATAAAAAATTATTTTATATTCAAATTAATTTAATAATTTAAAGTGTGTTATTTAATATATAAATAAAATATTAAAGAAAGCTATTTTACTTTCACCATAAGAATGTATTTTATCACTGATAAAAAAAAAAAATGTTTATTTTATGTATTTTACACTGATTCTCTAAAACAGTATTTTAATTTTAATATAAAAAATGTATTTACACTAATATTTATTATATTTTCGAATGCTTTTTGATACAGTAGTATTAACATTTAAAGTATTAAAGTATTAGATATAATTAATAAGATATGATAATATGGTTAATGTAATATTACTACCAAATGGCCCTACCCATAGTCAAAACTGGTTTTTATTACTTCACACTTTGTTATTGACCATGGAATCTGGTTTATTAATTGAAAATTAAATCAATATTTACTAGTTTTCAACAATTTAAAATAGACACTAATTCTTCTAGGTATTACTTTGTTTTAATCAAAAATAAATGTATTTTTAAAATCAGAATTTAACTAAATAAATATAAATCATAATAATAATCGTGTTATAGTATTTTTAAGACATTGTTTATATTTATTAAAATTATAGAATAAATAAATAATTTGAATAAAATTTCACACAAATTATATTATATTAAGAGGCCTTGCTAATTTATTAAAATAAACAAGTTATTATTGATAATTGATTATCCTTGTTGGACTAAATATTTAAATTTAAGGATCTAAATACAAACCTGAACAATATTTAATCTAATGAATGTTATATATTATTTTTTTAAATTCAGTAAATATTTTTATACTCATCACTAGTTATTTTATCATGGATATGCACAATTAATTACTCCCCCCCCCCTCAAAATTTTTTATAGTTACACTTTGCATAACATTATGTTTTATGTTTTACCTACTTAGAACTAAATAGTTACCAATTTGTAAAAAACTTAAATTAGTAATAACTACATTGATAAAATAATCAATGGTAATTAATACTTACTTTGGACTTTTGTTCATCATCAGATGAACTAGAATCTTCAAATTTATAACTTAGTCCTTCATCTTCAGAAAACATTAATACATCATCAGTTTCTTTATCACTATCATAAAAACTATCATTATCATCAGCCATAATTTTAGTTGAACTTAAAACATCATTTATATCTTGATCAGCTCCAATAATTTTGTATGTATTTGACATTTCTATTGCTTTATGCAATATAACTTTTTTATGACTATCAGACTGTGGACTTTGCCATGCAGTTATAGTAGTATGAGTCTTATTCAGTTTAACACAAAGAGAATCAGAATAATTTTTTTGGTCTTCTTCTAAAGATGCCATATACTCTTTACCTAAAATATTAAATACATTGAAAAATAAATAGCATATTATATTAAAAAAAAAAAATGAATTACTATGTAAGCTTTCTAGACTAGACTTTAATGATTCATCTGACGCTAGTTTTTGTCGTTTGACTAAAATTTCACATGGGCTCAAACATGTTTTTTTATCTGTATTATTTTTCCTTCTATACACAGTTTGAGGCCATTTTTCCTCATCTGTTTCATCTGCATCTGTTTCTGTATCCTCGGATAACTCAACCATTTCAGCATAACCTTCAGGAACCATACGGTGAACTGCAGTAACTTCACCGTGACTAATAACACTAGACTTTAATATTTCATGTTCTTTAATCTCAACCATGACACACTCTTGTGTATTATTTTCATGTTTAGGATTCACAAAAGATTGCAAACATTTAGGGTCTACTTGCGATACTTGTGAAAATAACATACTGTTTTTAGTTAATTGTTGAATTGTATCGTCTTCTTCATTTTGATGTATTAATGTATGGTGATTATTTTTGCTTTCTTCATCAGTAATTTTTATTTTTGGTACAGTTGTTTCTTTTAAATTTGTTGATTTCTTAGGCTTTTTTTCTAGTTTTTCAATTGCTGTCACTGTAGATAAATCCTAAAAATTATATAAATTATAATTAAGTAAAAAGTACAATTTTTAATATTAAGCAGTGGATTCAAAAATCAAAAATTATAAAAATTATATTATAAATGTTTCATTCATAACATTTGTTTAATATTTTATAATTATAATAAATAAAAATAGTAATTATTATTATTAAACTAACCTTAAGCTGGACTAAATTATTTTGGAGCCTATTCAAAATTAATGACCATCTGTTGCATACAATATCAAAACGTTCACGATATGTATCATCTTCACAGAGAGGATCTTTAAGTGATTTAAATTCAATACAGCATGTATTAATTGAACTCTTAACCTTTTCCCAATTTTTGCAATCAACCTCTAAAGTATGCTGTTGTAAAATACATAAATAAAATTATAAAACAAAATAGTTTTAGGTTTAATAGTTATGTGGTTACATAGAAGATCAAGAGCAATGGATGCATCTCTCTAAAAAAAAATAATAAAGAAGAGTAATATAATTGTTAAGTTAATAAGAAGGTATATTACAAGTTACCTATGCATTTAATCCTCACATAAACTATACAAATCCTGAGAATAAGAATTTTAGATCAGAAAAAAAAATCAAATAAAGATATATACAGAATATTCTTAATCAAAAATATTTGAAATTTTGAAATGAGAAGCATAATTTGAGATGTTATAAAAGTTAAGCAAACAAGTTGATATAATGTGGTAAAAAGATAAAGGTATTCAATTACTTGTAAATTTAGTTATGTAATTGAATAAACAGTAGAAGTATGGGCGACTAAATGTCATACAGAGAGGACTAAAGACGTTTAAAAGTATAATCTGGAGAAGAATATGTGGCCTGGTCATAAATATGAGAATAAGTCAGTGGCGTAGAAAGTACAAACAAGAAAAGTAAGAGGAATTGAAAATGACAACAATAAATGGATCTATAAAAAGCCAAAGATTATAATGACAAGGACATGTAATGTGACATAGTGCAGATGCAGCAGTCAGGATAGTACATGATAGGAAGCCGAAATGTAAAAAGACCACGAGGTTGCCTTCGGAAAAGGTGGATCGATGATGTGGTTATTTTTGCTTTGGAAGACCCGGTAGTGCAGAACTGGAGGGAGATAGTACAGAATCATGACAGGTCGCATGATTTAGTGATTGCCGAAAAACCTTTTAGAGTAATAGAAGCAGGAAGAATTGAATAAACAAATTTATGAAAACATAATAATTTAAGAATAAAAAATGACTGGATGATGACAGATGTAAAAAAATTATAGATAAAAAAGTCATTAAAATAGTGTACATTGTTAAAGTATTTAAAAAAGAAACTGTTTTAAGGCTGATTTATACAATTTCAAATATGAGTATTTAATAAAAGGAATGAGAAAAAAATTTAAGTAGAAAAACAAGAATGTTAAAATGAGTAAATAGTTTGTGGAGTTTGTGAGTTACTAAATTAGTAGAATTAAAAATAAGTAGAGAAAAGATAAATGAGATTGAGAATGATACTACATTATCAAATTATTCAAATAAAATTCCATTGGATAAAAAAAAACTACATCCTATATCTTTTAAGATGAAGTATGAATAATCTAAAGTATTTTTTAACAATCGAAAAGTTTATAATGAGAAAAAACTAAACAAAAGTATTTAGAAGGTTAAATGTTGAGAATTTAAAATAGTGTTTCATCATGCTGAGTATTTTAACTAAACAAGTTTTTCTTCTTTGAGACAAAAATAACAAAATGCAATAACATTTAAAATTAAATTAAAAACATACTTATTTTGCATTCAAAAATCAAAAATCTTTTATCAGATCATTAATGTTCATTGGGAATTTAATTTTCAATTAAAATTGTCGGTTCTTTACTTGAGACATTTATGTTGTTAATTAAGTTAAAGGTTGAATATTAAATACGAGATGAGGTAAAAAAAATTTTAATAAAAATTATTAGGATTTCATTTTACCTTAATAAATTTGATCTGATCTTCTATATTTTTTTCGGGCAATTGAATATTTTCTATTTCATTCAATTTTTGTTCCATTTCAGTCAGCCAATTAGATATCTTGTTAACATTAGTGTCCAAAAAGTCTAAAACTTTTAAACCTTTCTCTAATTTGCATTTTGTACTAAAAATGTCCTTTCCTAACTAAACACAAATATATTTTACAATAAATTTAATTAAATTATATTAGTATCCCATTTCTAATATAATTAATCTCTTTATTGATAACATAACTATAAAGAATTGAGTTAGAATTTTATTTTTAAGGATTAAATATTTTCAAACAATAATATTATAAGTATTTATAGATGGACCAAATAAACTTACTTTACAATTTAACTGTTTTATAGTCTCTATTTGTTCTTGATTTTCATATATGTCATTTGAACTAGTCACAAATTCTACTTCATTTTGTAAACTTTTTAATGTAGAACTAATTTTCTGTAAAATAATAAAATTTGTACAAATTATAACATTTATAAAAACTATTATTATTAAATCCACATATCCTAGTATAACCCAACCAGGTGATCCATTAAGTATCTACACTCAATTGTTCAAAAAGTACTTGCTTTTTCATAAATTTTTTCTTTTTGAAAATGTATGAAATAAATAGCTCTAAAAGTTATGATACCATTTTTTCTTTTGTCAACCTTATTTTTGGGGAGTGAAATCATGACACACTTTTAATTTTAAAATAGCACCTCGTATTAAGAATTCATACATAGATAAGGTTTTAGTTAAAATTAAAACTGGCGTTGACGTTTTAAATTTCCATCAACCTGATAACAAGATATTAAACTTTTAAGTTTAGTTAGGGGGAAAATAGTAGAGGATCTTTTGTGTGGCAACGCAGCGTTCTCAATTACTCTTCTACACAAATTGAAGAGTGGAATTATCCCATCAACACATTAACGGAAATTGAAACTATCAACAACAAAATGTATTTAACTAAAACATAAACTATTTATTGAATTTTTAATAAAAGTTACTGTTTGATAATTCAAGTTTGTAGTGGTTTTACTCCCAAAAAATAAGAGTAACATAAAAAACTAAACAGTATATACTCAGTATATACAGTATGAAATATTGATTACAGAAACTTAAATGGATCACTTGTTCTGCTCTCTGCTGAAGTATAAATTATGCTCAGTCATGTTCTCTGTATATTACAAGGTTTACATATTATTTTGTGCGGTACATTCTCTTTAATACATTTCATTTGAGCAAATTTTAATTTTAAGGTGCCAATTATGTAGTAACTATTGAGGTTCAACCTTAGGATTTAATATTAAAATAAATATTTTTGTAGTTTTTTGAAATTCTGAAAAATTTTAAAAATTAAATCACCTAAGTAGATACTTAACACAGGATATAATGTTTTTTTATCTGTATAAATGTATACTGTAAAAAGTATTAACTACAAAAAATTTAATTTACATGTAATTGACAAACAAATAGTTCCCTCAACTGCTCTTTTTTCTTGTACCTACAGTTAATCAGAACTAGAAGAGTACTTAACTTTGGGTAAATACATAAGCCAAATACCTGAACTTACTAAACTCAAATTTGTGTTTGTATTCATAAACATGAGTACTCAACTTCCTCAAGTACTTGATTACTCAAGAACTGATTTTAATTCAAAAGATGAAATGTAAAAACTATTAAGATGGTATAAATACTTTGAAAATATTGTCTTTGTTGCTAAATTATGTGCGAGACAGACAAAGAAAACAAATTAAGTATGAAGGAACCTTAACACAAATCATAAAACTCAATATTATACACTACATGACATTATAAGAAAAAAAAAATGTGGGGCGTTAATGAGTTTTTGTTCTAAGCTAACAATATTTCAAAAACAAAACTTGTATTTTCAGTGTACATAGTATATATTCAAGAACCCATATAATTTCAAATACTCAAACATTTTCAAACACTCGACTTTTGAACTTGACAACAAAAAAATTAATATTCAACTTGTTTCAATTTTAAAAAACCAATATGGGCCCAACCCTATACTTTACATATTTAGGTATATTATATAAACATTACCATGCACTGTTCCAACTGTCCATTAATACTGTCAGGATCATCTGATGCCAGTTCTAATAGGCAAATAGTATTTTCAATAGATTGTAGTTCTCTTAAAACTCTGGTAACACGAGTTGGTAAATCTCCAGGAGATTGATATCTTTCAAATTTTTCTTCTAGTTGATAGAAACGTTTCTACATAACAATAAATTTGAAAATTATGATTAAAAAAAATTATATTTACCGTATAAAAGGTATAAGGTTAAACTTAAAACCAAAATAATACCCCTAAATCCTAAAAACCAAAAATTCCCAGTTATTATTACAAACCCAAATATAAACTCAATAATATCTAGCTACTGTTGTAGGTGAGAAGTTTGGAAAGTAGATATCAAAGGAAATTAAATTTATATCTGTACTTAACATAAATTTTCCCTTTTTTCCAAACTATTATAAAAAACCGCTTGAAAAATCAAAAAATGATCTCCTATAGTATCACACAGATAAAATTTTCTTATAAAAAAGACATTAATCTACAACTAAAATAATCATCATTGTAATACCAGCGCATTCCTCGCTACGCTCAGAATTTAAAATTTATTACATTACACTCAACATATTTTTACCACTAAGTGTAACTTATGATGAATCTTGTATTTTATTTTTAATCATTTTTACAGAGCTTAAATAATTGTATCCACGCAAAACCATATTTTCTTAATTCTTTGCCTTCATCCCAACTCTCTAAGGTCAACCACTCACATAAAAACCAAATATTGAAACTAAAAAAAATGTTTAAATTTTAAATGCCTATAAAATAAATAGCTCAAAATTGACAAAATATTAAACTGTCCAGAAAGGGTTACTATAAGTGTTTTTTGAAAATTTCAGATCCCTGCTATTTTTAACAAAATTACAAAAAATCAAAAATAATGGAAACCACCTTTAATGTGTACATTTTTCCTTTTTTCCTAAATTATTAAGAAAATTAAAAAAAATGTCCTAAATATATCACCAACCAGACAATATTTACTACTACACTTAATAATCAATAATACAGTTGTTTACAGATAGAAGACAAATTAAAAAAAAATACATATCATTGCTTTGCTCAAAATCTAAAACAACTACTTATTATAATATAAAACCAGTCATATAAAACTATTTAATATTCAACATGCTATAGGTATTTGATTAATAATTTAAATTATTTTAGTTGACATGATACAGTGAATATAATATAATATTATGAGAAAACATGGGACACAGAAAGTGTTAAAAGTTGCTTATTATTTAGTTATCATGAACTATGAAGTAATAAAGTGGTACTAAACTTGACAACAGTTTACAAAAATGAAGATTTTGTAACTTATGAATCTTATTTTATAATTAAAAAAAAAAAAACAATATGAATATTATATGTACATTGATTGCTTTAATAATCCATATAACTGATTCAATCAATAAAATTAAAATACATTTTATACATACGATAAACATATATAAGCTGACTAAATACTCACTTTTAATAAAGATAGTTGATCCTTCAAACGATTTGCAACTTCTTTTTTATTTGCTATTTCATAGTTGCAAATTTGTTCTTCCATGTCATGCAAAAGCTTAGCTTGATTTTGGAACTCATCTGATAATCTCTGTTATAAAAGTTAAAAAATATAAAATAGTAAATAGTACTCATAGTTTATTTGAGACTCAAAACTCATTACAGAGTTCTGTAAAAATATCAATGCAGTAAATACATGACATACATCTCAAGACCAATATAACTTACTGTTTGAATATAATACAAACTAATAAATAATTAAAATGTATTAACATATTAACATTTGTTGAAAAGTATTATATTATAATTTGAATGCAATAGTCAAGGGTGCAACTAATTATAAAACCTTTAAGGCGCTAATATTATATGAGAAATGGTTTATGGAGTCTTTAAAGTTATTACTTTTATCATTATTCAAAAGTCAAGTTCTGAAAAACTATGGAAATAAATGCTGCAAGCACATTTAACCCTTTTACCAGCACTTTTAACAAAAGTTGATTTAATAACTTTGTAATCTATTATTAGGTATCTGATTTCCCATAAAGGTTAAAAATTAAATAAAGTCAGGGAGGTTTTTTTAAGTTTGTTTTTGTAAGCACTTACACTGAAGTTAGATAAAAACCTCCAGTTCAGCCTGTAAACATTTTCCAAAAAGAAAATTAAAAAGAAAAGAAAGTGTCAATTTCACTAATCACTGTGAATATAAAATTAACCTAAAGTAATTAAAACTAAAATGATTATAAATTACTTACTTCTGCATCATTAGGTAGATCTTGTGGAGAACAATCATTTTGTAAACGAGATGTAAGTTGCTGATCCGTAATCTCGAGCCATTGTTGAAATTCAGCAATGCAATATTCAGATTTTTGTGTTTGTTCAATGCTTTCTTCTAAACGTTTAATCTTTTCTTCTGCCTAGATATACACACACACACATCATACAAATATACATCACTTTATTCTACTATTGTAATATATACAGTAATTTATAAATAGCGGTTTTTTAAATATAAACTAAAAATTCTACTATAATTAATTATTAAATAGGTGAAAAATAAAAGCTATTCATAAGATGTCAGTACAAGTTTAGTTCATCAGATACACTTTTCCCCCCTCAAAATTGGTGTTTTTGTATGAGGAGTCAGTATTAAAAAAAAAAAACTATAGTGAAAATTTTAGAAAGTATGTATTTTTAATAATTTAATTTTGTAAGTATGTTTTATTGCTGAAGTTCCATAACTTCAATCAGAATTATTCAAAAACTATCATGACATAACTTTTTTTTTTTAAAGTTTAATTCAATTATTTTTTTTTTTTAAATTTATGAAAAATATGTTATAGGTAATTACCATATGCATTCAATTCCTCTTTGCCTTGTTGGTTTTATATCCATTACTACAGTGCCCTACTTAATTTAAAATTAGAAAAAAATAATTGATTTATAACTTTTTCAGATTCAGCGAACATAACCACATATTTTGAGAAAAAAATTATCAAAAAAACAGGATGTTTGGTCACCGAAGGCTTTATGTAATAAAGTTTAAGTTTACATTAACGATACTATCTTCCTTACAGCAGTATCAGGTTAGTACAGAAGATTAGAGGCCACTAGATTTCTCTCCTACAAGAAGGGCTACATAACAGCAACTTGAGTCCCCCCACACTCATAATTGTTTATTCCACGTACCACATACCAAGTTTTAAAATCTCAAAAGGTTTTTTTAAATTTTTTTTGCATAATTTCATTAATAATAGTTTTTCAGTAAAAATATTCAAACATTTTTGACATTAATATACAAAAAAATTAGAGAAACAATTTTAAAATAAAAACAATGTCTGGGAAACTTGTTCCAATATGTTTATAATAACAATAGGTTAAATAGGCTGCCAAAAAAATTACTAATCTAATATTTTACTTTACTATAAATAAAGAAATTTAATTGAAATCACAAAAAGTAAAATATTAATTTATTATGGGATTAGTCCAGATTACAATGTACATACTTAGTATTTATAAAATATAATATAATATAACAAATATATATATATATTTTTTTTTTTATAAATATAGAATATTAAAATGTGATAAAAGTTAATTAAAAAGTTAAATCAAAAGAAGAGTCGGTATTATCAGTGCACATAAAACGGATAATTGGAGAATGGAGAGGCAATTAGATGAAGATAAAGGGATATGGAATGAGATCGATAAACGTGTAGGATAGCAGGGAACATTAAAGGTGATGTGGAATAGAAGCTCAGGGCAATCAATTTAGAGGAAAGAAGGTTAAATAGGAAAGAGATGAATGCAGAATGCTGACAGTCAGAGAGACTATCCATAGATAAAGTGTTGGACAGGGGTATAATCGTGGGGGAAAGGGTATATGCAGTTTAAAGGCAGCATGACAAAGGAATTATGTTTGGACCCTTTCTATCATGTAACGAGAGGTAGCAGATCACCTGACTTTAGGATAGGAGTAATGGAGCCAAATTTTAAGACAGACAAAAAGACACCAAAGTAGAAAACTAGGCATTTGTATACATTGTCAATTAAAAAATGAGAGAGCATTTGATGGGAGAGCGTAATAATGGAGAGGATGTATTGCTTAAGTAATCAAAGTCTGTGAAATAGATGGTTGCATGAAAATGGAAAAAAAATATTTAGAAAACAAGTTCCCAGAGTCAGGACTTGTACACAGCATACACAGATTTCTTTTAAAGAAACTTCAAAAATAGCATGGGTTTCGTGATTCGTGATATTTACTTGAGTGGTAAGTTTTTTACAGCGAGAAGTAACTTTGGCTAAGTCTACTTTTATATTCGACACCATAACATTATGATCAGACAAAATGGCACCAATTTCATTTAATCGTTCAACTCTAGATTCTGGGTGGTTTCTGAGACAATTTTCTAGATCCTAAAAAAGAAAAATATATAATATATTATTTTATGTTTAAACAATATTCTTAATATTAGTTATAAATATACTTGAATGAAAGAATTTAATTTAAATTTCCATAAATAATTTATGTTAGATAAAAAATATAAATAAAATTACATCAAGTTCTTCTGATATTTCCTCTGCATCTGTTGCTATTGTTTTTATACTTTTTTTTAGACATTTGTCTAATTTGTCTAACCATACATTTTCTTGAGACATTAAAACTATAAGAACATTTTAAATTAAAAACTATTAACTTATTTGAATCAATAGAAATTTCGTAATAGGAATTAAATTACAGAATTCTAATTACATAATAGACTATGTAATGTAATATTAAAACATGTTAACGTGTTTTAAAATATATATCATATGAAAATAATTAAATTTTATGTTAAATTACTAAAACAAATAATTAAAATAAATAAATGAAAATAAATATAACCTTTAAACTCAGAATGAAGCTGCACATCATGTTGCAAACGATCTCTAATTAGTTGCACACCATCAAAAACTTTATTCCACTTCAGAACTAATATTTTAATATTATCATCTTGACTTTGTTCTAAATTAATGTATACGTTAATTATAAAACCAGAGGATAGTTATTTAACATAGGTACTCACCAAGTTTTTCTAATTTTGGTCTTTTGTCTAAGAGTTTATCATACAGAGTATGATATTTATTCTTTAACTTAATAAGTTCACTAGCTGAACTTACAGGATCTTTCTCTCTATAAGAATGACACTTTTCAACTTCAGATACACATTTTTTTACATCAGTGAAATCCTAAAAAACCAATTATTAATTTACATAAACTATTAATAAAAAAAAAAATGCATGTCTTATTAATATTACTTTTTCTAAACTTTTTAATCCTTCAATGGTAATAATTTCTTTAAATTTAACAATTTTGTTTAACTTTTCTTTAATAGATTCTAATTTTAGATTCATTTCTATCTTAAATTCAGGATCCACAGTTGACTCAAATATAGTTATCATATCTCCATGCAGTTTGTCATATAATTGAGACACAGGATCACATACATCCTTTAAAATAACAATTTAATATTTGTATTCAATTTGTATTCAAAAATATATTTATTGACATACATAAATCATTTTTATGTCTGGTTGATCACTTTGAGAATTGTAATAATTGAATAGATCTTCACTTTGTTCCATTAAATCTTCTAATGTTCTAAAATTAAATTCTAATTCTTGAACTAAAAACAAGTCTAGAAACATAATCCATAATTACTTTAGATATAAATAAAATTGTTATTAAATAATAAATACTAAATACCTTTCTGTAACTTCAATATTCGTTCATCTAACAGTACAGGAATATCACTCCATCTGGTATTTAAATCTTGGAGGTCTTCAGTTAACCTTTCTGTAGCTAATTCATTATTCAATTTTTCTAGAATTTCTTGTCCAAGTGTATTTACCATTTCTAAAGTATCACGGCGACCTTTCACTGACATTTGCATTTCCTTAAAATTGTTTATATGATTAAAATAAAATCTACGGAATAGATTGCTTAAAAAATTTATTTCTACCTTTAATTGGTCTAACTGATTTATTAAAACTCTTGAATAAGTCATAAGTACAGGTTCACCCAATAATATTCCTTCCAATTTGTTAATCCAGCCAGTAAGCTCTTCTTTAGATTCTTTAAATTTTATACTAGAATTTGTTTCTTGTGATAATTTTGCTTGTATTTCATAATTAGAAAATCTAAAAAAATAAATATGTATTATTATAATGCTCTATATTTTTTCAATTTCTTACATACTTTTCATTTAATAAATTCCAGCTAGTTAAGCATTTTTGAACTTCATTTCTTAATAAGTCTTCAGCATCTAATAGTTCACTATTTGCATGCAACTTATTTATACGTTCTTCAAGTGATTTTAATGATTTTAATTTTATCTAAAAAAATAAAATCATAATTTTAAATAAAACACTATTAACATTTGAATTTTTATTCTCACCTTTATTTGTTCAAAAGTACAATTTCCACTGTCTAGCCATTTAGCATACCCATCAAATACTAATTTTAAATTGTTCATCTCTTTTGATGTTTGTTTTTTTTCAAGATTGTATTTTATTTTATTTTTGAATGATATTAAAGAAGATTCCAAATCATTAAATTCTGTACATAATTGATTATAGTGGTCTAGTTTAGGAAATGGAGTATTATTACCTTCAAAAAGAATTATTATCATTAATATTATATACCAAGATAAATCAATTTTATTAAACCATACTTTCACTGTTTATAATAAATTTATTAGCAAAATCTAATTGAGATTTTTGACTATCAATTTCAGACATAATGTCTTCATACAATGCAGCTTGTTCTTCCACTTCTAATGGTTCATCAAGCAATTTTTGAGTTCTTTTTAACCAGTTACTTAAATTTGAAGTAGCATTATCATATTCATCTTCTTGAAATGAACCACCTTTTCTTCTACGTTTCCAACCAAGTTCCTTCAAAAACAAATAAATAGAGTAGTTCTCTAGCAATTGAACAGATAAAAACCAAAATGATTTAATACCTCAACTTCTGGTATATTTAAATTACTATCAAATGAATTATCATCTAAAATGTTTTCATCAGATTTTTCCGCGTTTGAATTACTTATTAAATCAAATTCAAAACCAGCATCAGATATCTAAAAATAAATAACAATTAGTTTTAATTATCTTTATCTTAAAATAAAATATATATCAAGTCCCTCAGTCAGATTTATAAAGAAATAATATATATATATATATATATATACACATATATTATTTCTAAAAATAACTTAACCTAACCTTATAGGGGTATGATTTTCCTCCCCAATATTGCATAGCTTTAGGCTGGTTATATACTAAAATCAATTATGTATGGCTGCCAGTCATATGACTATAGCACAATTTAACTAACTAATATTAAGTTACAAGTTGTAGCTGAATGCAAGTAGTCAGTTCTACTGTGGGATTGGCTTTACTCAACACATACTAATAGAAAAACATACTTTAGTCCATAAAGTTAAAAAAATATAATTAATTAATTATCTATTCAAAATTAAATATCAACAGTGAAACATGTTTCTAAATATTTAGCCTGAATAAAATATTAAAAATATAATAACCACACGAAATAAAAATGTATATTAGCTAAACAATGTATACAAAAAGATGGTAAATATTAAAAAATGTTAAAATGAAAGTATACAATTTTTAATATCTGAGAGTTCTAAAAATATCATTATAATTGAAATGTTTCCTATAAATAAGTTTAATGCTAAACAAATAACTTAAAATATAATGTGATAAATATCATGTGATAGACATACTCTTTGGGCTTGAATTTCGATAATTTGTACTAAAGCATCACATCTATCTTGCAAAGTTTCTATTTTTTCTGAGTAAGGACAATCATCTATATATAAAAAATTTTCTTCCAAATTCTGAATTTTAATTTGAAGATGATTAATATTCTTTTGTTGACTTGACATTTGGTGGCGTAAAGTCTATAATAAAATTATTTATTATTTATTTACATAAATGCCTAGAACAATAACAGTCTTTTAAAAGATTATTACTTGCAACTGTTTGATTCTCTCCAAAATTTCAGCTACTTCAGTTACATGTTTGGACTCCATATGTTTAAGGCTAACTTCTTTTGAGTCAAACCATGACTGTAACCATGATAGTTGCTCAGTAATACGACTACATTTCATTAGTAATGTCTGTAATTTAACACCATATTCTTCAGCCCACTTACAAATATGAGCCCAACGCTCGCCCAATGCTGATAATTCATCTTCCATCTGAACATGTACTGTATAAATAATAGATATATTTAGAAAAATATTTTTTTTAAAACTATTTAACAATAAAAGAAATTGTAATTTAATTGTTATTAAGTTAAATTATTTATTTATTATTAATGCTCACCAGAATCAGGGAATGAATTTTCATCAATAACCACAACAAGATTAGATAATGAATCAACTGACAACTGTTGTCTCCTTAAATCAGCTTTAAGTGCAGAATGTTCTTCGAGCTGTGACCGTAAACTGTTAACATCCATTTTTGCAGATTGTGATAAACGTGATATACGATCTTCAGTTTGTGTCAACCATAAGCGCAGTTCATCCAGTTGTTTTTGTTGTATTCCCATTAAACATTCATGTATTCTAAAAATGTAATAATAATGACAATTATTTATTATTATTAGTTAACAGTAATAGTCATAACTTACTTAGTTTGTCTCTCCATTGCGGTAATTCTTAATTTTTCCCATCGTGAATTTAACAATTTCATTTGAATACGAACTTCTTGTTCTTCTTCTTCAGTTAAACCCCCATCAGCTAACATTCGTGCACCTTCTTCTAGTACAGCACCAACCCCTTCTTGATGATGTGATAATTCGATAAGAAAATTCTTTAACAAAAAATAGTGTACAGTGTAAAATAAATGTATATTATTCCAATTTATTTAATGCATTATTTATAAATTATTTTACTTCATGCAAGTGAAATATTTCTCTAACACCCTCAAGTTCTTCAGGTATTTTTTCTGATTGATGTAAACGGTCTTCAGCTTCAAGTAACCATGTTAAAACTTCTTCTAATGCAGTTTGGTAACCACCAAGTTCAACAGATATATTTGTTAACATACTCAATGGCCTTTCATCAGGCTTTTTAATTTGATCTTCATACTAAATTATTTTTTTTTAAATTTATATTTTAAATTGAAATGATATTTATTTAATTTAAATTCTTACTTGTAAGTCAGATTTTGAAACTCCTACTTCGTCTGAATATATAGATAATCTTTGAAACAAGCACATTACATACATCATAACAGATTTTTTATCAGGTACAGATGTATTTACATCTAAATAAATTAAAAATATAAAAACAAATTATTGATTTTATAATATTAATATTTATATGAAATACCTTCAGGATCTAACAAACGTTCAATATTTAAATGCTGATGAGCAATAGCAAATATATTTTCAAGTCTGGCATTTGGATGTTCTTTCAAGATTAAATCATAATCTACAAGATCGGATCTAAATTTATGTATTAATGCACTGAACGCTATCCCATCTGACCAACTAGAGGTAAAATTGCTTATATCAACACCATAACCCTAAAATATATTATATAACATTAGAAATTGCATCCTATAACTAAACAATAAATTAATATTGTTAAAGTAGAAATACTTCTGTATTTTTACGACACCATGCTAACAGTGTCTTCTCTAAATTTGTTTGTTGTGATTCAGACATAAGTTCCTTTAAATGACAATCAACCTAAAAATGCATAAAAACCATATTTAATTTTTAATAAAAATTTAAGGATGCAAATATTAAGTACAAATAAAAAAGGAAACAACTTGTTTAATGAAATATACAATAAATAATTAATTTACCTGCCAATGTAATATAATACTCCACACTAATCCTAGAATCAGCTTTGGGCTACCATCAACTATATCATTGCTACTTATATTAACCAGCTTTACCTGAAAATCAATACTGATATCACTTTATAATTTATGACAATTGAGGTTTCAAAAATAAAAAAACAATAAGAATTTATAATAAAGGGAAAAAATACAGTTATAGAACTTACATTATTTAGTTCTAATATTTGTAAAGCTTTATTTACATTATTCAAATGATGAACTCTCATACATCCTTTTTCTGGTTTCTATAAAAATATAAATTAGAAACAATATGTTATTAGTCATGTAAAATACAATAACTTACAATTTGTGTGCCAGTTAAAATTTCTAATAAATAAAGTAATTTTGTGCCGTTTTGTAAATCCAAAAATAAGTCTGATATAGCTTCATGATTTTCCTATAAATATGAATATATAGTTAAATAATCTTTCTTAAAAATAAATAATAACCAAATACTATTTAGGTAATAACTCACTTTTGATAATTGTGAATTTATCCATTTGGTAAATGTTTTCTTTTGAACATCTTCACGTTCATCTATGTTATACAGATAATATAAATGAAATAGATAATAATTTAAACAAAGATATTTTATTTATGAATATTTAAAATGACTTATTTTTCAACTAATTTTTCAACACTCACACACATGCAAGATATTATTACATTAGACAATATTAAGTAGATATATTTTGGTAAAAACATTATTAAATTCATAGAAACTATGAAATAAAATTGATAATTTATGTAGACTAATGAATATTCATTTGAAATTTAGATAAAATTTAATAAAATAAAAAATAATAACAATAAACATCATTGTAAAACCAATACATTCCTCATTCCACTCAGAATCTAAAAGATAAAGACATACTTCACGCAATAGGTGGGCCACTGTTATAGGTGAGAAGTTGAGAAGGTAGAGGGGAAATTGTGTGTATATCTGTATGTAACGATATATATCAATGCTAAGGAAAAATAATTCTCAGCGGAGTTCAGTTACACATGTTTTTAAAGGCCGTAATATTTATGATTTTAAAATGATACATTTCATAAATGCTCCTGGTTTTTTATGAAAACCCTTTGAAAAGCTAAAAAATGACCTCCCAAAAATACCTACCATCCCAGTCAAATTTCTTTTCAAAAAAAGTGCTACACTTAAAAATCAGAGCAACATTATTGGTGGAAAAAAAAGAAAAATGAAACATCATTGTAAAACTAATACATTACTCACTCTGCTCAGAATCTAAAATGTATGTTTTATTATTTATTATGACTAAGATAAAATGTTGAAAATATATAATATTAAATTGCATTTTTTATTCAATTAAACAATTCTATAAATATACTTTCAAGTATATTTACAAAATTTAAATCAATGAAATACATTGAAAATATAATATTCTTATTTCCTAAAGTAAATTTCAAATTATGATCATTCAACTATTTGAATGATATTAAATAGAAATGCCTATCTAGGTAGATTGTACTTTTTTAAAAGAATAACAATTAACTTTTACCTTAATATTGAATAATAATACATAAATATCGACCAACCTATATTAAATTATAGATAAGCAATATATTTATACCAATTATATAATACTGTGATTGATTAACATTTAAAATGGATATTTAGTAATTCAGGGAAATAAATTGTAGATACCTTGTGTATTTAACCACCCAAAAGTTGTTCATATTTACGTGAGATTATATAATATCTACAATTTGTGTACCTTAAAAATCTATATCTATAGATGTTATGCCTAAAATAAGTATTAAGATATTAAAATTAAAATATTAATGTGCAGAATAATTTCAGAAGGAACACTCCAAACAACTAGATTGGACTGAAAGACGACCACAATGTTTGGAAAAACATCACATGATCTTACTTACCAACGAGTATGTTGTCCATAGTAGCCATTATCATGGGCGACACCCGGCAACGACTTTAATAACAAAAATTCGCGTAGCGAAATAAGCAACAGGTGTCAGTGTTGTGTCACATTGTGTAGAGGTACGCGTCACAAACAATATTAAAAGTTAATACAAAATCGTCAAAACGAATAAATTAATTTAAACTTAAACACCATGCACAAACTGTACTGGATAATATCAACAACTTTCAAGCTCTATAAAATATAGAGAACCCTATCACGAAAAATTGACCCGAATCCACAGAGATTCATACGCCTCGTTTATCAATATTCAATATCGTTGGTTCCCCGTGTCATAAGAGGATACTAAAGAAAACAAATAGGTAAATTACAAAAAAAAAATATCATTCCCAGTCAACCAATCTCATTTTGTACGCTAGATGCCTTTAGTGGCGCGTGTTGTTGTCTTTCCTTCACCCCCTCCTCAAAATTGTACATTTCCCACCATCACAGTTACGTGTGTTGTATTAACAATTTTGTACATTAACAAATTACAAATAACCATTTTAATACCGCAATTGCAGTTTTTTTTTTAACCCGACATCGACATCCCCATCAATGTTGTTATTACGTTGTCATATTGTTGATATTTGACGCATTATTCCCTTTTATCAATACGGCACTTATCCGTACTACACTTGCACACGACACTCGCTGACCGTTTTTCAATTACGACAACAATCGTCGTTTTCCCCACACATTCAGACACATAGATACAATACAACTTAAGCTCTATGTTACTATGTTACTATAGTACGAAAAATGTGTACAGCTTGCAGACGTTGGACCGCCGCCGCCGCGTCGTTCCGTACGTTCAGTTGGAAAAATGTGACACTATAGTAGTAGAGACGTGACTATACGTCTCCGATTCACTATTCGACAGCCGCCGTCACTGTCACCATTGTTGGTGAGTAAAAATTGGCGTTCATGTTTTACTTGTCCCTTCGTCTTCGTTTGTATCTCGTTACGACTCCAGAGTTTACTTTCTTACTACTCTATGTAGCGTGTGCCTGTGTAATTGTGTAATGGGGATTTACCCTGCGAGACGAAAACAATCATGAGATGAAGTTTTGAAAGAAATGTCAAACAAATGAAAACAAAAATAAAGTATTGACTACTTATATTTACTATACCTGTATTTTAATTTTTACAATAAATAGCAATACAGTTTCGATCTAAAATATGTTGTATAGGTACAAATTTTAAATATCTAAATTTATATGCTGTTTTAAATTTTAATCAATCATTTTTTGTAAGCAATAGGTATTCTTTATAAATGATATTGCTTCATAATAATCATATTAACTAAACTACCATATTATTCTAAGTTTTTAACTTCAAAATATCAAGAATATATTTTTATTACTTATTATATAATGATATTTGTTGAAAACCAATTTAATTGAATTACTTTATCAACTAATCTGTGCACTTTATAGCTTTATGTGTCAAAATAACTAATGTTTGTAAATAACATTTTTTAATTAGGTCATAAAGTAGGTATCTACTGAGTTAACTATTATTATTTGTGATAACTCATAATTAATTTTAATATACTTGAAGTAAATTAACACTACATTTTCTATTCAACTAAGTTAAAGACAACTAAAAGTAAGTGGCTAATGTATTTGCCTAAATTAAATAATATAAGTTATATTGTAATATATTATGATTTAACATTGGTGCCTATTGGTTTATCATTAAAAATATCTACTAGGTTTAAGTGTGTATGTAATTCTGCACTTATAGATATTTATGTTTAACATTGTGCTGTTAAATTAATCTGTTATGTATATTTACTGGAATACCTAAGTATCCAATTTAGAATATAATAATTCTAGTGGTGATCAATTTAATATTTACTATTTAGTATTGTTTGTATATTAAACATTTACCATTTTTAGAACAGATTTTTTTTTTAAATTGTGTTCAATTTTATTTCCTACAATTTTACTGGTTAAGATTTGAAAATGTAATTCAAAATAAATACATGTATTATACTATATTCCAACTAATTTAATATAGTTATATTAATAATATCTCAAAAAAAAACAACTTAATTTTAATTTTTAAATAATAATCACTTATTTACTATGCTCAATACATTTAAACATTTTTTATATACAAGCACTTAAAATTTATGAGTAATTGAATGAAATTTTGTGTGGTATCTAAATAATAATTGCTAATAACTTAGTGATCAATTTATAGAGTTTTTTAGAAACACAAAATTTTATTTAATATATTAACGAACAAAATGTCATCATAATGCAATACTAATTAATATACCTATGCAATGCAAATCTTTAATCATACTATCTATATAATAATTAATTACTTTGCCATTCTCATACATACCCTGATATTATAATTGCTCAATTAAGATAATCCCTACTAAAACTTCATTATTCATTTGTCAAATCTAATTTTGCATATACCTATGCAAAATTGTCTAAAAATGAGTTGGTTCAACAATTGATTACTTGTATATTACTTATTAGATTAATTATTATCATAATTTTTTGTTCGACAGGTGATTTGAATAAAATTATTCCAATATCAATTATGGACAATGATATATTAGATGAACGATCAAGGGAATTTTTAGAAACTGCAGATCAATACATTACTGAACATGGACACCAACATGTATCTGAAGAAGATAATAAACAACTTGTTGGGGGCCAACATAACTTGCCTGAAGAATTTCGAATTGGTTAATTTACACACTAATTTTTAAAATAAAATAGATATAATAACATTTATAATTTATTTTAAGATGAAAACGGAGAATTGTCCCATCATAATACTGGATATTATGATACGAGTGATATGTTAACGGGTGATGGGTCTTCAACACTCACTGAAGATGATCAACGATTAGCCAATGAATTAGCTGCTGAACTTGCCCAACAGAACAAATCTCTTGTTGATGATGGCCACCACGATACTCATCTCATGACCAGCTATTTGTACAGTACTGACTTTGATTTAAATACAAATAGTAAACATTCATCACAATCTTCAAGTCATATCAATAATCAACAGGTTTTGTACATTTATTTGCTTTAACAAATATATTTATCCATGTACATACTAAAATACCTACAGAAGGCGCGTTGCCAAAACAGTTTCATTTCGCAGCCAAAACGGCTATACGACTGAGTGGATCGTCAACAGCCATACACATTATCAATTCTAGTTTGTGCCGCCATAGATGCTAGACTGTTTTAGCAACGTGTAAAATGTACCTATAAACTTAAAATCTTACTGAATTTATAATGGAAATCAAATATTTATAATTTTATTTTAATGCAATATACAATTTTTGGCATTCAAATTTAACTACTTATTAATAATAAAATAAATTGCAATCATGGTCGATTAACAATGTGGGCATATCAACAGGGGTAGAAAAAAATGAATAAGTTATATAAAATACATAATCCTCTTATCTGTTTAACTTAATTGGGTATTATAGTGTTATAAAACAAAAAAATGTAACATTTTTTAAAATATATTTATTAATATAGGTATTTTTAGTTTTTTCCAAACAAAATTAATGTATTTATCCAGCTAATCATGTAGTCTACTATTGAATATTACAGTCAGTATTATAGATATTAGAAAGTGAAATATAGGTAGTGCATAGAGTTATTTTTTCATGTTATAATTTTTAAGAAAATATCAAAATTTTAAAACTAAACAAAAGTAACATCAAAATTTCATATAAAGGTTTTTTAATACCTAAAAAAAAAAGTGTTTATTACTATTAGAAACTAGAATTATTTTAAAATAACAATACATTTTTTTTTTATTCCCCAAATATACTAATATTGTTTTGAAAACATGTAAATGAACATTATGTAAACAAAAAAAAACTGTTGTAGGTGGAAAACTAAGAAGGTAGGATATAGACAGGAATTTAATGTATATTTGTAAGCAACAATTAACCATTGCTAACGAAAAACGATTCTGAGCAGAGTTTGGTTGATAGTGTTGCTTTGTTAACAATATATATGAATATTTTGATAAAATAATTACATATGCATTAAACATTTTTTCTAATAATATTTGTTAAATATTGTATTTACTTTCCTGGTTTTTATCATGCTTTTCTCATTAATCGGGAAAATCAAAAAAATGACCTCTATAAAGTACCTCCTCAGTCAGATTTCCCTTTACAAAAATCATTGAAAATCAGAGAAAAATTGCTGATAAAAAAGTTGGCCACAAAAAAAAACCATTGTAAAATCATAAGCTTCTTCACTCCACTTAAAATCTAAAATGATTTAAGTAAGTTCTAGCAGCAGCCCTTGATATAATCCTACTGATCGGTAAGTCGAACTTTCTCTCTATTTGGTACAAAAAAGTTGTTATAAATTAATGGAGATTTCTTTTTTCTTTTTCTTTTTTACCTTTAAATTCAACTATAAATAATGTTTTTTTTTTTTTTTTGTTTTTTATAGCTTATTAATTCAGAGAGTTTATTAGAAGTTGAAGCTTCAGAATCTGATTATCATGCAGAAATACAAAATAATTTACCGCACAAAAAACGATTTCGTAAACGAGAATCTGTTCCAACTCCAATGAGAAGTATTCATCCAAAGTGTTACAAATGTAAACAATGTGGTGAACAATTTAATTCTCAATCCGCATTTACTGTAATTATTATTTTTATGTTTATGATTTTATAAAATTAATATATATGTTTAAATAAACCATATAAATGTATAGGTACATAGAGCAATTCATACACCTAAAAAAGTTGGTAGTCGAATGCCATTTTTATGTGAGATTTGTGATAAACATTTTACACATCAAATAAAATTTTTTGAACACTTAAAATTTCACTACGAACCTCAGCAAAGCAAAGTGATTGTGGTTACCACAGACTCTGGTACTTCTCCGCATCATGTTAACTATCAAAATCATGGAACTCAAGAAACAGCAAATAATGAAAATCACTATATTGAAGACCAACCAGAACTCCATGATCTTCCTCCACTTCAAAGTTATAGAGTATGAAAATATAAAACAAAATATGAAATAAAAATTATAATGTTTCTTTTGTATTCCGTCTAGTTATCTGATGAAAGTATGGAAGATGATAAACATTGTATATTTTCATCTGATGGGTCTATATTGGCTGCAACACTTCAGCAACCATTTCCTACTTGTCACTTATGTGGTCGGAATTTCCGTCGTTTAAAAGCTTTGGAAATTCATATGGCTTCTGTACATCCCCAACCAGCAACTGTTACTGTTAAACAAGACTGTCTAGAAGAATTTTCTGACCCAGAAGATTTAATGGAAGGCATTCGTCATATGGTACCTGGTGTTGCTGACACTGAATCTGAAACTGATGAAAAACATCCAATACAAGAGTAAGTATGGTCTAATTGTAATTAATATTTATTTAATATAGTCTTAAATTATTTGTAGTTGGGAGTACAGTGGTGAAAGCAATACAAACCATGAAGATACTATGATTAAACCAAAACTAGAAGAAAATAATGACTTATTAAATGAAAACGATAATGTTGATAATAGTAGAGCTGAACACACGTGGGAAGATGATACAGATGAATTGGAACAAATAATGAAGAAAAATATATCAAAAAATCTTGTTTGTACCCAATGTAAAAGAAAGTTTAATCATCGAAATTCATTACTATATCATTTAAGATCACACTCTGGTAAACGACCACATAGTTGTAAATTATGTCCTAAGAGTTTCTTCTCAAGTAGTGCTCTTAAGGTGTTTTATTCAATTATATTTGTTCATATAAAAGTGTAGTTAAACAATTTATTGAAAGCTATTTATAATTTTCAGGTACATAATAGGCTACATACTGGTGATAAGCCATTTGAATGTGAATGGTGTGGAAGAAATTTTCGACAATGGGGTGATCTGAAGTATCATATTGCTTCATTGCACTCTGAATCTAAACAGTTTCAATGTGAATTTTGTGGTAAAGATTTTGCACGGAAATATTCATTAATTGTTCATCGACGAATACATACAGGGGAAAAAAATTATGTATGTGAATTTTGTAAAAAAACATTTCGGGCTTCTTCTTACTTGCAAAATCATCGCCGCATTCACACAGGTATGACAATGTTCATAAGATTAATTTGAAAGAATAATAATTGTTTTTTTTTTAGGTGAAAAACCTTATAAATGTGAAACTTGTGGTAAAGCATTTAGAGTACGCTCAGACATGCGTCGACATACTGTTGTACATAGGAAAGACGCCGTTAACTCTGTTCAAATTAATAGCTATGCGGGTCAAGTAAGTGGTATTGTCTCTTCTTCAGATATAAGTATTCATTTAACCAAATTGGAAGTGGATAAAGATAAAATATCTACAGAATCTGACGGAGATGTAAAATTCCATGAAAATTTTTCTCATAACTCCAATCAATTGTTAACACCTGATGGAGTTAGTGCACCTCTTAATCTTAATTTACGAGCTCAAGGTGATGGTAACAATGATGAATCTACACATTTTGAACAATTTAATAGCCGTCAAGAAATAATTGATCGAGAGACAAATACTGTATATGTTTGGATTCCTTCCAATAGCGAACAACTTTTGCAAAGTGAATGAATGGATACTCACCAACTTATTAAATTCAAGAATTAATATCTAAGATCTAAGATCTTCAGATTTATTGTATATTGTTGAATTTTTGTAAGTGTGACTTAATGAAGTCAGAAATTTACTCTGTGGAAAATTGAACTAAACAGTTTAAAAAATTGTGGCTGTTACTAGTCTGATACAAAATTATTTTGATAAATTTAAATTACACAATTTGAATTTAATTACTTCCATTCAAATATAAATCAGATAAAAAAATGTTTACAAGGTAAATGATCCAAATTGACCCATTAGATTATTGTATATTGATAAAATGTTGGGTCTATGAAAATTAATTATGTGTAATATAAATTAACACAATTTGTTGAATATTTATTAAAAATTGAATTATAGTACTTATATTATTAACAAGAGAAGTATTTACTTTATTCATTTCTTAAGATAATTTGTCATAACATCAAGCAAATATTTTACTTCCACAAAAAATATCAGCGAGTCCTTCAACAAATTGTTTATATCCACCATTTTGCTGAAAGACCTTTTTTTCAAGGTTTGAAATTTATATATCAACTATCACTTCTTCTTTCAAGTTCCAGCTGAAAATTTTAAGAAAATCTGTAACACTTCCAAACCCAAAAGTTACCCCATCTATTCCCTCCTCCTTCCATTTTTATTATAAACTTGGTTATTAGGTACACTCTATTAAGTAGATAGGATGGATATATTGTTCAATACTAGCTAATACTAATAGGTACCTCATATTAAAATAAGTACTTATTTTGATGTTGAGTATGCTAGATTAAAAAACTAAATTATTATACATCATTGTACAAATATTTATTTACATAACATTTTTTTTTAAAAAGATGGTGTTTCATTATAATAACTTATCCACACAAATCAACTGATATATTATTATTTTTAAATAACCCCCTTTTGCTCATCATTAAGTACAGTTTTATCATTCTTATACAAAGTTAAAATAAAATAACTAGACAATTTTAGTAATATTTATATTCAATTTCAATTAAATCAAATCCATTTTGGACAATGACAATTATCAAAAGAGATACTGAATTAAGAATTTTAATTAGGAACTCATGTGATTATTCATACAGTGATAATCACTGTGAATTTCACTCTCATTGAAAACCAATGGCAGTAATTGGGGTGAATTGATTTGTAATAAAATTATAATACAATTAATAATATTAATGTAATATTTGAATGCGGTGGTTTTTATTAATTTCTAATAACTAATTTCCATAGTCATTAGAAACTAAATGAACAATTGTATAAAAAAAATTATAATATGTGTAAGTATAGAAAGAATTAATAAACATTACATAATGTTTTCCTCAATTTCCAACCCACAACGCTGGCCTACCCGTGATGTAAAATGCATCAAAAATGTATTTATATAAAATTTTAATCAGAATAGGTACCAGAAATCTTGCTCCAATCAAAAAATTACAAAAGATCTGTTTGGTGTTTTTTAGATTCTGAGCAAAATGAGGAATGTATTGGTATTACAATGATATTTTATTTTATTTTTATTTTTTGTGGAAAACTTTTCTACCAGAAATTTTACTTAGATTTCCAACTATAGCACTTTTTCTGGAAGTAAATCTGACTGTGGAAGTACTTTGAGGAGGTCATTTCTTAATTTTCCCAGTAAATGAGAAAAACCGAGAAAATAGGTACATTATTAAAGAAAATATATAATGCAGATGGTATTATTTTACCATAATATGATATATATTGTTGACAAAGCAACATTATTAATCAAACTTTGTTCAGAATCGTTTATTGTTAGCAGTAACTAATCGTTGTTTACAGATATATATATTAAATTTCCCCTCTTCTTTCACAACTTCTCACCTACAAGACTACAACATTGGCCCATTCATCATGTGAAGTATATCTGTCCTAGAAAAATGGTATTTTCATTTAATAATATTCCTGCAATAGATTAATTATGGATTTGGGGGAAGAGAGGGATTCTAACTTCCAATTATTTGTGAAGAAGTGAATTGGGAATTGAACTCCTGAAATTATTTCGAAATAAGGAGAGGGGTATATCCCCCTGGCATTTTTTACACTTTTTAAGATAGCAATGATTAATACCTTTTATTTTAGGTAAAGAACCTAAAATAAGATCGGGATCACCATCATTTCTGATTGAATTTCATTATAAAATTTCGTCCAAACAATGTAGTTAATTTATTTATTTATATTTTATTTTAAGTGTTCAAATTCTTTATGTACCTAATGGTTTTTATACATTTTTTGCGTTCGTTTTTTTTTTTTAAAATTATAAGCCTTGAATTATGGATTAAATTATTTAAATACGTTTGCAAGTTAAGTTGCCTATACGTGTATAAAATATTTTTAAGTTTATGTAGTATTTCATAGCATGCACTATGCACTGAATCACATAAAAAATATATTGTATTTACGTCCATATATTTTAATAAAAAATATTTGTCCTAGGTTGTAAGATTCTACAAATGAAACAGAATCCTGCATATTTTAGATTCCAAGCAAAGCGAGGAATGGATTGGTTTTTCAAGTGTATTTTTTTATCTGTAAACAACTTTTCTACCAAAAATCTTGCTTCAATTTTCAAGTGTAGCACCTTTTCGAAAGGAAATTCCCCAAGAGTTTTCGTATAGGGAAAATTTACTTAGTGTATTATTTTCAAATCGTAAATATTTTGGCCTTTCAAAATATAACCAAATTTCGCTCAGGATTGTAATTAATCATTGCATATATATAAACATTACAATTCTCATTTACCTTCCTAACTTATACTTACAACAGTGGTCCACCTATTGTACGAAGTATCGGTGAAACACGTTTAGGCGCTTTTATCTGTTCTGCATTCAAAATCCGCACAACGTTTAAGCACTCAATATCTTTAAAAACAGCACATTTGGGCAATTAAATTTAAAAATTATATACCTTTGTTATACCTACATATATTAAATTATATAAGTAAATAAAATGTAAATAAAATAACTCGTGTCAAATAAAATTTGTATAATCCAAAATAATATACCTAATAATAAAAAATACGTTAGTATCTATATACTCCTGTTTCAAATAATTAGTAAGTATAATATATTTAATTATATATTATTTCCTTGATTTTAATATATTATTTTGTCTCCTTTTAGACATTCCAGTTATCAGCTATGTATTTAGTTTTAACTAGGTACAGACTCTTTTCTAATGTAATCGAATTGATTTTTATTTATACAGTTTCTATCTGAACGTTAATTAAAATGTCTTCTACCTTAATATTTACTTTCAGAAAAGTTTCTACATTGTGTACATCGGAGTAAAATGTTTGGTAGAAAGTGTTCACGTCATAAAAAAAAATTAAATCTTTGTAAAACCAATACATTCTTTATTAGACTCAGAATCTAAAATACATTAGATGTCTAAAACGATTCTCTGTCAGTGGTAATGTCTTAAAAGAAACAAAATCAATCTCCGAATCAAAAAATTCGCTTTCTTATTTTATTCTAACCTATTTGATTTAAGAAATTAGGAATATTTGATTCACCTTCAGAAAAACGTCGACATAAAATTTTCAGTTGAAATTTTAAATTTTGAATTTCTTGATTTGTCCGTTCCAACTTCTTGATACATTTTTGTTAGTAAATAACAGATATTAGAATGTTTATTGTCGACAAGATGAGAAAACCTATTACTCCAGCAGGTCGGCCTTCATAAACATTGTTAGTTCTATGTGGATTTGTTGATAAAGTTACTAAATAAACATCCACGATTTTGATAGAAACAATAGTGGTATTTTTTTAAAATTAAATTTTTTTTATAATTTTTTTAAATGTACCTCTGACATAATTTTTGTCAAAATACTGTACCAGATTATTGGGTAATTTCGTATTAGATAATTTATCCTCTTACAAACTATCTATTGGAAGAAAAACAAACTCATCCGCCATTGCACAATGTAATTTTAAGTTTTCGTCATCTTTATATCATTTACATAAGTCCAGGTTTTGTATTTTTCTGTAGTTGCTCTGTGGCAAATGATAAAAGCACCTTCGAATTAAAATGTGTTCACTAAAAACTATTTTAGCAGCTTTGTGAATGCAATTTCAATGTTAACACTAAAGTAGTCTCACAATAATTACACTCATTCAAAATTATTTTAAACATCTTCATTAGTATTTTAAGTTTTTCGCTCAAGTAAACAAAACACTGGTGCAATAAATATATTATTTAGGTATTTGTATTTGAATCTTATGTAGTTGTAGCTTACCTTTTTTGATTTGCATGGATTCAATTGAACTTAGATTAGCAGTTATGATAATGTTCATATTCAAAAAGTAAAATTTTCGTATAATTCAATTCTGTAATTAATATTACTGCAAATTTCATTATTGATTTATTTTTTCGAATATTTCCATCGGATGATATTTTGACATTTCTTGTATACAGTAGGTATAGGTATACCCATGACCCATGTAATGCATTTTTATTATTTCCTTTATTTTATTTAAGAACTTTCATGGTTTAACACTCATATACAATTTGAAACATAAACTTGTTACATATAATTATATAATTAGTAGCCGGTCTATACCGCATAAGACTAACCTATATAACCTATGTACCTATATAAAACTATAAAACTCGTACCTTGTGTCAATAATTGTCATCTGATATAGATTAAAATAAAATATATAATATATACCTATATTATATTTGTATGTATTATTTTCATATACATTATATTTTTCAGTAATAGCGGATTTAGTTCTTTGTTTAGGGGACAATATTTTTTAATATATACATGCTCATAAATAATTATAAAAAAGTATTTACGCGCACAGTTAAACAAAATGTCGAGACCATGACCCCTATGCCCCCTCCATAAACGCCACCTCTGTTTTATAGTGACTTTTTCCTTGGATTTGAGATTAGAACACTGATTTCCTTAGAGCATTATAAAGTTTGAATCAACATTGCCCTGCCTTTCGTAATCGGTTTTCTTCTTTTAATCGAGCGTTCATGTCTCCAACTTCATATTAAACGAATATCTCTATGTATCTTTAGACATAACACCGTCTTTTTTCGATTGTGACCAAAGAAATTTAGAAATCAACAAAACAAAACCAATAATGTATTGTCATTTATTACGTTATAGTTTTTAATTTTTTGAAAACAATGAAGTGGGAACTACTAGAAAAATGATTCAAATAAAGGTTGTACAAACTAAGGGTGGTCAATTGAGGAAGGTTGAGGGAGATATATTCCTCCATTATCTTATTTTAGATTCCGAGCGTAGCAAGAGAGATATTGGTTTTACTAAGATGTTTATTTTTTTTCTCCATTTTTTTTTAGTCTGGCTACGGTTTTACTCAGTAAATTTACTCCGATTTTTATGTGTAGAAGCGTTTCTGAAAGCTCAAGTTGTGTAGATTTTACTTTAAAAAAGTCATTTTTTTGATTTTGGACGCCATTTTTTAAATAAAAGCACTTAAGTGGGGCAAAACGTAGGAAAACGTACAATTTCAAGATTTCATTATTTTATAAAAACACGGACGACGTTTTCTACCAGAAAAATGATTAAATCAAAAAACCATACACACCTTTATTATTTACTTTCTTACGGTATTATCGCCAAAACTTTTGAACCATTTTTTAGCTTTTAAGGAATTTTAATTTTTAGGAGTTTTTTTGTTATACTTCAGTTATAAATACAAGTAGAGACTTGAAAAATGGTGATAATACTTATATTGGATTTACCTAGACGTAGTAAAATTTTCAAAATAATTGGATGAATTTTTTTTTCAATAAGCGTTTTGAAGTCAAATTTAAACGACAATCACAAAAAAATTACCACAATTAAAATTATGTATTACCGAACTGCGCTCGGAATCGTCTTTCTTCAAGCAATGATTATCGTTGCTTACAGATGTAAAAGAAATAACCTTAAGTATCCTACCTTCCCAACTTCTCATCTACAACAGTGGCCGCTCCCATCCCCGGTATCAGCTCTTTTTTTTAAAAATATCTATAATAATATACAGTGAACGGTAAATATGAATACTTAGATTTTTTTACAACATAGAGTACTCTTTGGTTATAATAACTTTGGTTTTTTTAAATGAGAATCTACATGTTTTAGTGCATATTGTTTGTCGAATGATTTTTATATGTTTATTAGTTATAAAAAAATCTATGTAAATAATTCTTTAAAATTATCTTTACCCCACACCCAATTAAATATATTAACTATAATTGGTTGATCTCTTATTAATCGGAACAAAATCGTATGTAAATTTCACAATTTTGCAATTAAGGACTATTCAAATTGAATTATAAATATATAAATTAATTTATAATGTTTCTTTTCTCGTCTGTATTATTACTCTTGTCTATGACCAATGGCGTATCTACGAGTGAGAGTTAAGGGGTTTACACCAATCACCCTCTTCCACTCAGAGAAACACAACTTCTATAATATAAGTGGGCCTGATATGATTTATGTGTTCTAAATTATAGCAGTCTAGATTATATAAATTTTCTTCCCGCCTTCAAAAAATAATATATGAAAACAATTTACTATCTATTTAATAATGAACATAATAGTGGAATATGTGAAAATTAAATTGTTTCAGAATATTTGTATGTTGAATGATTTTAATGTCATGATTCTGAAAACATTAGATATATGATGTACCTTCATCACAATTTTATTTATATACCGTGTATTTTCTATGCATGACTTTAAAACTATTGATTTTATATATTTTTTATTATAAAATTTATCTTGAGGCTTAAAACCTAAAATCTCACGGTATGTTGGTTGTTGGTATATAGTTATTGTATACGTTATACCTATATATTATAATAGTCTAGACGGTGCTGAACCGAAGATATAGGCGCCACAGCGCCAGACATTTTACAAAACCCTGGCCAATCGGCTGAATGGTTCAAATTTCAAAACGCATTATTTTTATAACCTTGCCGCCAGGAATCAACAGGTCCCTGCTGTGTACTGGCGCCATACAGCATATTTGTATGCAGCCATGCAGGGATTTTATTTATTTATAATATAAATATATTATATATACCTATACTTATAATGTATAATATAATAGTAGGTAAATATATAATGGATACTGACTACGTAAACGTTATTCTCGAACCCTATAACAAAGCTGGAGCACTAGTGTCATTCCCTAACAGATTAGAGAAAATTTATTACATACAAAATATTAATAACACATGTAACAGCATTATATTTTCTACAAATATCTTATCAATTACTATATTTTATTAAATACAATTAATTCTTTAAAATAAAATACATTAAATTTGTTTTTTCGGTTAAGGTTCGGTGTTTAACCAGATACGGGCACTCGTGCTCCAGCTCAGTTCAAGTTCGAAATATAGGGCGACGTAGATATATACGTTCTACTCGGAACGTAATTTATTTCATACAAAGTGTCGGTCTGGCATACCAAGAGCCCATTTAGGGGTACCATAGATTAAAAATTAAAAAAAAACCAAGAAAATCAATACGATATTGGGTCAAAAGTTAGTTTTATTACTCAATCATATTTCTAAAAAGTAACAATGGATTTCGCAGGAGAATTTAGGATAAAAAAAAGTCATAAACAAAAATTCCTGGATTAAAAGCCACGGACAAAAAGACCCAAAATAAGCTATACAGGTGTCTTGTCGGATGCGTCTAACATTTAACTTTTGTTTTATATTATAATTTTTAGATTCGGAGCGTAGCGAGGAATGTATTAGTTTTACTACGATGTGTGCTTTTTTTTATTTTTTCAGTTTTTCTATCTGTAATAAACAACTTTTTTACCAGAAAACTTACTACAATCGAAAAAACCCTGGAGACATGACAGCTTTTTTGTTTCATTTACAAAATTCAAAACATATAATGCAAAAGTGTTTTGATTTATTAAAAACTAAAATAATTTGTATTTTTTTTTCCATTCGTTTTTTTTTTTTTTTGGGGGGGGGGAGTAGGGATTTGGACGTCAACTTTTGAAATTCAAATGAGAACCTGTATTTAAAATTTCTTAAATAGTGTAAGTTTAAATAAATGTCCGTATTAAAAATTTTTGATTTTCGTCAACACAAAATTAAATATAACAGCAGACACTGTTATTGTGTAAATATTAAATATTACAGTTATTTCGTGTTTCCCCATTATTAAGAATATTATAATTAAAATCAAAAATTGACGTCCTCATTATACCAACTAAACAATATTTACTGCCAGAAATAATCTTTTCCGTTGATAAACGGAACAAGATTTTTAGTATAAAAATTGTTTACAGACAGAAAAAAACCTAAATCGCTGTAATTGATCACTGTAGAACATAAAATAATTAATATATAAGTAATCAAAAATTTGACCAGCATTTGTGTCAATGAGTTTTTTATTTTTCTAGTTTATTCATTACTTACTGAATAATTTGTAAAAAACGATAAAGGAGGAATGTGGGTCGATTACCCTACGGGTAAGGTTGAGTTCAATAGTTCCAAGGGATTATCATTTTTTTTTTTAAGTCTTATAATTTCTTTTCTTTTATTTTTCTAATTCGAGCACTCATATATATATAAATGGTGAAACCCTTATGGCTTACGCCTTTGGCAAGAACATGGCTATTAGTGGTGCCGTAACAATGATGTTAGGCGGGACGACCGTCACTTCCGTAGTCGACACAAAACAAAAATAGATACATAGCGTCAATATTTTGTGGGAGCGGCCTATCTAGTCGCCGGTTCATTCGTATGATGATACTGTATAATAATATTAATATTGTATCTATTTTTCATGAAGTATTGTTATTTTTTTTACGTACATTTATAAGTATACATGGTAATATGGTATGATATGGTAGGTAGGTACCTATAAGAATATACTTATTACGGTGTAGGTACTAGAAATTAAATGCATCGTTTTATTTACCCATTTCATGAATATATAGGGAACAATTCGACAATATGTCATCTATTATATTGTTGTTGCATTGTAAAATAATATAATACGTCAATATATGACGATTATTGTGACAAAAAAAAAAGGGAATGGACCGTATAGGCGCCGAACTCCCACCCGCCACTTCCGTAGACCTGCGTATATGTGCGTGAGTGCGTACGGAACGCGTCTCGAAAAAAATAGTTCGGCTCTTTAGTCTTTGCTAAATCGCTATTGCCACTCGTCAGTGAAGATGAGAACATATTCTTAACGACACGTCGATCGGATCCACCTGCGAATTGTTAGTTTGAAAATTAATACTTTAATCCTTAAATACAATTAGTGCTGTCATCCCAAGGCGTACCTTGTACTTTATATTAATTATTCGAAAGTTGTGCCGTACATCTAGCCGTTAAAGTTTCATCATTACTAGTGGTGGACAATCGTGGACTGTGATTTAAAAGAATAATTGAATCCCATCTGATACGGTCATACATAATATATTTATACATATTACACCTGCTGGGGTGTAAAATCCGGCAACGTCGCGCACGCATTGTGGTTGGGAGCATGACAAATGCGTGTACTACACTGTTACAGCGTTGCCGTGATTTGATCCAGAACGTATCCGAACAGCCGCCACCGAACGCCGTTGGATTCTAATAATCTAATCAATGATCCGCGTTTTCCTTTCTCTCAACTTCTTAACAACAATAACAACAATATTAATAATATTAAAAAACTATTGGTGTATTGAAACTTTATTACTTAAATAATTTTTTAGTTCGTTTTGCTCGTTCCGTTTGTCAACATTTTCGTATAATGGAGGTAGACGAGTTCGATTCTGGTCGTTCTTCGTCGACTATTTCGTCGATAAACAGTCTGTTCTCTTTCACCAGCCCGGCCGTTAAGAAACTGTTGGGCTGGAAACAAGGTGATGAGGAAGAGAAATGGGCAGAGAAGGCTGTTGACGCGCTTGTAAAGAAATTAAAAAAAACCAAAGGTGCCATCGAAGAATTGGAAAGAGCGCTAAGTTGTCCAGGACAGCCAAGCAAGTGTGTTACTATACCGAGAAGTCTAGATGGCCGGTTGCAGGTACATTTTAATAATATTAACCAACCATCTTAAATTATTTATTAAGTAACTTATAAATAATGTTTTATTTGTATAGGTGTCTCACCGTAAAAGCTTACCACACGTCATATACTGCCGTGTATGGCGATGGCCTGATCTTCAAACCCATCATGAGCTTAAACCACTTGATCATTGTCAGTTTCCGTTTTCTACCCAAAACAAACAAAAAGATGTTTGTATTAACCCATATCATTATAAACGTGTTGAAAGTCCAGGTAAGCCTAACTTATTTATTTAACATTCATTCTTCTTTAATATTATTTTACCGACATTTGTATTATTAATACAAGTTGAATACATTTTTGATACTAACTCCAATATGTTATTTACTAGCTACTAATCAACTAGTGTTTTTTATAACCAATTTTGTAATTCACAATACTATCAATGTATTTTGTTTTGATTAGAAATATTGTTTATTGTTTGTTATATTATGTTAAATAGGTAGTTAAATTAATTAAACACTTAAAATAACTATGTTATTTACAATTAAAAACAATAAACCTATTAGTTAATGCAACTAACCTACTATTTTTGACATCCCTATTATTAGTATGATTGTTTCCAGATTTTATTCCATTATCACCAAATATTGTAAATATTTCATAGTATATTAGAACTTAATAGACAATCATAAAATATCATTGCATAGTATTAGGTACCTGTACACAAGCAATTATTTTTAACTGTTATGGTCTTTCGTATTCTAGAATTGTCACTTTGGAACGATAGTTAATGGATGCATTTAAAAATCCTGATGTATGGTATCAAAACTGTACAAAAATCTGTCACAAAATCATCCATTATCAGGCATTCCAAAAATGTTGTTATAAAATCCTCTTGGAATTTTAGTTACACGGTACATATCCGGTTTGATGTAATCTGACAGTTATTATACCAATGACCAGCGACTGATCTTTGTACAGTTTCTCCTTTGTCCACTAAGAAGACAGTAACGTTGTGTAGTGGGAAATGACAGATCAGAACTGTGACATTCCAAAACTGACAAATAAAAACATTGGTTATGGATCGTGGTTCAAAACTATCAAAAAAACTCTTTGTGCATGACCTATGATTATAATTTTTATAAAATAATAATCAAACGTATATGAAAACGATGTAGGAGTGTTTTAACGGTAAATTAATAATACCATAGTGTGTTTGTCGAATAAGTATCTGATAATGACTTGAAAAATAATTTAATCGAAAAAAGTGTTTGTAATATGGAACGATAACGAGTTTGTGTATAAAATAAACAATTTTAAATGAAAAAAGCAAAATTAAGTGGCGTTAAAGAGGTTCAAGATGCGGACAGGTACACTTTAGAATACCTACTGGCATAATATTGATAAATTGTAGAATTATTGTCGCCGATATGAATTTTGTTATTTTATAATTAATAATTATAATATTATATAATTAATATTANTATGTTATAGGCATAGTTTTACAATGTTTTAAAACAAAATATTATACACTAGATATCATATTAAATAAATAACTATAGTTTGTCGATAAATGTTTGATATAGTAGATGACATATTGGATAAATGCTACAATTTTATACAGAAATATAAAAATTATAATTTTCAATACTTACTCTAAATATCAACTGTATGTATATTAAAGTACAATTCTGTAACTGCAATAACACACTTAGGATTAATCTTAACAGTAAATTGCAGTACTCAATAGGTAGAAATTATAGGATATTTAATGTTGTATTATTGTAGCTACAGGATTATATCAATATATACAGGTTGATTCAAAATTTATGTTACAGCAATTTTGTCATGTAAATATTCAAAAAACAGAAATTATATAATACAAACATTTTTTTGATTTATAAACATCTGTTGTAATTTCTAATTTTTTTTTTTTTATTGTCTTTTTGGAAGGATTTTGAGGATCAACTTTTGAAATTCAAATGATAATATATTTAAAATTGGATAAATAGATGAAACGTTAGTTCAAATAAATTTCAAAAAATAATTTTAATGTTTATAAATCAAAAAAGTGTTTTATTATACATTTTTCTTTATTTTGAATATTTACTTATATTAATACTTTTATAAAAATATGGTTGTAAAATAAATTTTGAATTATCATTTAAGTAATTGAATCATAATCTATGATCTTATATCAGTTTATTCATTGTTTAATTTTAAAATGTGATATGCAAGTAATACTTCTTATATTTTATTATTCTTTTGAAATTTGAAATTTTATTTAAGTTGTTAAATTGTTTATTTTGTCCATTCAAATAAATTAAGATTAAAATAGTGTAATATAGTGTTCTTGAATATACCTAAATTTAAATTAATTATAGTTTAATTAGAAATTATGGTATATTTGTCTTTAAATAATTATATTCATTTATAGATATTATGTTAAACTATTAGTTATTTTTCAGTCTTACCTCCAGTATTGGTACCTAGACAAAGTCAACTACCACCTATGATGTTTCGTCAAGGTCAAATGCCAGAAAATCTTCAATACAACAATTATAACCAAGGACCTAATTCTCCATCATCAAGTTCTCCACCGAGCAGCCCTTTTCAGAGTAGTTCAATATCAGGTACATCTCATATTTTATCAAAAATAAGTAATAGATACTTACTTCTTAAAATATTGTTTTAGAATTGGGAAGTTCACCTGGTCTTGATGAAAAAGCTATGAGTCCTGCATCTGGTACACAAGTCTTGTATCAGGTATAAAACAACAAAGTGTAAAACATTTTTGTAATATACTTATGAATTATATGTATTTAGGAACAAGCTAGTTGGGCAAGTATAGCATATTATGAATTGAATAGCAGAGTTGGAGAATTATTTCATTGTCAATCTCCTGTTGTAGTTGTAGATGGTTTTACACATCCAAGCAATAATTTGAACCGATTTTGCCTTGGACAACTGTCCAATGTTAATCGAAATCAAACAATTGAAAACACAAGACGACATATTGGAAGAGGTAATTATTTACTACACAATAAAACACTATTTTGATTTTATTTATTTTATAATATAAAACAGAAATTGAAAATTTATTTCATAAATTACTTTTTTACATAGTAATATATAATTAATAGTTGATGCTCTCCCCTCTAGGTGTTTTCTTCATTTATTAATTTTTAGTCTAGATATATTATAATAAATTATGATATTTAATTTACTCTAGCTTTCACTTGTAACTTGTAATTGACTTGCATAAATATGTATAAACTCTTTTTAATGAAATACTTTATGTTACGTAAAAATTTCTTTTGGTTTTATAACCCATAAATTAGTATTTGTCTCTTTCTCCATTGCGAAAACTCTTTACAACAAAAAAAAAATCTTTTGGTTCCTTAGGTTCATTGTAAAGAGTTTTCACAGGTATACATAGAGTTATACACAGGTATATATATATGTGGGATTTTTTAAACATGTTCACCCTATTTTTATGGTTAATTAATGCATTTATTCAAATTCTGATTTTTTGAATTTTTATATACCTAGATTTTTTGCAACATTTAAGGAGTAGTCTGTGGCAATATTAACTTTGGTTTTTTTGAATGAAAACCTGCATGTTTTAATGAAAAGTAAGAATTTGATGGTTTCTCTCAAAATGTTGACCATTTTTAATTGAAATTCGAACAAAAAATGTCTGAATTATTTTACTTTCTAAATTGAGAATTTAAAATATACCATTAATCTAGTATTCACCATCCTTTAAGGATGTAATACAGGAGGGAAATAGTCTATATGTTATTTCTGGTCTAGAACTACATCTATACAAAGTTTCAGTTTAATTCGTTCAGTAGTTTCGACATAAAAGAGTAACATACGTCCTCACAAACTTTCACATTTATAATATTAGTAGGATTAATCGATTATATTATGATTATTTATTTACGTTTATTACAAAATATTTTACTTATTTTTCTTTATTACAAAATCGAGACTAAAACCATGTGTAATACCATAAGCCTGTAATAATAATAATATTGATCTGTTAAATCCACAAATAAGTGCAAAATGACTGAACAATGTAATAACTAATAATGTACAATATGTAAGTACTAGCTAATAGGACATTTAAATATTTAATGGAAAAAAACCAGATAAAGTAATAAGGTTTCAATAAAAACTCGTTTATATGTTCAAGTTTAAAATGGTTTGAGGTTCTTAAAGTGTATACAGGATAAAAATAAATTTTAATTTTCAACCGTTATAATGCCATTATATTAAATTACTAATTAACAGTAATCTATTGGTCATGAATTTAACTATAATAATTATTATTATAAGAGGACAAATAAAATTGAATGACAACCCCCCCTCCCTCAAAAAATTCTTGGGTCTGTCCTATTCATCCACACATAACTTGTTATTTTTATTTTTTATATATATAATATGTTTAATAACTAATAAGTCCCTTGCCTTAAGTTCTACCAAAAAGTCACAATTGTTAAAGTATGATGAGTATTTATTGATGTAATACCTGTGAAGCAAACAGATAAGACAAATTGTGAGGCTTTGCACCTACATAGCAAAACTATGACACACCTGCAATGTAAATTGTGGTGTTTAGGTTGATACAAGAGTTAAAACAAAAATAACAAAATTTAAAAAGAAGAATATTTACATGAGCTGTATCTAAATATTTTCTAAAAAATTGTCTTTAAAAAAAAAAAAAGTCAGACATACTTTGCACCATGAGTGGGTCATTGATATAGGTGAAAAATTGGAAAGGTAGGATATAGAAAGGAAATTAATATTTATCTGTACGCAACAATTAATCACTGTCTTGCTGATATAGCCTTATTAATGTTCTGTATTATTACTTGTTTTCTGTTTTGTCATACGAATAAATAAATCATTGCTAATGAAAAATGATTCTGAACAGCGTTCGATTATTCATGTTTTGAAAAACAGTAATGTTTACAGTTTTTGTCAAAAATTCTTATTAAAAAATAATTCTACATTACACTTTCTTTCTTTTTTGATACTTTAATCAAGCTTCAGTTAAATTTTCAAGCATTTCTGTTTGGTCTAACAATTTTATCCGTACAGTACCTACTGAATTAAAATGTTGTAAAAAGACTCAGATTCAAATATATAAATAGCTCAAAATTGATTAAATTAAATATTTTGAAAATTTGTTCACGTCTAAAAAAGCCAAAAATAGTTTTCAGTCAAAATATCAAGTTTCTATGAATATTTTTAACTAAATTGTAACAAAAAATTAAAAATTATTAATTACGTAAATTTTTTCATTTTTCGTATGTTTTTCAAAATCTACATTTATTTTAAAATCGCTTAAAAAATCAAAAAGTGACTTCCCTAAATTACTACTTTAATAAAATTGTGTTCATAGTAGAATGGCTTTTAAAAAGTGTGAACAACTGTTGGTGGTGTATTTTTAAGATAATTTTTTTGATTGTCCGTGTAGTTTTCCTATTATTTGGTCAAAAAATATAGAAAACTGACATTTTCACAGAATACTTATATTATCTAGCTAAGTAAAATTTTCAAACAATTCTGGTGACTTGATTTTTTTAACCAACGCATCATTGAGTAGATTTTTTTTTATTTTTATAAGTTATAGTTTAAATTAAAACTTATGGAATTTCAAAACATGTATAACTTAATTTTGCTTAGTCATTTTGGTTAGCAATGGTATAGTGTTACACACAGGTATAAATAACTGTTTGTATCTTTTTCTTTAAAACTTTTCACCATCAGCACTAGAGAATCAACTCTTTTTTCCTCTATTACTTGGTATTGTTGGATATTTTAAGGAATAATTTTTATTTGTAGATTAACTTGGCAGAACTAAGGATTGAGTAACAAATAGCAAACGCTTAAATATATATTTAATGGGGTTTTTTTCTTGGCTGTTGTTTTTCTTATTGTGGTTAATTATTTAAATGTTTGGCATTCATTTTGGTTTACATATCTAAAATATACATCATCTTATTATAAAAAATGACTTAAGATTAATTTTAATAAGTTAAAGAAGTAGGGGTGGCATTAACATAATATGGTAAGAGACCATTAATTCTTGTTCTTAAAAATTTAATTTTTGTCTGCATGAATAATTATTGAATTAAAATAAATACAGATACATTTATTACTATTTGGTATACTTGAAATAATTTATTATAATTAATTTGTATTTACAATACTAGTTTCCATTTTCTTCAAATGATGTGTATGATGCGTTTATACTAAACGTGTACATTATTTTTTAGTATACTAAAAATAATTTTATACATTTGAATTTATCTACATTGTACTTTTAGTTAATAAATGAATTATAATTAAAATATACACAATATTACACATGACATACATGTATACCTCATACATTACAAAACTATTAGTTATTAAGAAAGCATCTGGATGTGTTGTCTCTGTCTTACCACCACATAACATAGCAAATTTCCGTTCGGCAGGGACAACTCTGTACTATTATTTTTAATATTAGAGTGAATTGACTTATCTAAGTGTCAAATTTAAAGATAAAAACATTAACTGTTTAACAAATTGCTAAGCAAGATATGAGTGTAAATATCACAATTTAAAAATATTTACATCTCACTTAAAAATAAAAATTGCGAGAAAAAAATTGACGACAGCACAGAGTTGTCTTTGTTGAACTAAAATTTACTGTTGTGTAATGTTGTAAGACAGAGATAGTACATGCGGGTATAACATCCTCTAACAGTATAAAATGCAAGAAAATAGTTTAAAAATAAATACTTAAATTTAAATTAAGTAATGTTAAATAAATCATACATAAGTTATTCATTATACAATGTTTATTATTAATAATATTATTATTTAATTTAGGCATTCAATTGCATTACATTGGTGGAGAAGTATATGCAGAATGTTTATCAGACTCTGCTGTGTTCGTACAGTCACGTAACTGCAACCACCATCACAATTTCCATCCATTAACTGTATGTAAAATACCTGCTGGATGTTCTTTACGAATCTTCAATAACCAACAATTTGCAACTTTACTCACAGAATCTGTAAATTCTGGTTATGAAGCAGTATTTGAGCTTACTAAAATGTGCACAATTAGGTGAATTTTACTTATTATAATTTGGTATTTATGTGACAAAATATGTATATTTATAAATTTTGTCTATTTAGGATGTCATTTGTGAAAGGCTGGGGGGCTGAGTATCACCGCCAAGATGTTACAAGTACTCCATGTTGGATAGAAATCCATTTAAATGGACCACTACAATGGTTAGACAAAGTTTTATGTGCCATGGGATCCCCTCGCAATGCTATATCGTCAGTTTCATAAACCAAAATGCTTATTACATTTATTTTTCTAGTATGAAGGTAACATTTAATTCTTTCTGTAAACTAAAATGTTATCAACACGAATTAGATGTATAAGTTGTACACATTAGTAAAATAATTTTAATACAAAATATCATTATTATAGTATTTTATAAAAAAATAAACTTACATTTTTAATTTTTGTAATTCAATGGTTGTTTTATTTTGCTATAATGTATGTTTTTGGTGCTCGCTATTCTTATTATTTTATTTATTGTTTTTTATTTTAAATTATGTTTAAAGTTTTGAAGCTTTTAACAAAAATAAAAAATATATATCTTCATTACTTAACAGATTATAATAATATTTTCTAATAAAATTATAAATGACAAATGTTCAGTAATGATGTATGACATTAACTGTGAACAAATTGTGTAATCACAATGTTTTTATAAGCTCTCTTAATAAATTATATTTCATATAAATTTTTTTTTGGACAACCAGATTATAATCTCATTAATAATTTAATTTATATCAATATAAGTTGTAATTATTCATTACAATTTTTAATTATTTTGTAATTTGTCTTAAGCTTCTGTAAGACAGTATTATCAAATTATTACATATTCTGTATTTGTTGTAAATTATGACTAATTACATTTGAGTTAATTTATTATTATAATGATAAAACAAGTATATTATGTTATTTACAGTAGTCAAATATATGATGTACAGGTTATTTTGCTTTTTTATATGAGAAGTTATCGGTGACAGTGGTATTGCTTAGTCTCGATCACTTCATAAATTAGAATATAGTAGTTTAAATCAGTAAAAATAATATATTTAAAATTGTTTATAATAAAATTGCAATATAAAAATGTTTTATGAGCTTATATTTATATTGTTGAATTTATTAAAGTAAGTTTTCAACCAATGTTCCAATAATGTAACATTTTTGTTTGGTTTATTATTATAATAATTATAATTTTTTTTTTAGTTACATACAATTTTCCTAAAAAATTCAGTTTATTGTCTTTATATTATATTTTATTATATTGATCTTATTTAATTAATATTTTGAATGTAAATTATAGTATATTTTGAACAAATAAATATATACACGTATAAATCATTTATTTTTCTAATACCTAAGACAATAATTATTCTCTGTCTCTCTCTATATATATATATAATACAGGCCATTTAGAGCCATTGCTACAATTACCACTTTCCATTTTCTTTTGTCTTATGTCTCTTCTGGATTCTCTACTGTCAAACTCAAGTCCATGCAATCAATATTTCGGCCGTCTCAAAGATCTCTTCCTATTCAGTACCCACAAAATTATTTTATCTACCATTTTCCCTTCTGCAAGCCATGTATGTCCTGCCCATCCAATCCTTTTGCTATTCATTACTATAACTATACCTGGTTAATTGTCAATTAATTCAAATTATGTGTTATGTGCTTATATTCTTTGATTTTCTTATTTTTTTTGTAATCAAATAATTTTATACTAATTTCTTTCAAATATTACTAATTTTTTTCATCAGTTTTCGTTGGAGGCTATTATTGCCACAATTGTCTATTTAGCACTATATACACAGTTGTTTTTAACAGGATTTTAGATTTGAACAGTGGTTAATATATTAAATATTTTACACTTAGCTTAATTACATTTTAGTAATTTAAATATATAAGGTGATTAACATGAACCATTAATTTTCTAGTAGGTTTAATATATTTTAAGTGAATTTAATGTCTGATTATTTTTTTTTATAATTTTTAATTATGGAATCGTTTACCTTTATTTTAACAAAAATTAAGACCAAAAAATAGAATTTAATAATAATCGAGAAAATCACTGGTTTATAATAAGTTAACCACTCTGTATATTTACCTACCTCAAGAACTGTATGTATTAACTCCGTTTTAATTATTGTCCGTGCGTTAATGGAAGTTCGTCAAAGGTTTTTTTTTATTTTTGACACTAGGTACTTGATTAAATAAATTTATAGTCGACTTTGAATACCAAAGTTTTAAAGTCATCACAATTCTTTCTCTATTTGTTCTAACAGCTGCTCTCATAGACATAATGAATATAGATTACCAGTTATCATTTTTTTTTACCGTTTTAAACGTTACAACAGTTTTTGCATTTGGTTTGCCACAAATAATAAGCTCGAAAACGCATCAAAATGTTTCCACGACCGAACTATTCAATTGTCTGTCAAACGTCACTCGGACGTATTTTGACAGGCAGTCCATTTATTTGCATTTCGACGAATTTGGTACAGTCGATTATATGGCCAATGTCGATTCGTTCACCGAAGCGGTGCAGAGCCCCAAAGTGATCGTGCCGTATTCATCGTTTACTGACGAACAACAACTGATGAAGGGTGTGTTCGCATTTTTGGCCGAGGATCTCTTGTACGTTAAACTCTTGAATATCACGCAACAAAGCTATTTCTTAGCTGTATGGACAAAGCAAATGCACGTAAATTACATCAGACTAGTATTCCGGGACTTTTGGACCTATGGTAAGCACATCAATGTTGTGGGGCTCGTGATGATGGACGACGGCACCGTCAACGCGTACACATACAAGCCCTTTTCAAATTACGGGTGCAGTAAGCTGGGCCGGCCGTTCCTATTAGACAACTGGCAGAACGGCCGGTTCCTGTGGGGAGTCGATCTATTCTCACAAAAACCGAAAACGGGTAACATGCGTGGCTGCGAACTGAAATGCGTCGGCAACGAACATCCGCCTGATTCAGTGATGCGACACGACGGAAGTCGGTGGACTACATCCGGCGTCGGTGGCAAGGTATTGGAGATCTTGGCCAAATATTTGAACTTTTCGCCAGTGATTACGTCACCCAAAAGCAGTAATGTAAACGAAATGTACAGCTGGTACGATAGCGCCGACGTACTCAACAACATATCGGTAATGTTGATCACTGAAGAGGCGGATTTGGCCTTTGGCTGGTATTCATTTGCCACGCATAAATCTGAATACAACACCAAATTGGCCAGAACTACGAGTATCGATTGCCTCGGATGGGCCGTGCCATACCGGGCTGGGCCACCTCCAAAATCATGGACCAATTACGTCAACGAGTTCGACAAAGTCGGCTGGCTGTTTATTGGATCCATGTTTGTGGTCGTTGTCGGTCAGTACCTACAACCAATGGCATACCCAGGGCGAGTTTTGGGTATTGTTACCAACCTCCCCTCCTATAACTTCTTTTTTTGCTATAGATAAAATATAAGCTTTAAAAAGTTGTAGACCTTTAAATCTATTTTAACCCCGACTCTATTGATAAATACTACTGCCTAAAACCATTGATTAAATATACTTATAACATATTTAAATATTTAATTAATAATACCAACAATGCTTTAATTAAATTTACCGGTGATAATATTTAAAATATATAGGAATTCTTATAACACATCGTAAAGTCTGGGTAGGTAAGTACTTATTAAGATACGTGACAAACAAGGTGAGCATCCCCGACACAAACTCGCATGAGCATGCTGAAAAATGTATTCGTTCGTGTGGAAATTGTACGTCGCACATATATTCCATGCGTGGTTATTCAACCAAATCCCGGATTTCTCCCTAAGCCTTTTTTCAGAAGTAGATTAACTCCGTATGAGAACTATTTAACAATTTAATTAAACATTTTTTTTTTATTTTAATAAAGAAATCATAAGAAATATATGTTTTTTAAGTCACGAAATTATTTGATATCCTGTAAAACAGTATAAGTTAAGTTTTCAACAGCTAGAAATAATATTTATTTTCTTAGTAAAATTTATTATCCAACAATAAATTCGTACAAATTATATAGGTTTTAGATTCTAAGTGTAGCGAAGAATGTATTGGTTTTACTAAGATGTTTATTTTTATTTTATCCTGTGTACAAAAATTCGACCATAAATCTTATTATATATACGTGCGGCATCATTTCTGAAAGGGAATGTTGTTTAGATGGTACTTTTGGGATATCATTTTTCCAAGCGAAACCAAGTTGAAACGTAAGAAAAACGGGAAATGTACGAAATTAATGCTTTTATTATTCTGTCAATTGAGTCATTTGTTGTAATTCAGTAAAAATATTCGTAGAGGCTTGAATTTTAGATAAAACTTATATTTGCCATTTCTAGACGTAGAAAAATTTTCAAAAAATTAAAGCCATTTTTGAACTATTTATAGACATTTTAATTTTGCAAATTTTGTACGTAATTAATATTCGGTAGATACTTTGTAGTAAAATTATTAAACTTAAAAAATTTCTTTAAATTTTCTTTAAAAAATTAAACTTAACAAGAAGTACATTCAATTTTATTTTGTGATAAAAAAAAATTGAGTTTAATGTAGTATTTGTTTTTATAAAGGAATTTTGATACTACATTTTGACAAAAATAGTTTGAGTAAAAAATTATGTGGAACAAATCTAATTTTTCAATTTTTTTTTTTTTGCGAACATATGTATATTACCAATTTAGAAATAATGGTAAAGTAAGAAATGAGCGGACTGACTTAGTTTCGAAATTACAGCATTTTGAAGTTCAGATATTATGCAAATATATTACATATTTATATTAAATAACTCAAGATTAACACAATGTTTGTTGTAGTCGAATGATTATGCATACGTATTGTGATACAAATTCAGCTGGCTCAAACCCGGGTTCGTAAAGAGGTTTTAGCACTTTTTTTTATCATTTACCTAAATAGGGAAAAAATAAATGGATTTTAAGTGTATCTAGAAACTTAGTTATCACTCGCTCGGATGATTTTAATCGAAAAATACCCCTCGATTTGTTGTGCAAACTTTTCTACCAGAAATCTTGCTCCCATGTATCAAGTGTTGCTTATTTTATAGCTTTATTATAAAGAAAATCATAAAATGTCTTTCTCCTTTACCAAAAAGATTAAGAATTTAAAAAAAAGGTTTCTCGGTGTTTTTCTTATAGAGCAATATTTCTGGTAAAAAATGAAAAGGGTGAAAATTTAAAATAATGAAATCGTAACAATGTAAATTTGTCAGTTTTTATTTTTCGTCATTTTCCGATTTTTCTCAATTATTATAAAAGCTAACAGAAATATAAAAAAAACAAATACTTATTCACGAACCAAATTAAAAATTCAACAAACGAATTCTCCTGTCCTTTTTACATTTGGAGCAATATTTATCGTTTATGGTAGAACCAGAAAGCGTAGGTAAGAATTTAAAATAAATCGTTTTTTTAATTTTTTTTTTGGTTTTTTCTAATTATTATAAAAAAATACTTTAGATATCAAAAACCAAATCTTTCTGTCAGTGGCTATGTGTTAAAAGGAACAAAATCGATCTTTTGTCATTTTTCGTTTGGAGCAATATTTCTGGTAGAAAACATCGTGAACAAAAATTAAAACCATTGAAAACTGTAACGTCACGACGTTAATTCAATGTAGTGAGATATTTGCCATTTTAATTATTATTTTCTTTCGGATTTTTCCCAATTATTTTGAAAACTTCTTGGAAAATTAAAAAATGACCTCTTTATTGACTAAAAAAAATTCCCTTGCAGAAAAAGTGCATTTGCATATCGAAGCCTGTTGTTGATCTATAGTAATACCTGTATTAACATCAATCATCATAGTCATACACGTAATAAAATTGTTCGTTTTACAGGCGTATTTTATTTCTTCCGTAAACTGAAAAAACTGCACGGAGTAGACTCGGTGGTATTTTTTGTCTACCACATGACCATTGACCAACCGACTCGCGTGCAACCCATCTGGTGCAGTCTCCGGACTTTCACGATCCATTGGCTGTGGTACTGCATGGTGATCAACGTAGCGTATAAAGCGTCTTTAGGCAGTTTCATGACGGTGCCACCACACGGGATCGAATTCACTCGCATGGACCAGATTCTGAATTCGCAGCTGATTACAATGGCAAGTCCTCAGTCCTTACAGATAATCAACGGAACGACAACCACTACCAGGATATCGCGGACATTCATGAATCGTTTGCAACAGTTGCCGCCCACCAACTTTGAACACATAATCGACCGGCTGGTGATAAAACGAGACATTGCACTATTCGAGGTAAAACGATTTATGTACTATTATTCTAAACCGCAAGCCAAACGTATCAAGGTCAAAATACCCATACGCTTCCTGCCCGGTTGCCTGCTGCGCACACACACAACCCAATTCATGTTAAACGGCGGTTCGTACCTAACTGACTCGGTGGACGCTTTACTCAGCACGCTGTTCGAAACTGGTATCGTCGACCATTGGATCACGCATCTTGGCTCCAACAAGGTACTGCCGCTGGAAAAAATCCGTGGTAGGGTTTTGAAGTTTGTTCGGCTCAAGGAAGCGTTCCTGTTTCTGTTCTTCAGCTACGGTATCGCGTTTGTCGTGCTTGTCGGTGAGATATGCTGGTCGAAAAGGATCGACCGCCGTTTGTTACAACTTTTATCTATTCGACGTAGCAGAACCGATTGCACTGATAACACAAGCATTACAACACCGTGCCGTGGACCCGACCAATCGCGACATTACCAATCCAAGTCCTCGCGAAAGACATTACCATTCGTACACTAACGTCGGTCATCGGTAGTTAATGGTCATCATTAGGTACTCATAATTTATTATTTTAGTGAGTTAGATTACTTTTTTTAAACCATTATCTACAAAATAATATTACATAATTATATGCATACACAAAACAACGAAAAACCATTATACATAGTATAAGTACCCACTTTAAGCTATAGGTATGTACATTTATAAAATATAGAATTAGAATATCAATATTTAAAAGTATTCGCTATCTCATTTTAAATATAATATTAAGTTAAATTTAAAAGATGGACATACTCCGCACGTGGGTTGGGCCATTGTTGTAGAGAAGTTAAGAAGGTAACATAGGTGGAACTAAACCCTCAACTTCGGGCGTGCTTAAATCATGAACACATCGAAGACCCATAGAGCTATGTCTCCACAATCCTCTTTACATGACTTTTACAATAAGCAACTATACGTTCATCTACAATTGTGTGTTTACAAATTTATCATAACTATTTTCACATTGTTTTTCATACACACATTGTTTCATGTCTGTAAGAAATCTGTATTTTGTTTTGATCATTAATCATGAAATACATGGATAAAATATTTACTCATTATGATGAAAAAACTTATTGGGTCTTTTTTAAGATGCTAATTTTAAACTCGGGGTCGTTGAAGACCCCCTAGCACGCCTCTACTTGCGTCTATGGAAGGTAGTAGAGGAGAAATTGGATCTATATCCGTACACAACGATTAGCCATTGTTAACAAAAAAACGGTTCTGAGCGGATTTCAGTTGATAGTGTTGCTTTGTCGACACTCAACAATATATAGATCGTATTATGGTAAGATAGTTACATATATATTACATATTTTCTTTATTTATATTTATTTATAATGTACTTATTTTCGCGTATTTTTCCTATTTATTATGAAAACAGCTAAAAAATCAAAAAGCGACTTCCCTAAAATACCACCCCAGCATAGACGCTGACTTCATGGGGGAAACGGGGACAATTGTCCTCGTACTTTGACTTTAAGGGGAGCATATAACTTCCATACTTCAATTATAACGGAGCTACGGAGGTAAAACGTAAAAACAGTATTTTTCAATACTGTATTTTTATACAGTACTGTATAAAAAAAATACCATATATAGTAGGTAGTTTTTAAGTATTTTTATTTGCCCCTGAGCTAAAATATAAAAGTTGGCGCCTATGCATCCCAGTAAGATTTCCTTTTAGAAAAAGTGTAATCGTGTAAATATAAATCGGAGCAAAATTCCTTGTAGAAAAGTTGGTATAATTTCAATGAAATGTATTTAAAAGAGCCGCCTTAAAATACTTGTAACTTTTCAGGACTTCTCCCAGAAAACTGTTTATTATCTGTCACTGATCTAGATAATATTTTTAAATGCTGTAATTAAAACTATATAAATAAAATAAAATAAAGAACTTATTAAATGTTACAACAAAAATATTTAAAAATCTCTTATACATTTTATGGGCCGCAAAATATGAAATAATCAAAACAATTATAATTGACATAAGTGATTGTCATCTGTGAACAACTTTTTTACCAGAAATATTTCTCCGATTTACAATTGTAGAACTTGTTCTGAAAGGAAATCTAACTAGGCTGAAACTATAGAGAGGTAATTTATTGGTTTTCTCAGTAGTTTTGCCAATAAATCGGAAAAACAGGAAAATAGGTACAATATGAAACAAATATTATTTAAGAAAATATATAATTCATATGTAATTATTTCACCATTATATGACAGGTATATATTGTTGACAAAGCAACACTCTAAACTGAACTTCGCTCAGAATCATCTTTTCGTTAGCAATGGTTAATCGTTGCTTACAGATATACATTAAATATTTAAATCACCTATAACAGTGGCTCCCCACTATCCTTAGAGAGCTATTTTATCGTACCTACTTTAACCTGACCTAACCTAGATCTGTAAGTAAAAAGATGGTGGCACTTTGTTCTGCTTCTAGCAGTGCCAGAGTAAATACTCAAACACAGCTCTTGTTAGTTCTTCAACATTAACTTGTATTATGTTAGGTTATGTGTTTGAATGGTCAGAGTGACATAGACCATTGTCGAAGCTCTTATAAGTAGTGCCGGCCCTAGTGGAGGAAGGGGCAAGTGGTAAAATAAATTATGTATTCAGAATATCACTTTATCTATAAATAATCAAATTAATATTGTCCCAGTAGTAAGCAAATTTCGATCCATCTGCCGCGTAGTTGTATGGTTTTCTTAAGACACGGGTTGTTGTCGACGAAAATAAAGATGGTACAAATTTTATACATACCTAATAAAAATATTAATTAATAAAATATTGTTTGTACCTAAATAGGTACCTATTTTGTGTCTAATATAAAAATACAAATTTGGTTTTATTAATCTATGTAAAGGTATCCAAATTTAAATTTCTAAAACGACTTTAAAGTTTATAAAATTATATGAAATAAAGTTTAAAAATAAAATAAATACATTTTTTTTTTTCATATGCCCAGAGGCTTTATTATTTAAACGACTTGAAGCCTGAAGGTCTTTATAAATATATTTAATAAGATAAATCTTACATAATAGATGTTAATATATACTTTACACGTTGATGAAATCACACTTCCAATGAAATGGCTCCTACCCTTAATTTAAATTATTAAACTAAATCATATGGTTTCAGACGCATAAGGCGTCTAATTGGAATTGTCTAACAATTGGATGGCCATGATGATCTAATCTTGTCTCGTGTTTGTGAACAAACTTTTATGTTTCATCAGCTATTGTAGGCAGCATCATATCGTGATGAATGGCATAGTTTCTTTTAAACCGGTATAGGCTGCAGTGATGTTCCAAAGAGCAATGTTTTGGCAGCGTTGTATTACCAGATGATTCATTTAAGTGGGTACACCCATTATCTCGGAAAGTTTTAACTTTTTCCAAAATTTGTTTTCTAAAACATTTAATAAACAAGTAGCTCTAAAATTTTATATTTATGTTATTTTTTGTCACCCTTATTTTTGGGGCTAAAACACCAACCAACTTTTGATTTCAAATAGAAACCTATATTAAAAAGTCCATAAATAGATTGAGTATTAGTTAAAATAAATTTTAATGTTGACATTTTTGATTTTTGTTAAGCCATTGACGAGATATTCCTCTTTTAAGTTTGGGTTAGAGGAGAGTAGTGGAGTATCATAAGTGTGACGGTACGGTGCGCACCACTATACTCCTCCAACCTAAAATTAATAGTGGAATATCTCTTCAACAACTTGACAGAAATCAAAAATGTCAACACTAAAATTTATTTTAACTAATACTCAATCTATTTATATACCAAATTATGCGATTATGCAAATTATGGTCTATTATGGACTTTTTAATATAGGTTTCCATTTGAAATCAAAAGTTGGTAATTGTTTTACTCCCAAAAATAAGGGTAGCAAAAAATAACACAAAGATAAAATGATAGAGTAGCTTGTTTCATAATTTTTTCTAAAAAGAAAAAATACCGGAAAAAATAAATATTTTACGAGATAATGAGTGTATCCAATTAAATGAATCACTTGATATATCAATGTTAGACTTACTGGCACAACCCCACAGTTGAATGCCATAGATCCAAATTGGTTTGATAGCTACATATAGTAGACGTTTGTTTTCTATAGTTAACTCGGAGTGGGGTCAAACTAACCAGAAACTAGAGCTTTTGCATTTTTTCTTTAATCTGATTTTTCCTGGCGGACATGGTGTTTCCAGTTTAAACAGTAGTCTAGGTGCTTTCCAAGGTATTTTGCTAAATCTTTTTGTAGAATTATTGTTTGATTCAGCATAATTTGGATTTCTTCTGTTTTATGTAACGTATAGTTAATGTGTACTGATTTATCACCATTTATCTTAATTTTCCAAAGTCTCGTCTAGGTAAAGACATTATTAATTGATTCTTGTAAGTTATCAGTTATAGTTAACTGATTGTTACTTGTCGACAAAATTGCCGTATCATCGGCAAACATATCTATCGTTGTATTGTCATCGTTTAGTATATCAGCTGTATAAAATAAGTACTGGATAGGTGAAAAGACACTACCTTGTAGTACTCCAGCTGATATATCTTTCCATTCTGGTTACCGCTTCATCATGTATGACTCGGAATTGACGGTCAGTTAAATATGATTCAAAAAGTGCACTCCAGGTATGTGACAGTTGATCAGGCAATTTTATGAGGAAATCCTTATGGACTTTGTCAAAAGCCTGAGCTTCAAGGAACACTCAATAACAGTAATCTTTTTCTTCAAGACTTTTACTAATAATGTAAGTGACGCAATAGACTTGATCGATCGTTGAATGTTTGTTGCGGAATCCAAACTGATGGTCCGGTATAAGATGTTTTTCTTCTATGATTGGTTTTAGACATTTAGTAAAATTCCTCTTAGAGTTTAAACAAACATGGAAGGAATAATATCGGTCGGTATGATATGACATCTTCTGGTGATTTTTCCGGTTTAAGCAACATAATCACATATGCCGGTTTCCATTGTTCTGAAATGTATTTCAAGTGCAAAATAGCATTGTATATGTACGTAAAATGAATGATAGCCTTCTTTGGAAGCTCTTTAGGTATTTTTGGACCTATTTCATCATAATCTGGTGCTATTTTGGAGTTTAAGTTGTCATCTATTACTTTAGCAGCTTCTAATGGAGTGAAATGTTTAATCTTTTTACGTGTTGCAATAAGCTGTTGACATTGCACAATGTCAAGCTCAGAGTTTATGTCGTGAGATAGAAATACGCGTTCAAGATGTCGAGCGTATATTTCTGTTTTTTCTTGTTCACTGCAAGCCCAAGTTCCATCTTTCTTACGTATGGGTGGTACCTGAACACGAAGTTTCTTCATATGTCTTGTGGCTTTCCAAAACGAATAATCGGTATTATCCGTTGAAAAGAGACCACTTACAAATAATCTGAAAGTTTAATTTTTTAATTCGTTAATTTTGTTATGAAACTTCTAAATAAATCCTAGTTCGTTTTTTTGTTTGTTATGGAAGTTTTCTTTCTTCCATTATTACATTAGAACTTAATGAGAGAAGTACGGAAATATGATCCGACATTAGATCAATTAGACCTTACATTACATAGAAGTCAATAAGATCAGATAGTTTATTTGAATCAGTTGACCAGTAGGTTGGTTTTCTAGTTGAGATGAATTGTGTTTTAATTTTATTTTCAGATTCAAATAAATCACGTCCTTTGGTGGTGATCAATCTTGATCCCCAGAGAGTATTTTTGACATTATAATCACCTCCGGCAATGAATCTAATACTCAGAGTCAGGAATAATTCAGTAAATTTGTTATCACCTACTTTATATTATGGTGGACAATATATAGCAGATATAACAAGGTCATTCCCGAATAAATAAATAGAGATATATTTATATAAATATATATATAGAATCTATATATATATTTAGATTCCCTCCCTTTTTTTATGAACCTATAATTTTTAGTTTTTTTTTTTAGAATTGGTATTCCAAGACTCCGCCTTTGATACTAAACTCCTTAAAATCTGTACTATTCACATTATAAATTACCTATCACAATTGAGTAGTATCTATATTAAGTATTATTACTCATAATTGCAATCATTTAATGGCTTTTTTACTTAAATATAAAAATATTTTTGTACATAACCTTTGAACTATAAAAAAAAACTGTATTACAATACATAAAAATACCTTTTAAGATAATGCGGACAGGTGCAGCCACTGTTATAGATAATTTATTGTATATCTGTAAGCAATGGATAAACCATATTGCTAACGAAAAATCGATTCTGAACACAGTTCAGTTAATAGTGATGCTTTGTCAACAATATATATGTCATATTATGCTAAAATAATTAAATAGGCACTATATATTTTCTTTAAAAATATTTGTTTAATATAGTACCGATTTTTCCATGTTTTTCCTAGTTCTTCACATTTGCTAGGAAAACTCTGAGAAAATAATCTACACTTAATACATCGGAGCAAGATTTTTGCATAATATCAGAACTTCAAAAAGCTATAATTTCGAAACTAAGTCAGTTTATTTAATTTTGATTTCATCATCTTTCTTAAATCAACAATATACATGTTCAGAAAAAATAAAATTGGAAAATTAGATTTGTTCCACATAATTTTTTACTCAAACAATTTTCGTCAAAATGTTGTATCAAAATTCCTTTATAAAAACAAATACTACATTACTAAATTTTTTTTTCTTTTACCACAAAGTAAAATTTAATGAACCTCCTGTTAAGTTTTCAAGCATTTCTTTAAAGCCTAACAATTTCACCACAAAGTTCCTACCGAATAAAAATTACTTACAAAACTCGCAAAATTAAAATGTTTATAAATAACTCAAAAATGGCTTAAATTTTTTGAACATTTTATCGCGTTTAAAAAATGCAAATATAAATTTTCTGACCGAATTTCAAGTCTCTATGAATATTTTTAACTGAATAAAACAAATAACAAAATTGAACAAATTTCAAAAGCATTATTTTCATAAATTTCCTGATTTTCTTACGTTTTTCCAACTTTTATTCTTTTATTGGGAAAACTGCCTGGAAAATCAATTAATGACCTTTTTAATGTACCACCTCAAGAAAATTTCCTCTCAGATAAGGTTCTACATCATATACATCGGAAAGAGATTTATGGTAGAATTTTCGTATAAACTATAAAAAAAAAAAATCTTTGTAAAACCAATACATTCTTTCGCTACACTCATAATCTAAAATGAGTTAGAAAAAAAATTTACTTAAATTGGTACCTACCATCTTGATTTTTCTCTATTACAACCCGTGTCCTAAGAAAACCCACTCGGCCACAAATTGCGTACCTATTAATGGAATCACGTTCAGACGGTGATTGGGACAATATTATTATAATTATTAATAGATAAAATTATATTATTCAGAATAGGTACATTATTTGCGAAGAGCAGTGCGACTGCACTGCTTGCTCACCCCTTCTTAAGGTCAGCGCTGATTATTTAGTAATTTAAATAACTCCTATTGTTTTTATTACTTTTATATTATAAGTGCTTATAATTCAATAATTAAATATTATCAGTTATTAATAAATTAGTATACAATATCTTTATTATATTTATAATCAATAATTAATAATGCTATCTACTTGTTTTCCTGAAAATATATCACTTAATTAATATGACATAACACAAAATCGTCATTTTTGAGTTGTTTGCGAAAAATGATAGTTTTGGTATTTTTCTCTACACTAGTAGAACGACATAACTATATAAGTGAGCATACAAAATTAGCCGCTAGATGGCAGTTTTGACGTTTTGCATTATTTGTTATCCACATATTTTGTTTCAATATTAAACGATAGCTGTTATATATCTTTGGTTTCAATACTGTGTTAAAATTCTTTCTACGAAAAAACATGTTTTTTGTCATGTCGCTGTAGACTATCTACTAGATTTATAGCAAACCAGCGATATATTATATATTTTGAGTGAAGCGATTGATTTAACTATATGTATTTTTTTTTCCTCCGTCTATAAACAACTTTTCTTCTAGAAATCTAGATACAATTAAAACATGACAGAAAGACCATTTTTGTTGTATTTGGCTCTGGTTGATTCTTACTAAGGTTATTTTTCAAAAATTTGAGATGATGAAGAAAAATTGGTTCTTCTGATACCAATATTTGGTAAATATTAAAAATAATCATTGTCAATAGTTTCTTTATTGTAATATCTTCATACTAATCAGAGGTGAAAATTGTAACTTATCCGATCTTCAATAATTATATTTAGCAGCATTTTTGAGTTTTTAATTGTTAACATTTTCGGAATAATAAATAATACTTTATTTAAAAAAAAAAAAGTGTAATAGTTTCCTATATGTTGTGTAGGTACCAGATTTCCATTCATTAGTAAAATCAAGATTTAGTAATATTAAATATTAATACTCAACCTTTATAATATTAATTAATAAATGATGGCAGTGTGAACAAAAAAATTGTATATTAAATTAAATAATACAAATTTGTACTTAGTAAATTTATTCAACAATTTTGATGTTTAATTTAATTAAATCTACAATTTACCATAGAGATCATGAACAGTGAAATTAGGTTATAGTGGCAAGTGGCAATAGGTATGTACCTAAATTCAAATTTACTAGTATTTTAATAACTCATGGCCAAACTGGCTGTAACAACACCCAATTACCATAAGAGTCTCTAACAAGAATCTCTCTAGTCTATAATAAATTTCTATTGTTATAATTGAATGCAATACTTCACTATATTCATGTAACTATACATTGGACAACCATTCATAATTAATGTAAGATAAAATAAAATTAATAGTCAATGATAGCAAACATTTAATTTTTTATTTCAGAGCACATTTATAAATACTAGGTTAGATAAAGGGAATAAATAAATTTCTTTAAACTCCCTATTTTCAATTTATTACTTTTAATCAACAGTGTTAATATATACTATTTTAAAAAAGGTGTAAATTGAATTTAAATTTTTTTAAATTTGAATATTGAAATCATGCAATCAGAAATCAGTCATTGTTTACTTGTTATACCACTATTATGAAAGCACAAAATAATATTATAAATCACGTTAAATGAACAAATTTTTATTTGAATTTAACAATTTATTTTGATGTAGCTGGTGGGTTATGAATCAATTTGTTCCTATATTTAGTGGAAACTACATTAAAATAAATTTGTTAAAGAAAAACAAGACAGTTAAATGATATTAAATTTAACAATTTGTAAAACCAAAAGCACATTAATTAAAAAGATTATGAGAAAACGAACTGTTTGTATCTACGATATAATATTGATTTGCTGATACAATGAATTATCTGTTACTTGATTCTGGGTAGTACACATACCATTGAACTCAAGAAAACAAAAGTATTGATATAAAAATAATTTTATTCGTGTATAACATAAGAGAAATATATAAAATCAATCACTGAAGGCTGGTCTTAAAAATGTGTTAACTTAATTATTTTGAGTGAAATAATGTTTTTTGTATTTATTTTTTTTTTAATTTATAAAACATGTATATATAACATATTTTTCATAAGTGTTTACTGCTGTTTACACTCTGCTGGGTTAGCGGTTTGTTTACTCAATAGTTTTTCCTGACGAGGGTTGTACTCAGGATCGTTAGCAGCATCATCATCATCATCATCATCATCATCTTCATCATCATTTTCAGACTCTTCTTCTTCATCATCTTCATCAAAATCATTTTCATCTAATAATGCTTCACCTAATAAAACAAATAATATATAAAAATTATCATGATGGTTCATGAAAAAAAGTCTTGTTTAACCTGTATAGTAAAGTGCAGCTCTAGGAATTATCCTTTCACGGATGTAATGGCCAATTTCAAAATCTGTAGTTAACAAATTATCAATTTCTTCATCAACTTCAGTTTCTGGGTCATCTGGCACTAAAATTTTAATTGTACAATTAATAATAAATAATAATAATGAACACAGTGAGGTTAACGTATTTATATCACAAACATTCACTTTGTTTTTGCTTATAAATAAACTGTTTCGTTTTAAATATTTATACCACTTACTAAACTAAAACATGAAAATATCAAAAAGTAAATAATTATTATAATTTCAATAATTTAATTTTAAGTATATAGTACCTGATTTTAATTTTACTATAATATAATAAGTTTGATAATAATAGTTTTTTAATTTAAAAATTTAACTAAAACAATATCAAATTCCTTAATAGATCTAGTATCTAGATTTAAACTATTGTTAAGTATGTTTGTTTTTCTATTATATACTTATAATTGTGTAGTATTTTTACAAAATAAAACATAATATATTTATTATTGCAATAAGTAAATCGATTAACAAAGAATAGTATATCAATAAAATTATAAAATTATTTAAAAGAGGTAGTTGTAATAAACCAGTTAATATTAGCACTGTGTTAACACAAAACATTAAAAGATAATATTATTTTGTTGCTTTATTATACCACATTATATAGAGTAAAACTCCTAAGTCACTGTTTTCTGTCGGTCTATTAATAAAATATTCTAAACTAGTCAATATAAAAAATCACTTGATAAGACACTCTTTTGTTCAGCTGACGACAATAAATTTTAGTAATTGTGTAATATTATAAACATAATTTATACTCTTTTAATCACATTATGAGGTTTGGGGATAGTTGCACAGTGCTCGGTTATACTGTGATCAATGATTAAGACTATTGTCCTGTAGTACTGCACCAGTTAACTTTTTAATCTTCGATTAAATGTCTTTTAAATTGATCAACCATCAGAGATCAATTTACTTAATTATTTATTTTTTTCAAAAATCAAATTCTTGTTAATTTAAAAAAATATTAAATATGTACTGTAACTTTGACTTTACATTCAGATTTTGAGGATGAGAAATTAAAAACTTAGCAGTTTTAGTTGCTTTTCCAATGTGACAAAAAATATTCTGACCTCAAACTGAACATAGTGGAAAGATGATGAATTTGTTGATAGAATTCAATTCCAAAAAAATACATTTGTTACATTATGATCCACGACTGTATTAATTCATGTACTGTGGTATTTTTGGTTCTAAGTTTTTCTGTGATATAAACTCAAAATGCCGTAAAAATAATAAGTCAGTAGGCTTTGTCAATTTAGATCAAAGAAAATTTAAATTTAAATATCTAAAATAATAAAAAACCAAACACAAAAACAGACAATAATAATTATTTCGGTAAAATGATAATACAATTGGTGATAAGACAGAATGTAATCACATGAATGAGCAGACTGTAATACAATAAAATGAAATCATATGAAAACAACCACATCATTAGTCATGATTAACTAACCATAACTTAATTGTCTTCCATACAACACAGAGATGTAATCAAAGATTCAAATTTGATCATTAATCCAATGAACTAACTAGGCATAATGTAGTGCAGTTTATAGGCAAATGTACACACAATCAAAAGAAAACTTCCATGCTGAAAGGCATTGTCAATTTTTAGCAAACAAAAATAAATAATATTTTTTAATATATAGATTTTTTTTTGCATATGACAATATAATTGAAAAATGATAACAATATGTATGTATAAATGTATTTCTTTTGTAATTAAATATAATGGCAAAAATAAACTTGATATTTCAAATTAGTTTTTTTTTCAAATCTTGCCTTTCCCTCTGAAGACACACTAAAGAGTCCCTTAAAGGGCATAATTGAATGAGCTTTACTATATGAATATTGATTGATAAAATAAACCAAAAATTTAAGATAAAATTATAATTTAAAAAATATATTATAGGCTCCATTTAAAGCCACAATTACACTTTTTGTTATAGTGGTAGTTGTGATAAGCCTGTTATTATTAGCACTATGTGAAGACAAAAACTTAAATTATGTTTTTGTCAATTATTTACTTAAATGCTTTTCATAATTATTCAAAATACATCAAAAACCACATTGATATAATTAATATTAAACTCGGTATTCATTAAATGGAAATGTAATGATACAACACCACTATATAGAATTTAAAAATGATTTAATTGTTTTTTAGAAAAATAATATAAATACATGTATTCTTACCAACAGGTGGGCTGAAGAAATGAAAGAATGACACATTTTGAACAGTCTTGTTAACAAATCGTACAGCTCCCTTAACCTTATGTTTTTGCTTCTTTTTAACCAACTTTACTGTGACATTCTTATTTTTATTCCACTGAATTGTACAGCCCTAAATAATAAATTATATTGTATTATATCAATAAACTTTCATTTAAAAATCATAAAAAACCAACATACTTTGCACTTAAAAATTTCAGGTCCTTCAAAACTCAAAGGATTATTTTTATCAGGAACACACTTCATTTCATACTCCTTTGTTAATACAGAGTTGGTGAACCATTCATTAGGAGAAAAATGAAATTCCAAAGCAAAACCCTAAAAATAAAAAAATTGAATAATTAATAATATGAAAACAAATCAAATTAATTAATTTAATAAAATATTACCATTGGCTCTTCCAACAAAAAAACTTTGATATCTGTTAAATGACTAAGAATAGGTTCATCGTGAGGTTGTATCATGTCACTAATTAAACTTGTGTTCTTCAAAATGGTTAACCAGAAGTCTGGAATGCCTTTTATTTCGCTAGCATCTATTATAGCAGCTCTATTTATAAAAAAATGTAAAATTAGTAAGTCATTAGAATAGAACTATAGAATAAAATATTAGTTTTATCCCTAACCATTTTCTTGTTTCTTCTTTTTCAAAAATGAAATCTGAAGAAAATATAGAGAAATTTTATTTTATTTAGTCTATTATACTTCTTTCCCCTCATAAAAAAACATTTTAACCCAAAATTTTAAAATGATAGCTACAAATACTATAGGTTAAATATAAAACTAGGTACAATCACAAATTATCAATTTAAATTGAAAAAACTTAAAAATAATAATATATAATTTTAGATTAACAGCACAAAAAAGAAAGTCAACAGATAAAAAAAAAAATAGATATCTCATTGATATACTTATGTTATAAATGCACTTACGGTTTAAAGCCTTCAACTTTTACTTTGTCGTCCATATCAGCAGAGAGGTCCTTAAGTTCATCATCTTCATCTGAAGGATAATCACATTCTTCTTCAGTAGGTTCATAGTTTCCTTGAACAATTTCACTTCGCTAAACAATTAAACATTTAAAATTAAAATAATAAAACTAAAAAATGTAAAATAAATACCTTATTATAAAACTCCACATATTCTTTATGATATTTGCACTCAAGTGCATGAAGCTCAGTATAAAATTTGGTATCAATATCGGTCTGTGAAACAAGTAGTTTCTTCAATGCTTTTACACGTTTTTTTACTATAGGTGGAAGATTCTAAAAATATAGATTCAAATGTTAAAATAAATAGATTAAAAAGTACAGAAATAAGTAAATTACATTAGTAAATGTGATTAAGATTATTTTATAATGATTGACATTTTAATTTCTTCAAATAAGTTTAAAGTACTATATTTGTATAAAATAATTATTAATAACTATTACTAAATTAAGAATACTACTAAAATATTTATAACTTTATAAAACTAGTTATTTGGGTACAGTTCAATTATATCCGTTAATATAAACATGATGGAGTACATAAGAATGATTAGTACATTTTTTTTATCTTATCTAGTGCACCACGCCCAGTACAGTTTTATGAAAAAATGAATATATTCAACCAATAAAAAGAGAACTAGATGGTATAGATGTTGCTGACATACCTATCTATTTTGTTATGGTTAACTTTGACCCATACTGGCATAATTATAAGTACTTAATAAACTTAAGAATAATAATTAGATAGAAATATGATAAGCACTATAGAATATTGCTGGTGACAGAGCTAAAAAAAAAAAAAAAAATGTCAATTAGTTGCTATATGCTCTTTAAGCCTTACTACAAGAAATACAATGTTTAAATTGTCTATAGGTAGATGATAAAGACAAGTTCAAACTTAGCGAGAAATTCACAATTTTATACCTTTTATAATTGTTTTTGTCTCGTGTCTAGTTTTACAAGCAAATTTTTTAGCGTGTAAAATAAAAACAATTTTGACATGCTTTTAGTTTTATCACTACTGTTTAAACTTTCTGCTCACTTTAATATCCAGACTAGAACAAAGAAAAAACAATAAACAGCATTGTAAAACGAATAATAGTTCCCTGCTACACTTGGAATCTAAAAACCCCAACTATAATATACTGTTAAAGAAATAGTACGAAATAGAAAACAGGGTCTATGAAAAATACGCAACAAACTTCCTCTATTCATCTATAGTATGTATTTGATTAAACATAAATTATGAGGTTAAGAGCTAATAATTTTTTATTTTTTTTTTTAAAGGTAACTTAAAATTTTATAATTTATATGGACATAATAGAAATTATGTCTACACTTTTATTTGCAAAATACAGAAATATTATGTAAATATTCTTGTAAAACTAAGAAAAACGTTGTACTCAATATTATTTAAAATAGATGTACCAATAAAAGATACACATAAGACGGCCAACATGTTATCCAATGTATTCTTAAAAAGTAAGCACATCAATTTAATATTAGTAGTGCACATATTTTTTTATTAAATATTATTCACAGGTATCCATTTATTTAAATTAATCTATTTTTCTCGCAATTTAAAAAATGTACTAAATTATCCATAATCTTAAAAAAAATTCTCAAAATAACAAAAAAAAATAAATTATATACTTAGATTAGATTCTAAATAAGAGCACACATGGCGGGTGGATGAATACTGGTAATGTATACATCACCAATAACCACTTTTAATAGTTTTTGCTACTATACATTCTGTGATATAGTCTTTAAGTTTCGAGTATAGGTCAATTATAAGTAAAAGTGGTGTTTGGGATCAATTCCCCCCCCCCCCAAACAAAAAATATTTAAAAAATCTAAATTTATATTAATTGCTATAATCTTAAAAGGATACTTAAACGTACATTGTTAGATATTATAATTTTAGCTGATCAATCATAAAATGATTAAACATTGCAAAGGGGTCTAAACATTGTTTTGCAACTCATTTGAATATTGTATGCACCAAAGACATGCTCTCTCTTATTAGGAACAGAGCATAGTTATTATAAAGAAGATATTAAGGCTTGTTCTTACAATGTCCAGTTAAGTGTTGGTTAGTGCTTAACAACAGTTATACTGAAATTTAACTGACAGTTGGTTGTCACATGTCAGTTAAGGAGTCTCAGTTTACAGATTTTACAGTCGGATTTATAACCACAGAATGGTTAAGCTAAAATCTGTCAGATTATCAATAAGAATAAGCACTTATTAATAATTCTTATGATTAGTGTTACTACTAATTTTGAGTTTTATGAGTTTATCATCTGTATAAAATATAGGTTTTTGTTGTTTCTACTTTTTTGCTAGAATTATGAAAATAGCAATATATAACTGCAGTTTGATTATAAGTAATTTAAGAATTGAGCATGTGTAGAACAATAAAATTTAGTCATGGGCGGTTGTTTTAGGAATCACTGTCAGTAAAACTACCGGTTAGTTATACAATTGTTAATTGAAGGTTGTAAAAACGGATCACCATAACCGGCACTTAACAGGAGATTGTCAGAACAGCCCGAAGTTAATAATACTAATATGAATTATTAAAAAGCTACCAAGTAAAAACTAGTAGATCATTTTTCTACATTTAAATAATTAAAAATTTTCTTAGTATTATAGTAAACAAGCGGGATTAATAATTATACAACCATTTAAAACCAAATATTTCTTACTGGAATTATATTTTCTCCATCTCCTCTTAATCCAGACTTAAATGGATGTGGAGAATCATGTTCCATATTATCTGAACAAGATGACGAAGAATCAGCGTTATCCATTTCTGCAGACATTCTGTTAACACAACATTATATCTATCAATTTAAATGAATAAACTAATGTTTTTTTTAACAAGGTTACAAAGTACCATGTAAAAAATCACACATTTCTATCCATTCTCAGTTACAAACTTTGCTAAATAATTTAGTCACTCAATTGACGATATAATATCATTACAGGATTTTATATGCAATTATAATAACTAACAATCAACTTATTTGAAAATAAAAATAATTATTAAAATGCAAAATGAATCTAAAATATCAAACAACAAAATGCTCATGTATGAAAAATATCTGAAAAAATATATTCAAAAATCATAAACTTTAATTTTCAATTTTAAAATAATCATACAGAATAGAAAGTTTCAAAAAAACGAACTGGTTTTTAAATTGAATCTTTCGTCAAAGCGACGAGGCAAGTTTGGCAATTCGCACTCATAACTGTCGAGGCGCAAATTGACAAGCCATGCGCCTACCTAACCTCTTATCACCATGCGAACCTATTGCGTGTCGTTTAGTCGGTGAAATTAATTGCGACGCAATTTAATAAATTAATAATTGAAAGTAAGATCGATTTCACAATAGCTGAGAACGGGTTAATCAAATAATAGAACCATTAAATAGACAACCAAATAGTAGGCAAAAGCACATGGTCGTAGTGTATTTTGACGCCGGCACAACACTCAGAATCGAAAAAGTCTTACCTTATACAACAGCGCGAATAGATTGTTGTGATGGAATGTTTAATTCGGTTACGTTAAAATAGTTCGGCCGGACGGACGGCAAAAAAAAAAATACCGTCAATACTAAAAAGACCACAATTACACACTACTCAGAGACAGTAGCAATACAGAGAAATAAGTAACGATTCAAAGAACCGAATTGAAGAGAGTGAACAAAACGTAACCGTAACGACGGTTCGCCCGTTTTTAAGGAGGTACTGTCGATAACAATGGAAGTATGTTGGCCAATCACATTTCAATTATGGTACTAAGACCAAAGACGCTACGGAAGTTTGTATTTTGCTTCCTCCTTGTTTCATTCGTCATAAGTGGTTTGAATCTTTAACTGTGGTGGTTACATTAAAATCATATATTTTTACTTTTTTCCACTTTATCAGTTATCTAGCGGAGTGCTCCGACTCCAAACCCTCGAAACTCCTCCGGGGAATACTTTGTTAGTCGCAGTAGTTTTAGGGCTAATACAGGGAAATGGAGTAAAGCATCCAATATTTACTCGATACGGCTGGGATTTAGAAGTAGTCTTATAAAATGTCTAGAGATTAGATTGTTTTCATTGGTGGTGTGTGCAAAAGCGTCCTTATAGGGGGCGAATTTCAAATTATGAATTATGAACCTAAGCTAGCCTTTTATGTATTAAAAACATTTAAACTCTCCCCCCCTCTAAAATTGATCTTGAATACATGTTTACCTAGATAATGTTGCTCAGTCTATATAGATAATATACATAATATACCTACGCTATACATAAGTATTGGTCAATAATAATATTTACGCTTATAATAGAATATAGGTATTAGCCCATTAGATATATAATAATATTTTTACCTAACATCAATAGTACGGTATTATAGTCGGATAAATCACAATAAATAATATAAAAAAAATAATGTATGAATTTACAATACGTACATTTTTAACGAATTGTAAGTTCGAAATTTGATAGTTTACACATTTTTTAATATTTTTGTCAATAAACTTTTCCTTTCCAACAAATTGTTTTGATTTTAATTTAAGTGAGGTTCTTTGCTTTATATATGTTTCGCATTATTTGTGTGGGTGGAATAAAATCGTGAATTCAGTTTTCCATGAAACGATTCGTAACAGTTTGTTGTTCGTTGTGATGTGGCCGAAAATTGTGCACATATTTTTGGTGAAAAATAACTATAATATTCAAGTACATAAAACTTGTTTTATATCCATCAATTCAACATAAGCGTTTTGTATTATATAAGGTGGCAATATAAATAATCCGAAACAGTATTTAAATATTTGCCCAATCTCCGAGTCTTAATTTTGAAAATCATCGGAGTCCTAGAGATTGAATTTTTCTCCATCACGCCTGTCCTAAGTGGAATTTACATACTTTTTATTTAGATTATGGCCAAACTTCAGATACACCTACGCAAATAGCCATTTCAAACTCAACATAAATAATTTCAGGCCGCATATGATTTTCTATACATCGAAATACTTGTGTACTAGTTGTATTGTTCTTATCGGGCAGTAGGAAAAATAATTATTATTCTCTTACACACCATGAATGGTAAAATAATTTGGGCAACTTTTAAAAGTTCCATCTACAAACAAATATTGCCGAGTATCTCTAAATTATGTAAACTTACTTATAAAATTATAAAATTTTTTTCACGATAATTTATAAATTAAAAATGTCCTCAGATATTTATTATTAAATCGTAATTATTCAATAGTTTTATGTAATTCTGATAATGCTTTAAGTAATTCAGGTAACTTACTCGATAGATAAGTGTGAACATTTTGTCTTACTTTAAAACCGTCATGAGCTGAAAACTGTTCAATATCACCATTGACTAGTAACTTTTGCCTTAAGTTCGAGGTTACTTTCCTCAATATTATTTAAATTATTTATTTTTAAAAATGATTTGCAATTTATTTTTGTACAAATGCATCGTTCAATATTTTCCTATTTTTTTTTTTTTTTTTTAAATCCGTATTTAAAACCATTTATCAAGAAATTTTTTATGTTTCTCACTTGACAACAATTCCATTTTAATACACATCGCACTCAATAATTATATTTCAATAAATATACGTAATACGTTAACTTAAAGACTAGATTAGTTATCACAGGAGTGACGAGAAACAAATATAATCTATGTACATAATCTATCTAATCAATAATATTATATTTATAAACTTTCCCAGACATCCTAAAAAACTAATAAAATAGCATAAGATTACTTATAAATAAACGGGGGAACGAATTCGAACAGTTGTATACAGTTGATAAGTTATTTTATTTAGGAACCAATTCAACCACTTAATTTGACCCGAGATGTTCCATATCTACCAAATAAAGTTTTAAACCAAATTTACAATACAATACATACACACACTGAAACTCGATCTCGTTTAACGTATTTTGGGAAGTAGGTATGGACTTTCCCGCTTTGCTTCTAAGTACTTACTTAAAATGTAGTAATAGAAGAATAAACAATGTCTAAATATCAGTTATTTGCAAAATTTAGTTAGTCTCATTTTTTTGGGACCGGATACAGGAGATTGGAGTGAAATATTTATAACCTACTACGGTTTTACTACCTACTAAAACTAATACGGTTGGGATTAAGAAGTTATCTCGTAAATTTTACGACGTAAAATGACTAAGGAACAATTGTAGTTCCATGTGATTTTTTTTTTTTCGAAACCTATGTAAATCAACGTTAAGTTTTAAAAACAAACGGACATACTTTACAAAATGGGTGTGCTAATTTTATTGAAGAGAAGTTGGGAAGGAAGAAGGGGAATAAAAAGTGTTTCTGTACGCAACAATAAACCATTGCTAATGAAAAACGATTCTGAGAGGAATTCGGTTATACATGTTTTGAAAGGCCTTATTATATACGATTTGAAAATAATAACATTTCGTAAAATTTCCCATTTTTAATATTTATTATGAAAACCTTAGGAAAAATCAAAAAAATAACCTTCTTAAAGTACCATTCCAGTTCAATTTTTTTTTAAAAAAATGCTACACTTAAAAATCAGAGCGAAATTTCTGGTAGAAAAGTTGTTCACAAAAAGAAAAGAAACATCATTGTAAAACTAATATATTCCTCGCTCCTCGCTTAGCCAATTTCTATACCATATCATGGGGCGTACCCAAGATTTTTTTATGCGGGGGCCTATTATTATTTTACTTTTTCTCTAACAATTAAAATTATGGTTTATTTAAATTTATAACCAATTAATTACTGTTAATAACACTAAAAATAGCCTTAATAGTTAGTTAAACACACGTATAGACACATTTACAAAAGGATTTACTAATTTATCAGGAGAGCCTGGAACCGGAATCTCCCTCCTTGAGTACGTCCCTGAGTCTATCACTATAGGCTACGACAACCAAGGTCAAAAGATATGTAATACTGTGTTATTTAATATAACACACATACTACCTATCTATAAAAACGATAAACTTTTAATGATCATAACTTCGAAACTAATGATCAGCGGCAATGTTTATTTACACCATTACTTTTCATACGTTGATTTACCAAGATTTCGAAAAAAAAAAAGAATAAATCACGTGGTATTTAAATTGCAGTTCAACTGCCGCTATTATGCCAAATAAATAAATATACGTTCATATTTCGCGCGATGGGTGGACAGGACCTAAAGTGAAAACAAATTCCAGGGGGACTAATATCTCCATATAGTTGATGTAATGTCTAATGCATATAGTATATGTAATGTATAAATAGTGATTGTGTAAGCATACTCATTCCACTCTTAACCCTAAATATTGTTCAAATTTGTAATTTATTTTATGTAAAACTTAAATCACAAATTAAATTATATTTTTAAGAATAAAAAACACGTTTTACACAAATTTAATATTTTGAAAGAGAACATGTATTTCATAATATTAAGTTGTAAATAGGGGACAGTGGTTGTTTTTTAAGAAAACTAAAGAAATTAACCAGAAAATATAGATTTATTTCATAAAAAACTATTAATACATGGTAATGTAATGTAACGTAGGAACATAAATTGAATTTTTTTTTTGCACTTGTTTGATTCAACATAACAAAAATAAAAATCTAACAAACATAATTTGTATATTAGTATACATATCTGTGAATAGTCCATCAAATACATTTGATACAAGTGTTATTATACGATAAAAGAATAGACTTATACAATATCTAGACGGAACATTCAGTATGAAAACGAGTTCCGGTGTTTTCAGAGTACAAAATAATAAAAAATATACAATAATACCACAAGATAATAAACGGAGTGTTTTAATTGGCTGTCCTCAAAATACAAAATTGTTCTCTCTCACACTTCAGTCTATCTCTCTTGATCTGTTCGGATCGATCACGTCTCCTAGTCCTTCGAATGAATGTTCTAGATGTATAAGTCTATGAATAAAAGTAAAATAACAATTATTCAAAAAAATAATGATAACCAAGATTTAATCTCAACGGAATTCTGAATTTTATTTATATAACAAATCACTAATGTTTTATATTAAGTTATAATTGTAGCGTTCCGGTGTAGAAACCTTACAAATAATTTGTTAATGGGGACGCTTTTTGACCGTCGAAAAATATTTTTTTTTGAGTCCCCCCACTTAAACTCCTATGGGTGGACCAGTGTAGATGAGAAGGCAAGGTAGGATATAAAGAGGAATTTAATGTATATCAGTAAGCAAAGATCATTGCTGACGAAAAACGATTCTGAGCGGAGTTCCGTTAAAAGTATTGCTTTTTTAATATATACACCATATTATAGTGAAATAAATATACGTTGAAACAATTTGTATGGACCAGTAACTAAATTTGTTCCACATAATTTTTTACTAAAATGATTTTCATCAAAATTTGATATTAAAATTCTTATTACAAAAAAATACTACATTAAACTTATTTTTTTTTGTTTTGACCAGAATACGATTTATAATGAACTTCCGATTAAATTTTCAAGCATTTCTGTTAGGTCCAACAATTTAATCCACAGAGTACTTAACAAATAAAACTTATTAAACAAAATTAAAATCTCTATAAATAGCTCAAATGTTTTATAATTTAATAATTTTACCACTTCTAGAAAAAGTAAATATAAGTTTTTTGTCCAAATTTCAAGTCACTACAGGTATTTTTAACTGAATTATAAAAGTATTATTTTTGTAAAATTTATCTTATTTCTGACATTTTATCCCGGTTATTCCCAATTAATATGAAAACCACTAAGAAAATTAAAAAATGACCTGCTTAAAATATAATGTAGATAAAAATTTTTTTCAGAAAATAAGCTATATTATGTGCTCATATACATATTTTATGGATGTTAGATGATTATTGAAAATAATTTTATGATAACAGATTGATATACCATAATCATAATATCAAGTTTTTTTTTTTTCCCCTCTAAAATTGACTTATTTTGTTAAAATATCTATGTTATTTTAAGATTTGAAGATAAGATAAGATGAAAATAGAGAGCACCAACTAGATCCCAAATACTATTTAAAATGCTTTCATTTTGTTTTTTTAATTTAGACAGAAAAACAATTTTGCATCTCATTTCTTGCTATGTTCAGAATCTAAAAAAAAAAAGTTAAAATTAAAGTAAATTTTACATTTTGGCCTCAGTTCAAACAAAATATAACTAAAAAATATATCAAAATTTAAATTCTATTATTGTTATTGTTTTTTGTTCTATTATTTATACCTATAGGTCCATAATATATAGTTATACTATATACAAAAAAACCAAAGATGTACAAAGATACGAATATAAAAAATGATTGGTATATACTAGGTATAAAACCGAGTAAGAGTTTTACATTATAATAAACCAAAATACTGATTATTAAGAATATAATGAATAATATTTACCAAGTCGTAATATACCTAATACAGAACTATCATTCAATTAATAGGTTAATTATGTTAAAATAAATCATTAACATATATTATTATTTATTAGGAATTTATAAATATAGGTAAAATAATAATTTGTTTACAAAAAGAAACATATAACTATAATAACTAATAGGTACATAAAAAAAAAAATGATTTAAACTAGATAGATAAATTAATTTCTTCAAACTTTTAAAAATATATTAATTATGTTTGATAGAGAATGGTTATTTAATAGATATTTGTCAAGAATAACATGCCTAAAAATGTGAAACCAAAATAAATTATTTTCCAGTTTGAATAAAAAATGACTTACTAAATATTTTGGTTTAATATTACACATAAAAGAAACTTCTACATGATTAGGAAAAGGAATTAATTTGAACTTAAGATTAGTAACCTTACCATAAAAACAATGTCTTTAAATTATTTGGGTATACTTAAAAAAATAAGAATAATATTTAAAATAATATTACATTTATCATTGCCATTAATTGTCTAATATAATTTCACATTGTTCAGTCCTATAAATAATGTTCTTGAGTTCAACAATCACATCAAAGAGGTCAATAAAAAATTCTTTAAAACAAATTAAATTCATTTTTTTGTCTTTGTGAATTAAGTACCATTTAACAGCTCTAAGTACTTTTAAGGCACCTTCTATAAACTTTATAGATTAAAATAAATAATACATTTATAAACAATAAAATTATTAAAAAATAACTGGAATTACTTGTCTTGTGGATAATTCAGTCTAAAACTAAATAATTTTATAAATAGTTTTAATACATAACAATCGTACCAATTATAAATCACTTATTTTCTGCATTCTAAAATCACGTTTATCACAATTATTATTATGTACAAGTAACCAATAAAGAGGAATGAGCAGATTCATGATTTATGCTTAAAATTCTTTATCGTCTTATCATTATTTACATTAGGGATATCAGTATTTAGGTAAGATTTAGCTGCTTTACTTTTAGCTGACAAAAATATTGGGAATAATTTGTGCCGTTTAATACGCTTTACAGATACTTCACTAGATGTTGAAGGTGCAGGGCCAATATCTGGACGGCTAGATACTTTTGATAACTTTCGATATTTTGGATCCAGATTGGAATCTGAATTTGAATGACGGAACATACCAGGAACGACCTATAACATATTTTTATATAAAAAAACAGACACACTTCACACACGAATGAGCCACTGTTGTGGATAAAAAGTTGGGAAGGTAAAGAGAAAATTTAATGTATATCTGTATGCAACAATTAACTATTACTAACGAAAAAATTATTCTGAGCGGAGAACGGTGAATAGTGTTGCTTTGCCAACAATAGGTGTATTTTGGCAATGCAGTTTTGAGCAAATTGGTTACTAGTTTAGTGAACAAACTGTTTTTTAATAGCTGAATGCACTTTTTGGCAACCGGGTTGCCGGAATCAGCAAACAATTGAAAACTACTTTTACCGTTTTCGGTTACTTATAATCTACTGATAAGGTCTATAAATCAATTATTCCATCCATTTTCTGAATCTAGAAAAAAAATGACACGGAAAATTAAAATATGGAAAAAAACACCAAGTAAAAAACAACACAGTAAAAACTGACAATGATAAAATACGACAAAGTAAAACATGTCAAATGCATTTTACTTAAAAATCATAAAGATAATTATAAAGATTAGTTAATTATCCTTATGCATTTTATGATTTATAAAGATTAGTTTTAAGTCAATTAATTAAAGTCAATGATAATAAAAATAATATTATACATTATTATAAATGTATATTGTAAACTGTATGCTATAGATAATGTAAAGTTTTTTTCATAAACAATAAGTGTGTAAAAAATCATGAACAAGCGTGTTTTTGAATTTTTGTACATATCTGGAAACAAATACTATTACTATTTAAAAATAACATATTTCGAGCACCTCCACCAAAAAAATAATCCAGGGCATTAGAATATCAATTGGACAGTCATACAATAGAAGTTATTTGATCAGAGGTACGAAGCCTGCCACTAATATTTGTAATTTTTAAGTAAAATACATTTGATATTTTTTCCCTTGTCGTTTTTTTACTCTTATTGGTTTTTACCTTGTTGTTTTTTACCTGTCACTTTTTTTCCATGTTGTTTTTGTTATGTCATTTTTTTCCAATTACCCATTTTCTATAACAAAAAATACTATAGAGTATACAAAACATTTGGAGAGTACCGACCAAATAGTAAACAACACAGCAAACTGTTTACTGAAAGTTACGTTGCCAAAACACGCCCTATATATACATGGCATATTAAGATAAAATAATAAAATATGCATTATATATTTTTTTTAATATTGTACCTATTTTTCCATTTATTATGAAAACAACTGGAGAAATCAAAAAACAACTTCCCTAAAGTACCACACCCTAGTCAGATATCCTTTCAAGAAGAGTGATATTATTGTAAATCAGAGCAAAATTGCTAGAAGAAAAAGTGTCCAAAAAAAAAAAAAATAAACATCATTGTAAAAAAAATACATTCCTCACTCCGCTCAGAATCTAAAATTTAAATTTTCGTGTTCCTACTGAAAAGTCTAGGTTCATGATTTCAATAGGCATACGGCACACAGGACAAACTTACGACTTGCTCAGATGAAGGTTGAATTCCATCGTGATTAGGGGATTTCAATATTATATCTGATGTTTGAGCAGTTTGTTGTGATTGTTTTACATCACATATGTCTTCGCCGACTATGAAACAGGGTTTTGTATCCAAGGAACGGGATTGTTCTTCGTCCTCGCATTCTGGTTGGTCGCTCCCTGAAGAATCCTGGCCGTTGTCCCGCCATTGTGCGGTATTTTCACAAACACCAAGGTCTTGATACGACGTCCCTGTAAATATATACAATACAATTAAACATATAATAAATTAATACAATTTTAATATTTAATAAAACACTCAAGCAAGTAAACATATATAATAAAATACAACTTAATATTTGTGTATAAATTTGAATTAAGTAACTTGTATTTATGAGCATGAGTACAATATAAGATTGATGATTAAATTATAAATTCATAATATATTAAATATTAATAATTAAAATGAATATAACAAAATAAAAAAATATTTTATCATATAATAACTTAAATAAAATAAAATAAACAATTAAGCTAGTATATTAATTGATATAATAATTTATTTAATATATATATTTAATTTGTGTACTATACATTTATATAATTATAATTTTCTAATACTTAAACAATTATATTACAATCAAGCTAAGTACAAGCTCCTATGAGATTTGTTAGTTTTTATATAATTAGGTTTTTGAATTTTATTTAAAACATGGTAGTGAGTATACACACAATAATAAATGTAAATATTATTTCCAGATTGACTAGATTTTAATTTTTATTTACCAATTTTATTTTGTTGTTGTTGTGTTTTTTCTTTTAAAATAATAGTTTTGTTATATTTTGCTTACCACAAAAACTCATCTTCATGCAGCATTAAGGATAAAAAAAATTAAATTAATAAAATGCACCAAGTAATAAATATCTTAATGTATTAAGGTATATGCTAAATCATAATTTATGAATTGAAATTAAAACATCTAATAACGTGTAAATTTTGAATTGAAAATTAAAACTAAAACATAATACTAGTAAACTACTGTTATACTAAAAAAAAAAAAAAAAAAATAAACAATGTTTAAAATAAAGGAAGCAAATAATTTATGATATTCTAAATAAGTCAAAAACAGGGAATTATAAATCAAAAATAACAAATTAATTATAAAATACCTCAATATAATTGTTATAAACATTAATTTTAACAACTCAAGAAAAATATTATTGTATATAATGGTTAAACAATTTTAAAACACATATTTTAATATTATTTATAAGTATTAAAATGTAGTTTGCTCTGGAAGTTTAAGAACATCGATCTAATAATAAGTTAACAATATAATTAATTTAAATTATAATATAATATTATTATTATACAATAGATTGTGAATTGTTTATCTCATTGATTACTAAACAAGGGAAAACTTCAATAATAATGTAAATTATTTAAACCAGTTTTATTATAATTGGTTTAAAAATCGATTGAAATGAAATAATTTTTTTCTTTTTGTGCACAATTTATTTTTTAAAAGAAATTATTTAATGAAATAAAAATATATAACCATAGTACATATATATTTTTTGGCATTTATGAGTCATTATAAAAAAAATTCCTATAATCACAAATTCTAATTTAAAAGAATAAGGATAAAAATATCTAGAAAATGACAAGCATAAAACTGTATTTTATTTCAAATTAATTGAACAATAATTAAATAAAATTATTGCAAGCAATAGGAAACACTCGAAGAAACAGTATTAAGACAAACAAGCAGAGGAAAATTTCAACTGATAGATTCATCGTCCCTTCCCTTACCTGGACCCACGCAAACTGAATACTGGCTGGAATCATCTTCAAGATCATCTTGACTACTCATGCGACCTGAAACATTTAACAAAATGGGACATTTTATTACCTTATTCAACCAATATCTTAAAATTGCGCTAACCTCGCAATGAGAAATTTCGCCCATTTGCTACATTTCTATACAATATGTTCTCTAAATGAGACAGACCATTATTATTTATTATGTTGAATCCGCATAATGTTTCAATTTGTTTCCACCGATGCACTCTTTCAGCGAGCTCTTGAGTTACTTCATTTAATGATGTTCTAAAATACCAAATGATAAATATGAATAAATATTTATAACTTATACGTTTTAATACATAATAAGAATTATATTATAGATTTTACCTTGCTTCAACAATACTGCGGTCTACATCATCAATTGATTTTCCATGAGTTGACACAAATGCACCCACTAAACTAGACCTTTTCTTTCGTAATTTTTCACACTATATAAGGAAATTGTAATTCAATTTTAATTTGTTATACTACAATATTAGTTTAACTGTATGTGAAAAAAATATTACTGCTTCTCTTGCTTGCTGTAATTGTTTTTCAGCACTTAATTTTTTTTTTATGTAAGATTTATTTTCAATTTCATGTGTTAATTGTAACCATTGCTGTAATCCATGTGGAGGTGTCCAGCAACGGTCATCTAATTCTCCTTCAGCTCTAGCCAACTCACCTCTTAACATCTGTAAAATAAAATGTACATAGATATATATGATAACATATCATAAACATTTAAAAATACTTCAATTTCATTTTTGAGTTGAGAGATTTCCAAATCAGAATAGGATGATTTTAATACAGATGAATTTTCATCTTTAATTTGTTGTTCTTTTAATTTCTTTTCTAAATTTGCTTTTTCGGTGCTAACATATTCTTGTTCTTGTTTTGCTTTTTCTAGTTCTTTCTAACAATTAAATTAATAAACAGAAAATTAAAATAATAATAACAATAATAATAATAAATAATTATATACTTGTAAATCTTCAAGAGCAGTTTCAGCTTTTTGCAAACTCTCCATATCTCTCATCATACGTTTTAAGTGTTGAGTTGAACTTTTATTTTGGTTGTAAACATACCAAAAACCAATTGATGCGCCAAGCAATAATGTTATCAAAATTAAATCTTTCAAATGTGTAACTGTATCTATTATTTATAAAAACATTTAGTATTAGTAACATGGTTTGTTAAATACCAAAAAAAAAAAAGGGCTAGAATAATGAGGATGGGTGCAGCCTTTTTTATAGGTGAGAAGTTGGAAAAATAGTAGAGGGGAAATTTAATGTACATATGTAAGCAATGATTTACATTGCTAACAAAAAAATGATTCTAAGCAGATTTCGATTGATAGTGTAGCTTTATCCACAATATATAAATATATCATATTATGGTAAAATAATTACATATGCATTATATATTTTCTTTAATATTTGTTTAATATTGTATAAATTTTACTAATTTTCCTAGGTTTTTCCCATGTATTAAGAAAAATCCTGAGAAAATCAAAAAATGAACTTCTTAAAGTACCTCCCCAGTAAGATTTCCTTTCAAAAAAAGTACTATCATTGCAAATTAAATTAAAATTGCTGATAGAAAAAATTTTCCACAAAAAAAAATAACTTCATTATAAAATTAATAAATTCCTCGCTTCACTCAGAATCAAAAATAACTAACAAAATGTATATATTTTCAAAATAATTATGGGTAACATTAGATTAAGCAATTATATATCAGAATCATGTTATATTGAAAACATTGGGTACATAAATTAATTAGTAATATGTAGTAAGAACAATTAAAAAATTTAAATTAAGTGACTAACCTTTAGGAGGTCCAAATAGAACAACATCCATAGCTTTTAATGCAATCTTTTGCTTATGAATTGGATCCTTGATTCCAAGAATATTATTCAAATATTGCATATTAGTAACAGCTAGTCTGAAAATATAGTTTAAAATAATTAAAATATGATTATTATTAGTCTTTTTAAAATAAAATGAAATACCATTAACAAGAGACTGATGTATATTCTATAATTTTGGTATACACTTTTTAGAAATATTCAGTTCAATGCCTTTGAAAACAGTTAAGCGAGTTTAATTATAACATTTTGAGTTTTTTTGGCGTATTGAGGTTTTTTTTTGATTTTCCTTGTCGTTTTTTTAAGAAGCTTTCACTAATATTTGTTTTTTGTCTATCTTGCACATAATATAGCAACAAAAGCATTCTACATTTCCACTATAGTAACACTTCAGTAGAATTTTAAGGTAAAGGGGCCTATAATACATTTTATAAAGACGAGTACTTCCTATGGATTCTAAAAAAGTTGATAACACAATTAGCCAAATCAGATTAAATTAAATTTTGTAGAAAATAGGTAATTTTAATTTTTACTTTCTAGAAGAATTGGTAAAATGTCAACAAAATAACTGGGTTCTGAGTCCGTTTCAGGGCGCTATATCAGCTATATTCAAGACTAGGATATCAATAAAAGCTAATAAAGAACTTACTGATTTATCAGAAGATTCATCTTTAAAACTAAAATTTAGTCGCGATAATATGATTCAGTTTTGGTTGTCATCTCAACAAACCTGTCCAAGCTTTCAGCTAAAGCGTTGGACTGAGACGATCACATGCAGGTATAGCATCCTCTCAATGATTAATCTGAGTCAATCTGATGATTATTCTTTTAGTTATAAAACAAATGTCTTAATAGGTGTTATTATTGACAAATTAATGCATTAAGGGGATTGAAAGCCCTTAAGTAGTTGTGTTTAGACAATTTTTTGTTTTATATGAGTTAAGCAGTGTTTTTGTGTGAGAAGTAAATGGTTATTACTGTTATTAGTATAAATGTATGTTACTGCCCAATCATTATGTATAGTCGATTTTCGATATTCTTTTAGTAATCGATGGGATAATAATAACTACTGCGAAAGTCCAAAAAAAAAAATAGCCATAAATTTATTGAAATATTATAAAATACAAACGACCCACCACTAATAATACTAAAATAACAAGATGTGTGTACACAAAATTGAAAACTACTGAACTGATTTTATTCTAGTTTAAGGTTTGGAATAATGAATAGAACATTTTAAGCTTCTCTTTTTGGCCCCATACATTTAAACTTTTATTTTTTTATTTACTCCAACCAAAAAAAAAAAAAAAAAAAGAATGCCACCAAGTTGAGACAGTAAGATACATAAACTTATTTAATTTATATCTGTAAGCAAATATTAATCATTGCTAACAATAAACGATTCTGAGCGAAATTTGCTAATACATGTTTTAAAAAGTTGTAATATTTATGATTTTCATTAAAATTCTTATAAAAAAAAATACTACAAAAGAATTACTTTTTCTTATTGACCATTAAGTACAACTTATAATAAATTTCCTGTTCATCTTTTCAAGCATTTTTGTTTGGTCCAATAATTTTATCCATAGAGTACTTAGCTACCGAATAAATATAATGTAAAAGAACTCACAAAATTAAAATGTCTATAAATAACTCAAATGTTTTTACATATTTACCATGTCTAGAAAATGTAAATATAAGTTTTCTGTCAAAATGACAAATATTTTAATATTTTTAACAGAATTATTATAACATAAAAACCAAATCGAAAATAATAAACGCATTATTTTCATAAATTTGTCAGTGTTTTCTATGTTTTTTTTTTTTTTTTGTTTTTCTCAATCATTAGAAAAACTACAGGATACGTCATAAAATTGCTCTCTTACTCACCAACTAAATTAAAAGTTTGATGTATAGTGTTGCTTTATATAATATTTGTTTAACATTTTACCTATTTTCCTACATTTTCCCCATTTATCGGAAAACAAAAAAGGACCTCCAGGGAATACCTTATAGAAAAAATGCTATCTTTGAAAATCGGAGAAAAATTGCTAGTAAAATAGTTGTTCACAGAAAAAAAAAAGACTGCAATATTTTAATTTTACATTTTCCCGTTTTTTCATATTTTGGGAAAACTTCGAGGAAAAACAAAAAATGATCTCCCCAAAGGACCTCCCCAGTCCGATTTCTTTTTGGAAAAAGTGTTATCATTGAAAATTGGATCAAAATTGATAGAAGAAAAATTGTCCACTAAAAAAAAAATTTAAAAATAAACATCATTGTAAAACTAATATATTCCACACTCTGCTCAAATCTAAAAAAAAACAAGAAATATTGTAACTACTCTACTTGAGGAAAATTAATAATGGAACTCAGCTCGTTTTTTTTTTTTTTTTAGTCTGAGACTTTATACTTTACCTTTTTTTTTACCAAGATTCAAAAAAGTTAATGTCCAATCAAAATGTGACCGGACTCACCGGACTCTGTGACATAGATAATTTGACGGTTTTATTTTTAAATGCATGGGCAATAGAATGATATGCAATAAAGTACTGAACCTAAAACACTATTTAAATGCATAATATTATTGTTTTTAATTTTAAAATAATAATACAATATTGGCTTGTGTCCCTATAAAGCCTACCTAAGGATGAAGTATGTCTGTGGTATTTTACTTTTATAAATTTTAATACATTTTTGTGATCATATCTATTTGAACCCCTCCCAAAAAAAAATGATATTAAAAAGATACAATTTTTTTTATACACGCTATATTGGCAAGGCATCAATGTAATTACACCAGCTTAGCTAAAATTATGAACCCTGTATATATTTGTATAGATATAACACTCGTAGATGGCGAAATATCTTATTCTTGAACTACTTCAGTCTTCTAAAATGTATATTGTTATAACTTATAGTTTACTAATTAAAATATTAGATATTATACAATTTCACAACAAAATTTAACAACAATTGTTTAGCGCAAAGCATGTTAGTTTTACAATAATGTATGTTTTATAGAAAGGAATATTATGCTTAGCCATTTTCAAATTGAATACAAAATACAAACATTATTTGTTACTAACCTAGGAAGATGTGCTCCAGTCACTCTATGTTTTATAAAATTAGGAACATATTGAGGTAGTTCGACTGACGTGGAAAGCCAATCACAAGTTTGCTCAACAGTCCAATTATGCACCTAAGACATAATATTCATTAATCTTATTTTTAAATTGTAAATATAATCTATTATTGTTAACAATGATAAAATCACTTACTTCAGATTTTACCCAAGCATCCCATAGATCTTTAACAGATATATACATATCATCATTTTGATGAAATGCTTTTTGACGCTTTTCAGCATCTTTTTCGTATTTTAATTCTTCACGTAGAAACTATAGAATACAAAAAAGTAATGTCAATTAGAATATCATTTCATTATTTTTTGTGAAATGTTTTATTAAGCTTATATTTTTGTTTAAATATGTATACACAATTAATTTATGCATAAAGTTATACAAATTTGTATTAAATTTGAAATGTGTAAATAATGAATAATGTATCATAATTACGTTATCAATTATACTATGCAATATCATATAGTTATATATATATATATTATATTTTTTTAAATTATAATTAATTTTATGATATGTATACAAGTTAGTTCATTTATAGCAAACCAGAAATTTTACAGTACATCAACATTTTTAGAAACATAATTTTATTCAATTTTTATTTAAAAGGAGAGGAGGTCCCATTTAAAAATCAAAAGTTTGTACTTAGGTATTTAAAATATAAGGAGTAGGGATAAAGCTATATTAAATAATGTTAAAATAAAGCTTCAATGATTCCATAAAATATGATAAAAAAAATATAGAAATAAAATTCACTTAAAATAAAAGTTTCACTCTATATATAAGTAGGTATATAATATTTTTATACTATATTATTTAGTTTTGAATCAATAATACATATGGTGTTAGACATTGGTAGGTAATTGATTTAGTTTCTATTGCCGTATAATTTAAATTAACCCAGTAAAACTTATTGTGCAGAATACTGTATATTGATCAACCATTATTACATTACTCGAGTAGTCAAGTGTCAACCTTGGCCATCAGTAGATGCAAAGGTGTTCATTTTAATGTGTCATACCAAAATTAAAAATTAGCTAAGGTAAATACAAAAAAAAAAAATTAATTTTTCTTTTGATAGTTCTATAAACTTATTATTGTTGATTTATTTATGAATTAAAACGAGATGTAGGTTTCTATCTAATTTTCTTAAACACTTTCATCAGTCGAATTCAATATCATATATTAGCACAAGAATATATTAGTTGCCAAATTTATTCAACACACTATTTATAAGAAATATACAAAAAATGTTACACCTATAATGTCCCAAAGAGCAAACTGCCAAAATCTAGGTTGCCTGGGAGTATAATTTTAATTTGAGGCGGAAATATTGCAGTATTTTTTTTTTCGCTCAACCATATGTATAAATAAACTACTAACAATTGTGAGGGGGAAATATAAATTAATTTGTGGTTTATTTTCATTGATCCTATTAACGTTAACTCAATTAGGAAAAACATTTAGGTACATTACAAAAAATGTTACAATTATTTAAAATTAATCATATTATTTTAAGAACATAAAAATTCATTAAAATAATATAAATTATTGAAAACTCAAAATACCTTACCTTAAAATGTCCATAAATTAAATAGGCATAGCTATATTATTTTATAGCTATGCTGCCACTCTCATAAGCAAAAACGACATGTCACTAAAGACTTTTTATATTTAGCATTTTCTAAAATGTATAAAACTTCATACATTTTACTTCTTAAAGTATAGTTAGGATTTTTCATCATATGTAATTTTAGCTGATAAAACAATGGACTAAAAATAAATATGAATACATACACTTTGAAGTACTTATCCAACTTTTTATATAATAAGTATGTTAATAATTTATATTACTATTATATTTTGAAAATTTATTAGTTAAAAATATATTTTACACATGTCACATTACAATAAGCAAAACCACATTCTGTACTAATGCTACAAATTTTTATTTTTCTTGTCTAATAAGCAAAAATAGTGTATATTATATATATATATTATTGTGTTACATCAAAACAAATATTGATCAAAAGATCTGAATATTATGATTTTTTTATGCATTTAACTATTTTCAGATTCTGAGTGAAGTGAAGAAGCTGATAGTTTTATAAAAATGTCTTTTTTTGTTTTTTTCTACAGAATTTCATGAAACATTTCTGAAATATGATCTAATTAAATTAATGAATTGTTTTTCATTATTTTCAAAACTATACTGAGAATTTTATAATTTATAATGGAACACCAAAATAACACCTGTGTCTAATTTATAAACATAAAAGGAATTAACAATATATTTTATCTTATAAAACTTAACTAAAAAGTAAAAAAGTAAACCACATTTTTCAATTTAAATGTATACATCCCAATTTTTTGTTTTTTGCTTCAGTCATTCAGCTGCTTTGCAACTCTAACAGAGCTCTCCAAATTTCTAGATCTTTTGAATCTTAAATACCCGCTCTATTTTCTAATTTTTCTAAGTCATCTTTTACTTATTCCATTTGCTGTTGCCGTGATCTTCCCACAGGTCGGTTTTTATTTGGTTTGTTAATGAATACCTGTCTAATCAAACTACTCTCTGCACGTCAAATATGACCAGTTCTCTCTGTAAATTCAGTACATTATACAGTTTGCTTAAGTCTGCATTTTTTCTCTGCTCGTATACAACAGTATTTGAGTTTAACATAGGCCCCTATATTTTTCTAAGTATTTTTCTTTCTAAAATCAATAGCTTATTCTCGTCACCTTGCGTCATGGACCATGTTTCACACCCATACATGACAGTGGGGTAAAGTAAGGAATGTATAATTTTTTTAGTGTCACTTGAAAAGACTTTCAATGAGAACATTTTACTCATTTTATTGGTTTGTTGCACTTATTCTGGACTTTTCTGGACATTATGCATATTATTTTTATAATTTATACTAGCACCTAAGTATTTAAAATTCTCGATTTGTTCAAAAGAGAATTGATCAATGTTTAAATTTTGTAGTAGTGCTGGATTCATTAGCATATATTTAGTTTATTTACACCTATTACCTACTATTTTATCTATAGCAACGGACCTACACATAAATAAATACCTAATAATAAATAACAAGAAAAATAGCTCACAGATTTTTTGTTCAGTGTTCATACTTATTTTTGATTTTAAATGAGTAATTGTGATTCAAAAATTAAATAACAAAATTCACTTTTGTTAAGACAGCCAGAGCAATCTCAATAAGTAGTACAAGTACTAGAATTCCTCAATAATGTATTATTATTAAATAAAATTGCATTAAATAATATAGAATACTATAGTAATTTTAATATAAATATTATTTAAATGCCATTAAATTATTTTAAAACAATGAACACCAATTACTTCTTCTATAATATAATCTAATTCTTTCTAAATAAAACAAGTATTAATTATGAACAAAAATTACAAAAAAAAAAAAGTAATTACTGTTTAACAAATCTTTAAGTGAAATGAGTCAACAGACTGCCATAATTGTGCTTTGTCCGTGAAAGTGAAGGTCATTTGAAAACTTGTATTTAGTTATTTAGTTTTTAAGTGGATAAGAATAAAAATGGTTCTAGAATACTCTTTAAGATGAATAGAATTATTTGTATCACTATAATTTTATAAACAATTGTACAACCATATATATTTACAGTTATTACTTTATTAATTAATAATAAATAATAGTTTGACACATTATAATGTGTTATACTTTAGTTTAAAAATTTAATTTTGCAAATTTCAATACATAAATATAATATATCTATACATAATTACTTTGTATATTATTATATTTCAAAAAATAATTAATATTTAAAAAGAACTGAGTTTAAGATACTGAGTGTTAATTTATTTAAATGATTCCAATCAAGTAAAAAAACAACATAGAACCCATGAAAACAATTTATTTATTTCAAACTTGAAGTTTACATAAGGTTTTAAATTTTGATTAGTCTGGAATACATACCAAATAATTAAACAATACTTCCTCAAAAGTGAGACTTTAGAAATATTAATATCACATTAAATCGTATTTTTAAAACTTTAAATTGAAAATATATATATTTTAAATGTTCATAAAAAATTCAGGCTTCATTCCAATTCGGAAATATAATATTTTATGTTCAAGTATCAACAATGTCATTAGTCATAATGTGATCAATTATCACTATAAACTTATCACTGTTGACATTTGTTGCATCTAACCTGGCTACTTGCCCTCTTTCTTAAATTTTACAAAACATGCTGAAGAAGATTAAGTATTAAACCAATAATAAACTATAAAAGGTTTATAAGAACTAGATTTTTTTTTTTAAGATAATTTAATATATTTGGTGTAAATTTAGTTTATGTATGAAGCTCATTTTTCAAATTTTTTTTTTTTTAAATGTGTGTTTTTGCTTGTCCATTAAAGTAGTACAAACTTTTTTTTTTAGATTCTTAATGTATAAGCAAAAACAAACATTTTGAAAAAAAATTTGAAAAATGAGCTTGGGTCATAAACTAAATTTGTTCCATATATTTTAAACAATTTATTATACCCTATTATGTTTAGGTTATGGATTAAAATAACAGATAGTACTTATATTTGTATTAATTAGCTATTAGTGTTATTAATTTAACTTTTGAATATACTTACATCGTCAGATTCTGAAAGATCAATAGCACCATCTGCATCATCATCAAGTTGCCGATGTAATGATCGAATCGCTTCCAAACCAACCCTATCTTGTGTAGCCATTGTTAAACATGCAATATCATCATTACAAGAATCATTTATACCACCTATAAATATAATATTAAAGTGTGCGATTTGACTAATTAATATTTCTATTTATTTATTGGTACTAAATAAAAATAAGGATATCATAAAAATGATCATAATAAACCGGAAAATGTTGTTAAAATAGTTAAATTAAACTCATTACTTTACATAATTCATGAACCATTAGCCAATACACCTAAACTAAATATTGCCTTAAAATGTGTACACACATTTTTGAAGTGTCTTATTTTAAATTTTATGCCTAGAAAGGGCATTTTTCAACTAACTAATACCTAGGGTAGACACTATTAAATGTCACGAACATAAATTAAATTAATTTGTCAACTGGTTCTCTACTATCATTATTTATAAACATTATTATCTTTACTTATTATTATATTACTTTTTTTCATTTAAGTTATTGTAAATATCTATTATATACTTCACAGTTTTTTGGGCACCGACCTGTATCTTAATAAAATAAATGCACAATAATTTTTAAAAAAGTATACATTTTAAAAGTTGTCACGACTAGACCTAACCAACTTAAGGAATAACACAAATCAAATATTAAAATTCTAAAAATGTATTTATGGCATACACCTATGGGTAGATTTGATTTCAAATAAAATGTTTAATTTAACATACAATTAGATAGAAAAAAAATAACATTTTATTAAACCCATTACAGCCTTAGTTTTTTTTATGACATTATATAATTATCACGATACAGGAAATTCCCACTAAACCCACTTTATAAAGAATGTCTACAAAAACTTTTATTTACGTTTTCCTATGGCAGTCCATGGCGTTAATGAGTTAAGATTAAATATAAGACTGTTCTAGAAGCTTTATGGTAAGAATTTTTTTTTTTTTATTGATTAAAATGGCATATTCCTAGGGTATGCTTTCCTCCACGTTTGAAAAATGGTAAACATACATGAGATATAAAGTACTTTTTCTAAGCTTTTTCAGTTTTATTTAATTCACTAATTTGTTCAAATCAAATTAAAAATGTATACAATAGTTTGATACAATTATATGAGAATGTGATTTAAGTAACTTATGTATCAAACAGCCCATTTTTTTATTTTTTTATAATTTTTTAAATAAAACAAATGACTAAAAATGTTTATAAATGAAAATATATACCTAGATAAATGCAAACATTTAAATAACACAGACAGATCAATGAATGCAATAAATATAATTTACCAAGTACAAGGACATTTACCAAAACATAAATACTGTTAAAATCAAACACAGCTGTGCTAATTATTTATTTATTTTTAATGGGCTTATATTATAACTTTATAATGTTTTTCAATAATATAAATATGTCATATTTAAAATTTTGCTTTGTTATTAATAATTATTATGTTAATCCATATTAATAAGCATAAGTGCAAATGATAAGTTTCAGAATAGGTAAATCTATATTGGAATCTATTGGTTCTGATTCTTACCAAAAGTTATTAGGTGTAGGTACAATTAATGTGAACCTCACACTTCAACTAGATTAATATTTAAAACACCAAAATAAAAACATCTTAATCTTAATTTAAAAGTATCCAAAATTGCAATCAACTTTGATAAAATGAACATACATAGGTATGTGTGTGTGTAACATATTATGTCATTTAATGATGTATAATAATTTTAATTTATATGCATACATTTAATATTTAACTTAAATACACTTACGAGTTAAAAATAATAACAATAAACGTAAATTATGGTTTTCAAAAATTGTAAATTGAAATAGATATATCTAGCCTAGATAGCTATATAGCTATATAATAAGCTATATATAAGCTATCTACCTAAGTAGGTACCTAAATATTTTTAATAATTAGCTATTGTAAACAAAAAAAACTAATGCATGGGTCAAATTACAAAAGAAAAGTAAATAATTTTATATTTATATTTTACAATATGTAGATAGTATAAGTAGGTATTTAAACAAAATGTATGAGTTTCATCAATATTTTGTACTTATATAATTTTAAATAAGATAAATTTTATATACTAATACTACTAATACTTGATATACATTAATACTAAGTATTCACTAAAGTATTAATACCAGATTTATTACAAATGGTGATATATTCAAAACGTAATATAATGCCAAAATGTATGCGAACATAAATTATTAGTTTCATTATTTCATTGTTTACTAACCAGAGTCGGTCGGTTCCGTGACACGGACTTTGGCCGAATTAGAACTAGAACCGCTAAGTACATCACAGAATGTAGGAAGCACCAACAACATTATGCTACTCCATAATAGCAATAAAGATTTTGAGCACATGATTGGAGAACGAGAACAACAGAACAGTTTTTTTCGATAAAAACAGTTCAACTGAATGTTTAATATTAATTTTATTAGACAATAATATAATTTACATTACGACAGAACAAATAGCCTAATTTACCAATAATATGTATAAAAAAATAATTAATTTTATCATTAATGTTAGACGATATAAAAATACAAATGAAATAAACTGTGAATAGAACAACTATGATTAAAATGGATTGTAGTTTGTAGAGTATAAAATAATTCACGGTACCTATGTTTCGACGAAATAGTAATTAATTTACGATTCTCAAATCACAACGGAGAGAAATATGAAAGCAAAACGGATACTCGGATACGGTCGTCCGTCACACTGATAAGAATTTTCACATAGTATTGCCGATTCGCCGAATAATAAAGTTGTGGTTTCTCGTCGACCTTGCCACCATTTTGATTGTGTAGTTTTACAGCTGATATTAGAAAGAACATTGCTACTCGATTAAATGGTAGTTATATAGTAGTTTTCCTTATATTACTATTCTGGAGTCTAGAAATTAAAGAGTTTTTCCTAAGTTCAAGTGGATTGTGGATGATGGATCAAAGATCGAAAATTCTATAAGTCCAAAATCTAGGACTAATAAATATATTGACAAATACTTTTCATTTCCACTGAATCAAATAATACTGAAGATGCTACCTATTAATTATAATGATGTATAGGTAAACTATAAACTTAGCATTTAATATTAAGTATTTTTATTTTGTTTATGATTTCGTTAAATTTTTAAAAAATAAGGTGACTGATAATAATAATTACAAATTGGGGTTTATGTGTATCACAATAATTATATGTATAACAAAGTGGAATTAATGAGAGATAAAACTTTATTTTAATAAAAACCTGTAGGCTGTCTAGTATTCATAGAAGGCCATTCGTTGATGGGTGTGAAGTAAGGGGATAATCAGGGGACTATTTTGATCACTATTAAAGATATCGTGATTCGTGGTTTTCTTTAATCATGGGTTTGATAAGAAATGAGTGTCATGGTGTCATGTTATTAGAATTACCTATACCCCAAATATTAAAGGAGTAATGTGAAAACCGAAAGCCATTAAAGCCATTATTATAACGCTAAATGGCAGTAAAGTATCTCATAACGTTAATTCTGATTTAAACTATTTTATAAAGAAAAGATGATTGTATAGCTAAACACAGAAATTTAATACATAAAATATGAATTGTAAATACGTTGTTGGTCAATTCATTGATTATATAAAAATCACGATCTTTAATCGTGATATACATGGTAAAGCAATAAAAGTTTTTATGACAATGACTTCTACGATCCCGCGCTGTATATAAAAATAACGTGCGAGAGCCACAGCTCTAAATCCTGACCACGTATTATGATAGTAGACGTTATATTTAAACTAATATGTCGAGGTTTTTGAATCCCGGGCACACTATAAAACAAATTTCGGGAGCCCTCTTTAAGCACACATAATATCTAAGGAAACTTAGGGACCAATTTGGAGAAACGATAGTTTCAAGTTTCCAATAAATTGATCAAATTTTCCATTCGAGTGATCATGTGTTCCGTGTTAAGGTGGTTCCTGTCGGTCATTTTTTAAAGAATCAGAATTAGGCAATTTATGTGGCAGGTATAAATGGGTCGTGTCGGTATACAAAAAGTACATAAACATTAGTGTAAACAATAATATTCTATGGTGTAAACATTAGTGCAAAGCGTATACCACCTTCCATATCGCCATAGCACGTAATTAATGGTAATAGGTACCATCGAGTGTTGCATTGTATCGCAATTATTTTTGGGTTTATCTAATTTGATAATGATAATATGAAAACAATATCTTGTTTGTTTCTATAGTTATTATACTGTGGACAGTATAATCAAAATATTTTTACCTACTATTTTTTTTATAGTATAAAAATGTAATAATAATTAATAGAATATAATTAGTATTAATATTCTTTAAATACAAAAAACAATTTATTTCGTAAAAATACATATGTATAAAACAAATTTACATTGTAATAATATACCTGCTATTTAGTTATATTTATATTGTATACAATTAAAAACTGTAAAATATGTTCAATAAAAAAAAAAAAAGAATAGGTAATTAGTTAACCTCATTTAGTCTATCTTTCAATGGTAAATTTCTATCGTAGCCTGGATAAACTATTTCAGCCATTTAAGGTGATAAACAATTATTTTTAAAAGTTATCTGAATGGGGTAACATTTTTGTTTCCCAAAAATTGTCATCTCTTTATTTTTTCATAAAGGATACCTCGAGAAGTCCTGACACAAAAATAGCAAAACTTTTTTTTCGAGAAATGCAGTTGCCCTTGTTGTACCTGGTAATAATAACAATTTATTGAATTAAATATATAATTTATGTCCACTATTCGTCTTCCTTCAAGTTTTATTCATATTTGTGGTTCTAAAAGTATATTGATATATATATATATATATATTATGTATACATAATGCATACATGATTGCAGGGTCTAAAATTGTATACGACACACTTTGTGTTGACTAGTTGTGTGTTATGTTAAGACTGTTGAGAGTGTAGTACGAAATTGTATGGTGTGTAGTTTTTTTATATACTTTTTCTAAGAAATAGTTTATACATTTAGATTTGTATTTTGTACTTTAATAAGAATGTAGAACAAATCTACTTTATCGGACACTACATTTTTGCAATTTTTTTTTCGAAGTCTATGCAAATTAATGTTTTAGAAACAATGGTGCAAACCAAATTTAATGCTGATCGTTAGTTTTTAATTTATCGCAATTTAAAAATTTATAATTTGCATACCTATAAAGTTAGTTTGGACTATAATATTCACATACCTTAATTCTAGCACTGAATAGTTCATATTGTCTTAAATAGCACATCAAGAAACTATGATTATTAAAACTAACTTTTGTTACTCAAATTATAATTCTATAAATCACTTATTATTCTAATAATTGTAAATCAATGTATTTTTTCCTTATATTTGGACATTACACTGCGATGTTACTAATTGTCGTCTAATGTTACTAGAAACATTGTGGCTTACTACTAGATTGGTATGGTGAAAATAAAAAATGAAAAATAAAATCCTGGTAGACTGTGAACCATATGACATGTGTGTGGATTACTGATTTGGTTAGATTACTGTCCACTGAAATTTAAAAATAAGTGATACGAGGAATTTACAGTATTATCTATGGAGTAATCTTTCGTAACATGCAATACTCGTTATTATTATTCTTTTTTTTTTTTTACAATTTAAAATTCGTGATTTTTTATTTTTAAATAGTTTACTAGCAAAATTTAATTTTATATTCTTATGTGTATAGTATTCAATATAATTTAAACCAATTTAACCAGTGACCCAGCTAAAAGCGTTTGTCAGGTTATGCAATACTAGACTATGACTAGACGAACAATATTAGTTAGATATATTATAAAAAAACATTATCATTAGGGATATTATTATTTAGAATATTATTGTTTAATTTAATATTATATTACCTATGTCTTATTATTTAATATATGTTTAGATAATCGGTAATATGCACGTAGCGAGAGGTTCGTCGCGTAATCGCGTTCTCGCACTCGCAGGCACATGTCAAATATACAAAAAGTCATGGCTACATTTTAGTACAATATAATATTATTTTCTAGTTACAATTTGTACGTCATCGGTAAATTCGGGTAATGTAGACATGTCTGTGATAAGAAAATGGAGGAGAAACTCGGTAAAGTATAGAAGTAATGCACAACTCATTTGAACGTACTGATCAAACATAATTCTAAATATTGTTAAAAATTGGTTTACATTATCGATAACTGTTTTGTAAATTATGATAATAATTAATACACAGTGATAAATACAATTAATATAATAGTATATAAACCTATAGATTGGTATGTTTACATTTTGTCATCTGCAGTATAATATTATGATATTTATGTTCACCGGGTGTCCAACGAGGAAGAGTATATGTGTATACAAGAAAATAAATCATAGTAATAGTTTTTAATTTTGAGAGAAATAGTAATACGAATATATTGATATTAATAAACTCTAGACCATTATTTAAATGTAAGTGAATGTAATATTCAAAAAGTAAAAAGTTTACTTTTTTAAAAAGTATTCAGTTATTTTTCAAATAGAAACATGCCTTGGTTGTGACAAAATTGTGAGACTTGAGCTGGTGCGATTTTAATTTTGTAAAAAATAAAAATTCTAACATTTTTTAGCATCTCATCTAGAGAACAATCGAGGAGTTTTTTAGAAACATGAATTAATTCAATAGATATGACATGAACAAAAATGTTAAAATTGAAATTTGTATTGTTAAAATGTCGAACTTTATAAAAGTGTTTCGGTTGTTCTCTAGAGGAGATATTAAGAAATGTTATTATTTTTACAGGTTTAAAATCGGATCATCCAGTCAGACTCATCATCTCAGACTAGTCAGAGCGAACGGTCTAAAAACAATTTTTTTGACCGACTACTGACTATAATCGCCTTGTCCTTAATATCATTATCTATTATTATTATTAGTATTATCTAAAACCTTAAATAATACCATAAATTATACCCTATGGATAATAGTATAACAGCTACAGCGTATTGCTCAGGGTGCGTTCGTGTAGCATTCTTAGACGTATACGGTGCTTATGCCAACGCACACACTTATGAACGGTTCGTTTAGACATAAAGCTAAATGGCACTGATAGGTGGATCTCAAGACGAACGCAAATATAAACATATTATGATCATTGCAGTTATCAGCTGTTAATTTTTATCACTAGGTACTGTAATTGTAACGATTAACGATGTTTTTTTAAAAATTGTTTAAATATTATGTACTTCAAACAATTTTATTTCTATACATTTATATAAATCGTAGTTTAAACAGCGTGGTCGTGTTCTACAAAGAATACAAATTTATTATTAGTTGAAAATATGTTATCACTTATTACGGTGTATCTATTATCATTTCATTAGCTTGTGAGCGTTAGCTGCCCTACCTCGATGGGATAAGCGTCTGTGAGCGCGGATTGATAACGTATCGCTCGGATTCAGTGACGTCATGGTTGTAGTTTGAGCGCTATCATACGCCAAACCGAACGGTTCGGTGACGCTGTAAAGCGCTTATAAGCATTTAAAAGAACTACACAAACGCACCCTCAGTATTACTCAATGCAACATTGCCATCGATATATAAGCATTATTATAATTCATTTTGATAATAATAATTCATTAATTTCAGTGGACAGTGATTTTGTTGACATAAATACTGGAAAATTATTGTGCCGTTAATTATGATTGATTAGGTTGGAAGAGTTGTATGTCGTCTAATGCATAGACTTAATAATAATATAAATATTCATTAATATCCTATAGTCTATGGCTTTATGACGATTTAAATTCCTCAAATGTATAAATGTATAAGTTGGTAGTGTTGTATGGTGGTTTTTTTGTCAGGTGGCGTTTTATCGGATTCTGATCCGTGGATTATTATCGCGTATTAGTGTGACATTATGTCGGGCGGTAATTTCTTATTTATCGGATGGCTTTTTGTGGTGCTTCGTATGTTCGTGATTTATATTTATAGCCGTGATATTATATTATTAAATTCTACATTTCTGTGATAGCATTAAATATTAATTTGTTGTATTAATTTAATTTTTTCTTTACGCATAGGTGTTTTAGTATATTTTGTTTATGTGAGTCTAGGTTTTCAAACTAAATAGCAAATATTTTTTTTTTTTATAATGTCAGTCGTAAAGTTTAAACTCATTAAAGGATTTGGTTGCGCTGGTCAACTGAGCAAAGTACCAATTTCTCAGACATTTTTAAAACGTTTTGCATCTACAAAAAATGAAATACAAGAAACTGTAATAGTGACTGCTACTGTAGAAAATGTTTTGTCTGATAAAGAAGTAGAGAAAATTTGCAATAAGTCTCGTTTGAACTCTGGACATCGTAATTTAGTGAATGGTCGGTTACCATATGATCATCCAGTACATAGATTCCACAACACAGTAAAATTTAAAAGAAGAATGTATGGAAGATATGGAGATGCCAGTAATATTCACCCGGGCTTAGCATGGCCAACAGTTGAAGAGTTGAATGATATCCGAGAATATGAATCTGTTGCATATCCATTGACTATTCAAGAAATGCAACATAATGCCATAAAGCGTTTACAATGTGAACAACAAGAAATTCAAATGCGCCAACAAAAAATAGATAATAATATGAAAAAATTAAATAGTTGGATAAACGAAGTTAAAGAAAAGTCTGAAAAAAAAATATATGAGGCACAAAAATCTAAAGAGAAGAGAGAAAACCTTATTGAAGAAGTAAAAAAACATTTTGGGTATAAAATAGATCCAAAAGATGAGCGGTTTAAAGAAATGCTAGCTAAGAGAGAAAAAGAAGAAAAGAAAAAGGTCAGAGAGGAAAAGAAGAAGATACGCGAAGAAAAACTTGTCAACTATTTAAAAAATAATGAATAAAATTATAGTAAAAACAAGTGTATCACATTTAATAATGTAAGCATTAAATTAAATTATCCATTAAATGTTATACTATAAAGATTATTATTTTGATTTAGTTTGTACCAATCAATATTCAGTATCAGTTTACTACAGTTAATGATAGAAAAATGTTAGAGCTTTTTTATGATGCAATATATATATATATGTATTCAATTTGTTTAAAATAATAACTTTACTACAAATATCTGATGTTTGAGAATGGCATAAGAATGGTTTCAAAAATCCAGAATTATTTGACTTTTCCTATTTTATCTTCATACAAAATGATTGTTCAAAGATTAAAATTTGAAATGTCATCATGTTAGTATAATATATTGTATGTGAAACTGGTGTGATTATTAGGTTCAATACCTGTATATTGTTTAAACAAAAATTAGTTTGTATGATAATTATAAACTCTTGAATTAAAAATATCAATTATCAAATATTTAATGACATATTTTGGAGCCATTAAGCAATAATAATTATTGTGATAAATTTATTTAATTTACTTCCCTTTGACAGTAATAATAAATTGAGATATTTGTTAAACTCAGCTATAGTGTAAAATATTTTATCATAATTTATTTGTACTCGTATTTTTACACGTATTACATTTTTATTGTAGTGATAAATATTCCTTAAATAATTAGTTTGTCTTAGTAATTTTTGTATAATAAATGATTTGTAGATGCAATTCTCACTTCTGTGATGAGATTAAACGAAGATGTCTATACAGATTACCTACAGTAATATATTAATATATTTAGGGCGAGTTGAAATAATTATTCTAATTATGTTTTGCCCCTATGAATTATTGCAGATTATTACTGTGGTACCATGTGGCATTAGACAAACAACCACATTTTATTATTTTGAAGTATGTATAATATATGTATATGTATAAAATACTATAGATAGAAATATAGGAATACGATAACTTGTTAGCGACATGGCACTCCAAAAACTTGTTGGTTGCCTATTTATCTTCTTGTTTTTCTTCGAGAAATGTATAATGTCCAACAAAGGTTGCCTAACCTAACATGATATAGGCAACTATCAAGATTTTGGAGTGCGAAAATAGATACCAGTGTGACAGTGTAGCTGATACAAAGAAAGTCAGAATATAGTAATGGACTGAGAACCTTCTTCCCATGTGTTAATACTATATCACTATATTAAGACCCTCCTGCTGATACAACTTCCGAATATTGACTTCAAATACTAATTTGATGATATAACACATGGCAATACATTTTTAATTTAAATTTAATATTTCATTTGTCATGATACTATTCAAGATGGATTAATCTTCAAAAAGCAATTTTTCTGTCTTATCAATGTAGTATAAATTAGGTAAAATGCATTTTAAAACATAACAAGGATAAATAATACCGGACCAAAAACAGAATATCTATACATATATATTAAATTTGTAATATATTTGAATACTAAATACTAATATAGTAATATTTAATAATAAAATTGATTTTAGTTGAAGTAATTAATCGAAAATAAACAAAGATTTGTTATATGAAACCTCATTGAATAGTATTTTATTTCATGTTCCCAAGGGTAGCTCTAGAGACTTAGTTTGGGAGGGGACGCTGTCATATTTTTCAGAAACTGTGTAACAAAAAGCCTATTTTATATTTTATTTATATTTCATAATATAGTTAATAGATATCTTTAACTACGCACTTGTACGTGTCTGTAATACTCGATAGTATAATACGTTATTTTAATAAAAGCTGAGGGCTTGAGAGGGTAATGCAGCCCTTAGGGCTTCCCTGTGTATGCACTGTGTGTAGTATGTTAATAATATGTAACCAAGCTGGGTTTCATATAAATTGATGGCCATTTTATACAGTTCTATTTTTAGTCATTAATGGTACCTATAGTTGTAGATACTATTCATATGGTACCTAGCTGATTTGCAAAAAAACATCAGTATGGAAAAAAAGTGGAATTTTTGAAGTCAACTATTTATAAATACAGGCGGTCCCATGAAAATATACCCCTTGAATATCTCCATGGATAATAAAAATAATTAAATGTTTTTTTTTTTTTTATATATTACTCATAGAGATGAGTATTACAAATATTTATATTTGTATCTATCTATCTAGGAAATAACCTAACTGTGTTACACAAAAACATCGGTTTTCACACGGACGAGAAGAATATAAAATGGCTGTTACTTAGAAATTATTTTAATCGGATATACAAATGTGATATATTAAAACTTTTAAAAAAATAAACTCTACAAAATGGCTATTTTACAGTTTTCTGAAAATAATAAAATAAAGTTATTTTTTTGTTAAAAAAAAATTTAATTAAAATATAAATATTTGTAGTCCTTATCCCTATGAATAATATAAAAAAAAAAATAGATTTCAATTATCTTTATTATCTCCAGAGATATTTAAGGAGTAATTTTTATGGATAGTCTGTATATATTAGGGCAATCCTTATTTTTTAACTTCGATACATTTTGTTAATTTTAGAGATGATAAGTCAACTTCTTCAAGTGCCTCAAAGGGGCTAGTTTGTAAAAAGGGGATATTTTTTTAATTTTTAACATACAAAATATTTATCACAGTTTATTATAATAAAAAGATTTTTTATGAAATAGATCTTTTTAACATTTCAGTGAATCTTATATTTATACATGAAAAGTCAATAAATTTGTAATAGAAAATTCAAGATTATGTAAAATTTCAAATCTATCAACTTTTAAATTGATTTTCACATATAACAGTAAGTTTTACAGAAATGTAAAAGTTATTTTATAGGATAATTTTTTTACCATAATAAAGTTTTAGATACTTTTTTATATCTTCAAAATTCAAAAACTCTCCTTTTTATTAACTTCAACCCCTTTGAGATACGTGGATGGGTTGACTTATCATAGACAAAATTTACAAAAATTAATTTTACAATGTATCTAACAGAATTCCGAGCACATGAATTCAAATATATATTTGTTTAATTACTGATATTAAATAATTTAAAACAATAATAACTATGTAATTGTGTTTAATGTACTATAATATTTTAAGTAGATTAGATAAAACAGCGTAATTAAAGTTTTATTTAACTCTAAATGTTTAAAAAATATGTTTAATGGTTTATATTGCCATTAATATGAAGTGTAATTATAACAAAAAAATTTATTGAAAAAGTATTAGAAAATAAAATAATATTTATAAGAATATACTAAGATAATTAATTTTTAAAAATGTTTATGGTGATTCATCCCAAGTAATAGGCTTGCGTTCGTTTGCTGATGAATCACTGGGCACACCACTAGGGCCTGCTACAGGAGACTCCTCACGGATAGCTTCATTATCCTTACCAGGTGAAGAACTAACTGAAATTATTTCTGGACTTTCAGTGCTGTCATTATTTTCAGATTCTTCTATATCTAAAAAAAAAAAAACAAAAATTAAATCAATTTTATTACTGTATACACTACAATTTTATTACCATGAGTCGATTTCACTTCAATGACTTCATCTTCATTTTCTGAAGATAAAATTTCAACAGTTTCTTGTTCTAAAACATTATTTTACAATTAAAAAAGTGCATAACAATATGAATGATAATATGTTTTAATACTATCTTATTTCATTGTATATATTTTAATTGTTTAAACAATCAAAAATAGTCTATTCAGTTACAAAATTAAATATATATATATATATTTTTAATTCAATACTAAATAAAATAATTTAAAAAAATATTATTATTTACCTAAGTCAAGGGTGTCAGTTTCAGCATTTTCTGTTGATTGAGAAACACCCACTGTGTCCATGGTATCACTTGAGGTTCCTAACATAAAATATTTCACTGACTATTTATTTTATTTATTTATTGAACAGACATCAGTACAATTTACATTGAAACATATACAATTATATAATAGTGTAGATTATAAAGACAATATAGAATAGGTACATTAAGTATCATAGATACTAAAATATATTAAAACAATAAAAATATAAAAGGTAAAATACAAATAAAAATAAGTATACAATAAAAAGTGTTATTAAGTTTGATTAATAGTGTAAAAAAAATTTAAATTTACAGAATTCCCAATAGATAGCAAGATATTTACAGATGTACTCAACATATAGATTTGAGATAATGTTTTATACAAAATCATTTTTTATTATGCATTTTATGTTTATTTTTACTTTTAAAGCAATATTTTTTAGAAGAAAGGTATTCGTATATTTTTTTATTTAGTAGTTTGAATAAAAAGTTTTATAATTTTTTTTTTTTAAAATCTTTTAATAGTATTAAATTTAAAAAATTAAGAATGGAATCATCCAAAGTGAGGGGGTCTATATAAATTGCATTTAAAACAGATAAACGAAGCATATTATTTTAAAATAAATTTTGGTTAAAGAACTTGTAGTCATTGGAAAAAAAATTTTTTTTTAAAAAGTGATGCATTGACAATTATTAATATTAAGGGACATATCATTTGAGATGCACCAATTTTGAAAGTTGGTTAAATCTTATTAAAGTAGTTCAGCATTTGATATATTTCTAATATACTTGAAAATTTTAGCATAAGTTAATAGAAGAATATTAGAATGTTTAATTGAAAATATAATATTGTTACTGAATAAATTGAATAATAACGGTGAGAGGTGGTCTCCTTGTGAGACACCGGGTGCAACTGAAATTGGATCGGAAATAAAATTTTTATATTTTATTAATTACAATCTTTGGATTAAGAATGAATTTAGCCATGGGAATAAGGGGATGGCAAAACCTATTTTCTTAAGTTTTTGTATTAAAATATAATGATCAATGAGATTATCTTTTCGCATTCATATATTTATTAAATATACAACTAATGATACACAAATTGATTAAGTAAATATATTTACCTGCTTGAGGTTCAACGGGCATAGAATCACTTTCATTTTGTCTAGATTCTGCATCTGATGATACATTATCAGTACTACTCTTTGTCTCTTCGTAACTCTATATATATTTATATACATAAAAAAACAATTATAATTGATCACCAAAATTTAAACTATCTCATAAATTATAAAGTATATATTACCGCTGAAGAAACAGGTGTATTTTGAAATTCTTGAAAACGAATAAGTTCAGGCGCATCTTCTTCAATGCTAGCCATAGCGGTAGCTTCAGCATTTGATGAAGAATGTTCTGGTGTATTTTCTCCCGTTGCTATAAAATACGTAACAAAAATAATAATTATATACCTACTATCTTTACAGTTAGATAGTGAAAACAAACTTTGTTCTGTCTCTTCATTTTGGATATCATTGTTTTCATTCATATTATTAGTATCTGCGGTACATTCTTGGGTTGTGAGGTCTACTTCATTATTTTCATGGGTTGCTTCACTTGTTACTTCCATATCTGTACTTGCTTCAACTTCCTATAAATATTTAATTTTACTTTTAGAAAATCACTAATAAAATAGTAAAATTACTCTAATAGTACAACATGATAGTATAACATTTTATATTGAGAAAAAAAAAATTGTAAAAATTTAAGTTTACAATAATTTCTTTATGAAAAAATTTAATTAGAAATGGGTGGGAATTATCATCTTAAAAACAAAAACTATGGAATCTTATATAAAAAAAAATCATTAATTATTTTTAAGTTTTTGAAATCAGAAAACATTATTTATTAATTATAATCTTTTGAATTTGAATATAATAATTAATAACGTAAATCTTGTTGTAGTTGAAACACTTTCAACATAGGTTGAGGATTGATTATTTTTAAATTTATATTATTAAAAATTCTAATTTGGAAGCAATTAAATTAGATTATGCTTTATTTATTTATAACACAAAACATAAATTATTTTTATACTTAAAAATAAAGACTATCATGATCTGTGAATTATATTAATTATTATTATCACTCAATAAAATGAAAATAGATTATTTTGGTTCACCATCATGATAAAAATCTAGTTAATATTTCATTTTTTTTTGAATGTAGAGAGTGAACTTAATTATTGGAATGGATTCAGTTTAAATCATTTAAACAGTAAAAATACAATAATTAAAAATAACAATACATACTTTATTATCTTGTGGGTTACTTTCTGGACCAGTATAAGAATTGCTAACTTCTGAATCTCTTTGAGAAGATGTTGGCGCTTCATATTCTATTTCTCTACGGTTTTCTTCTCTAGGCATAAACGATTTAGTTCTTTTCATCTAAAAATTAAATTAAAATATTTTTTTTTTTTAACATAACATAATTTTCTTGAAGTATTAAATAAATAAATATGTTCTTAACACTATGAAAAAAAGCTGAATATTACAATTTTATATAATAATAAGGCTTATTTACATATGAAGTCACAAGAAGATCAGCTTTTCTTTTTCTCTGATTATTGTTTGATGAGTGTGTTGTAGTATCTAGAGAGGAACAGCTAGGTCCACTTGTACAGGCAGTTACAATGGATGGTTCCGATTCTGTTGAAGGACCAGGAGCTGTAGAACTTGCAATATTACTACTACCACTACTACTTTCCATTGCCTGACCATTTTCATTTTGTACACTGTATCTAAAATGCATTTTATCTATTAAAAATTTATATTCAACAAAAATTTGTGAAATATTATCTTTCACCTATCTATTTGACTTTGTGAAGGAGAAACTGTTGATACAGATACTGTGGTTGGTTGAGACACAGTTGTTTGTACTTGTTCTCTTCCTTGTGGTACAACTAAAGCAATGCTAATAGCTGGATTTGTTTGTGGAGCAGTAACACTTGGAGTTGCTGCACTACCTATCACCTGTTGTAGGGGTAAAATAGATGGAGGAGTAGCAGTAGTAGTTTCATTAGAATCAGAAACTGTTGCAGTAGATTCAGAACCCTTAAATATTTCAAATTAAACATTGTTTTTAATTATTTTACTAACTCTTTAATTAAGTTGCCAGATCACAACATTTGTTTTTTTCTCTGTCTGTCTCGCAAGTAATATAGTAATAAAGGCATTCCCTATATTTTGACAATTATGACTCACTGGTACAGTTAAGGGCAAATTTATCTATTATACATTTTATAAAGCAGAGTATTTAATGACTTCAACACATTATTTTTTTAATGAGTTATTAATGGTTAAAATTAAAGTTAATTTAATTTAATTAAAACACGTGTATCTTGATAAAAAATGAAAGTATTAAAAAAAATCATAGTAAAGTCTTCATAAAATGTAAAATACATCACATTGCCCTGAATTCAACCAAAGAGTCACAATCATAGAAGAATGGAATGTCTTTGTTGCTATACTAAATGTGAGAGGGAAAAAACACATTTTGTGACACAGCTCTTTAAAGGTATTCAATTTTACACAAAAATAGTATTTTATGAATAAAATGTAGTTTTTTTTTTTTTTTTTTTAAAAATATATATATGCAGTAGAGCCTTAATTATCCGAACTACAATTAGCGTATCTGAATGTTAAAACTCATTGAAGCACTTGTACACCCTCGGCCAGCAACCAATTTTATAATCGTTGCAATTTATTATTAGTACATACATACAAACATATATAAACATAAATGCATGTTTGTATATGAATCGTTAGTAGATGATCAAAACTTGATATTTTTATCTAAGCCTACCAAATGTCAAAACACATTGAAGTGCTCGTATATGCGCAGACAGTTTACCGACTTTATTATAATGTTTGAATACAATTAATACAATGAATACAATTTGTATCCAAACTAGGTGCAGTCTCAATTAATCTGGATAACCAAGGTTCTACTGTATGTTGAAAATAATTTACCTCAACATGTTGAACTAAAGTACTGCTAGTCAAATGACGACTTTGTGCTGTACTATTGGCTTCCGATGAGTCTAAAGCATTACCTCCACTACTACTTATATCAACAGACTGTGGTTGTTGTGGATGAACAGTAATAGTTGTACTGCTACTTGTTCCACTCATCAAACTAAATTATTAAAATATTATATTTATATTTTGTTCTCATTTTAATTTAAAATGTATTTAATGCAAATAATATTGCATCCCTAAAAATAATAATTGGTATGTTTAGTTGTACCTTTGACTGGAAGTGGATGATGTTTGACTAGTGGGTAATACTACCACACTTCTGGTTTGCATTGTCATTGGCTTAATGCTAGCTAATGGTGTTTCTGCAGCTGCAGATCTCCATGGGTTAACAGTGACAGAATGATGAACCTATAAATAAATTTCACAAACACAGTATTTTTAAATTTAATTTATAGAAAATTGAAAATAATATAATAATATTGCATACTGGTTGTGATTTATTAACTGCCGGTCCTAAAGGTTTAATGTTAGCTGTAGGAGGATCTACAGCAAGTTTTTCAGGGCCAGTACTTGTAGACGGTTTCACCTATACCAGAAAAAACATGAACTTATTTATATTTTAACTATTATTTTAAGACATTTTTAAAGCACCTGTGGATTAGAAAACTGTCTCATTAAAGCTGTAAGCATTGAAACTCTATGATTTAATGTTTTAATATCATCAGATAGGAGAGTTTTTTCTAATACAATCTTTTCCTTTTCTGTTACTAGCTTATGATTCTCTTGGTCTAGATGAGCAATTTGAACTTGACATTCTTGTATTCCTAAATATGATTAAATAATAATTAAGTAAATTAAATTAGGTATGTTTAAAAATAAAAATGTATAACTCAATGTTTCAAATTTATATAAAACATTATACCAATTTTAAGTTTTGTCGGTAGTTTGAATATCAATAAGTAATACAAAAATGCATAAACTATATTTAAATCAAACAAGGGAATTTAAGCTAAAGTATTATTTATTACAATAGTAGTTTACTAAGTGTTTTATAAATAGACTATTTTTAAAACAAAAGCATTAAATTCAATTAAGCTATCCTAGTGTAGCTTTTTTTTCTTCTAATAGACCGAATTTATCTATAAAAAACAAAATTAGTACATATAAATGAATAGAGTATAATTTCGATTGACTGAACCATGTAGAATCCAACCTAGTTAGATTAACTGAAATTTGTAATAGCTGAACGTATAAATAACCGCACAGCACATATATAAAGTAATTAAAGGGCTTGAAACAACAAAAAGATAAATCCACTTTTTGAAATTGTTGGGGCTAATTAAATGTTTTATTCTTATAATCAATCAATGCTAAAATTATAACAACAAACATATTTAATTATTTACTTAACGATAAATAATACTGTGTAAATTTAGTTAATTTTTTTTATCTTTAGATAAAAGCAGTTCAAAGTTATGGACCCTATGGATTTATTACGGTTGTTACGCCCAACATATTTTTCAATGGTAAACTAAAAGTAATTAAAACAAATTTATTCAAACATTTTTAATTTTAATACTCATGAATTATAACAAACCAATATCTTAGGTTTTAAATTAGGTCATAAGAAAACAAATAGTATACAAATAGAATATTATAATAAAAAAATAAAATGTAATGTTTGTTAAAATTAATTTATTATTACAAGCCCTACAATTATTAGAGCTATAAATTTGTAAGAAAGTAATTTTTTAGCTGATTGTAAAACATAGCTTTCTTAACAAAGAGTTCAAACCACCATATAACAAATCCAATTGTAAAAAAAAACATTTACTTTGCTTTTTATGTGACATTTTTTCATTTTTAATTTACAAATGCTTTGAACACGTCATAATACTTGTATTTTATATTCTAATTTTAAAATATTATGAACAAGTATATAATATGTAAGTATAATGTTTGATTTTTCACGATTTGATAAGATTGTGCCGATTGTTTATAATAGCATTTTTTGAGATTTTAAATGAATTATAAAAATAGATACTGTTTTTACCAAAACCCTCACTACAGGAATCATCCTTACAAATATATAGCTATATTAATTGACTGATAATAATAATGTTAGTAATTCCTTATTAATTTGTTGTAGTTGTTTAAAATATCTTAAAAGCTATGTACATAACATTTTGGTAAGCCAATTACAATGAGGTTAATCAAGGGTAATTGTGAAACCTTTTAGCAATGAAAATATTGGTTTAATTTATCATTATTGTAATAAGAATTAAAATACACATGGTAAATAAGTTGTCAAACTCATTTTTTTTAGAACTTGTACTAATAAATGGGAATTAAGCAAATTAAAGAAATAAATTATGCTCTTACTATTCTCTGCTTCATCTATCTGACTCAATAAACCATCACGTTGCTTTTTAATAGATTCAATTTCTTTTGAAAGATTTTGAATTTTAGTTCTAGCTTGTTGCAAAATCTGTTTAGTACGCGTATCTTTATCTTCTCGTTTAGCTTTTATCACTTCTAATTCAGATTTTGCAGCACTCAAACCAGCTTCAGCTTCAACCAACTATTAAGAAAATTTAAATTTTTTTATTTTCATTAACAATTTAAAAAATACAATAATTTGACCAAACACAACATACATCAAATATGATTTCTAATTTGAATTAATAATATTTTTTTACTTATACTTACATTTCAGAGATTTTTCCCATTTATTGGGAAACCTTCTGAGAAAGTCAAAAAAATGACCTACCTAAAGTACCACTAAAGGGAAAATTAACTTTCAACAAAGGTGCTATACTTTGGGACAAAATGTTCAGAATCTTCTGGTAGAATTTGTGTACACAGTATAAAAATATAAATAAATAAACTAATACATTCTTTGCTACACTTAGAATCTAAAAGTAAGTTTCAATAATAATAAAGACAAAACAAAATACTTGGTAGTTTGAAAATGAGAAGATGGTAAACTAAAAAAACCTTAAAAGGGATCTTATGAATTGAAGTATTAAGAATCAATTAGGCTCTGACATATTAGATACATAATGGGTCCCTTTCAACTCAATTTTTAAAAATTAAATGTGTGGTTTTAACTTTGATGTTTTATAATTTTATATCATCTTATTCATCCCAACTATTTGGGATCAGCAACTCTTTTCCTAACTTGACCCGATCTCTCACCTCACATATACTGCCATCCTCATTATCATTCTCAATAGTACTCAACCATCTCTTTTTTAGCCTTTCTCTCCCCCTCTTTTCATCCTACGTTTATTTTCATTACAATTTTTACTGCTTCTGGTTCCTCTCTTCTCATGACATGTTCAAACAATCGTGATTATGTTTAACCAAATTACAACATAAAAAACTCAAATATAATGAAACTATTATTGTCATAACCTTATTTCCTCCCCAAAAATGAAATCAAACAAATTTTACCTGCTGCACCAACTAAATCCAAAAATCAATAGAAAAAGGTCTCCTGTAATTTAATGATTGGGGGTAAAATTTCTGGTAGAAAACTTATTCACAGACAGAAAATGTACATAAATAAGTAAAACCAATACATTTCTTGCTACTCACAAAATCTAAAAGTTACACAATTTAAATAATTAGAAACAATGGACAACCAAACAAAGGATATGCAAAGTGAGATAATATGAAATAATTTAGAGGAATTTTAAATGTTAGGTCACTTATTTAGGTTAAGATATGATAATATGGCAAACTTAAATCTACCCACAAATAGCTGAGTGGTGAAGAAAACAAAAATCTTTAGTAGACCGGACATAGCAAGCCAAATTAGGATAAAAAACTGGAATGGACAGGTTATGTATGGAGAAAACAAGTATGATAAAGGTAGAACTTAAAAGGGAAAAGGCCACTGGGAAAATTGTATAAAAAGAGAATGGATTTTTGTCCAAATCCAAATTTGAATGTTTGGTGTATGAGGCCATAACAAACCCCCTCAAAAAAATAATTTGCTTTATATTATTAAATAAAAAACACTAACTTTAGCCTTGACTTCATTTACATGAGATTCACTCTCAACCTTTTGCTCTTGTTTTCCATGTTCTATTAGTTTTTTACGTTCGTCAAGATCAATAACTATTTTACTACCCCCTTGTTGTAATTCATCAAATTTAGTCTGCCATAAACTTCTTTCTGTATTAAGTGTATTAGTTAACTCTTCACTTTGATGTTTATAGCGTCTTGCCAATATTTTGATCTAAAAAAAAAAAAATGCTATGATAAATAATTATTATTAGTATGTATAAAACTTTAAATCAGTAGTGAATTCAGACCTCAATTTGAGATATGGGACAAAATCATATGCTACAGTGAAAATTTGTAATTAATTTATCACAATACAAAAAAAGCATATTATAATACAGTATTTAGAGGGAGTTTCTACCACTACTTTAAAATAATTACTTTATTTATTTCTAATGCAACATCTGCCATTTTCTGTCTATAAGTTCTCATTGAATTTTTGAACGATTCCATTGTCTTATTATTGGAGGCAACTCTAGCCTTTAATTTAATTATTTCTTGTTTTGCAACATTTATTTCTTCTGAATGAGTAGTTTCTAATTTCTTTAACTAAATATTTACAAAAAAAAGAATTAATAATATTAATAATAAAAAAATATCAGTCCATTTAACGTATTTTGAACGTTGTTGTGTTCCTAGTACAGGATAATATTAATAAGTAGGTCACTGTTGTAAGTGAACAATTGAGAAAGAAGAATGTATAGGGTAATTTAGTTATATTGGTATGGAAACACAAATCCGAGCAGTAAATGATATTAAAACATACCATGCTTTGATTTAAATTAAAAATTGGATACATTTTAACAATACAGGTTAAAATTGTTAATGTTTTAAATAAATTTCATCTTAAATTTGAGTTACAATCGTTGTAAAATAAATGAATAAAATATGTGTTCACATAATATTCAAAAACACAAATAACTCCAAAAGTATTTAAAAAAATCGTATCATATTTAGAAAATGTAAAACTATGTATTCAGTGAAAGAGTATTTTGGTATTGATTTATAATTATTAAATTATATTAAAAAAAAAAACAAAATTGAAATTAAGATAAATCATTATTCCATAAATATTCTAGATTTTGTTCGCATTACTAAGAACATTACAACGAAAATCAACAAGTACACAACTAAACAAAATATGCAACCAGAAACCATTCTTGATATTGATGATTGGAGCAAGACTTATGGTAAAAACTTGACAATTGTCAGAAAAAATAAAAATAAAATATAAATACTATACTAATAAAACAAATAAAACTCTATAAATAGTACATTAAATAAATACAAATCTTATAAAAATATTTTTTAATATCTTACCAACTCTTCAAGACATGACTTGTCAGACTTCATAGATTTTAATTGGTCAAGAGCAGTCGTCATTTTCCCTTTTTCTCTTTCTAATGTATTTAAAAGTTGTTTGTACTCTGCATCAGAATGTGAAACATTTGATCGTTCTTTCCACCTGGCTATGTTCTTTTGTAAAGATACAATCTAAGTAATAATTTAAAAATAAAGTATCATCATTTTTAATTGTTATAAACTAGTGTAATGTACTATAATTATTTGTATTGTTTGTTAAAACCATGTTTGGTTTCTAAAGAAAAACAGCCCAAGTCATTTCTATAAAAAAAATTGCCAAAAAATAACGGAAATTATAAAAAAAATGCAACTAATAAACTTAAGCTCTTCTTCTTTGCAACCAAATATATACTAGATTAAAAAACTTAGCTAATAGTTTTTTAATTATTTATATTAAAAACAAATAATAAACATTTTGTTTACTTTGATATTTGACCCAAAGATCAATTTTTTTATTTTATTCTTTTGATATACTTTATGTAAATATATATTAATAATTTATATCAAATTAATAATTATTAATCTAAACACTGCACTTTGAAATTCTAGACCCAGCTAACTGAAATATCAATTTGTTCTTATCCTACTAAAATTGAATATGACTTTAACTGAGACAAATGCAAATTCAGTAGCCAATTGGTTAACCCTTAATAAATAATAATACCTAACTAATAAGATAAATATATAAAATCATACTTCTGCTGATTTCTGATCAATTAAACTTTGCATGCCTGACATATCATCCTTAACAGCAGTTATCTCTGCAGTTTTTTTCTCATCTAATTCTTTTAATGCTTTTAGTTGATCAGATAACAATGTTTTTTCTTCTTCTAATATCTTATTTTTTTTTACTATTTGATTGCACACTTCTATCTGAAATTATATTTATATAAAAACAAATTCAAAATTAATTTTGAAGAGTTAACCATTTAACCTTCATACATATTAAAATTAAATATTGACACAAACAGCTTTTAAAATACTGATCTAGCTGATGAGTATTTTGGTCTTATTTTAAAAATATATCCATATACAGAGTGATCAATCTATAGTTAGTCACTCATTATCTCAGAAAATATTAACTTTTTTTAGAAATTGATTTATTGAACATTTAGGAAACAAGGCAGTTCTACAATTTTAAATTTGTTTTATTTTTTGTCACCATTTTTTTTTTTTTAGGGGTAAAACCTTTTTTGAATGGCGACCTATAAGTAGTCGGGAGTATGAATTAAGATAAATTTGGTGTTAAAATTTTCCGTTAATTTGTTGACAAGATATTCCACTTTAAAATTTGGATCAGGGGAGAATAGTAATGCATTGTTATGCCGCCACAAAAATGATGCTCTACTGTATTGCCTGTGTTATTCAGTATTTACATACCTTTTCTAAAATTTTTGAATGGTCATTATCCATAATTGATCCAGATGAATGTAATTGTCTCAGTTCTTTCATTTGAGTTTCCATATCATCAACAACCTTTGATTTATATTGTAAATCAGATTTCAATCTGAAAAAATATGTATATATTAAAGGTTATAATTATCAATCAAATATAATTATTACTTATTGCATTCAGTAATTGCTTCGTTCAAATCTAAAATAACGGTATTTTTCTCTTCTTTTAAAATATTTATCAAATTGGCCATTTTAGTGAATTGTTTATCAAAACCATTTGTTTGAACAAAATTATTGGTTAGACTATCATCTTTGTTTGATGTTTTACTATTATTCTGTAAATTATTAAAAATAGTATTAAATTGCTTTACAAAAGTATTTGTTATTTTATTACCAAACGTTCTATATTAGATAACTCAGTTATTGACTTATACTGTTCTGACAATAGTTCGTTTTCAAATTGCCAACGTTTAACTGTCTCATTTAAACAATTTATTTCATCATTTAACTTATTTAATTGTGTTTTATGTATTTCTTTTATTTCTTCAATAGATTTTTCCATAGCAGCTTTTTGGTTTTTCAAATGATCTATTTCTGCAGACTGGGTTATGTTAAATAATTCTAATGCTTCTAATCTCTTAAAATAAATAACATAATAAATAAATAAATAGACTATACAGTTTTTATTGCATTTTATTATACTGTTTCTTACTTCTAATTTGTTTTTATAATGTGTTAATTTATGATTAAATCCTTTTTCAGTTTTGTCTCTATCATTAATTAATTTTTTAAGTTCTTCTTCTAGTTTTGATATGTTATTATTTTGTTCTGTATTTTTTTTCAATAATTCATTATTGTGCTCTGTTGAAATCTCTAATTCTTTTAAAATTTTACAATTATTCTGCTCATATTCTAGTAATTGATTTTGTAATTTATTAATAATATCTTTTTGAGATGAGTTAAATTCACTTAATTCTTGCATGCTATAAAACAAAATAATTAATTTCATACAGAACACTTAATATATTTCTATGATGGTATTTTATCAATGACAATGGGAACAGTGTTTAGCACGTTGAATATGGTTAGATTAGTTCAGCTTAGATTATTACTATGTATATACATTATATAATATAAATAAAAACTTACACATTTATCAATTTCTGATCTTTTTCTGAATATTCATTTTTTTTGATTTCTCGTTCATTTTCCAATTGTGAAGAATATTCACTCATTTTTTTCAAATTCTCCTCTAAAGATTTGTAAAGTTGTTTTGTGACATTTAATTCTGATTTTAACTGATATTTCAATTGATCTTTAAGATTAAAAAAAATATTTTATTTTAAACAAAAATATTTATAATATTTATATCATTTTTATTGAATAAAAAGCAAGATACATTAAATAGAATAAGTATTACATAATATAAATTAAAAATTATTACCACTTTCATTAAGTTTTGATTTCAGATTTTTAACTTCATGCTCAAGTTTACTGACCACACTTTGGAAGTTTGATCTTTCATCAGAACATAAACTCAGTGAATTTGTTCTAGATCGAGATATTTCCTTATAAGTACTTAAATCTTCTATTGCTTCTAATTTTAAAAGCAAGTTATCTCGCGTATCCTTAAAATTTTTAAATTATACAAAAAAAGTATAAAATTTAATGACAATACAAAGTTATTTTTTTATTATAAACCAGCAATTAACTCAGAGGATTTTAGATGAATTTGATTTTTATTTTTTCTAATCATTATGGTATAGTTTAAGCTTTGGCAATTTATTACCCATCCCTACTCCTCTGGTCTAAAATTTAAACTTTTATAACTCTTAAATGGTAAATCTGATATTAGTGTTATGGATATTAAAATTTCTAGAAAAATATTCTCAATTGAAATCTGTGTTTAAAAAAGGGAGGGTCCTTTTTTAAAATCAAAAGTATGAACTTATTCAAGGTGTATAGAGTAGGGGTGAAAATTAAATGATTCATAATGATTAGAAAAACAAATAAAATCAACAGAGCTGGTTCATAATAAAAAAATCACCCTGTATAAATTTAAAACTTTTAACTAACTATATTACCTTCAGTGTTTTTGTGAGCTTTTTATATTCTTCTTTGAATTTAACTTTATCATAATCTGTCTCGGCAATATATGCTAATGTTAAATTCCAATTTATAATTAGTGAATCTAACTGAGAAGCCAATGTTTTCTCAAATTCTTTTTGTAATTCAGTTTTTTGTCTTAATTCACGAGAATAATTCATGTTTGTAATATATAAACTATCATTATCTTTTTTTAAATTATTATATTGATTTTTAATTTTATCTAATTCAATCACCACTTCATGATTTTTCTAAAATGTACAAATATAAATGTATTATCAATTATAACATATGTATAGTATAATAATTATAATTTACATGTTCCAATGATGATATTGTACTTTGTAAAGTAGCTACTTCCTCAACATTTTGAGAATGTTTAATATTAGAGGTTTTTACTTTTTTTAATAATTCATTAATTTGATTATTTAATCCTTGTACATGTTTATCCAATTGCGTACGAGCAACATTATTTGATTCAAGTTTCTGTTGAAGTTGATTAATTGTAATATTAGCATTAGTAAGTTGATGTTTGATAAATTTAATGTTTTCTTCAGAGCATTTAGAATAATTTATATTTTCTTCTTTTTCTTCTTCTTCTTCACCTTCTTCTTCATTTACTGATATTTGAATCTAATCAAATATAGAATATAAAAATCATGTTTACATTTTTATTGAACAATTTTTAAAATAATTTAAATTTACATACAGGACTTTTTTGTTTAGCATCATTAGACTCGAATAATGTAGACTTTACATCCAAAGATTGTAATTTAGACAACTGTTCCTAAACATATAAATTTATGGAAATTGATAAGAGTCCTTCAAAAACTAGCACTAAGAATATATCTTTAATATTTTTATAATAAAACATATATATTAAACTAATATAGGCACACCTAAAACTAAAGGTAAACATTGACATGAAACAAATACAATTTCTGATCTCTGTGGAAAATGGAAAAGATAAAAATAAATCAGGGAAAGTTTTTAGTTCCATTTCACAGCCATGTTTTCATAAACTTTGTATATAAAAATATATTAAAATACATAAAAAAATGTCACAGTTTTTACTAAAGCATTTGACTATGAGCTGTTCAACATGTCTTAATCATGCATTGAAACACATCAACAGTTTGAGCCATACATATTATTTATTGATTTGTTATGCCATTTATTTGCACATTTTAAAGAATTAAGAATTTTAACACTTTTTGACACATACAACCAAACTATACCTTTAAGCAAACTCTGTACTAAAATGGATGAACCCATTACTTTATTTAAGTTTTATAATTTCTGAAAGCTCTTCTATATATAAGTACCATATTGAAGAATAATAAAATGTGAGTATTCATTATTAGTCATGTGTCACTTAGAATATTCTCTGAACTCCCAAACAAAAAAAAGTTAATTCAAACGAATACGGTAGCTAGGAACACTACCATTTATAATTAATTTTCCTTCTTTAAACAAATTTATTTATTTATTACAATTAAGCCCAATTTAAAGTGTTTAGTATTTGCATTTTGCATAACATAATCACATGAATATAGTTAATACATATTAAACAAATAAAAAGCTGTTAATGATTTAAATAAAATGCTGTTAATTATTTCATTTTGATGTTGTTCATTTTATTTATGCTTTAAATTGATTATTATTACATAGGTAATTTGAAAGACTAATGACAAGTTGTAATCTGTTTTTCTTAGTACTTTTAATATAAGATGTATTTTTGATATTCATATTATATAAATGTTTTTTTTTACCAATCAGATCATATTTAAAGTTTACATTTAAAATGAAATAACTTCTAATGGTAATAGATTTATTAAAACTATACTTTAAACTCATAAACATAAAATACTTTAAGAATTATTTAAAATCTAATTTTAACACTTAAGATTCATTTATATTTAAGGGCTGCTTATACCAGCATAAATAAAATCAAAAATTGCATTGAAAAATAGACTCAAATATATAAATTGAGTTACTTGTATATATTGTAATTAATTTGTATGTAATATAATATTATGGAATCGCCAAAATACTCATATTCTCCTAGAGTATATTGATAATAGTAATTTGGTTAAAAACTATTAGTTAAATTAAATATTAAAAATACGAACAAAATATGCATACAAATTAAAATATTCTGAACGAAGTTCAGTTGATAGTAATGCTTTGTCAACAATATATATTAAAGTAAAATAATTAAATAAGCTCTATACATATTTTTTAATAATATTAGTTTAATATCGTACTGATTTTCTCGGTTTTCTCCTGTTTTATCACGGTTTTTCACATTTGCTGGGAAAACTATTGAGCAAATTAAAAAATGGCCTCCCTAAAGAATCTTCCCACGTCAATTTCCTTTCAGAAAAAGAGTTACACATATACATATAGAAATCTGAGCAAGTCTTCTAGTACAAAAGTTGATAAACAGATGAAAAAAAAGCTTATTGCTCCACTCAGAAACTAAAATACCTAAATTAATTAATAATTGTATATACATTTTTTTATTTGGCAATTAAATAGAGGAATTCATATTTCAAAATCTTTTCTAAATTATAATATAAAAAAAACGCAATTATAAGTGAATTTCAGTAGAAATTAATAAATACAAAATTTGTTTTGTATATTCAACTAACCTTTTGCTGGGCAACTAAGTTGGTCTGTTCTTCCAAGTTTTCTTCTAAGATTTTTATTTTTTCCTAAAACATAAATAACAAAATATGGAATTAAGATTTAGTGTTCAAATTTAAAAAAAAAAAAAAAATACATACTTTATTAAGCAGAATAGTAAAATATATTGAATATAAATTAAAATAAAATAAAAAAATCATTATAGAAAGATGAGATTTGTGGAATTTATATTGTTAAAAGCAATAAAATACCCTTGCAATATCTGAACAATTGTAAAAAGTGATCATATAATATTTTTACTTTAGTTTATACATTTGAAAAGTATATCTCCATACCAAATACATCCATATTTTATTTGTTTTATTAAACTGTTCCCAAATAATTTATGTGTATGTGTTTAATTATTGGGGCCTCTTGAAATTCATCTGACTACATTTTTAGAATATCGGCACCATTGTAGATATATGTAGAGTCATTGAAAAACGCCAATTTGTATATACTAAGTTTCCCAGCACAAAAGAATTTTAAAAATGGGGAACTACACATACACAAGACTAAATAAGATTATAAACACTACGAAAAAAAACGATTGTCAAGTACTTCTCTCTCCTTTATTTAATATTTATCATTCAGCATCACCTATATCCACAACAGTGTATACAATACATACAGAACTAGTTCTAGTTATCAATTCTAATATCAATTACTCATACTTAATAATATTATTAAAGATATTTTTAAGAAATACTGTTCAAATTTAATTAATTATTATAAAATCAGTTAAATATACATGTAATTATACTGAAATATGTAAAACTATGTAAAGTAAAATTGAGTTTATTACAAGTAGAATGATCTAAATTTGCACAATTTTTATCAGATTAAAAATCTCATTCTAATAAAAATATGTATTTACAATAAAATCCATTCCCTAACTATAACTTATAAGGATAGACATGCAGCCTTCATATAAAACTCTTGCAAAATAATTTTAAAAAAATTGGGTTCCTGAATATACAATAATAAAGGCTCAGGAAGCCCAAATTCCTCCCACAGAAATATAATTTAAAATGCATATATAGTTTTATCATGATTAAGTGAACAAACCTATTGTAATTTGAATCAATTTTATTACCTTGTTGGTAGCAAATGTAAATAAAAAATTCAAATATATATTTTTAACAATTTTCTGGTATTTATATCATTTAGATTTATTTATTTTTTAGTGCTTTTGATAAATTATTTTAAATTAAAGTTAAAGTTAAAGTCTTCTCTTTGTATATTCAAGGCTTCTAAATGCATCTATATAACGTATTCAATTTGATTTCTTTAGGTTAATTTGTGTACATAAGAAAACCAAGATCTGTTTGCATATATTTTTATAAATAAAGTCCCTTTGGTGATATAAAAGGATAAACATAAAGGCCCTTTTTATATGCAGTCACTAACTATACACCTGCATATCCCTTGTACACATACATATTAGAGTTAAACAATATTTATTAAATATGTTAATACATTGCATATATTATTATTAAAAAATTAATTTTAAATTAATATAAATGATATTAAAGTAAAGCACTTGCATTTAATATATTTTGAAGTATCATTAACTACTATTAAATTTGTCATATATTTGTAAACAGAGTGATTCACTCTTAGCGTGCTCACCTCATATCTTAGGTTAAATTTTGCATACATTCAAATTCTGATTTTTGGAATTTTGAGGTTATAGAGCTAATATTCTAGAATACTTAGATTTTTCATAATATTTAAGTAGTATTCTGTGGTGCTACCAACTTTGGTAATTCAAATGAGAACTTATATTAAAAATTTTATAAATAGACGGGTTATTACTTTTAATTCATTTTGGTGGCAAAATTGTTGATTTTCGTCAACCCGTTAACGACGAGATATTCCACTTTAAAATTTAGGTAGGGGAAGAGTAGTGGAATATCATCCATGTAGAGGCATAGCACACATTTTATTAGTGTTCCATTACTTTCCTCCTACCAAAACTTAAAAGTGAAATATCTCGTCAACGGGTCCATAAAACATTGTAAAAAATCTAAGGATTCTAAAATATCAATTTAATCCACAATTAAAATTTGAATATATCCAAAATTTAACCAAAAAAACGGGGTGAGCATGCTTAGTGAATCACCTGTATTTAATTAAACACCACTAATAAAATTAGAATTGTATCAAAATACCTTTAAATCGCTGATTAATTCTATTTCTTGTTTATCATTTGCTTTAGATAAAGAACGTACAATTTCTAATAATGTCTTGTTTTGTTTTTGCAAACCTTGAATGTTTTCAAATGTTACATAGTTGTTTGAAATAATCTATAAAAAAATATTGTTTAATTAAATAAATCTATATGTATAATTAATTTGAATAAATAAATACCGATTGGGGACTTGCATCTATTCCACTATTCCGATTTTCAAATCGTTTATTACATTCAATATTTCGCAATAAGAAACATATCTAAGAAATATTAAATACAATATAAATATACATACATTATATAAAATATTAAAAATTACTTGTCTACTCAAATCAACTTCGATGTCACTCAATTTGGCATTCTCTTTAAATAATTGATCACATTTTGTAGTAGAGAATTCTAATTTTTTATTAATATCCGTCAGTAATAATTCTAATTTTGAATTATTTTCACACAATGTTTTTACTTTTTCATTTGATTCCATCAATTCCATTTCCAATTTATTAATGTTAGGTGTAGCATCCATAACATGCTATACAAATAATGCAATACATATTTATATGTTTATATTTATTGTATAATAAGGAATAAGAGTTGGCGGGTTTTCAAAATGTCCCATGGTTCAAGAACTTCTAGAATTTCATTTTGTTTAATACATTTTACACCAAAACCAATTTCAGAATTACACTTTTGAAACTAAACCCACCAGTTGGTGACCCACATAGTTATTATAGACCTAACTCTCTACTACCAATAGCCTACAGTCTTTGAAAGGCTTTTATTACTTGCCTAGTTTGAGCCAATAATAGAAAAGATGTCTGTTGAACAAGCTGAATTCAAGAAAAATAGAAGATACTGTGACCAATTATTAGACCACTTATGTCAAAAATGGTTTTCAAAGCAAGGAAAAATCAGGATCAGTATTACCACAGCTTATGATACTATTTGGATAAAAGGTTTATTATTCAAACGTTCCAAAATAATTAAGTGTAAAATGTAAATTTATTTCAAAGAAATTTAATGTAATGTTCAATAAAAGAAATTTAATAAAAGTATTTAAAAATTAACCTCTTCCGAGGATCAGTATTTGCGCCTATTCTGCCTAATGTACACAAAACTGCTAGGAAGTTCATATATGCATCTAGTGGCACAGGCTAAAATGGTTTACTAAACATTTTGTTATGCCAGTGATACCTGGAAAAATGACTGAAATCATCAGGGTACGGAACTATTTTCTGATAAAAAATCCATAAATAAAAGTCACCAGCTTTGAGCTACCAAGAGGATTTAGGACACTACCCTTAATAGAGTTCGGAATGAGCGGAGCAAATGGTTATAACCTATTCAAATAGAGTATATTAGTCACCGTATTATGGTGAGTACAAATAGCTCTACATTGTAGACACATGCTTTAGAACCAAATATGATGGAGGTATTGAAAAACTCCATAAAGTACATCTGAATTAATCATGCAAATGTAAAATTTTGAATAGCATTTGTAATCATAGTTCTTGTGAACTTAATACCATTTTTATCAAAACTTAAAATTTAGCTACTCAATTCTCCTATTAGCTATTAACTAATCATAAACTTATTTATTTTTATTATATTTATTTCTCAAATGTCTATGTAAACTATCTGAAATTATGTAATATGTAATTATCATAATAATAAAAGCCTATTATGTGTGCTTATTTTAAAATAAAACAACAATGTTAAGTTGCATAAACTATTTTGATATTTATATCAATATTTTTTAAATACATACATAATGTAAAATTAGCAAATTTAATATCAATAAATCCATTGAATCAAATTAGAATATTAAATAAAATAATTAAGATTTTACTTGTTCCAGAATTCTAAAATCATCCTTGCTCTTTTCAAGTTCTTCAGTTACAGATTGTAAATTTAAACATGTCTCTTTATAAATAGCATAAATATCAGTAAATGTTGTACCTTTATGAATAAGATAATTTGATGTGTCTCCATGTACTAAAACATAATATAAAATAATAATATCAGAGTATAATTATTCATGAATAAATCTAATTTTAAAATAAAATAGCAAAGAAAAATATTTTCTTTAAAAATTGAAATTAAAATAGCTTTAAAAATTAAATGCAAATTAACTCTTTTATTTAAGTATGTGGGGGTATTTCTTTTGAGCAGTTATAAATGACAGAAATCACTGAGACAAACTGCCCCGTATTTACTAGCTTTTAACTTAGGTAGAATTTAATTCAAGCAGTTTTTATGTATATTTAAATAGAATTACTTGGAAGTAACTGTTTAACTACTTCTTCAGAAGCATTCAACTTGTTTGTTAATACGAATAATGCATTCTCCTTATCAATTTTATAATTTTTATACTCATCTAATAGTTGTGAGTATTTGTTTTCAGCACTATTTAAAGAAGATGTTAAAGAGCAAACATAGTCTTTATTCTCTATTATCTCGTTTGTTAATTTATTGATCTGAAGTACTTCCGTTTCAAAACAATCTGCAATAAATGTAATATTAATTCAAAATATCTCTTATTATTAATTTAAGAAATAGTAGTACCTTTATAATGGTTCATTAAACTTTGATTATTTGTTAATTCTTCTTTAAATTGTTCAATTTCATTTGCATGTTCAAGGTTTAAATCTTTAATTGTGCGTTCCATTACATTTATAGTGCCTTCTTGATTTTCTAATTTTATTTGTAACAAATTTACATCATTCTTCAACATTAAAATCTTAAAAATATAAATTTAAAATTAAAATTAGGTACAGGCTTATTGATAAATTGATTACTGGTGTAAAATATAGTTCTCAAACTTTATATTATTATATTGAATTAGCTCTCTCAACATTTTGAATTAGAAATATTACTCAAATCACATTATTCTCAAAATTATAATCTTATGCATTAAAAATACAATCTTATTAATAATGTAAACTAAAAAAAAAAAACTATTAAGATCTAAAAATGTAATTTCATAACTTCATATAAGTCTTGCAAATTAAAATAAATTAAAGATTTTAAATTTATTGCGCTTTGTACTTTTGTTGGCTAAAACCATACTCTAATAAAAAAAACCAGAATTTCCATTCTTTTTAAATTTGAAAATTTCTTGACTTCTCCATTTTTCCAAAGGGAAATCATAAATTATCCATACTAAAATTGTTTTATTATTCATAATACAGGGTAGTACATTCAATAAGTCCCCATTTTTTTGGTTTTGTGTATATTCACAAATTCTGATTTTTGGAATTTTTATATGTAGTTAAAGCCGATATTATCAAATACCTACTTAGATTTTTCTCCACATTTAAGGAGTATCCTGTGGTGATACTAACTTTGGTTTTTTAAATGAGAACCTACGTTTAAAATCAAATTGAAATTAAATAAAGGAAAAGAAAGAGCTGATACTAGGAGTACACCCACTGTTGTGGATGGGTCATGGGTATTGTGGAAGATGGGATACATAGTAATTTATTTATACCTGTAACCAACAATAAATTATTGATGACGAAAAATGATTCGGAACGCAGTTCAGTTACACGTGTTTTAAAAGACCATAATATTTATAATTTTCTTAAAAAATTGATAGTTAAGTTTTTTTATAAAAAAAAGTACTACATAAAGCAATTTTTTTTTGGCCACTAAGTACGATATTTAAGGAATCTCTAGTTGAATTTTCAACATTTTTGTTTAATCTAACAATTTTATCCATAGAGTACCTACCAGATAAAAATTACGTACAAAACTCGCAAAATTTAAATGTCTCTAATTAGCTCAAAAATAGATCAAATTTTTTGATAATTTTACCACATCTAGAAAAGGCAAATATAAGTTTTTGTAAAAATTGCTTGATTATGATAAATTAAATTTAAAAAAAAATTGAAAATAATATAATTATTTTTGTACATTTTTCCGTACTTCCTATATTTTTTTTTTTTATTTTGCTCAATTATTAAAAAAATTACAAAGAAATCAAAACTTGATTAAAAATTTAACAAAAAAACCAATAGTTTTTTATTGGAGTAATATTTACGGTAGAAAAATTGTGTTTATTTAATAAAAACACAATATAAAAAGTAACAGGTTTTTCCAGATTACTTCGAAAAACCCCTAGGAAAATCAAAAAATGATCTAATAAACCAATGAAAAAATTACCTTTCAGAAAAGGTTTTATAGTCCATACTTCAGGGCAAGTATAAAAGTTGTTCAGTCATAAAAAAAAAAATACATAGTTTTGTGTACATGTGTTTATAGTAAAATAATAATTTGCCTGCCCTTGATCTACACTATAGTGTCATAAACAACCTGAGATCTACAATGTAATCTGCCATATTTTATCACAAATTTTATATTAATAATTAAGTTAATAATTTACTTCAGCTTCTTTTTCATCCAAATCTGGTTTCAATTCACTTATTTCTTTATGATACTTTGACTGAAGATTTGATAATTTATTAGTGCACTTGAATAAACTCTCATTTAAGGTATCAATTTTTAAATGTAAAATTCCATCATCCATTTTAACCATTCTTTCCCTGGAAAGAAAATATTACAATATAGGTAACTAAGTTTTACATCAATACCTAACTCAAAGTTAAAAAGGGATAATAAATATCAAAAATATTAGACAAAAATGTGTAAGTACTAATTAAATAAACTGAACTTAATGATTTACTGTCTGAAGTGTATTTAAACTTGAAAGTAACAATAAAACAAAAAAATTAATTTTCAAATGGAAAGCAAATTTTCTGTATTATCAAAAATAATTATGTAAAATAATATTGTGTCCAAATAATTTTTTTCAGAGTTTTTCATTCAATTTAAATCAGAGTATTCAAGTATTCACTACACAATTTCATGAATTTGAATGATTTTGTATTATTGTATTAAGTAGGGTCCAGAAATTGATGCAAGAGTATTTTTTTTTTATAATGCTTACATTCGAATCCTCTTTATAGAAATTTGACTCGTCATACAAAATTCAATGATACAAATTTAATTTTCCATTTTTCAGTATTTATTGATTGATAGATTTTTTTTTTTTAACAATTTTGGTACATTATTTTACTTTTATAGATATAAATGCATTTTGTTTTGTTTTAAGGACTGAACTATAATTGTAGATTATGTCACGTCAGCACACATGCCTGAAACGGATCAAGGAAATGAGAATGTACAGGGTACATCTTTGGCTGCCTCGACTTAAAGCATAATATGCACTCGCATGTAGGCATAAAATGTATAAAAAATAAAGAGCTACACACATAAAAATAACGACCAATATTGTAGAGTGTAGGTCACAGCGCTGGCTTATACTAATTACTTCTAGCCTTCCTTGTATTTGTAAGGTTACGTCAGCGAATTACATATTGTCTTATTGCAAGTACATATTGCTATTATTTGGGTTTTCAGTTTTTACATTATTTAGTTTGTGTTTGACTTTGAAGTACGAGTGTGCATTTCTATATGTGTTCAAATGCTAATCATTGTAACTTTTTTTTTTTCAAACAAAATAAACATTTAAGTATATTTTTATGTATTTTATGCATTTTTTCAAGATTGTTAGGTCGTTAGCTTCCAGGCTTTAATAATAACTATTGCAAAGACTAGCAATGTTCACAAAAAAAAAATAATAATAATAATAATTTTATAAGATAATTATATGAATATGTAAAGAGTTAACCAACTTATATCAAATATTTAATAAAAATCAATAAAATCAGTCGAAAATATAAAAATGAGTAGTGTACATAAATAAATCCTACACAATTTACTTCATTTCACAATTGCAACTGGGTAGCCAAAGTTCATATCTTTTCGCTAAGGTATTTAAACACCAGTGATTGAGTAATAGAATTTGATGACCAGATAGTAGAGTATATTCATTTAAATGCACAATCTAGTTGAGTTCTCTCTTGAAATTTTGTATATTATTTGCATTTGGGTAAAAATAAAACTTCCTTTGAAATTTGTTTGGTTTATCTTTATTTACAAATCTCAATACTTTAAACCAATATAAATCATAGGAATACATAACTATAGTTATACTTTATCAAAAATGTACCATTTAGTCAAACCAAACTTTAAATAAGTTTTTAAAAGTTTTAATTTTGAGAATTAAAGAATTTGCAGTTATTAATATAAATTCATTATTATAAACATTTTAATGAGAACTGAAATAATGTCTAGTAGTTATTTAGGTATTTTAACTAGGTACATAGAACGTACTTATTAAATCTTTTCATAGTAAATTACAGCTTACCTCACTTCAGCTTCATGTAAATTCTTTAACAAAGTTTCATTATGTAACATTAATTCATGTTTTTGTTTCAATGCAGTTTTAAATTGATCATTAACTAAATCAATTTCTTTTTGTAATTCCATAAATTTAGCTTCTCGAATACTTGTACTATTGTTAAGCTTATCAAAATCAATTTCTGACTGGTTTCTAGAACCTAATGTATAAAAACCATAAGTTTTTTTTTTTTAAATTGTGTAGATATAAGTACTATCATATTAATTACTAACCATTTGATGTATTTGTTCCAGCTTCATTAAGTATTACAGGCGGAGTATGCAAATACTGTTGAAATTTGCTTTTTGTATCTTCAGATAAAGCATTGTAGCCATCATCAGCTAAAATAGAGTTTATTAAACTAGCTACGTCCATATTGTAATCAACAAATTAAATATTACACGATGTAACAAACAATAAAGTGCACACACCATACATAACTACTCATACAAAAAAAAAAATATTAGTTCAATAACAGACAACATAGACAAAAAAAGGGTTCACATAGATCTAAATTCTCAATTCTAACTGGCCATCAAAGTGTTGAACCGTGCGAATCGTGCTTCGCGCAACAGTCTTTCTCGGTAAACACATGAACACAAACACAAAATAAAAATCACAATATCAGGCGAAATAACCATTAGCCAAGCCGCTGCCTCACAGTTAACATTTAAGATTTAACGACAAGGCGACTAAGGTGAGTCCAGGTTTGCCAACAACTTTGACTAATTTAATCGTACTAACGATGCAGATAAGATAAGTTGATACCACTTGTACGCATTTAAGGTTTAAATATAATATTATTATCTATCAACCTTTGTACATGTACCACGGCTTAAGTTATACCTATTTATCTTAAATCGTGGTACACTATAATTGTCGCTTGTGCTTATATGTTCCTTATATGATAATTATTTATCATTATCTATATTAATGTCTATATCTATCTTTGCTAATTTGTACGGATAATATAAGATTCTTATATTATCCATGTTTGTACGGCACTTTGTTAGTACCACTTGGTAACACCACAATTTACCCAAAGGTTAAGATAATATTATCTTAAATTGTGCATCCGTGCCCGAAGATGGGTTTTAGTTTTATGATGAACAGTGAATACACGTGGTTATAATATTAAATAATAATAATTTATATCCATATTTGTTTTTACTTTTTTAATTTTATTACATACCTGCTAAGTATTACACTTAATAGTAACTCGGTAGTCGTTACTTGTCTCTAAATACTATTATTTTAATTAATCAATCAATTAAGTAGATATATACTTCATAGGTAGTAAAATGAATTAACTCTTGGGAAAATCAAAAATGGTATCGCTAAAGTACCTCCTCAGTTCGATTTCCTTTTAGAAAAAGTGCTATCGTTGTAAATTAGAGCGAAATTGCTGGTAAAAAAATTGTTTATAGGATTAAAAAAAGGCCGTAATATATTTTTACTTGTACTCATTTTGTGCGTTTTTTCTAGTTTTAACCATTTGGTGAGAAAACTTTTGGGAAAATCAAAAATTTACCTTCCTAAATTACCTTCCAAGTAAGATTTACTTGCTGAATAAGTGCTATCATTTAATCGTAAATCAGATCAAAATTGCGAATAGAAAAGACCATAATAATTTAATAATATATTACTTAAATTTCCCAACTTGATAAATATATATCATGCATACATCATGCATAATATAATATTTTCCATTTAATATATACATAACGTGTATATAAAAAATAAATTATAACTCATGTTAATTTGCCAATTATTATTATTTTTTTTTTTAAAAATTTTCAATGGCAAACTTATTCAAAATCTAAACTTGGAATCTTGGAGGAGACCAGACCCCCTGAATCTCTCTATAAAACTACCACTAAGTGTATGCCAATACCTACCATATACAATTGAAATTCTGAAAACACGATATTTTTGAGACAACTTTTAGAATGCCAAAATGAAGATATATACGAGTTTCCAGCTTATTATCTATAATTCTGAGGTTGACCCCTTTTTGCTTAAATGTCTGTACTAATTCTATTCCATTTCCAGTAAGCAGCAATTTGTGTTGCTTTGTCTGAAATTTGTTCAATTATCATAAAATCATCTTTTCTGCACTTAATCGGTAGTAGTGGGCATGCAAACAGTCTACATCCTGCTTCCCACTGCATTCACATTTTCCTCTTTTATTAAATAGTAATTCTTCTTTGGTATAAATCTAGTTTATGACCTGAGCTCATTTTTCAATTTCTTTTTTTTTCAAAATGTGTGTTTTTGCCTGTTCATTAAGAATCTAAAAAAACGAGCTAATACTGGGGATGGTAGAGGCCACTGTTGTAGGTGAAAAGTTGGGAAGGTAAGATATATAAAGTTATTTCATTTATATCTGTAAGCAACGATAAATCATTGCTTGACGAAAGACGATTCTGAGCACAGTTCGGTAATACATAATTTTTGCGATTTTCTTTTAAATATAATTTTAAAAAAAATCGTCCGATGATTTTGGAAATTTGACCACGTCTAGGTAAGTCCAATATAATTATTATTACCAAGTTTCAAATCTCTACGTGTATTTATAACCGAATTACAGCAAAAAAACTCAAACAAGTTCAAAAGCGGCGCAAAAGTTTTGTCGATGATACCGTAAGAAATTAAATTAAAAATGCAACAAAAAATAAAACTTGTGATTTTTCAATTTAATCATTTTGTTTGGTAGAAAACGTCGTCTGTTTTTATAAAATAATGAAATCGTGAAATTGTATGTTTTCCTACGTTTTTTTTCACCTAAGTGCTTTTATTTATAAAATAGTGTCGAAAATCAAAAAATGGCCGTTTTAAAGTACCATCTAGACAACTTGAGCTTTCAGAAAAGTTTCTACACGTAAAAATCAGAGCAAGTTTACTTGAAAAAAACGTGTTCATCGACTAGAACAAAGAACAAAAAAAAAATTAACATCTTAGTAAAACCAATAGCTCCCTCGCTACGCTCGGAATCTAAAATCATAAAAAGTAAAAGATGAGAGAGAAAAAGTGGTGAAAGAATACTCGGGTATAGGTATTGTAATTGAGATTGATATAGTGTATAGGTGATGTTGGTTGGAGCAAATTATTATTATTTAAATTACTTATTGTATGTGGATGATGAAAAATGAAGATCCCGATGAACTTCAAATTGAAATAACTGAGACTCTTGAGAGAAAAATTAGAAGAAAGAAGAAAAGATAAAAATAGTATTTATTCCTATCAATAATAATATGCTATTGACAATAATTTAACATAAAATCGTTAAAAAAAAAATCATACTAATAAATAATATAAATATATTAATGAGTCTATGGGAGTAAGGACTAAGAAATGCATATAACTGACGTTTTTTTCGTTAATCTCAGTTTTAAGCATACATTAATAATTTATGGTTTTGAGAATGTAGGAAAAAAAACCAATTTATTATAATTAATTATAATAATTATTACATTAACTGTTATTCATTATATAATTAATTCTATAATAGCAATAGCATTTTACACTTTTATAATAGTAATTAATGTATTATTATTATTGTTTACTGATGCCTTATAGAACAATTTTTTAATATTAATTACCATTGATTTTATAATATATAAAATCAATACCCGTACCTATACTAGATACTAATTTTAAAAAATAATATGGTATTGTCCAAGATGATTTTACTATAAATATTATTAATAATTAGATATGTATCAAAGTTAAATTTATTATCTTCATAAATTTGTTTAATTACAAGTATTAGAAACATTTCATTAAACATAAATTTACAATTGTATTAATATAGGAGAAAAAGACAAATATATGTAGGTAATGAAATTATAAGACAGGTAAGGCAATACATTTAATATTTTCATAGCATTCAATAGTAACTAATTAGAAAATTTACCTATTTAAAATTAGAGACTTGTAAGTTGTGAGTTTATGTTAAAAATAAAAAATAGAATATTGAGTAGGTAGATAATAGAACTGATTACACAGACTTATAGCGTTTTTCACCTGACTGCACCGGGTTCACTTGTGTACATTTTTATGTTCCATATGGAATATTGTGGTACATTTAGTGTATGTATTTATGTTTCACATGCGCGCACTCTACCAGTTTCTTGCCGCGAGTGCAGTGATAATCGCACGAGCTCTTCGAGTTCGTGCGCCTTATCTTTTATTGATACAGATGCCAATCTCGATGCTTGAATAATAATAATATAATTTTAATTGATAATACACAGGTAAACTAGAAAACTTTTTTTTTTTCGAACAAAATTAATATTATAATGTTTATACTTAATAACTGTAAAAATTATGTTCCATATGATTCATGATTCGACCGCACTGGACAGTTTTTTGGCAATATAACCTGCCTGCTCTAGGTACAACAGCGGGTAATTAGGTGGAAAACGCTATAGGATATACTTAGCACAGAAAAGATAGTATCCGTGACTGATAATAATTTATTGGTCGGTTGACTGTTAGATACCTTATTGTTTACCTTAGAAACAATATTTCTATTCTATATATTATGCCTAGATCCTAGTTTTCGCCAACATTTACCACTACAGTGTTCACAATTTATTTATTATTTCCTTGTTATGGTATGTTTTTCATGAAAGATTGATTTATTTTATTTTCTAATTTTTAACGAATCATTTACTTTAAAGTATAGGAACTTATATATTTGTTGGATTTAAAATACTTAAATCAATATTTTTTTTAAATTTTTAAGTGAAACCTATTATTAAAAAACTTACTTATTGAGAATAAACAATCATATTATAAACTTCATTTTAGAGACCTAGAGAAATTAGAAGCTACAAACTGGGAGGATATTTACAATGTTTGTGGAAGATGTAAAGTATTAACATTGATGGCTAAAACTCTCGCAGAGTTATGAAACTATATTATGATAATGGTTTTAAACATAAGCAGTACCTAGGTATATGGATTCAATTTGTCTACATTTTTATTAGACTATTTTAATTAAAGGAAATGCAGGATTCAAAAATAAAAAAAAAAATACTTACACCAAAGTGATTATATCAAATATACTACTTATGATAAACTTAAAAATTTAAAAAAGCAATTCAAAATAAATAACTTAATTGTATTAAAAATAAATGTATCAGTATTATGAGTGATTTTGATGGATGTGTTCACACAGCTCACTGTGAAAACAATGTTTTTGTTGGTAATAATACCACAGAATATAATCAAACTAATAACTGTAGTAATATCACAGAACAATGTAAAATTAAAAAGAATACATTTGATATTAAAAAAAATGTTAATTTGAATAAAAAGCAAAAAAATATATCATTTTCAAATGAAAAGCTTTGGGAAATAAACAGAGTAAATCAAATTTTACATAATAAAGTCAGCAATGGAGTAAAACCTACTTACTCAAGACAAAATCCTTCATTTTTTGTAAAAGCTACTTCAAAAATTAACCGAGAAAAGAAACAAAAAGATATTGAAAAATCAAATAAAGTAAGTTATCAACATAAAGGTTTACAATTTCTTTAAATGTAAATAAGTTAGAATTATTTACATAAGTCTTTTACATAATCAAAAAAATAGCAGAGTAAGAAACTTGATGAGTTAGTTAAAGCTAGATTTAAATTTTATTTTGCATTAAAAACATATTTTAAGTTAAGTTTTCTGTTCTTAGGGCATATTTCTTCATTTGATAGTTATTTTTTTGAGGTTCTTATTTCATTTAATAATAAAACCAAAATTATTTTTTGGTATTATTATTATTGGTATATTATTATATTATAATTTTTTTTTTTTTAACCATAATTTAAATTAATTTTTAATTCTTACAATATTATATGGTTGTTGACTGTTTGCACGTTTTTCTTAAAGAAGCCTAACAATCACCGATTAGATTAATTTCCGGGTTATAATTCTATTTATAAACAGTAAATAAATTGCTTATAATCTATATCACAAAAATCATAAGTATTACTGTCTTAGATCATATATAAACGAACTTCACTCAGAATCGTTTTTCGTTAGAAATGGTTTATCGTATAGATGTAAATTAAATAACTTTATGTGGTATGTTTATAAGCAGTATATGCTTTTTTTATTGTTACCTAGTACAAAAAAAAAATGGACATACTTCGCACGATGGGTGGTCCACTGGAATCTCGGAAAAAAATAACAATTTTAAAATTTTGAATATAATAATTGATTATTACATAAAAAACAAATGATATTATCATAATTTATATAACACTAGAAAACTTTGACACTTAAGTGACTTTTGACAGACTAAATTTAGTACACTCAAATTATAGCATGAAAGTATGAAAAAAGTAATTTCAATGAATAAATGGAATGAAAGATATATTGTAACCACTTATTATTTTAAATATTTTAAATTTTTAAGTCTTGACTTTTTTGACATAACTTTTTTTCTCATAATTTTTTACAATTAATACACCAATATTTCTCATAAGAAATATATTTTTTATATTTTATTATTTTTAAAAACTATGTTAATTAAACATATTTTTTTTATTTTTCATAATTAGTTAATATATTTAACATTTTAAAATTGTTGTTCTTTTTTACCAATTACCGGTCCATTGTTGTAGGTGGGAAGGTAGGATAAACTATATGGATGGAAATTGAATGTATATTTGTTTGAAACGACTAGTCATAGCTAACGAAAAACGATTCTGAGTGGAGTTCGGTTATAGGTACATGTTTTTAAAGGCCGTAATATTTATGATTTTCGTCAAAATTCAATAGGTATTATAATTCTTAGTAAACTACTTAGTACCTATACTTATAATACTAGATATAAATATGTTTTTTTTTTCAGATTTTAGCAAACAAGTTAAAAAATGTGACGTCTACTATTTAAATTAAGCATCAAACATTTGTAAATAATAAAACCGCGTTTACTGAATACCTGTAAGAATTAGGTATGTATTTTAAAGAATTTCAATTTTTGGGAGTTTTTTGCTGTAATTCGGTTATAAACACATATAGAGACTTGAAACTTGGCAATAATACTTATATTGGACTTACCTAGAAGTGATCAATTTTACAAAATCATCGGACGCCTTTTATTTTTTTAATATTCGTTTTGAAATCAAATTTAGATGAAAATCGCAAAAAAAAAAATACAGTACTTCAAATTATGTATTACCTAACTGCGCTCGGAATCATCTTTCGTCAAGCAATGGTTTATCGTTTCTTACAGATATAAATGAAATAACCTTATGTATCCCACCTTCCTAACTTCTCACATATAACAGTGGCCGCTCCCATCATCAGTATCGGCTCTTTTTTTTGTTTCTTAAATATACCTACTAAAACTGTTTATGATTTATTGAAGTTATACTTATCTACTATTTTTAGGTACTTATACTATTATACTATATTTTTGTGTATAATAATATAATATCCCAAATAATATCTGAAATACTATTAATTCGTTTTTAGATTCTGAGTGGAATGAAGAAGTTTATAGTTTTACAAAGATGTTTTTTCTTTTCTGTGGATAACTTTTCTACCAGAGGACTTGCTCCAAATTTTTACGTGTAGCAACTTTTTTGGAAGGAAATCTGTGTGAGGAGGTACCTTAGTGATGTCATTTTTCAATTTTCTCAGCAAATGTGATAAACTGGGAAAAACATAGGAAAACCGGGGAAATCGGTACAACATTAAACAAATATTATTAAAGAAAATATATAGGGTTTTCTTAATTATTTTACTATAATATAATATGATATAAATATTGTTGAAAAAGCATCACTATCAACTTAACTCTGCTCAGAATCGTTTTTTCGTAAACAATGGTATATTGTTCCTTACATGTATACATTAAATTATGTATAACAGTGGCTGCATCCGTCACCATTATCCTAGGATATCTTTTTATTATATAAATTATACTGGCTTTGAATTGTTTGTAGCTTAATAATTTTGTAAAATTATTTGCATTTTCTTTTAGAATAGAACATTATTAGTATCTTTGCATTGCTTAAACTTTTAATTATTAACTATAATTATTATTAACCTTATGAAGTGACAAACAGAATGAAACAGAAATAAATTACATTATGATAATAGACACAATAAATGCAATCATCTTTGTTTAATAGTATGCAAAAACTAATAAGAAAAATTAAACAAATTACTGTAAACAAATATATATATATAGATAATTATCTTTATTTATGGTATAAACTAACAATAACTAATCATTATCTGTTTATATTCAGAAAACGGAATTTCCAAGTTATCTATATTTTTTCATTTGAGTAATTAAGATTTCCACAAAGGAACATTAATTATTTTGACTTTTCGAGGTTCCATTATATTTTATTGTATACATTTTCAATTAATGGCTATACAAAGTTACTGTTGTAACATTTAAATTATTGAATATAAAATATTTAGTAATATTTTTTTATATATTTTTAACTGTCAAACAAATGATAATTTTTAAAATATATTTATAAACAACTGTTCTAATAAACATTTTAAATTATATTTAATCATTATAAACTTATGAATAATTAAAAGAGATGAAAGTATGAAAAAATTGTTGATTTCATAAATAAAACAATTGATTATGGTTTAATAATTTTTCATTTTTCTTTAAGTAATAATATTTAATTAAGTTAATAAAATATTATATTGTAATTTAAATAGAATATAATTACATAATAACTTATAAAAGTTAAAATAAATAACATTAATGTATTTTAAATTGGTTTAATATTAGTTTGTAGGAATAACAATAATAATAATAAAAAAAATCAATATCTATAACAAATCAATGAGATAAATGATGTATTAATCATAATTTAATATTAAATGTGTATAGGAGAAGTCAATCGATTGGTAGTGGATGTATTTCTAGAGGCCTTATGTTTGAGTTCTCGTCTATAATCATCTGATATTTTTATTAATTGAGTTTTCATATGAAGAAGTTCTCTTGTTCTTTGATAAATTGGTTCCTAAAAATTATAATAAGATATCAAGTTTAATACTAATTATTCTTTAAATATTAAATGTACTTGAGGTCTCATGCTTGGATTCCATCGACAATATAGCCCTTTCCACATTTTAATATAGCGTAATGAGGCAACAGGTTCAAGAGCGTGTTGTTGGGGCCAATATAAAGGATTTTTATATAAATCTTGATCACTGTTAATGTAAGACCAGAGTGATACAGTCTTTTGTTTTACTTCTTTTTGTAACCGCTCTTTTTCACTAAAAAAAACATAATATGAACTTTGATTTTTGTTAATTAGCTTGTCGGATTAAAAGATATTGTATTGAAATGATTGTATAAGTAATATTATCTGTACCTATTACCCCTCTGCAGTATTGAATAAAATAATATAATTTTAAATAATAAAAGAATATTAAGGAAGCATCACTTAATAATAACTATGTGTAAAATGATAAATCGTGTAAATAAATATTTATAAAAATAATAAAGCAGATAATGACTATTGTAAAATTTATTAGTATCTAATGATGGCTTTTATCAAAACCAACTATAATAAATCTGTATCTAAATGATGACTTTAAAAACCTCTTGGTTATTCTTAATTCATATATTTATTTATGTTTATTTGTCTATAAAGAGTATAAGATTGTCCACACACTAGTTTTATTAATTTGTGAACAAAAAATTGTGTTTAGGTCGAAAAGATATGCAAAATAAAATTTTATAAAGTAATGATATATATATATATATATATATATATATATATATGTATAATGATACTAATTATTTATTAATATTTACATATTGTATTGTAATTAATATTATTTATTATTAATTACTTAATTTATAATTTATTTATATTAAAACCATGCGGTTTATTTCAAACACTGATTGTAGAACAAAATTCTAACTACTTAATTATCATAATGCTTTGGTGTTAGTTTTAAAACCCACAAACTAACGGTGAACACTGTACACTGTGCATGTACACATACATGAATAAAACTGTAGTGTGTGGCCAGATTCAAAAATAGCATTTATACAAAAATAATATGAGCAATTAATTTTTAATTATATGAAAAAAAAAAAAAAAAATACCTGTTAAAGAGAAATGTGCCAAATCTACAAGAATATAAATGATCAATAATAGTAATTAAGAACAACTCATTGAATTCAAATGCATTTGGGAACATGCAAGTCACTTGCCATACACAATCAATAAACTGTAAAAACACAGGTGATCTGTCAGCATCTGAATGATGATCATCTCCATGACCAATTCTCTAAGTAAAAAACCAAATTTAGATTAATATGCAATTATTTTAATAGTTAATAATTGTTTCAATATTGGTTTTTATTCATTCTAAGAATACAAAAATTGTACGCAGTTTTACTAATAACTATTACTTAGTCATTGCATTACATATTTGGTGATACAAAGGAAATATGTAAGGGATTTTATTGAAAATTTAAATATAGAACTGATACAGTATCTACACATAATAATTAATATAGAATAAATCTATTATTTTACTAACATGTTGAAATTTATGACCAAAACTGAGCCATTCCTTTTCAATTAAAACTTCAAATCCTTTTATTGTTCTATAATATGGATCCAAAAGTACCATAGCTAAAGCAGTTAACTGAAAAATATCCGTATAATAATAAAATATAAATTTTAATTAATTTCAAATAATAACTAATATTATTTATTTTTTACCTGAGCTGTACGATCCCATCCATCAGAACAATGTACTAAAACTGATGTTTTATGATTTTCTACTTTATCAACAATCCGGCAAGCTCCAGCCAGAACACATTTGATATGTTTCAACCAATATGTAGATTCAATCCCAGACAGCCATTTTGTTTCATCAATATTTGGAAAGCAAATTTCTAGTGTTACATTTTTAATTATAAATGGATATAATAAAAGAAAAAAAAATTGTCAACAACCTTTTAATTTTCTCAAAGATTCTCTCATTACATGAATATTATGTATATCAAGAAATATCAACTCTGCATTTTGATAAGCATCTTCTGGTTCATAACCACCTCCTTTAGCCTTATTAGCGATTGCGTTAGCACTACAATATAATATTTAAATTGTTCAAAATGTATAATAGATTAATATATAGTAAGATCAATATTAAATACTTTACCTAGGTCTTGCATCCATAATATAAAGTTTATGTGACTGTGCATTAGCATCAACTATGAGTTGGGTATACCTCTCATCATCACGACATCTTTTTCCACCAACACCCACTAAGGGTTGGGATGCTCTAGTTATGGTGGCCTGAGATTCAGAATGTAACCAGCTTAGAACAGGTATCCGACCTCTACTTCTAAAAGCAGCAGCATTCCTTATAATTTCATCTGTTGCCCCAGCTGGGACAGCTAGAATAGCGGGATAGGTCTCACAAAGATCATGACTATCATTTAGTTTAGTGATATGCCATGTATCATTTGGAACACCCTGAAAGAAAAAAAACACATCTGTATGATAATATTAATAAAATATAACTTTATAAAAGGATGATACTATCTAGTAAATAAGAAAAATTTACCATTCTCTTGAGTTCGGCCATAGGTTCATAAACATTCCAACCATTTTCTGAAAATGTTTCAGTATACTCAAAAGCAAATAATGGGATATTATGAGATAGAGGAAACGCATATTGCTGTAATTTTTCAAACACATTGCGCCTTGAATGGTTTTCTTGCTTATGACCAAAACGTAAATTTCTCATATCTTTACAGAATAATTCTATTCCATAAGAATTTTCTCCTCTGCTAGATTGACCACCAACTTTTTCAACTCTACTTACCTAATCATTAAATTATATTCAATTTATAATTTTTTATCTAAGTAGTTTTTTAATGTAATTTTATTGTTAAATATTTCAATAATTAATTATAATTTTAAATATTAGATTATGTCTTAATGAGTTAGTAGGACATGGCTAATTTGTTATACACAGGTGGGCATCAAATAGTAGCAAGAAATAAATAATACAGTTTAATGATAATGCCTATCAGGAACTGGTGTGTTCACTGCATCACAATAGAGCCCTTAAGTGTAGTTAAATCTTGTTAACTCTTCATATAAATTATACAACATTCTGTTATCAATTTCTTGGTAAATTTTAATTTGTTATAATTTTGTTAACAAGCATTATAATTTTAATAATCCATAGTCATTACGAGATAGGTAGGTCTGACAAATTTACTTTAGTATATTATTTAAATATTGACAAGATTGAACTGTGTATATATATATATATATATATAATACTAACCACGCCCAATGGTACTTCAATCACTAACTGAGTATCACGTTCTAAACTTTTAAAGTATAATTTATAATTAGTCACAGATAATCCTCCTCTTGCTGGACCACTAAATGGACATAAATAAGTAACATCACGGGCAACACCTTGTACTTTCTCGCCTGGCAATAATGGTGGATCATCAGAACGGCCAGAAGGAACATTTTCCGAAATCTGAAAAAAAAATAAAATTTGGTATTTAATAAAATAATTGTATGCTATAAATAACCATTTATATTACTTTATTTCTTAATTTTATATCTCCAACAGTAGACATTTCATTTGACGTTGAACTAGTTGACCGCCGACTTTTGGTAGGTGAATTAGATTCCTAATAAAAATTAGAGTTATATTGATTAAAAATTGATAGTAAAATAAATTAATAATTATTTATAAACAAGATCCCAATATTTTAGAAAATATAATTTAGGAGTGAAGTCCATTAATAATATACAATAGATATACGCACAAAAAAAAAAAAAAATCATTTAAGTCAATAATACAAATATAATTATTGAGAAATAATACAACAAATAAAATCAATAAAAAAGTTATTATCCTTTCTAGAAATAAAATTTGAAAAAGATTACCTATCTTTATTACCTTATAAACACATAGGTAAGTTAAAATACTATACTAATATGTGTTTTAATTGTATAACTTACTGATTCCTGTTCAACTTTCGAATTTAAAGAACTTGACTTAGAATCAGAATCTGAACTCATATTTTGAAATTTATTATTTAAATCCATTATCTATTAATAAAAATGAGTTTTTATATTTACAACATTTAGAAACTATTCCAAGTGTTGAAAAATTACAATTATTCCTTAAAAATTCAATTATTCAAAATATATTAAAAATATTTTGTTGAAAAATAAAATGATGCAAATATGAACAAAAAACAAGAATATTTTGTGATATTTATTATTTTATCAAAGTCTTATCATTATCATATTTTTTTATCACGAGCATGAACATCTCATCAACTTTAGTACGGTTTAAAATCAGAGACCTGATAACTAGTTGTGTTATCTATACAAATCTATAATATATTATTATCTATATGTTTAAGATATACGGATATCGCGGAAATTGTTAACCTTAAAGGCACCTTCACAGCTTAAGGCGGCACATCACTAATACCGTGTGCAGTGTTATATCTATCGTTATGTTTGGATGAGTAATATCGTAACCGTACTTTTGTATCGTTCTTGGTCTAAAATAGCTGCTAATATTATAATTTTACTTTTATGCATTTTTAATTGTTGATGATACATTTCCATATCCATATCAGATTTTCGTTTGGACATATAGTAGCTACTGAGTAGTGACTATTGAATATTCAATAAAAAAATAATATACTTATTGGTTCAACCAATCACAGACCTAGAATATTTCACGTTTCACGGTAAGCTGTGAAGGCACCTTAAGCGATATAGGGAAGGCATTAAAATCAAAAATGATTGACCACAGGTTAACCACTACATGGTAGCCACATGGTTCAACTAATCACAGTCCTACAATATTTCACGTTTCACAGTAAGCTTTGAAGGCACCCTAACTTATCAATTATATTCATCAACCGCCCCGGAAAAACGGTAAAACAATCTTTGATGCCATCCGAGGTATTTGGATTTAAAAAGGAACAACACCGATGGGCAATGATATCGATGTCATCACAGATGAACACTCCGATCGAATACTATTTTGTTTTTATAGTGAACAATGCACATTCGATATAATCTTTTTTCTTTATTAACTATGGTGTTCACGAGTTTAGTGGTGTTCAACCGAATCCATGATTATCATCCTTGAAGTCATCAAGGTTTATGGAAAATAATAATAATATTATGATATTGTAACCAAACATATTCTTTCACGTAAAAAGTTACTAAACCCCTGTAAGCTAATGCTTGTTGTGGAGTTAAGAGTTCGATAATTTTTTCAAGGTTTTAGGATGTGAGATTTAGTACATAAAAAATTAAATAGATAATTATATTATACAAGCTGAAATAAATCTGAAAAAAGAATATTATTAGGAACACATAAAGAAGAGAGAAGATTAGTGCTTATTGGAAAGGGCAGGAGAATTGAAAAGGACATGGGAAGCGTTGCAAATAGCGGAGCCGTCGCTGCGAGGACAAAAAGGAGAATCATTAAAGGATAGGTAGTGGAAGTGAGCAGAATCGGTTATGCCTGAATTTGAGGCGGGAAAAATAAACAATGGTACTCCGGGTAATGGGAATTTTGTGAAACCATGGGTAGGGATAGAAGAGCAGACCACACAAAAAGAGGCGGCAGAAGTTAGGGGCAAATTTACCCATTTACGGATTCCAAAACCTAAAATTGGATGTGTCTTAAGGACCAAAGAAATCGGAATAAGGGATTTTGATATAGATATTGAAGAATCTTTAATATCTATGGTTAGCACAGATTAGATATAACAAGGCCGTGATCGGGCATGACATGATTCGAAATTTCGTGGCCGGGAAATCAATATTTTATGGTAGGTATTCTATTTATAGTTGGGGAAATACAAATATTCAATACAGTTAGCTGCTATATAGCAAATTACAAAGAATCACTGTTATAACTCTACATAGAATTGTTTATTATTAAATCAGTTATTGTTATTTATCTAAAATTTGAAAGGCGCATCGCTTTTACAAATGTTCTGATAAATGATAATTAATATTTATTGTTCATTAGTTTGCATAGGTACCTCCTACGAGTTTTCGTTATTTGTTGCTTGCTTTTCTACGAATTATTGTATAATATTATGCATATTATTCTCATGCAAATTTTCTAATTATTTTTAATTTCTATACTATAATGTAAGGATAGAATTATTTGTCCATATTTTTGATTATGGTTTTTAAATATAATACCTATGCTTAGAATTGTTATAAATTCTATGTACGACTTCTATAGTGCATATTTGTTTTAAATTATATGCATGATTTGACATTAATTTAATGTTCAAAATATGATTAATAGCGTACCGTTTCCGTTTACAGATTGCATCACGGATAAAATGTTCCGAACAAAAAAAAAAAATAATAAAACTGGTGAGTTAAAATTTGAACTAGTAAATAAAAGGGAATTGAAAAGAAGTCTTGTCAGAACCGTACTTAGATTCTAACATGGCTAGAAAACAAGGGAGAGAAAAATCATCGCCTGAGCTTTTTTTCATTATTATAACAAAACAATGAATTATATATATATATTTGTTATAGTGTTTGAATTCAGCTTAAACAGGTGCAATATCGTTTCTCTGCACCGCAACATAATTTAACCTAACTGGAGGGGGGGTCGGTCCATTTTTTTTTTTTTTTTAAGGTTTTGTGTTCTTTGACAAATAACAACATATGGTAGATCATGGGAGTTAGACCATGTTTTTGACAACCCTAATCCATTTGAACAGTTTATTGTCTAGTTTGAATTCTGAAACATTATTAATAATGCAATTAGATTAACTGGAATGATTTTTTGAATAATCCTTACTATGTTATTATTAGTTTTGTTAATGTTTTTGTTTATTTTGGCATAGAGACCTATATTTTGTTATCTTATTTGTGTTGATTAAAATCTAGTTTTAAGCTAAATTAATTATTGGGCGTATATAAATTATATTACAATTTTTATTTCTGTATTAAAACTTTTGTTTTATAATAAGATAAGAAATTGTTAAAAAAAAAAAATACACTCCCTATTTGTTTTATTTATACATTCATAATAATATTTAAGAAAGTTTTATACCAAGGAATATTTGTGTATAATTTTTGTTAATTAAATTTTTAATAGTTAATATCTTATTATCCTAGTAATACACAATTAAACTTATTTAAATGTACTTGTATTATCTTTAAACCTACATAATACTACCTGTTTATTTATTGATTTGCAATTGCTATTTATTTTTGTTATTATAGATGCTAAAACATGACTTTAAGTGTAAAATATTAAATTTAACTATGGTTTGTTAGTATTAACAAAATAATTAGTTTTATTGATTAAATTAAAAATATTTCTTACTTTTATAGGCTTGTAAGTTAATGTTTTGTCATGTGAAACTTTTGTTATTTATTTCACTGTTTTAGAATATTCTACTTGATCTCATTTTTCACTTTAGAATGTATAATTTTATTAACACATTCTGATAACTATTTAAGGTTATTGGTTAGGTTAAAAAAAATAATTAAGTGTTTACTATTTATATATCTATGTCACATACACTTTTTGAAATTGTGTCTCTTCTCCTTCATCCCTAACTATTTGGGGGTCAGCCAACTAGAGGAAATTGTGAAATTTGTGGAAAGTTATTACAGTTAAAATTAAAACCATTTTCACATTATTATTTGTCAGCATTTGTCATCAATCTTTGCATGACAAATATTTATAATACATATATCGTTATTAGTTAAATATATCATAAATTGTCATATTATGATTCATAATTTTATATTTAAATAGATAAAATAATATATTTTTAGTGTAGTTAAAATTATTTATTTAAAACAAAAATTACCTATCCCAACCAAAGAATAGAAAATTAACTTTCACATCACAATTTTGTAACCAACATGTTTGTGTTAAACATAAGTACATACTTTGTTCAAAATTCCTAATAATTTGACAATTGTCTATTTACATTTTTATCAACATTTGTGAATGACTGATGAAAACAAATTTTAGATTATAAAATATAATTCAGGAAAAAATTCTTATATCAGTTTGAGTGTTGTCCAGGTGTCATATTTCCTGGATGTTCTGGACTGTGTTTCTGTTTTTTCTTCTTTTTCTCTTTTTTTCGTTTTTTCCGTTCTTTATCATCATCATGACGTTTTTGTTTCTTGTGTTTCTTTTCATGAATATCACCTAATCCTAATTCATTAGCTGCCATATCTTGTGAAAGGGCTTCTCCACTTTTGTATTTGCTTTTTTTGTGTTTATTTTTATGTTTTTTAGTAGGTGGTTGATTTGCATAACGATACTGTTCTGGTAACTGATATAACATATAAATTAGTAAGACAATAAAAAAAAAATAGAAAAGTAATTTAATTGTATACATTCTTCTCCTTTACTTCTTTCCCACTATTTGGAGTTGGCTACCATTGTCCTTAAACTTTCATCTGATCCCCACATCATTGTAACATATACCTGCTACCCTTATATCATTTTAAATTGCATCCAACCACCTTTTTCGGTCTCTTTCCTCCTACATCTATTTTCATTACAATTCTTACTGTTTTTGATTCCTCTACTTTCATGACATGCCCCAATCATCTCAGTTTATTCTCTTATTTTGTCTACTATTGAAGTTACCTCTTATGTACTTATTCCTTATCCTATTTTGTCTTATTACTCCATCAATCTAAGCATTCTTATCTCTGCTACACTCATTCTTTGTTTTATTTTTTTTTTGTCTACTACCCAACACTGAGCCATTCAAAATTAATGTAAAATGTATAGTATAAATTATAAAATATACAAAAACATACTGGGCCTGGATGCAATCGAAATCCAGCTAATTGATGAGTGGTTAATGGCAAAATTTCTTTTCCTCCAATTGGGGGCTTTTCAATAACAGAACGCAATGAACTGTAAATATACATTTATTATTGTTATTAAATATACATTGATTGTGTTAAATATATATGCTGCATAATAAATTACAATTTGTATTACTGAAAAAAAAGGACTGCTGAAGTATTTTTTTTTAAAACCCGCATCCTTCAACCCAATTTAGAAATGAGGACACAAATAATAGGACATAAAGTACTTTTCTATTATAAGCATATTTCAACAGGTTTTTTTAATTGTATTTAAATTAAATAATAAGCCTTTAGGCATGGTGTAGCACAATGAATACACTAATTTCCCAATAGCACTGGTGTAATTGCTTGTTCCCAAATAGATAGGCTGATTCGGGTGCGTGTAATAAAAACCATAAATCTTAAACACATATTATGCTAAATTTGTCATTAATATTGACAGTAAGATAGTTAAATACCAATATCTCAAAAAAAAAAAATTAGTTAATAATTATAGTTTTTTAAGTCCAATACTAATAACTTTACTTATCCGTTAATATTTTTAATTACCTTTGGTCATTATGTCCTGGGGTATCAATTATACCAGGTAGATTGGGTAAAAATGATGATAAGCTCTCCTTGAGTCTTTTACCACTAAATTTACTATACGTGTGTTCTAGTCCATAATATGCCATCAAGTTAACAGACCCAGTTAATTCACTTTCACCTATAAAAAAATTAAAATATATATATTAGTTTTCACCTCGAGGATATATATATTTGTTTTATGCATATTCAGGATACTATAAGAATTAATTAATGCAAATTATTTCATAATCGTGGCGTAAAATAAACATAAATCCACATTAAAACTAGTGTATCACTTATAAACACTGTGCTATTAGTTACATGTTAACAGCATAATAATCGGGTAGTGTAATAGTGTATTATGCCCTCAGTGAAAAAACTTACATGGCGGTTCTTTCATAAGATAAAACGGTCCACTGTGTACAATCGACGGATTCTTGCCCAAAGAGATGGTCGTCTTGAGGGTGCCTGTGGAATCCTGTCTGGATACGACGGGAGACCTGGCTCCTCGAGGCGACGATTTTGGTGAATACGACGACGGGAAACCAGACATGTAGACTAAGTAAATGTGTCACTTAAACAAGAACAAAATAAACATAAATGTGTTGGCGATGTATGTAATTAATATCATTTATAGTACGCTTGCAATAAAATAGTATTTTGAACGTTATCAATATCGTACTATTTACGCTATTTATGTTTACGTGAATCTGATAAGTGGATTGTGTTATTATCGGACAGTCAAATTCGAAAACAGCTGCCGTGTTCGAATGCATCTACCCCCGATCGTAGTGTAAATTAAAATTCCTAGATAGCGTCACACGGAACTGTTTTATTTTTATTTTTACTCTAGCAGTAAGTAAATCTTTTAACGATCTTACCACAGATTCTATGAAATGAATATTAATAATCACTAATCTGTCACTCCATTACTTCGTCTACTTGTTTACATACAATACTTTTTTTTTCATGGCTTTTTAACTCTTAGATTCGTATTCATTACCTAAAAAATAATAATTGGTACTTATTGAAATGTATAAATTATTTATAATGGAAAAATCGTAGGTACCTACAAAACCAAAAAAAAAAAAATTAGGTACAAAATATTTTATGCTGATAAAATCTTTACCAAATTGTACATAATTTATAGTAGATATTTGATTATAAAATGGTCCGAATTGTCCGGAAAAGGTTTGAAAGCTATTTAAATCCTCGATCTGGCCGGTAGAAGTAGTTAGTTGTCCTTAACCTGCAATATTTTGGGCTGGATACAAAATAAAAATGTATAGGTACGTTTCATTGATTAATAACTATATAACTAAGTCGTATAATTATAAAAAGAAAATTAAATAAAATATATTTTTAAAAATTGAAGGGCAACAACGGTTAACTAGTAGTGACAGTAACGGGGATTGAAACAAAGAATCCAGGGGAAACGTTTTTATTACACATTTGTTTGGCATGGGCAACGCCGGGGAGAACATATTTTTTTGAGAGTGCCACATCCGCATTTATTATCTCAATCGAACTACCAGGTGACATGCAAACTGTGTTAAACAAAAATGTTTACGCAGACTAGGTAAAACTAACTTAATTTCGATTTTACTGTAAGTAAAGTACCTATTCTTATGACATTAAATGCCATAATTATAAATCTCTATAAATTCCATGGAGAACAATATTTTGGAGGGAAACTCGAAACATGTTTCTGAATTATAAACTATTAAAAAAATTACAGTTATTTAAAAACCTGTAGAAAAAAAAAAAATAAATATTTAGAATAATTTAAAATTCCGAATACGTTCCTTCCAAAATATTATTTTCTATATATTTCATAACAGGTATAGGTAGGTACTTCTAATCTAAAATCAAAATTAATCCAGTTTTACGATAGGCTGCGTAAGCATTGTTTTTGTATGTTATCCGGTATAATATAGTTGGACTGAGACAGCAGACGCTAGTGTGACGTCCTCTTAAGATAAAATAGTTATAAAAAAAAACGCCACTGTAGATATTAATGATTAAAAGATTTAAATGTTTGGTATTGTCTTACCTTGGATATTTTATAATAAACTTATCCATTTTTAACTTGTATATAAGTCATATACTTAATGTGCAAATATCTAACTATATAAATTACAGTACAGTTAACATTACAATGTGTGTAAATTACCTATATAACATGAATAATATCATAATGCTTATTAATTATTTAATAATGATATGAATCATATTTGTAAGGATACCTGATAAGTGATCTGTGATAATGAGGCACGGTGACAATATATTGTAAACAGATCTGTGCCCTCATCGCATGCTGGCGGCAATATTAGACCTGTCTTTTTTTCCTTGTCATTGGATATCTGAATATTACACAAAATTAAATAAATATTATTAACTCGATAACGTTAATACATCCGTTTACATGTCCGAGACCGTGTACCATTATTACTGTATACCGTGTACCTGCGAAACATTGATTTTTCTAATAGGTGCATGCATACATGGAAAATTAGGAGGTGAGTACACGTCCTGTACCCGCGTGTACCCTCCACTACATATCACTGCCTATGTGTCATATGTGTGTGAATTATGTACTTAGATACCTCCCAAGATGAATAGTCGAATGCGCCATTACCTACGTGGCTACGTATAAAGTTCGCCAAATATTTTTTGCTATCCTAAACATTTTATAATAAAAATAGAACCATTGTGTTACACGTTAGTATAAGCATTATTTTGACTGTCAGAGGTATAAAACATTTTTTGTTCTTTTGAGGTTAGATTGAGCGGAACGAGACGGGGATTAAATTAGTTTTACATCAGTGATGTGTTTTTTTCCGCGGTTAACGTTTTTTTTTTGAATAGTAGATGGACAAAAAGCTTCATGTAACAACTTCACGGATAGATAATTGAACACAAACAGTATAGGTACCTATTTCAAAAAAAAAGTCTTTCGTCGAAATTCGCAATAGTTTTCTGAAAATTATTACTATAAACGGGAAAAGAAAACGGTGTGAAGAAATATTATACTCAAGCTTTTAAATTTGAATACTATAAATTCCATTCTGAATTGTTTTTTTTTTTTGCATATTAATATCATTGCATTCAAATTTAAAATAATAATATACCATTATCTATAGCACCGAGGTGAGCGAAGAAAGACGCGAGTGCCCATCATCCGGTCATTTGCCTTATTTTTTGTAGTAGATATACATTTATCATTCAAAACTAAATTTGAAGGATATTTCTTGTCTTGAACATAATATACCTATCTATAATACGATGATGGTGGTTAATTTTGCAATTTTACGCACAGAATAAACAAAGATGGTAAAATATATAGGTACGTATATTAGTATACTATACCTAGCTAGCTTGTTAAGGAACGCGTTCTTAAAGGAACGATTCCTGGAATTGATTTCTTTTTAGAGGAACAAATTAAGGAATTAATTCCATTATTTTTTCAAGGAATAGGAACGAAAATATTGTAATTCTTTTGTTTTTAACAAGAAAATAAATTTAATTTAATTTATGAGGATTTTAAACATGTCAATTCTAAGAAGTGAAAAAAGTTTCCAATTTTAATTGACTTGATCAACTCACATTACACTTATTTTTTTATGAAAACTAGGTATCTACACAAATGACAAATGAAAATTCTCAATGTCAAATTAATTGTATATATTTGAATACTTAGTGATATTATTATTTTCAAATTAAGTATATAAAAAGATTATTTTGGTGTGCATTAGATATTCATAAAAAAAAAAAAAAAAGAACGCTTACAGAAATGATTTTATTTTTTAAGGAACGATGAACGGGAACGAGTTTCTTTTTTAAATAAGGAACGAGGAACGGGAACAAGTTCTTTTTTTGCAGTAGGAACAAGGAATGGGAACGAATTATTTTTTAAAAGGAACTTTAACAACATTGCTAGCTGATACCTACTGTAAGTATAGTGCCTTACATTTGTCGGATTGTATATTTTAGTAGGTACTATTTAATACACATAAGATACATTGGTTTTGTTAATCTATTGCATAGAAACATAAAAAAACGACACAGGTATCGCAAAAATATTTTGATATTTTAGAATCTAATACTACCTACAGGTATAACGTTTAAAGTAGATAATATATTGGTTCCTAATTTAATTTAGAAAGATTCGCAATTTAATTATCTGACAGTCGTTAATTTATAGCAGAACGTCATTTAAATGTGCAGTGTTTCAAAGTGCTCTATAGGTATAATATTATAATATATTTTAAACAATTTACCGTAAGTGAATGCGTAAAATTCGATAAATTTATAGCAGCTGCAACTGACAAGCAATGCATATACTATGTACCGCAACGGATTTAACCATGTAGAATTTGAAAAAAAAAATTGCCTGTTTTTTGTAGGTTTCATGTGATTTTATTATTTCCGTAAGAGCTTGTGGTTACAGGTCGGATCGCTGTAGATACCCACTGCATTATGCGGTTTTTACATACGAAACGTGGTGTGTGTAGCGACCAAAGTTCTCGTGTGTTGAGTTCGGGGTACGTGAGTTAACAGGAGACAACAGTATATAATAATGCATGGCATATACGCAATTTAGATCGCGATCGTATGTATGATATCGTATAATCGCTGTATCGTCGTAAGCGATAATTATTGTCATTATACAGTCATCTTGTAGGTAGCGAAACAGAATTAGAAAAAAATAAAAACCTCGAAGTAACCAGTTGTTACGGCGCAGACACATGCCTAAATTTGTTCGAATAATAACTATAATTTGTATATTCCCTACAAAATATATAATATATATAGTTATAGGTTTTTGGCCGCGAAAATATTTGTGTTTTTTTTTTCCAATTTTTTAATAAAACATAATAGCAATTACATAAATTATTTATTTATAAGTGAAACGCGCAAATGGTTTTAGAATAAATAAATACGTCGAGGTATATCGAGGTTATAAAGGAATAATACTATTATTGTTGGTAACCATCGTGAGGATTATTAATTTATAATCAATCAATAATTATTACTACGAATAGATTCATCGTCAACGTTACATCAACGTTTTCATCCTGATATGTGTGTGTATATATATACACACATATTGTGTATACACACATATTACGTATACATATTTATGAGGCGCCTAGAGCAAAAGCGGTGTAAGTGACATTGTATTGATTTCGAGAAAATCAAGTTTAAAGTATATTTTCATATTATCACTGGTTTTTTAATCGAATAGTAAAAAAAAGTTTTAGACATTTGAAAATAAGGAGATATATTTAAGTGTGTTAACAGTTGTTGTGGACGCTTGTACCCATTTACTTCTAATCGGTTATGACATTTTCATTTTAAGACTATTTTGGTGAGATCTAGTATTTGATACTAGATCGTAGCACAATATGATTCTCTTCACCATAAAATAAAATGGGAAAGCTGTGCAACTAATTCAGATTTTTTAAAAATGTCAGTTATACCCCTTGTGTTCTAGACGTCTCATATGATATACATTTTTTTACTTAGTGTTTTAAACAAAACAAAAAAATATTTTTTACAATGTAAGTAATATTCATAACACTTTGATAATAATAAATACCTACACATAATCATATACTTGATAAATGATGTAGATACTTAGATTGTTCTCTGTACCTAACATTCGCGTAAATAACAAAGAACAATATTGGTTGTGTTTATAACCAGCTCACAGCTGTATGGTATAGTTGTAAGTTTACAACTATTTTATGTTTTCAACGTGACATGTCATAAATAAAACATAAGTAAAATAAAGGTTTTCGTTTCACGAAATTGATAAAACGTGTGTCCATTTTATGAACATTAAAAACATTATACACGTTATGATCGAAGTTTATGTGGATGGATGTTCATTTTGTAAAATGTACGTTTACACTATACGGATGTGACATATACTAACGGCATATGTATATCTAATCGATATGTAGTCTATCGATTGATTCTTAACCATTTATAAATGAAGCTGAGCAAACGTTGTTGGTATTTAGGAATTTCGTTAAAGTAGGAAATGATGAAATACAAAGACTGGACGATCAAATTATATTATGAAAGGGAATATGCCATTTTTATCTATATTTTTTATACTCAGAAAAAAATATAAAATATAAAATACATACTTACAAATAAAAAATCAGCGCATTGCGTATTAAGTACTGTATAATAGATTTTACCCTGCGTTTAAAATCAAAAACTACAATGAAAAAGTAAAATTTAAATAATATTACCTATTCAAACATTGCAGGAGGGTGTGCGTCTATTTTATAAGGGTAAACCCGTAGCTAAGGTAACTATATCAACAAAACGAATTCACGGTGTCCTACCAATATATGTCACGCAAAAAGAACCATAGTATTTATAGGCACTGAATCATGTCTTTGCGCGTAGTTTATAGTAAATCGTTTGGAGTAAAATACAAAGCTCCTATTTGTTCTAAAGCATTTATTTTATATGCGGTAATAACGTTATTGACTTTTATACTGCCATTTCTATTTTGTTATCGGAGTAACGGTAAATTTTAGATTTTTTACTTAGATTTTACTTAGAATATTATTTTAATACGGTCGTTCTCTGCAGGATTATGGCTTAAGTATGAAACGTATAGAGAGCAGCCTAGGGTCCAATTTAAATTACAGTATTTATTATACGCAGAAACATCTGATCATACGTCTCCATTGATTTGCGGAAATTTTCCACGGACATTACAAATCACGGATGCTTGTTCTACTATAAAGGTATATACGACCTATTATAAAGTTCTATATTTTTAAAAAAATAAAAATATTCCTACCATACTTGATATTTTTTATTTTATTAGGTTATAGAGGAAGACACTAATATAGACGGGAAAAACGAATTTCTTGATTTAGAGTTATACTTGACGACGAATGACACTGTCGATGTACTTTCTATAGCATTATTGTTAATATTCGATTTTAAAATTCAAGTAAAATATGTTATTAAAATATTTATACATATATATATTTAAAATTAGTATTTAGTGACTGTCATACACTTTTTTCTATTATAGGATATGTGTTTATTTGAAATGGAATCTATGGTTGTAATTAATCATAGTTCTGGATTGCCTGGCGGTAGATTGAACGTATTTGGTGATTTAGACTTAATACAGAAATTACCGTTAGTTTGTTCAACGAGGAGACCTATTCGTATAAATAAGCCCATATTGTTATTTGAATCCCCTGATTGGCTTGTTAATATTTACGAGGAGTACTCAAAACGAACTCGTTAGTTATTTTTTTTTTCGTTCACACTCGTATTATTCGAATATGAGTACTAATATACCATCACAATTATTTACAATTATAGATTCTACCAAATTAAATAACGTTTTGGTGAAATGGACAAGAGGTCGATCTTATCAACAACCGTTTGTAGTGAAAACCAAAATAAATTACAATTCGGTTGAGATTATGTATAAACCGAAATTTTGGCAAGTTATGAAGTGGGCATGGATTCAATATTTTTCAACACTCGTGTTATCAGTATTTGTATTTAAAAAAATTAAAAAATTTGTATTCACAAAACATATAGTTAATACGTTAATTGAACGCTCAATGTGAAATTATGAATAAATAGCTACGAGAAATATAGTTCACTTGAATAATTAAATGGTTAAATGGGAATACAAGTATAAGGTACATTTTACATGTTTTATAGTATTAAATTATTTATTGCATAATACTCTAATAGAAATAGTTAATTCCAGCTTCCAGGAAATGTTTTAATAAAAAGAAAAGTTAAAAATGTTGTACACATAATTATTATAATAACTTAATATATTTTCTTATTTTGGTTTGGTTTGTTAACTAAAGTTATTTTGTTCATTAAAATCTAAAGTTTTGACACGAATATAACAATTTGACACTGTGTTGAACAAATTTAAGTATAGTATACGATTGTGTGAATAAAAAATGTTACGATTCAATAATAGACGTCATTTGTATAATAATTATGGCTGGATAAGAAATAATATTACCGTTGTACGACAATAGATAATGGACAAGATGTCTTTATTAAAACGACCTAACAATTTATTCATTCATATTCGCAAGCGTAATATACTGATATAATACATATAATGTAGGTAGGTGTAGCAATCAGATGTAGAATGTCTGTCAGTTTTGACACGTATCGAGAGGTATACAATGTGACGAGGGTACATGATATGCAGTGTAATGCATAATATAATATATATTATATACAATGCAGATCGTAATTACTAAATGAAATAAAATCTAGAGAACAATGTTTACTAAACAAAATTTAAATTTAAATCGTCATTTGAAAATATAACATTATCCAAACGGGGATATTATAATATTTTAATTCGCGTGTTATATTTTAATAATTTATCTATAATACGAGTATTTTGGTAAATAATTGATTTAGAGCAGTACTGCTGGTTTGCAGCTAGACAATATCTTGTGGGTTATCGCACTATTTTTCGTTAGGATATAATAGAAAAGGATAATTTTACCGGATGTAAATAACAGCGTAACGCATCACCGCAAGCCTGGCGATCATGAAACAATCAACTTGCGGTGGCGGACGTTGTCAGTTTATGATCTCCAATTGACCAAACACCTAAAATCGGGTGTTGGTTATATTTACACATAATAACGTTTTAGAACAACCATGGAAAAATAATTTCGTCGGAAGAAAAATTTAGATGAATCTTGCACGCACGTATTGAACCTGTTGGACCGCGACTGCATGTATCGAGAATTCGGCACCATTACTGCGGGAAGAATACCTTTGAAATTCACAGTGGAAAAAGTTAAGGAAAAGAAAAAACAAATTACGGTAATCAAAATCACTAGGGAACCAAAGTAAATTAATTATTATACATAGTGAATATTATCTTATCATTTCTTTTTCTTCTAGCAAATAAGATTAATAACAGTAAAAAATTTAATGGAACGTAAAAAATATCTAGAAATACTGGGAACAAAAGATCATTGTATTGCGCAAAGCATACATATATACCTACCTATAATAAATAGATTTAATATGTCCTCAAGATGTCTTTCATTGAACCTAGTGCTAGTTGGTATTACAGGCATTTTTTCAAGCCATCCCATTTAATGTCGGTTAACGCATTAGCGTGATTAAATTGTTGTTTTATTTTTATTTTTATTATTCCAACGAATGTCATTTAAACATTAAACCTTTAAAATGAGACGTACTTATGTACATAGTAAAGAAAAAAAGGGATTCCATTATCTCAATAGATTGGTATATTTTTATAGACATATAGCTAATAATTTATATGCCGTGTCATTTCTATGTGTTTATTATATATTGTGTTATTATGTAAGTACACATTATTTTTTTTTAAAAGTGTAAAATATATAATAAATATCAAAATAAAACGGTAAGTTTTAATGAACGTTTTTTTTGTTTATAAACATGTATAGTTTTTCTGTTGTGCAATAAAATTCTTAGTAGAGTTATACGTTTTTATCAGATGGTCTATTTCTCGAAACAGTTTGAATTTCTACGAGTTTCTATCAGTTGCTACGATGAAATAAAATGTCAATTGAAAACTAGTTAGATTTTTAAGGTAAAAGTAAGAAAAAATCAATTCAAATATCCGGATTTGAATGAATACATAACAATATGTTTTAATAGATACCTATAGTTAATAAACAATAGTTATTTTTAGGCGAAAATTAAAATATTCTCATATTCTATTATATTTTAACTAATATTTATTTTCGAACGTGAGGCCTGAAATTTAAGTGAAAATATGTGGCCCTGTCCCCACCTCTAACCAGAAGTTTAAATTGGCATTAGGTAGGCATAAATAATAAAAGATAAAGAGTTAGGTACCTAGTTATCTAAAGTAACAAAACAATTTAAATTGAACAGAAAAAAAATGTGTGTACAAATTATAAATAACTAATATAATGTATTGACTATTGAGTTAAAAATAAATGTATTTAATATTATTAACGTGACTTTTGATTTCTAGATTCGTTTGTTCAAAATATGTTAATATTGGCTTTAATTTATGATGTTATAAATAGAGTCGGCATGGAAAATATCTATGCTCTATGCAGTTAATTGTATGGGGGTCACAATAAGATTTTTGTTTTTTCACCTTTTAATACTGAATGTAGGTACATGTTTTCAATATAATTTTTCTTCGTCCATCATAACTTTTAATTTATATTTTTCTAAATAATTATTATAAAATAATGAGCTATGATTGCGAATAGATGCGGGGCCAATAAAAGCGTGAGGCTATGTACGAGTGCACAGGTTGAACCGCTTTTGAGCCAGTCTTGGGAATAGTATGTGTGTATTTAAAGTTAGGTACTTGAATTATTTAAAGGTGTTTGAAGTTAGAAGTGAATTTTTTATAATAAAATCAATGGTACTATAAGCTATCCTTATTGACTGCGTTTACGAATCGTTCATTCAACTAATAGTGTAACTTTATGGCTTGTTTTTTTGGGGGAGGGAGATTGTATCAACTGAAATTCAGACGGTAAGTTCACCTAAACTATACCATGCTCACCAATATTAAGGAACATGTGTCTCAGGGATGATAAGAAGGGGGATGGGTTATTGAAAAATTGTGAAATATGAAATTGAAATATCACGAATACATAATAAAGGACACAGGCATAATGTATAGAATATATTTCAAATGTCTGAATTAAAATAATCTGTGTTATTTTTGAAGGGCATGATGTTAAAAACAATATTTATAATATTTCACGAATATTATTCGATTGAAATTATTTATCACCGTATTTAATGATAGTCAGGTGATTGTTCTATCTGTAAATGGTGAAATGTTTTTATTATTTTGTAAAGATAAGTTTTAAAAAAATTATTCGTTTGTACGTGCCAGAGAATATTTTTCAAAATGTACGTACATAACTTGATGTAGTTTTCACGTTAGATTTTGATTTTTTTTGCGTAATCAAGAAAATGTCATATTTTTGATAAAATATGATACATACGAATTATGAATGTGTGTGAGTGCGTGTTATGTATGCGTAAAAAAGAAACAATTGAAGTCATGTAGTGACAGTATACATCTTGTTTTTCTTTAATTTTTTGCTATCTGGTTATATTGTTATTTATTATCGAAATTGTAATTTACGTATATCGTTTTTTTTGTAGACGCACGATTGAATTCTAATACTCGTGAGAAGAAAAAATGTTAGTAACGTTAGTTGAAACGGGTGATAGGTCATAAAATATACACGGATATTACTTTTTGTAATATCGTATCAACGTGCGTATACTTGCATTCGTGACAAACTGTGACCAGTCATCGCGACCGTTCAACCATACCCTAAAAACATAATCACTAATCAGTTATATTTCTGTTCGAATAACATTCAATAAACTTAAAAGTGTAATATTTTTGATGTGTCGAAACCCACATTTTACTAATTGAACTCCAAAAATTTTTTTTTTTAAATTAATTTGAACCTTTAATCGCATATTTTTGTCAGGTATCAAACAGAAAAACAACATCTTTAAAATTAAACGTACAAGTAAGCCGTTATACATATATCCACTAATATCGTTGGCGTAATTCTATTAAATTTCAGCAGGCGCAAAACCTCCATTAGCTCAATAACCATAGGTAATGGTAATTTATGTTATATCATAAGCAATGAGTTAATACAATCACAATCTACGGAGAAGCGTATTTGTCCTGAAATTCGTGTATCTAGTAAAATTACTTTTTGTATTTTAGATTTTGAGTGGAACGAGGAATGTATTGGTTTTACAATGATGTTTATTATTATTTTTTTTTATGTGAATCTTTTTTATACCAGAAATAGTACCTTTTCTGAAAGGAAATTTTCTTTGGGTGGTAATTTAAAGAGGTCATTTTTTGAAATTCTCATTAATATTCGATATTTAGGTTAAAAAAATTGAAAAATTAAAAACAAGGTTGTCATAAGCAACCATTTTTATTCATTTTTTGTTATTGTTAAATTTTTATTATTTTAATCTTTTTTAAACAATCATTGTTGTCACGGAAATGCATATAGTTGTCATCATTTTATTATAATACGATATATATTTATATATACTATATATTGTATTGTTGACAAAGCAACACTATCAACTGAATTCCGCTCAGAATCGTTTTTTCGTTAGCAATGGTTTATCGTTGCTTACAGATATACATTGAATTCTCGTCTGTATCCTATCTTTCCAACTTCCCACCTACAACAGTGATTGCACCAAAGTTCGAAGAGTATGTCCGTCCATCATAAAAAACCTTTCTACCTAAAATCTTGCTCTAACCAAAACCTTTATAGGACACTTCATGTATCTAGTTAGTGCATAAAGCAAGGAATTTTTTGATTTTTTTTGTAATTTTCTTAATAAATGGTAAAAACTGGCAATGTTTTATATAATTTATGTTGATTTCTGCGTTACCTTGGCAACAAGGGGAAACATTACAACTAATTGTACTGTACTCAGAATCATTTTAACTAGCAGTGATTTATCGACGTATGTACAGATATGAATTAAATTACTTTATATATCTTACCTTCCAACTACTTTTCTAAAACAGTAGTATCATTTTTTGTTCATTATTATGTAATATTTTATTACCTAATTTCAACAAAACAATGAAACAATAGAGCTGGTATTCAGTAAGTGTAAAAGCATGTCTTTGCACAGTTTACATCACAGAGAGATGCTAGTGCATCGTTGTGCACCACCCGTCTTAACATTATCGCTACCCTTTATTATTCATTGTATATGTTACGTTAAATGCCGTTATAGTTATATTTGAACCTATTGTGCTTTTCGTTTTAATATTGGAGTGTATTAGCCTATTAATTAACTTAAGGGTAAGCATGTTGTTTGTGCGTAGGTTTTTTCTCGATATTTTAATTTTAATTTCCAGATTCGACGATTTTTCAATTGTAATAATTTATTTGTTTATTACTCACTTGAAAATTAAAACATCGAGAAAAAACCAACGTTCAAATACTGACAATGTCCTTACCTTTAAGTTTGATAATAGACTCATACACTTTAGAATGAAAACTAAGATCACAAAATTATTTTTTATATACATAAAGTATAAATATAACGACATTAACAGATTTTAAAACATTAACCGTAACATATACAGTGTATATTATACACATATACAGTTTTACTTTCGTACTATTTATAGGTTTACAATTTATTAAATTAGTTTGTCTAATTCGATTAACGAATTGGGATTATTATATATTTCACTTTGTTCTATGATAATTTCAAACATTGAGTGTTTCTAGTTCATTTTTAGTTTGTCTTTCAATCTGTCCCATCGCAATAGTGCCAACGTGCTTAGTAGGTTCTTAACTGTATATAGTATCTATATTAATATCATTATTCATTATACTGAAATAATCGCACAATTATATTATATTTGATTACAGAGTTCATATTCGTATGCATTGTTAAAATTAATATTATTACGATGATGATTTTAAGTGATTTAAAAGAATTTTTCCCTATT